GGGGGGGAGGAATGTTGCATTAGCCTCGGCCAGCTATGCTCCGGACACGCGATACTGGGACGTGTTGCCAACCTAGATACGATTGATATGATAACTTGGCATGGACTCTTCAGCCAGAACCTTCGTTGAAATCATAACGCGCCGACCAGTAAGAGCGTACAAATACTCCTCATGCTTACTCCAATTCAATCCGGCAAAAGGTACCTTTTATACCCCGAACACACGTGTATAGATCTCTCGCGGACGATTGGACAAAGCTTTTCGCATGCAGGAACAGCGACGTTCTGAACGAACGCCAACAGTTTGTTACTACCACTGTAGTTGTTGTTGCTAGATACCTTCGGTCCCCGGTTTCGGCAACTATTGCGGTCATGAGGCTTCGAAGCACGACAGCTTCTTGTATACAAGAAGACACCGGTGGAATACTAGTCCTTAGTAGTAGAAGTAGTGGTTGAGAGAGTGGGCTTTGGAAAAACGGAATTCTCGCTTGGTGGAATCAATCGGCCACTGCAACGAGCATAAATAAAACGAGCTCACATCCCCAGCGTTACAAGCGAGCTTCCAGAGTGAACGAATAAACAAACGACTCTACATCTCCGTCTACTACTACGCTCCTCGACTTTCACGAGTTGAGATCAGCATTTCTCGTGGTCGTTGTATTCTCATCATCCGCCGCCATGATCGCTGCCGCCTCGCTTCTGGCCGTCGCGCTGCCCCTGGCGCTCAAAGTGTCAGCAGCACCACTTCCCGCGTCGGCCACAGCTGAAGGGCTCGACATCTCTCAGGGCTTGCAGAACATCCTGGCAAACACCCACGGCAGCGACGCCTACACCTACCCGACCGACTTGACGAGGGGAATAGTACCGGTAAGTCTGAATTATTCTTCACCCCTATGCCCACGAGCACCCAACAAGCTGCCTGAAACAAATCGCATCAAACGCCAACCCCATGGTTCATGACGGCCACAACAGCTATTGTTTACATACCACCTACATGGCAGTGGTAGCTGTCGAAGTCCCCTACCCCATCCCACCTACCCTCATCCCAAATATGCGGACCAAGTTGCCGGTTTACCTACATACTTTATATCGACACACCAATCTAACAAAACCACAGAAACCAATCCATTCCCACAACGACTACTGGCGCGACGTGCCATTCTACACAGCCTTGTCCGTCGGCGCAATCTCCGTCGAAGCCGACGTATACCTCTACAACGACACACTATACGTTGGCCACGAGATCTCAGCCTTGACGTCCAAACGGACTTTGGACTCATTATACATCCAACCGATCCTGGACGTATTGAAGCGCGAGAACCCAAGCTCGGAATTCGTGCCAAACCCCACACACAACGGTGTGTACGACACATCGTCCGGTCAAACACTATACCTGTTCGTGGACCTCAAGTCGGCAGGTAACACGACGTGGCCGGCCGTTGTCAAAGCGCTGCAGCCGCTCCGTGACGCCAAATACCTGACCACCTGGAACGGGACGGGCATTACCTGGGGTCCCGTCACCGTCATTGGCACGGGCAACACGCCGCTCGACCAGGTCCAGCCCGTCCAGCAGCGCGATTACTTCTTCGACGCCAACTTGGCCCTGCTCAAGACTGACCAGGCCAACATCACGGCGGGTGTCTCGCCCGTCGCATCTACCCAGTTCAGCAAATATATCGGCGAGATCGGGGATGCCAAATTCAACGATACTCAGCTGGAGATCCTGCGTGGCCATATCGAAGAGGCTAATAAGAGAGGAATCCTTGCCCGGTACTGGGATACCCCGGCCTGGCCGCTTAGTACCAGAAACGCCGTCTGGACTACTTTGGTCAATGAGGGTGTGGGGTTGTTGAATGCTGATGATCTGCCTGAGGCTGCTGGCTTTGGTGGTGTCGCTGGCTTTTGGTAGTAATCCTAAAGCCGGGTGGAAATGATGGAAGTCGGTAGTTCGGCGGGTTCGCCGGAGAGAGATATAATATATGATGCAGGGGAACAAGATCCCATCTCGATGAGGGAAAAAGAACCAAGAACCATATAGACATATATATACTTGCAGGTAGCACCCATAATAATCAGTTGCAATACAACATCAGTCGACAGAGACATGGCCTCATCAGGAAAAAGCTCAGCTGGAAGCGCTTTGCTAGGCAGACTGGTCTTCTTGTCGGGTGGAAGCAGTCAGCACATGTAACATGACATAGCACTGATCGCTACGAGCAGCTCAGTATGTAGCTACCTATAACCGACTCTTTTCCTTCTTGACAAAAGCACCACTAGGCACAACATCATAATCCGCCCCCTTCCTCCAGCCCATCCAGTCCTTCAGGGCATCTTCAGCGCCCTCACCAGGTTTCATTGCCTTTCCCCTCCAAGGGACACCGACAGGTCTCGCCGGCGACTCCGACAACCCAACAATAGGGCGATGATCATACCCACTAGCCTCCATCTCGGCATGTTCGAGAACCGGAACAACACAAGCATCCGTTCCGTCAAATATATTCTCCCACTCCTTTCTCGTCTTTGTCTTGAATCGCTGCGTAAACACCTCACGCATATACGGCCAAGCGCGTTTATCCTCTCTATCCAAACCCTCGTGCGGAACAACCTCATGTGTCTTCAGCTCCAATCCCTTGAGCAACACCTCAAAAAACTGAGGCTCGAGGGCTCCGACCGAGACATATTTTCCGGCATCCTTACACTCATAACACCCGTAATAAGGACACCCACCATCCAAAGTATTTGTACCTCGCGGACCAGACCACATCGCCTCCTTCGTCAACAGCCGTGGGAACGTCCCCAAGTAACTCACCCCGTCGACCATATTGGCCGAAACAACTTGTCCCTTCCCACTGGTTTGGCGCTGAATCAGGGCCAACAGGACACCCGTGAATGCGACGTGGCCTCCACCCGCAAAGTCCGCGAGAATATTCGCCGGCGGAAACGGCGGCTGGTCCCGCGGACCGAGCATGGACAATATCCCCGATGCGGCGAGGTAGTTGATGTCGTGGCCGGCCATGGCGCTGTATTTCCCATCACGACGGAACCCCGTCAATCGCACCACGATCAGGCGTGGGTTTCGTTTCAGGAGGACTGCCGTTGGGTCGAGACCTAGTTTTTCCAGTACGCCGGGTCGGAACGGGTCGATCAGGACGTCGGCTTGGGAGATGAGTGATAGAAATAACGATTTGGAGTCGGGGCTTTTAAGGTCGAGAGCGATTGAGGCCTTGCGCGATGTCAAGAGGTCGTTGGTCGGTGTTGGTATCGGGCTGGGGCGGTCGATTCGCAAGACGCTTGCGCCCCAGTCGGCTAGGAGGAGGCCGCAGAATGGTCCTGTTGGAATGGGAATTGTGTTAGTTGGTAGGATAGTATGGGATACAGATATCTGGACAGATTGAAGGAGTGGGTACCGGGTGCCAGGCCTGCGAGTTCCAGGACCCGGAGACCCGTCAATGGCGGATTCGTAGTGCTCGTGCCAGCAGTCATGGTGTTGAGTCTGGTCGTGGGCGGATACGGGTCTGCTCGTCTGTTCTCGCGTGTCCAGTCCCGCGAGACTTGTATCTCTCGATTCGAGGAATCAAGAACGGGTGTCACATGCAGGTAGACAGACGGCGACTACATTTGGAGCAGACTGCAAATCTGCAAATATATCACATCGTGATGTCCAGATACTGTGGCCGACACTTTGTGGTTCGGGCCTAGGTCGTCAACAAAAAGTGGCCGACGATCTCCGGCTTGGAGTGGCAGATACCGAGGCTGGGGTTTTCTGGGGGCAGGCTTCCTCCGAAATGCGGGGACTCGGACCGCCAGGTTGGACTTGGAAAGCATTGATTGGAGCAACAATGTCTGGCGATGATTATTGGATACCCGGTCTTTTCCAATGCTACAATTTCAAGTTGGACTCTTCGGACCAGGGTACCGTAAGGATTTATTCTCATTATTCGGAATACTGCAGACTGCTCGATTAAAATTAGTTCATGATTCTCCGTTACTTGGTCATGATCATATATCAACATGTCTCATCTGCCATTCATATCCATTACTCAAATAATTTGAGAAGTCAACCAGAACCTCCCAACTCATCTCATTCCATTTCATGGAAATACGTCCAGCATTTAGCGTCTTGTATCGTCGTGTGGGTTGCGTGTCCTCATCACCGTCATTTGTGAGCCATCACTGCCTGCCTGCCTGCCTGCCTGCCTGCCTGTCAGCCTAGCAGCAAATCTCACAGCATTCGAAACAGGCCAGTCCGGCACACCTATAACGAATGAATGAATATGCATTAGCAAGCAGCAGTAAAGCAATGAAAGGGTGATCAGACAGAAAGACGATCCCAACCCAAGTCACATCCAGAGGCTCATTCTGAAGCAGGAGGAAACACTAGCATCATTTGGTTCCCTCAGGTCGGCAGTACATCACGTTCGCACAAAGGCAACGAAAGGAAGTGAACCAGAAAACCCGCCTCTTCAGACCGGCAGAAAAGAAGAAAAGGATCGGCTGTATGGAAAATCGGTAGGCACATAAGAGCAAATCAGGACTTACAATCCACAACAAATGGCCGCGCCATCCCCTCCCCCACGAAGTCTCAAGGGCTGCTGCTGCTGCTGCTGAGTGTCCCTTGTCGCGCTCTCATCCGCGGTATTCATGTTCATTGGTCCTGGAGCGGTCTGGCATCAAAGTCAGCCATGAAGAGATTCATATTGTTCTCAAGTAAGATAGTCCGGTCTTCCGCTCTTCCTTGTGAACCTGATCGACCAAGGGCAGGGGAACATGATGGCCATATCAGTGGGGTAAGGAAGGATCGCGAGAAGACTGTGCAACCTCGCTCCCTCGCTCTCCGCTTCTTTCTTCTCGGCTTCAGAACTCCCCTTGTCAGGATCGTACTTGTAGCTCCGGGGCTGAAAGCTACAGTAGTCATGCAAGGTGATACCACACCAGACCCGACCTTAGAGCCCAGCCTGGTTCACAAAGTGACAGATAGACATCGCCTGCCTCTGGAAAGAGAGAATCGGCCCACCGCCACCATTGCTGACATTCGAGTCGAGTCGGGCGCGAGAAGAGTAGAAGCAAAGGACAAAGCATGCCATTATTGTCATGTCCCGAAACAACAACTCTGTTCTTTGTTCAAAAAGATCACAAGTGCAGTACTCACAGGTTGTTGATTGACGACCCCGACAGTAGTATCAATCTGCTGCTGCTGTAGCTGCTGGTCGTCGGTTTCAAGTTCCGCTGGTTGCCGGCTCTGCTTCGGGGCTGCACTCGGAGTTGTTGGATTAATCGCCATGGCACACAGTCTTTTTCCTCAGGGCCTGTGGCTCTGCCTTTGTTCTTTGTGTCTGTGTCGATGTCGATGTCTAGTACGTGTGTATGTGTATTTCCGCACAATAATGCTTAGACATCTTAAGCTATGGTACTGCAGGTTTGGTCAGCTGAGTATATATATAGTTTCAAAAGTTCGCAAATGTTGCCGTTTCTGCTTGCACCTTGCCAGTGCAGTAATGACAAGTGGCAGGGGATGTCAGATTCCGGACCGCTGCCGGACGGAGCGGCAAGGACCGGGCGAAAGAGCCTCAGTGACGGACCTCCTGCTACTACAGTGGTAGAACCTACTGTATACATTATCTGCTATAACCCGTGTTCCTTTTTAAAATACTTGGGCAACAGCTATACATCACATCAACGCTACTCAACAATTGGTAGCGAGTGTTTGAAGTCTCAGTACTCGTCCACCGCGGCTGGAAAGACGCAATAAACCTGAAGACCTCAATCAATCAGCTCGCGATAGATATGGATATATCTGCTACTAATAGCTAGACCTTGGATTTTGCGTTGTGCAAATGGAGAACCCAAGGCCGAATTGAGCTGTGCTGAGGACGCCGGATGTTTGAAGAAAAACGTGAATACAAACACAAGAAGCAAAATGGTAGCTAAGCTATACATTCCAGTCGTGCGTGATTCTCATCCTGCTAAACCCCCATGCCTTATTAGAAAGAAGCCGAATTCAATGTGATGAGCCGTCGTAAACATGTTTTGATGGATGGCTGGCTTGCATGACTCTGATGCGGCTTGTTGGGATATGCGTAACTTCAGGCCGGAGGCTGCTGTCGTCGCCCCCTAATCGCTGCGGAATGCCATTAGGCCCATCTTGTCTGCGAAAATAGTGGCCAACCAGTTCTTAACTTGATCCGTTGACCGATCTCTCAGGTAGATCTTTAGGCATTGCGGCTGGGACAGGGTCTTCATCATCATCGTCTTCCAGTGCATCCAAGTCCTCCGGGTGTCTGTCGTGGTGCTTTTGTCAGTACAATCCAAGCAAGAAGAACAAGAACAATACGTACCCTAGTAGGTTCTTGATTTCCTTCATTTCGTAATGTCTCTTTCGCCGTTCCTCAAACTGACGATGTTTCTCTTGTTCCTCTCTCGTTGGCATGCCCACTTGCTCTCTGATTCCATCACCATCGCTGCCCTCACTGACACTGACATGTTTCTCTCTGCTGCCCTCTCGGGATAAGGCATGCTCATCCCTCACGATGCGATCATCCTCGGAAGTCAGAGCTGGATTGAAGTCTTCTTCAGGTTCGCCCAGTTCCAGACCGGGAATATCACTTTCTCGACTTTTCTTTACTTTGCCGCCCTTGGCCAGATCGACTTCATCGACGTTAACGAATCGCGGGTCGATGGCGACATCTTCTTCAATTTCATCTTCGTCCATTGGGCCACCCCACTGGTAAGGGGTCTTTGGCTCGGTGATCTTCATCCGACTACCCTTTTCTTGTTCTGCCAGATACAGATTGGCTTCGTCCCATTTCAGGCGCATCTTCTCTTGCTCATCTTCCCCTTGGCTTCCGGTATTGGCAGAGGAATGACGGCGAGAGGCGGACCCTCTTCGAGCGGCGGACGACGAACGGCGGTGGCCAGCATTCTGTAGTGTGTTCTGAAGAACCAGTTCTCTTTCTTCCTTGGGATCAAGCGGAGTTGTAGGTGGGAAATGGAACTCCTCCTTGGGCAGCGATTCGGGGCGGCCACTGGCAGAGGAGAAGGACGGATTTTTCAAGATGCCTAGGAAAGGAGATAGTTAGATGATATGCAGGATGAGGTATAGTGACAATCAGCTTACCTTTCGGCCGGATGTTGCCCGAGCCCGGTTGATGCAAGGGCGGAGGGGAAGTCCTGACTTCGACAGGCATTCTGGAGGTGGAAAGAAAGGCAGACGAGCAGTCAGGACGATAGATCAAAGGTAAATTGTAAGGCGACTGAGGATGTGTTGTTGGTGTTGTGTTTCCGGAAAAGCGGAGGCTGTACAACAGTGGTTGAAGTTGGGTAGAAGGTCGCAGGCGATACGCGAGTCAGGCGTACAGGCAACCGAGGAATAAGCGAGCTGACCCTGCTGCGGTGGTAGCGGTGTGCGATAGCAGAAGGGGATCGAATGTCCAGAGGAGATATGGAGAACGGGCTGTCGTTCAAGTTGTGGTCGCAGTGGTGACAGACTGTGGTGGTTGTGGGAGTGGTTTGGAGTTGAGTGGATGTTTGGTGGATACAAAGGTGCTGCCAGTGTCGGAAACAGTTGCAGTGGGGATGTACGTAGTTTGTGGTTCGTGGTTGCGCCGGCAGGGCGAGCCTCCAGGGACGAAGGACGGCCACGAGGAAGTCTGTTGTCGGCTTTATAATATCACTCTGCACCCTCGATCCAGACTCGGAGAACACCAGATGGCCGGCTACTTCAGGCACACGCACAATATGAAGAGTAGCAGAGTTCGAGAGAAGGGAGAGTTTGTATCGTGGTTGATGTTGTCATAAGAGCAGCGGCATGTGAGAGAGAAGAGCCGAACATGTCAGGCGGTAGTAAACCGAGAACGGTCACGTTACTTAGCAGTGGCCAGCCTAATAATGGTTAGAGTGGGAGTTAAGTGGTTTTGCCTCCCGTGCTATTCCAATCATGGTCGTCGGCTAATAAACCTGGGTACTTTAGTATCACAAGCAACATTCATTGGCTGCAGGTGCTAGCTCTGGTGGACTCGGAACGCATGGCATCAAATGACATCCACAAATAATCATATTCTCCGCCGTCAGACGAGTTTCAGACCTCCATAAAGTGGTTTGTCCTCTTATATCCACCTGTCAATTTGTTTCGAAGACGACCGCCTGACAGCATCTTCGCGTTTCATTTGGAGGCTGGTTGCGGTCACGCGGAGGAGCTCTGCTTCTCGCTCCTTCCTCCAGCGGTCTGCTGCAGTATAACGTCATCGGTGCATCTCGATGCGTCTGCACTTGCCTGTATTTGTATCTTTCGATCCAATGTCACCCGTTGTTAAACTGCCACAAGCACACCACCGCACAGGACAGTAACGCTTGGGATCACTGGGTAGGTCAGCCCGTTGATCGTTAGGATGATTGACAATGGAGGATTGTTGGCAGAGTCATGGAAGAAATACGTTTGTTTGGGTGGCATGGCTTTAGTACGATGATCTACAATGGTATCTCGTGCTCTTGCTCTCCCAAAGAGTTGGCGACAGAGGGGAGACGGCGACCCTTCATGGCAGATCCTACCCTGACTGAGGCATTGTATTTCTGTCTTCTGTCCTGGGTGTCACCAATGCTACTGCGACTGCTACTGCTACGGACACTCATTAGTGTGATTCTCTCGTTTTGTGTCAAATCAATCTGCATCATATTCACTCAAAACCAGACAGCAGTGTGCCTCCGTTATCGAATACATGTGTATCAGACTAGACAGATTACCTCCCATGCATTTGTCGAAAGAAAATAGGTAAGGGCGGAAGAAGATCCAAATGCAGTAAACTCCGAGACCCAGCAGAATGTACCACATCAACATGCATTCGCGTCGATGGTCGTCAGATTACCGCCCAAAAGCAAAAAGGAAAAAAGAAACCCCTCAGATAGCTGCAACATGTCCGGCTCTTTCTTTCACCACTGGCTACATCTCTTCCTCTACTTGACACCGCGGTAATCAACCTCCAGTCAGCCATTGCTGTGCATGGAACGAATCGCCTGACGCTCTTTCAATTTACTTTGTGCCACTGTGTCGCCGTTCGAGGCTGCTTGCTGCATCCAATGCAGCGCAAGACAGAGGGATTGGCTGCTTTGGCCAGACGATGCAGACCCAGATGCCAGTCCTGGTTGCTCTTGTTCTTCCTCCCACATCATTTCAGCCTTGAAGATTTCTGATGAGAAGGCCAAGGGCAGGCTCACGATGGGCAGTATATCAGGGTGCGTAAGGTAGAGACTCGCCAGCTCCCGTTGAGCAATTGCATTTCCTTCCCGTGCCGCGATCACCCAGTACTCCATAGCCTTTAGGATTGAGGGTTCATTCACCTTACGTCGGGCTTCTTCCCTTTTGATCGAGTCTTTGACCACAATCCGGTCCGCCACATCAACCATGCACCGGCACACCTCGTCTTTCCAGGCCAGTGCTGCAAGCCCAACATGCAAAAACGCTCGCCCGGTATCACTGTCGGCCAACGTCTGTGAGGAGGCGAAAGCAGCAATGTACTGCAGATCGCGGAAGATAGTTTTCGGCTGCAACGCGAATAACAGCTTTTTCAAAAGTGCCAGGAGGCTGTTTTCGTCATTGCCATCAACAGTAGATTCGCTTGAGGGTGGAGAGCGTGCTTCAAGGATTTGCTTTTCTTTACGTCGGCCGAGATTTGCTGATAGCAGGCTCGGGTTCAAACTGCGGCGTCGTCGATGGTCTTCTGAACCGGGGCTCTGCTCTTTTCCGCACAGGTCTCTTTCCTGAAGTGATTCTTGACGACTTTTTAGAAAAGCTTGCGCCAAAATTTCAAAGTCACGAATGGCTTTGAGTTTGAGATTTGGGTCCACATGCTCTTGCATGCGAGAAAGGATATCGAGAAACGCACTGTGGTATGGATAGCTGACACCTCCGTCCTGGGGATCTTCAGGCAGCGGCGACGCTGTGGATGGCTCTGCGTCTCCAGCAGCATGACTAGCTGCCTGCCGCGGGTTCGGAGCTGCACTCTGGCTTCGCCGCCGGGGTTTGCATTTTGCCTCACGAGAGCCGGCCGGTGGAGAGCATCTTGTGTCCATATTCAAGTGTAACCGTGCCATAACCGCCCGTTGTTCCAAGCGTTCCACGATAATAGGTGTGTGTCGCATCGTCTCCATCCACGCATCTGTCTCGCTCCCACAGCTCCAGACTGGACACCCAAGGTCGGACAGCAGCAGGCAAGTCAGATCCTGTTGCACTCGATCCAGGAAGTTCGCCTTTTCCACATTGAAATCAGCCAAACGATTCATGCCCTGGTCTTCGAACATTGACGCAGGCCTTGATTGCGATGAAGCCGACGTCACCGACCTTGGAATCGATTGTGGCGGCGACCAAAAGCTGCTACTTGACTCCAATGTTGTCACAGTCGCCGCTCGACCCGGAGAGCTGATCAGTGAAGACAGATCGCTCCCAAAAAGATCCCTCCCCACCCTGCTTGAGCTCTGGCTAAAGAAAGATGCTCGGGAACCCACAAACCCCGTCCGGGATGGATATGAACTCGATGACAAAGGCTCACTCCAGACGCTGGGGGCTCTTGTACTTGGTTGGACGCTAAATGTCGTGCCGGCATGGATGTCGTAGAGGTTCCCTTCCCGACTGAACAGCTCGCTCGACCACAAGACTGGACTGTCGCTAAGGCTCTCCCCAACGAGCTTCTTGGTGGCAATCTTAACTTCCATGCAGAACCGATGGATCCTTTCTTCGCCTTTGCAGAAGTTGTCTATGTGATTACGTTCAAGCCACTTCTTGATCAAGTCGATCTGCGGGTCTGAAAGTTTCCTGGGCCCGCCATGTTCTGCTGGAGCTTTCAAAATGTCTAGAGTATCAACCCGCGGTTGATCGAATAGAGATGATGCAGATGTATCTGAAGTGGCCGGTCGACTCGACCCTGGGGACATCGGACCTCGCTGGCTTGGTATGTAGCCTCGTAGCGTAGACAATGCCATGTTATTCAGAGCCGTTGAGATGTTTTTCGCATCTTCGTAGGCACTAGAGCTTACCACATCCATCTTGTACCAGAGTTTCACTCGAAGTTTATCGAGCCAGGCGGAAAGGTCGGATATCTTCATCTTGGCATAGTCGTACAAGGCCTCCAGTTCAGCAACTTCTTGTTCTATTTGCCGGGAATCGTGCTCAAGTTGGAGCCGGCATGCTTTCAACCTCTCAGTCATCGGCCCTAGAACTTTTGTATCATCCCCCGTTAAGACAGTAAGTGGAAAGTGCTGGTACAAAAAAGCGAGTGCGTCATGCCAGTACAGAGCTGCAACGCGGTCCGTCTTGGTGTGAGCTTGTCGCGCTTCTGCGGCAAACATCTCGGCCAGGGTTGGCTCTTTCGAACTCGGGACAGGAACTAGCCCCAGGGATAATCGATCTTCTGCATGCGTACGGCCCTCGACCAGACGAACCGCAGCTTTCTCGGCCAGATGCAAGTCCCCCAAGTCGCTCATACTTGGTTTGACCTCTAGAGACCAATTTGGTCCTGCCATTGTCAACAAACCGGCCGGGGATATTGAAATTTGAGCCCAAGTTTCCTGGCAAGGATGACTGTTCTTCGAGGAGTGACCTGGTTCCATCACTTCGAGTATTCGTCGACGGAGGTCATTGAATTTACTGCTCGCGTAAGAATATTGCATACGGAAGGTAGAATGCGAAGAGCTCAAGAAAGAATCCCAAGGGCTTGATGTATGGATGTACTGGGGACTGAGGGCTTCCAGGACATGTGCAATATCGGCTGCACATAGCGATAGAGAAGGACGGCAGCCAGGGGTAGGGTGGGCATTCCGTGCTTGGGGCCTTTGATATGGATCGAAACAATGTTCATCTGCTTCGAGTGTGTAGATTATTGCGTGGACACACTTTTGCACTACTGGATCAACGGGTTGAACAGGCCTAACAAATGGTCAGCTGCTAAACACTGCAAGAGTGAAGCATAGTTGCCTGTACACTGGGTTGAAGACATCGTTCGCTTGGGAAAATGCGCAGTCCCAGAGTTTGTAGAGTAAGTGCGACCTGGCTTTTTCATTTATATGAAACTGGAGGAGCATTTTTTCGTCCTTTGAAGGTTAGCCCGCGAACACGCAATGGAAAGAAACATGATACCTCAGGGTATACAATGGTGGTGCGCAAATAACGTTGCAGAAACCATTGGAACAGCAGGTGGCCACGGAATTGACTTTGAACTTCAACTGTCGGGAGTTTTCCTATAATGGCGCGTCCTAGTTGAAGAGCACCAGTTGGTATACCTCCATCGCAGGCCAATATTTCGAACAACTCCCTTACTGCACTGTTGAAGAACTCCTTCGCTTGTGGAGTATTGAAGGTATCCAAGAAACCAAGGGACGGCCGGGGGCTTGACAACGAGTTTTCCAGCATGTCAATCAAAAATGCACCTCTTTGTAACACGCCCATCAAAAATAGCTCGAGGCGTTCTTTAATCTGCCACTGGTACATGCCTGCAAAGGCATTCAAAACTTGTCCCAGAATGGCCTCGAAAGCCTGTTCAGACTCGAGCATCAAAGTCGAGCAGATAGTAGACCAGGTTGCAAATCTCAGGTCGCTCTCGGGGCTTTGGACGTCTTGAAAAGGCCCATAGATATTGTGGAGAAGGAAGGATAGTGGATTTGATCGTTCGAAAGAAGAAGCATATTCTTCCAGATCTCTGGAATACGCTTTGACCCTTTTCTTCACCGATGCCCTACCACGGTTCTGCGACAAGGAGGTCAGAACCGATTCCGAAAGCTCCTGGAATTTGGGAGATGATGACAGGGACGAGATCTGCGCCGGAGATAGTGCTTTGAGTCTTTCAACCAGAAACCGAGGGTTGTTCCGGAGTGTTTGTATGAACTCGAGACAGTCCTGTTGTGACGAGGGTGGCAATTGTGTCAGAAAGGACTGCTTAACCGGCGCTTTTTGGTTGTATGTCGTATCCAGGGCGTGAACCTCGTGAGTCCACTGGGACAGACATATATCCATTAGATCATGCGTATGCTGATGCAGGCGGGTAAAACCAATGGCATCTGCCTGTTGACTGATCTCTACTAGACCATCGTGCACCCAGGAGCTCACACGCTTCAACCGGGCGGACAACGCCAGAGCATTCTGCAGTCGATGACGGCGGTGGGTAAGCATGCGCCTCCGATGTTCATGATGTCGATGCAGTCGCAGCTGCGAAGCGAAGTCTTCGAAATGCACCCTCATATGGGCAAATGGAAGTTCTCGATGCTTCACTTCCACCCCCGTTGTTTCTGTCCCTGTGCTGTCCGGAATCCTCCTGGCAGCACCCGTCAGAGGCCTGCCCGTGTGACGGGCATCCATATTACTCCTCCGTCGGCCATCGGCTTGAGCTCTGCTAGCAGGGCTTCTAGCCTGCGCACCCTCCTGCGAGGCACGCTCTGAAGGTTCAGGGGCTGACATCGATCCGTCATGGCCATGCGCATTGTCCGTGGGACTAGGTGAGGGCTGAGAAGCTGGATTTGCTGCTGTCACATCGTATGAGCACGCTTCGACGCAGACTTTGATGGCCAGGAGAAGGTCAAAGCAACCAACCTGGATCTCCCCAAATGTCTATGGCCCTGGATGGGAATATCATCCGCTGGCGAGTTCCATTCCAAGTGGCACTCCCAATCAAGTCATACACTGCCGCTATCAGCTCGGGGAAGGAGGGTCTTCGACTAGATTTTGTAGCATGGGCACGGCAGCAGATGGACAGCACCCAAGCCGCAGGGCTTGCTAACGTGAAACCGACGGGTGCGACACGGTGGGTGGAAGGAATCGAGGGGCCTCGTCAGGTGCAGTAGTATCGCCGAACAGCAGACTTCTTTAAAGCCCACTGTGTTTCCACAGTAGTCTGGATTTTTGAGCAGGGAAAGCGATGCCTGCGATAGGACAGTTATCGGTCAATAGTACAATGATCAGCTCGACCACGACGGCCTCAGGCCAACATGAAGAATGGGCGTGTCTATGGCCTGACAATCGATAGCAAGTGACCCGTGAGAGGCAGGTCGCGCAGGCTGCGGGATGCGGGGAGACTGGTTCGCAGGCACGAACAAAAATACTTTACTCGACGCCTTCTGCTTCAGGTTCATCAACTTCAACGATAACAACGATGGTGGCGGCGACGATGGCCATCGAGCCCAGTCTGTGGTTCTGGAGTACAGAAATACACACAAGGGCTCTTCACACGGTGAGACCTTTCCATGACGGCGCGAGGAGCCAAATGGTCTTACCACTCGCGGGGGCCGCTGCACCAACACAGCAGACGCCGCATGGCCAGAGAAGAGTCGAACAAAGCACAACGCAGCAGCGCAGAACAGCACAGCACCGCACACTCACTGGCAGCGCTTGATGACTTGCAGGGCCCCGGCGACAGTGATTTTGCCAACGAATGCATATGCAGCTGCATTAGTCGAGGCTAATCAGGGTTTTGACAGAGACCCGGCGCCACTCGTTCTGCCTCTCAAGCAGTGTCAAGCCGCGATTCGAGCGCAATCCAAGCGACTCTGCTCTCCGCCTATGCCCCGATCCCAACCGTTCTCGATTCTCCTCGACATATGTCGTGTGGTGCACAAGAAAGACTGCTTCAGTCCCCGGATCTCATCTGTTGTATCAACAGCCCGGCCCCTCCTGGCCTATGATTGACCCCAATTATTCTCAATAATCGACAATAGGTGCTGCGATTCCATAGCTGGAGCATTGTGCTTCACCACCCAAATCGTCTCTCGCGTCCCTCGAAATGCGACACTCGAACACGATGTTGACCCTGGCCGCTACGCTGTCTGAAACAGTGTGTATTGCAGGATCCAGCCGAACCCTCTTCTTTAGCTCTGTGTGGTGCTGCAGAAATGCTACAGGACGTGGATATTTACGCGTCTCCGATGAGCCTCGGGGACAAGGCCACGTCAAGCCTCAGACTCACATTGACCGGCCAAAAGCTCGTTTATCCCAGATGGTGAACGATCTCGACCAGAGGGAGACGAAGATCCTACTGCCATGTGTCGTTCGTAAGCTCACCGACAGCAACAAAGGGTTTGCCTTGCTTGGTGCCCCACTCTTCTCGGATGATGCGCTGGCACTGCGGTGTCGACTCGTACTTTACCTATTGTATGGAGTGGCGTTCTGACCACTGTATTCTCGAACAATCATCCCTTTGTGTGCTGTACCAGCTAATCGATTCGGCCATGTCCTGCTAGTTTTTAGGGCAGGCGAACCAGTCAGAGCAGTTGGCCACAGACAAAAAGTCCGTTAAGGCACTTTGTTCATTCTGGTCGATCCTATCTCTCTACAGCAATGATTGTTTCTACCTGTTCTTGTCTTACCTCTTGCCACGCAGCCCTGTGCAACAATAAACTGACATGTCCCGGATTGGGTTTGTGTATGCCCATCCTGTCTGAAGCGGGTGTTAGCACCAAGTAGAGTTCAATTTCCGGATGACAGGGACGGAAGCAGTCTTGCCAGCACTCTCTCAAAGATGGTCAGGTGACTAGCCTTCGAAGATGGCTTGAAGAGAAATGGTGGCTGTCCAAAGACCTCGTCACGTACGCCCAGAGGAGGGGCTTTTCTGGATTTGTGCAACTGTTAAGATGGAGCCATCAGTTGCCGTGCCATCTGACTGGCGTATTAACACCAAAGGTGTTCGATTAGTCTTGCTGAATTGCAGATAATGAGGCGCTAGGGTCCAGAGGCTTTGCTTGCCAGGTCAGACAATCGCGAGGATCTCAGCCCTGGCATCTGCTCTTTTCTTTTGAGAAATATGGGAGGAAATCCGGCAAGACAATTGCAAGTGGCCTTGTCCTCCCTGCTCCTGGTCTGCACTACACCATCATGACGACAACCTTGTCAGCCGGTATGAGAACCGATCGGATCAACGTAGTGAGGGCGAGATTGAAATTGCAGGTAGATAAAGAATTGCACAGTCCATCAAAGATTTGGAATATAAGGCTGCAACGATTACCTGAACCAGATGCGCATAGTAGCTTCTGGATGGAAAATAGAAAGTATATGCCGACGTTAGGTTTGGATATAAAGTTGTCTCCCATGCAAAGAGGAATCAAACCGGGTAATCCTGGCTTGGGGAGACCCCAGTGAGAACATTACTGTATCAGCATACCTGGGACTTCCATATAAAAAAAACAGTGTATCCAAACAAAGACCCTGAGCAAAGTTTTGACAGTTGCAATTCTCCTGTCGATCAGGTACCAGAGTCTAATTTGGGTCCCAATGAAAGGTCTTACCACCACAAGAGCGGCGGCAGCCCGAGGGCGGAAGAGCACATTCCTGCTGTTGTCCCGCGAAGAATCAGGGGTTCTGCATACGTATTGTTGCACCAAATGAACGCTGCACGGCGGCAGCGAGGAGACGAATGTTGGATAGATGGAGTCGAGCTGAGACCAAGTGACGTATGGAAGGCGGCTGTAGAACTTTGGGCCACTTTGTTGGCAACACGGCCTCGCCGGCTGTGGACAGGTCGTGCACGTTTTGTAACCATGGGTTAGATCTCGATCGGGTTTCGCTGGGTCCAACTGGCTGCCAGCGAACCTTAGCGATTTTTGGACCATTCATCTGTCCATCTTGCCGAGCTTCTCCGGAACAAGATCTTTGATACTTACTGTGGACCTGGTAATGTAACGCCTCTATCCCACTCTTTTCCGATGGTGTGGTGCAAAGTGCCTTCGATTTCCCCCCATTCATTACGGAGGTAACCACCCCTTTGACTTCGCCAGTAGTCTCCACGGTCAGGAGATCCAGGACTGCCCGGGCTGAGTAAGAAATGTTGTTCATTCTTGCCCGTGGCGGTCCGTCATGCTCAAGGCGCAGAAGAGAGGAGTGGGGACGGCTTTCTTTGTGGCATTCGAAGCATCAGATCAGAATTGTTTTCCCATTCGGCCAATTCGAAGCCAGGTTCCATCCTTGACTGGTCGAGAGGGGCCGGTATTTCACGGCTTGTGGTTGGATCAGAGGGTGACAAGGAACGAATAGTAGGACAATAGTGACACTTGACTGGTCGGTGTCGGAGGCACCGGGGGCGCAGGCTTTGACACTGGCACTTCAAGCTCAGCTGAAGCCGCCAGAAGAGTTCAGAGCCACCTGAATCAAGCGGGCTCCGAGAGCTTGTTTTTATTTTTGATTCTGTGATAGGGTCGACTGCGATGATGACGATGAGGACACGGGTGCCGCGTATCTTCATGGACTTGGAAGCGAGGCCGGGCTAGCTGAGGATGGAGATAGCAAGGTAACAGGACGTCAAGAAGAGCATTTCTTTTACCGAGATACACTGGCAGCTGCTAGTAGTGCCAGTGCAGCATTCCCGGCTGTAACGAAATACTAGCCTAGCACTGCAATGATGCCAACTTCAAGTTGGCACTGATGAGTACCACGGTACCAGCAGGAAATTCTAGTAGATAAAGATAGCACATTGCTGTTGCAGTTACGGTAGTAGTAGTTCAAGCTGGATGAAGAAAGCCATCTTGCAACTCTTCCATCCTTGTCCATCCGCATCAAGCTGGCAGCTTTACTTTTTATCAACTTCTTCCGGCTTCATCCTTGCCCCCATAGTAGTGTCTAGAATGAGATCCCTGTAGAGTTCCGTTCATGATCCGTTGAGATGCCATATCCGCACTTCCATGGCCTGTAAACTAGGGTAGCTATCTACTGCCCGTGTATAATACCAGGGGCCCGGGATGAGGTGCAGAGATCGACAACCACTAGTACTGCCATTCCCACAGATTCCAAGGTTCCTATACTGCCATTACTCAAGACTGGTGCTTCTACTGCCCGTGGAGCGACTTCAACACCTAAAACCGCGCTCCAACATCCGAGTCCCTACCAAAGGCGCAACTTGATATCAGTCACCCGAGACACCAACTGAACACCAACAACTCCACGAATCCTCATCTCACCGCTGTCCACGCCCACCCCCTCCGTTCTCTTTTCCGCACATCTGCAAGGCTACTCCTGTACATAGTCTCGCACCTCCGTTCACCCCCTCTTTCGACCTTCGCAAATCCAGTCTACGGCCGGACTCAATTGCCAACGGGATTGCGCCGTTTCCGCCGCATTGCTCGCCATTGCTGCGTGGTGGCCCACAGGTGGACGAGGGCCAGCAGCCTCAGGTATCATTAATAGCATTTGTCCGCGGGAGAGAGAGGGGAACAATACGAGACCATCGACAGCCCATTGCTGCATCCTGCGCGGTCTTAGATTTCCCCGGCTCAGCTCGCTCGGTCCATCACATGCTTGAGCAGCAAGCACCAGCTAGATAAAAGATCGAGTCACTCGAGTCTCACCCACACCGCTTCCAACATCCCATAAGCCTGCGACGACGTGTGAGCGCTGCAGTTTTACCAAAGCCCAAGAAGGATCGACTCCTGCATCCTGTCATCATCGGTATCCAGCTTGAGCTGATCGACTACTGGGCTGGCAATTTTCTTGCTGCCAGGAAGTGTCGGATCTGCGGTGCCGGGCACGAACCCCTGCAGCTCTGCCGCTTTGGCTGACACGCCCGCCTGAAAGTGAACACCGAGAGCCTTAGGAGCCTTACGCCCAGCAATTAAATCCCCACCGATCTGAGCCCGCAACTTGGACTTGGCCCTGGAAGTGCTTCACTGGAAGCCCTGCACTGGAGCTGGCAGTGAACAGCAGCTCTTCAAGTTTCCTTACGTACAACTCGACTGCCCATTCTTCTTCCGACCTTCACAGCTGAACTCCTCTTTCTACCCGTGAAGCAACTCAAACAAAGGCCTCAATGAGCGTGTTGACGGTGACTGGGACCAGCATCCCAGATCCCACGCTGCCCAGCACCTATACCTCTCCTCGCGCCCCGACCTCCTCCCTGCCTCGACACCCCGCGCAGCCAACGTCTTCGGTCACTTTCAGCCGACAACCAAGACAACCATTTCCGAATTCTACACTTCCTCAGATATCGCCGGCAAGGCCGGTTAGCAACCATCAGCACTCACGGACCGCCTCCTCTGGCACCATTAATCCACCTGCACCCTTGCGAACCTCACCCTCGAATATTCCTGCCCCAGCCCAGCCTTATCCCAGACACTCGCGGGCTCCGTCGTCTTCACATTCCCGCCACTCGTCAAGTTCAAGCAACATGAACATGCATCGACAAGGAACATCCGCCTCCACCGCCAGCATTCCCCGTCGTTCTACCTCAGGTCGATCGACCTCCACAAATAGTCCCACCTCTTATGTCGCCTTGATGCGGAAACAAAAAGCGACAGTCTGGTGTGATCGATCTCAAAATATCGACCCGCGCTTGGCGGCGGCCCAGAGAGCTGCCAAACAGCGGGCGGCACTTGAAGTCCAGGGCCACACATCTACAGCACGCACAAGCACGATCAGTTCTGGTGGAGTGGTGGGCAAAATCAGACATGGAGGAGTTCCGAAAGCCCCGGGATATGTTCCTGCCAACCTTAATGGCACCACTGTACCATTACGGCTAAGTGCGAACGAAATGCTAGGCGATGAGGACGAACGCCAAAGCCTAGGTGATAACAGTATGATACACGCTCGAACGGGAAGCGGCCGAAGTAGCACAAACAGTGCAAAGTACCGCAGCGGATATCCCAGACAAGATCAAGGGCGGTTCAGCACCACCAGCACGCCACCCAACGGTGAAGGGTCTCCTGGGCAGGGTATTCCGGAAGATAAAGAAACAGGTCCAAGTCACAAGAATGACCGATCAGATAGTCATTCCAGCGAGGATTCTTTTGGCGAATTCAAAGACATGTCCGCGCCCAGCTCGGTGCAACAGGCCATGATGCAAGCAAAGCAGGCAGACGATTTACGACGGCGGGGAAGCGTGGATGAACGAACAATGAGTATGGGCCAGCCGGGAGTCCGGTTATTCGTTGCCAATCCGGATGTGGAAGAGTCATGATCACCGCCGCAACGGTTCCGGAAGATGGAACTGCTCTGCTGCTACTATTACTACTACTAATGCAATGTACGATGGTGACAAGTTATTCATGGGGACGAGGCGTACGGGGTTGAGGCGATCTTTTTTGGGGGGTTTGGAGTTCCATCCGACCCGGATTTCAAGGTGAAATAATGCGCAGGACGCAAAGGGAGGCACAATTGCACGGCAATCTTGTGTATGCGAGGGAAGGGAGAATTAATTCCTTTTCCCTCAATCTCGGCCAGACCAGTATCAAGCCTTCTGGCAAGGACCGCAACGGAGGAACTGGCGCCGGCGTGTCAGCACTATTAACGTCGGCATTGGCCGATCGTGGCCGTCTCTCTTGAAGATGTTTTAGCTGTTTGGGAGGTTTTGTCCAATGCACGATGGGACGTGCAGTGCCTGAGATGGCAGTTTCGCTCATGCCACATTTGGCCGACGGATGACATGCTATTCAAATCCTGGCAAAGGGCCAAGATTCACAGCAGATTCTTGCAGCCTCTTGGGCTACCAGATCAATGGTGGTACTACTGTACCTGCCTCCCATAGGTACTTCATAGCTGTGATAGTGTGTCATCGCATCACCATTGCCATCAGCTTCATCGTCGCCATCACCCGCTGTCCTAAGCCTTACAGTAGCACGGAGTAGCAGTGCTAGTATGACTGATTACCACTTTCCTAGGTACTGCTAGATGTAAAAGTATTTCCCTGCCGCCAGTACAAGGTATAGAATCCAGGTCAATTACAGCAGCGACCAAGCCACATGTCCAGATACCTTCATGACATGAGAAATACCTGCACAGTGCCTATAGCACCTGCGGTACAAGTGCCACCGTCAGCCAGGTACAGGCTCTCTTTTCGTTCTTTGAATCAAGTCGTAAATCGTGATATTTATCATCGTACCAATGGTATACTTGTAGTAGTATATATTATATTACAAGACCCACGCCGCGCACGAATTGGTCCAAGAAAAAAACCGAGTTTTATATCCAGCCATGCACACATGCGTTCCCCCAGAGCAGCCCCTCCATGCCAGTGTCGGGACAAGTTCAAGCTTAGAAACTAAAAATGCCACTCCTGCGCTTGCCAATAGGATAAACAACCAAAGCACTCAAATACAAACCGACACTAATCCCAATCGCCAGCTGGACCATACCGTAGCCGACATTGAAGATGGTGCCCGAGTAAACCGTAACGCCAGCGCCGTCCTGAGCATCCAAGAAGCCAGCGGTGCCATTATTGATGACACTAACACTGTTCCCACTGGACGTGGAATTACCGGTAATCTGGTTAGCGGACGTGACGCCCGCAACGAGGGATCCAGACGCAGCAAGACCCGAGGGGACCTGGACGAAGATGGCGGGCAGCATAGCGGCGGCCGCCAGACCGTGGAAAAAGCGACTGTACAGGTTCGCCATGGTTCCAATAACAAAGGCGCCAATGGCATTAGCGACCTGGATGTTGTTGGCGGAACGAGTCGAAATCCAGTATGTTGCCTGGTGGCCGCAGAAGGCAATGAGGGTCATGACGGGGACTTGGTGCCATTTGGCCTGGTTGATGACGGCAAGACACACGGCGAAAATAGGAACCCAGATAAACCGCGCATAAATCAGTTGGTAGCTGGTCGACGACGAGTTCCACCACCATGGCATCTCGCATGTCACATCGCTCTGGGCACCCGGGTAGATCAATCCCATGATGACGGTGCCGATGAGAATGCCAAAGCCCAGAAATAGCGAATAGATAATCGCATAGACCATCCTGACGCTCCCGGACACAAGGTTCTTGCTTTGGAGTTCCAGCGCCGCGCATAGAACTGTATATCCCGGTAGAATTAAGGCAATGCTGGATTGTGCGATGGCTGAGAAACAAAACACGGGACTGCCGTTGTGGTAGATCGATCCCAATCCGCGCGCGGCGAACGAGATGATGACGGTCGCGAGCACCTCGAAAACGTGCGAGAATTGCGTCGACCGCGTCACCACGACGAGTTGCAAAAACCCCAGAATGCAGCCGAGCACAAAACTCGGCGGGAAGTCGATGGGCCGCGCGGAGAACGCAAACGGGCCCACGGCGACCGCGGCCACGCCGTACGCCAGAATCACCCAGTGCAATTTGTTGCGCTGCGGTGCCGTCCGGATATGTTCGAGTTCGTGGGTCCCCTCCTCGGCCGTCAGTTTGCCGTGGATCACGCACTTGTATACCGAATACACGTCCTTGAATTTGCCCAAGTCGACGTTCTGAGACTCCCGTACCAACGTTACTTCCGTGCTCATCGTGAGTTTGTCGTTGATCGACACGATCATCGCCCCGGGGAGGTACAAAAAGTCGCCGTCGATGCTGAGCGCCCGCGCCGACGTCTTCATGTACTCTTCCAGTCGGTGAGATGGGGCCCCGACCGCCATGAGCGCCCGCGCCAGTTTCTTGAGGTATTTCCGGCATGCGATGATCTCCGCCACGTCGTGCACCACCCTTTCTTCTTCCGCCTTGAGCAGTCGTTCGTGCTTTTGCTGGTGGTGGAAGTGCTGCAACAACAAAAGTTAGCAGGAAAATCTGATGGGTTCGTAGCATGGCCGAAACTTACATTCGCAGGATGCTTGATCATGTCCACTGCCGTTGCAATCATACTGCTCGACGATTTCGGCCGTCGCAACGGTGGCCGTGGCGGCCGCGGCACGTAGTTCGACGTGTTCGGTGCCCCAACGGCGCCCGCCGCACCTGACGCTCCCGCCAGGAGCGCTGCCATCGACCCCGTGGACTGGCTGGCGGGTGACTTTTCGTACCACTTGGGCCGTTTGGACGGCGTCGCTCGGCCGGACGACGCCCCTGATGAGGCTTGCGTCTCTGAGGCAGTCCGCGAGTGGCTGTACGGGTGGTGCCCACCGACACCGCCATCTCGGTGTTGGTGCTTCCCGGGTTCGTCAAGATATCTTGGCTGATGGTCGAAGCCGTCGCGTTGCAGGTTGGCTAGCTTTGAGGAAAGAATCGCTCCGAACACGCCTGGTCGATACTCATCCGGTGGGGGCACGTATTCAAGGTCGTGCACGTGCTTATCTGCAGCCGGGGTCTGTGTCCCTGATCTGTCAAGACGGTCAGCATTTCCTTTTTCCAGTTTGAACGGAATGGGCAAGGCAAGGCAGCGGGTAACAAGGCTGAAAACCGCATCATCTTTGGGTCACGTGACCGGTTTCCCAGCCTTGTGGGCGGTGTCCGGGTGGCGTCCAGTGCGTTGTATATGGCAGACATTACTTGCCTTGGTGAATCCTGCCATTTGGTCGGCTGTTGGGCGCTTGTTAAGGTCCTGATCAACCTTCTGGCTTCCTCCAGATTTTCATTATTTCGTTTCAAGGGTTTGGGGTTCTCTTCATCACTTTCGTCATCGTCCGTGGTGTCGTCGTGCAGTGTGTATTGACGCCTATCCTTATCCAGCGGCTCCAGGGGGATATCGTCGATGTTAACCAGCCAGTCTCGCAGCGGTTTAGTTGGTGGTGACGAATTCGGGGAAGCGTATGCCTGCTGTTGTGACGGCGGGGGAACAAGAGGTGAGGACGCCGACGCAATCGAGCTTGGTCGCGATCCCTGTGTTCTGCCAGGAAAGGTGTTGCTGAGTCTGTTCGCTAACCGACTTGCACGGTCTTGAGCATGCGCAGCAGCAGCACTTGTCCTTCCCGTCCAGTCTGCAGGTGCTAGGAGATTGTCGGCCACATCTTCCGACGAGGGTATCCGGATCTGAGGAATGTCTCGCCTCCGGCCTGCTTCTTGTCCTGATGTCTCTTCACGCTCTTCCTCCTCTTCTTCTCCGGCTGCCACAGAAAACTTGACTTTGTGAGCGGGCCTCGTTCCACTTTTGCCGCCTCTTACACTCTGTGCTCTGCTTGGGTTGGCGCTGGATTCGTTACTGCTGCTCTGAGACCCCGGGACAGGCAGGGACGGCCCCTCGGTCATAATTTCATGTATGGCGATATATTAATATAGACCGACCAGGTCTCAATCTCAACACTCGAAGATCCGTCAATGGCGTCAAATGTGTCGTCGAAACAGGGTCATGAGCCGCCTTTGGCCATTATCTGCACAAAGCAACAAAGGAAGTCATGGAAAGCCGGTCGGGTTCGAAGTCGTGGACGCAAGTTGGACTATGATGCTTGCAGGGGACCAGACTGGTGGCAAGGACGCAGACGGTCCAGAGCCCGCTGGGTCAAACAGCTGGCTACGGGGTAATAGTGAAAAGTAGTAGGTCTCTACAGCGTAAGGCGAAAGAAGTGGGCTAGAGTCGTTGAGAAGGAGGCGGAAAGGTGGTTCCTGAGGAATGGGGATGAAATGAAGCCGGGTCGCGATGAGCTCACAGCAGCCGTTACGGAGTCATCCACGCGTCTGATCTGGGAGTTAGGTATGTCTCGAACACTGTGGAGGCGTAAGAAGCAGGAGACGTTATATTAGTGAGCACAGGGCCAACAATGAAGATGCTAAATGGAGGGATCAGACACGCGTAGCCCACCGACCGTTGAGCACAGCAGTGCACTGCATCATCACGCGCTGCATAAGAGTTGCCCACTCCAATATGCTGTTGACTGTGCTTTGATATCTGGGTTACATGTGCACAGTCGAGTCCGAACATAATGAAAAAGTGGAACCGCAGAGAAAATTCGATAGCGGTTGCGGTGGTGTCATTTTATTGTTCGCCGATCGGGATAGGAAACACCAAACACTGGCATGGTTTTGGATGTCTGCAGAACAAAAATCCAACGATGGAGGGTAAAGTTCGGTGTCTCAGACCCGAAAGATGGAAAATGTCAGCACATGCAGAATGCTATCTCTCCCCCTGCAGCCTTTCGCTGACGAGGCCACAGGTATGGTGGTTCTCAGTTTTTCTTTTCCGTTGGGAGAGGAAGAGCCACTGTAGGAATAAGATGTGGCGTAGCCACGTAGTTTGTGAGTAGTGAGAGACACTGCTTCTAGCGAAAAAAGTGGCACGTCCCAGGTCCGCCCCGAGCTTTGTTGGATGATTATTATTATCTTCTCTCCAAATCAGCGTGATAGAGGTCGCGGCGGGTGGGGGTTCAAGTTCGAGATGGTGGTGGCCACTCCATTTTTTCCGACCGGCGCCTGTCGGCCAAGGCTTAGCCTCGATTGGGCGGGAGCACGGTGCGCCATCAGTCCGATTCTTTGGATGACAGAACATAGGAGAACTGGTTCAACAAGATCTCGTTGGCTGACTGCTGCTCGAGACAAAGGATTGGAATGGCCGGCCGGCCAGCCACTCACATCATGATCACACCGAAGACAAAGGGGCGGGCTGCGCCATCACCACTTTGCGTCCGTTTCCGGCAGCTCCGGGGCCGGCGGGTCTGTTCCGGCCCACGCTGCAATGCGCTTGACACTTGACATCTGACGCTTGACGACTGCCATAAAGTGCCAGTGTTGCTGATGTTGTTATCGTTGACAGTCCTTCATCAGATAAAAAGCAGCATGTGGGCTGCCACTCTCGAAAGACATGTGCAGCAATAATGCACGTTGTACAGTCCACGGGCGTAGTATCGTGCAAGCCAGATCAACGAGCCGGATCATTGATATACTACCTACCAGAGCAGCCTTCCTCTCGTCGTTATTGTCTTTGATGATGCCACACTGGAAGAAGCATGCAGGGTTTTATTTTTACATTATTTATTTTGAGGTACCCAGATCTCAGCGTAATCCGGGTATGCCCATGTTTGGGGATTTGAAATGAAAGCAATCGATGCGCCAATCTTACTTCTGATAGAGGCTGCGAGTCCAACAAATGGCTGGCATTGAAAGCATGTTGTGTTGCTTTGTGCCGGAGCAGCGACCAGAGTATTGGCTTTTTGATACCCTCTCGAGATACTCCCAATGTGACTGCGGGTTGCTGCAGCATCAAATAGATATCGCTGGGAGCTTTCCATCTGATCCAGGCTTGCTGGCTGGGTTTGATATCTTGGTCCAACTTCTTACTACGTCCGAAGAATGATACTCGGGACACGGTCAGGGACACGCTCTAGGAAGCCGTATCCCGTCCTTTTGTTTTCTCTCTGTCGCGAGGTCAGTCTGGTGCTGCATTCGTACTGGCGTCATTTAACCCTGCTTAAGGCCAGTCGGTGGTCCTAAATGTCGGCCGGGTACCGTCTTGTCAGAGGAAGGACAGGCAAGTTGGCCAACCCAGAATAAACCTTTAGCCTTTGTTTCCTTCAAGAAGCAGTTGAAGTTTGTGGGTTGCGCACCAGTTGTCTGCGGTCCGAACCAATTTGACGACCGTCGCACTTGACCCTTTGGTGTAGTCGTACTTTTGTGTTGTTGAGTGTGTTAATGATGCGGAGGATGCCCTCTGAAAAGGATTCGGGTGGTAGTCATGCTGGCAGCGATTGATAACGGGATGGACGCATTTGCGTCGTGTTTGTGCCGTATAGCAGCCAAGTCGGCCATTAAGGCATACCAGACTGCTGAGACCAGCACCACAGATGTACCTCCAACATAACGATCTGTTCCCAATGTTTTCCTCTGTCACAACGAATTTTCTGTCATGGTCCTATTGTTTTCATCTCAGCCCTCGACTCCAGTCTTCCGGGCAAAGACATCCCGAGCCATCAAGGTGTTCAACACGGCACAGTTGAACGCTGCCTCGCCCGGCGGCACAACAACAAAGATATAGGTGTTCTCTGTGAACCTGGCCAAAAAGCAGTTGAACCGCTGCGTCTGGACTTTGAACAGCAAAAAGCCCGCACTTGCCGCCGTAGTTCTTGTATTTCTCGCAACCGTATGCTTGTATGTCTTGAAGATATTCGAGATGCGTTCATGCCGATCCGGATGAGGATTGTCCTCGCCATACTCGGTAACGACGTTGGTGACGGTTAGAAAGGTCGAGCGTTCGAAGAGCACTATCTCTTCAGCCGAAAGCTGCTGTGCAAACGCTTGGAGGAACCGCTCGATCACCACCAGGTTGGGGATCATCTTGTGGACGATGCCGGCCCACGCCTTGTACAATGTTTGATCCCAGATACTGCTTGCAAATGTCTCCAGACTTAGCCCCTCGGATCTTGCCGCAATCAGCTTACATCGCTCTTCGTAGATGCGCTCGCGGTGTTCCGTTTGTACCAAATCCATCTTGTGGATCAGACAGAAGACATGCGCGCTAGGACTGTATTCTTTCAAGGCCTTGATCACTTGACTGTATGTTTCCAGGTCCTGGTCGACCGACCGCGACTCGATATCGAACACATAGATGAGCACTTCGGCATCGGAAAAGACGTTTTCGCGCTGCGCATTGAGGTAGGAGTCCATGAAAGCATCCTGTCTACAAGCGACACCCACAAGAGGGTAGTTAGCATAATTGCATACACATGAACGCTTTGAAAGAGCATTGTGAGAGCAGTCCCCCGAGGTATTGCTTACCCTCCACAGTCCCAAAGGTTCAGCGTCAGGTTGCCCATGAACTTAGCATGGCTGTGTTCCACATCGATGGTGGCTCCCAATCGTCGAACGTCCTTGGCCACATAGTTACTGAAGATGATGGACCGCATCGACGACTTGCCCGAACCACTTTTGCCCATGAGGAGCACCTTCTTCTTACGCTTTCGTGTATCCATCTTCACTGCAAGCCTGTGCAGGCCGCGCTCTGTTATGTGTTGTCTTCACTGGCTACTGCACGCGGAGATAGTGGTGGGTGTTGAGGGGGGACGGCGAAGGTGGAAATGGCTGCCGAGGAGTATTGAGGCCTCAAAGCGCAGTTCTTCAAGCTACCAGTGACGACACCAATCACCTACTAGTAGGTAAACGTCTGTGAAGCGACGTGAAGTACAGTGTACAATATAAGCACTGTCAAGACATACCATCACATGTGCAAGACAACAGATACGAGATACCCCATAGATTCGTCCTAAGTGAGATACGGTACCGTTGAGTAGTAATGATGACAAAATACGGGTCTCGGTGCGTCTCCTCAACGCAACTTGGACGAGGCTGCAATCTAAGGGGCCTGATTGGGCGAGAAGAGAACCTGGGAATTATGTATCATTCATGCATACGACAGCAACTGAGCTTGTGGGGGCTGTCTCCGGTATTCGCAAACACCCCATGACATACTCGCCAGAGGCCGAAGATCCTCAAGCCCGTCGTAGATCTTAATAAGACAAGCACATGTGCCTGCTGGTGGCATATCAAAGGTTCAATTCTGCCGAAACTGCGGCGTTCTTTCGTCAAATGCGTAGCTTCGTAAGCGCTGTTCTGCTCCCATCCTGTTGTGGCCTGAGAGCCATGCCTGGGCCGGATCCATCTATCGCGCAGCCCTGTGGCAGCTCAAAAGACTGTCCCGTCCGAGATGATGCCAATAGGTGGCCCTCCGGTAATCGGCCGTGACATTTGTGCAATCTCACGTCCACCCTGGCCGAGAAGATTAGTCGAGATCCTAAAATCGTTTCAGAGCTTCTCACCTTCCAAGTGCCGGCTTCCAACATCTGGGCAAGAGTCAACTGCTGTGCACCCTGGAGTCCAAGACCTTTGTTCACGGCGGCAAGAAGCTCGTCCAAGAACCCAACCGTAACGGCGCGCCACTCGACGATAACATCATCGCCTGCTTCAAATGTGGGGACTACTTCGACGGCGTTACCATCGCCAACCATCTTGTGATAATTCTTCAAGCCTTGCTGTCGATCCTCTTCCTTCAGAGTCAGTAAACCAGTGTCGACCAACAGACCTCCATTGCGGTATTCAGGTAGGCCAGTCATCAATTCAGCCCCAGCAAAGTGTACGTTGAGCAATTTGGTCATCGGGACCATGAGGGAATAACACAGCCATTGCGTCAACTTGTGGAAAGGCACAATGTTCTCCCAAGGCTGGGCTGGAGGAGACTTGGGCATAGCTTGACACGGCCAGGCGTCTCCCAGTGGTACACCTTGAATGCTGGTTCGGGTGGCAGGCCAGATACTCGAGAGTCCGTCCATAAGTACACTCCAGAGAGTTGGCAATAAAATAACCGGAACGGAGGCGGCTTGGGTTGTGGGATGTGATATCAAGTAGTCTAGGACTATTTAGCTTTGTGAAAGAAGGGGAAGAAGCACACTTACCGATCATGTTGCCAGGCCTGCCATCGACCCCGAATATTTCGGCGTTCTTGAGCGCAGAGCCAAGTCTTATAAGCAGTCCAGCTCTACCCTCAAGCCCAGACATCGGATTGGCATCGGAAACTTGCAGCCCTCTTGCCAGCGTCTCTACCGTCACCTTACTCAGACCCGTAGCGTCCACTTGATGAGGTTGGGACGGATCGCTGCTGAAAGCGCCGGCTTTGAACATCTCCAGACTTGCCACGGCCAAACCTTCGCTTCGGGAATAGGTCTTGCCGGATTCTTTGGATTTGTAGGACCACTTGGTGCCAGCTCCGGCATCCAACAGGACAGAGACAAGAAACAAGTCGATCAGGCGCCGCGTTCTCTCTTGGTTATCGACAGAAGTCGGCCATGACTGAAGAAGCTGGGTCACTCTTGGTCTTCCGCCTACCTCAAAGTGTTGCCAACGACCATGAGGTGGGATGGAGGCATAGTCGCCGCCAAAGTCTCGCTGAGCATGATTAGTGGCTGCACGCGAGTACATCAGGGGCGGGCTTGCACAAGCTCACCTTGATAATAGCCATAACATAGTCGGCGGTGTCCTTGAACTTGGACAAGTCCACATCGAAATGATTCAGAGAATTCGATTTAGCCTCCTCCAAAACTAACCTCGTCCTCTCCCGGACGGCGTGAATGCTTCGCAGGTAGGCTGCTGGTTTGACAAGCGGGTCAGGAGGATCAGGAATGGCAATGTCAGGCAGGCAATTGGCCATGTTTGGAGAGAAGGACTTTCCGCTGACGAGCTTTGGCGACTTGTGCGAGTAATTGGAAAGGAACTCGACCGTGGCGGCAGGGCTCAACAGTGCCAGGTCGGGCTTCGATTCATCTGGCGAAGAGCGCGGTTCCTTTCTCTTGAAAATGCCCATCATGGCGGAGAAGGCCTACCGACCTATCAGTTGCTCTCGCGGCTTTTACCCGAGGGCAGTGCGTTGCAGGGAGCCGATAGGCGGACCGCGGCGTGGCATGCAAGGGGTAATCTAACTGGAGGCTAGGTCGGAGGTGTCACACTGCCTGCCATTTGTCGTTCTCGATGGGATCTGAGCTCGAGTCAGTGGGCGATGCAGTCGGCTTGTGAATATCTATGCCGTACTACTGTACAGAATAGACCGAGAGGATCTTGTCGTACAGCAGCAGGGATGATTGCTCCAGCACGAGCTGACCGGGTCAAGGGCCGAGAGTAGTACGCGAAGTTCTGCCAGGAGTCAAGTTGAGGTTGCTGAAGAAGACCGAAAAGTGCGAGAAAGTCAAAAAGCGAGTAATATGAGCAGCCTGTGGCGGTCGAGTGAAGTGAGACGCATTTGAGATTGCCGCAGGAGGCAGCTCGGCGGGCGTAAGAGTCGGAAGAGTTCGCCAATGCCTCAGGCGCCTGCGTTTTTCTCTATCGATTTACAGATTCATTGCAACCTCAGTCCTGCAGTGACTGGCAGTGTCCAAGCCTCGCCTACTTATCCGATCGACTGCTTCCATATTGCATATGCATCGCTCAGGGGGAATCAGCCGCTTAGACTGCCCAGGACATAAGACGCACCCCGTATATGCTTAAAGTGGGTTTGACCACAGCAGAGAAGCTTTCAAAACCGAGCCATGGAGACGGTACTGAAGTTCCAGGCTCGGGCCCTACGCCTAACAGCCTAACTAGCCCCGGGTCCTCTTACCAGACCGTGGATCGTATAGGCTAGGGACGCTTAGGAAGGCATTGTTAGGGGTTATCCGTCGTCTCTTATGGAGCCTAAAGCCCTAAGTACAACTCTGGCGTGTGCCTGGGACCGCATGGTGATTGCGCAAAGCTCGAGTCTGGATACGGGCTGCTCCGCTATGCTGCTTAGGATATTCACGAGTACCTAAATTCAGGCTGGGGCTAAGGATCCTAAGGACTCTTCCCAAGGCTTCCCACCCGGAGTGACCCATGATCTACCCCTGATCTGCCCCTGGCAGATGCCCGCTCTCCACCCACCTTCAACTTGAACTTAACTGACAGCCGCGGCACGATGCTCAGCCTGCACTCTTTCCCCCTCAAGCAATAACCAAACGTCATATTCACCATCTACTACTCCTATAACTGCAAGGAAATGCAGGCTTCAGCTGTCCTTCCTGGGGGCGGTGCTTTCGGTGTAGATGCGATGCTGCGACGCCATATCTAATAGCCTGAATTTTGCGGCCTCCTCGTTGCGTGCCATTCCGGAAGCTGATCCAACCCCCTTACGCGCAATGCGTCCGACCATATTCAGACGTTTGACCTTCGAGAGGGAAAAGTAAGAAATAAACCGAGGGCTGTTTCGTCAACAAAGGGCTGTTCTTCCAGACAATTCCTAATGGCCGGGTCACCTGGACTGTCAGGCCGCAATGCTCGCTTGAAGGACAAATAAGCTGCAGCATTGACTGTCAATCAAGCGTCGGGTTGGGAAGGCTAAGGTACTCCTGATGGGAGTGAACCATTCTATACAACATCCCTTCTTCGGACCCAAAAATCTGGCACGGCCGTAAGGGCCTGTCTGAGGCAGAAAAATCGATGCTACCTGATGCTCGTGTGTCGAGCTGGCGTCTCGTCAGCAGGTCTTGTCCAGCCCCTGGATACCTAATTCAAGATTGGGTCGTGTGAGAAACTGCGTGTCAATCGTGACCTCCGAGGTCAATCAGAATCCCAAACGTCAGGAGTTCCCGGTTGACCGGCCTTTAGGAGCTCCAGGATGCCAACAATGAAAGCAGAAAACACAGGCCCGGACCATCGACAGAATGAGGCAAGCCTCAGCGAAGCACCCAGAAGTCCTAAAGCCCAACGACAGCAACAACCTATTTTCCTTAACGGTGAGTGCGAGCTTGGTCATTGTCTGAACCCAGGCTTTGACCGCCGGACCAGGGGAGGAGGACGGTCTGTGCCGTAAGACCGCTCGTACGGAAACTGAATTAGATGCTATGCTCGAGCATGAACAGTAACCTGCGGACGCCAAATGGGCTCTGTTGTACCTAACCGAGGCGTGTGCCTCTCATGCTCCTGCCGATGAATTGTTCCCGGCTCTCATCGCCGGTAATAACAGGACTCCAGGGAATTCGCCGGATCATCGGCAAGAATCGAGTTCTTACGGACTCTTGTTGCTCCTCTAGCCTGAGTGTCGGATCGCAGTCCGCAGGAGGGTGGCATTGCTGGCACGGAGCAGGTGCCAATGATTTCTGACATTCTCGCACTGAAAGTGGTCGATAGTATGCAAGAGTTAGAAGAGGCTTGCCTGCGCTTATGTGTCCTTATCAGAACTTGCTTTAGTACTTAAAAGGGGTCTGTAGATTCAAGTTTAGCAGGCAAGGCTGGCTTGAAATGCATTAGCACTCGAATGTTAACGCCGGAGTTAAGCTGCTCGAACAGAGGCATGAGAGCTCACATATCGACCGTTTTTTGCCCCCTCAAGAGAGATGCACCTCCTTTTATTTCACGTGCATGTGGAACAAGGCTGCTAATGCTTGAAGAAGCAATCAGTTATTGTTCGACACTGCAGTGATTGCACTGGGGCAGGTATAGCATGCCTCGTGCGCTGTAAACACAGGCCACGTACAGTAGGATTCATCACTCAGGCTGTACTCCCACTGGCCAGGGGAGTTGGGCGCAAGTCACTCCATGCACCGACGTCAAACAATCATCATTTCTTCCGCCAACCATTTATTGCACCCTGGATTTCTTGCATAGGCGGACGGCGTTTTGTTATGATCCAACTCACGAAAAGCAGTCACTCCTTTTACATCTGATATCGCTGCCGTTTCCGTCATGGATGAACTAGCGGGGTTGAACTGGTCTTCAACCCCGGGCAATGCACAGAAACCCGCGACTTCGAACTATTCAGCGTTTTCTACTTTAAAACCCACCCCTCCAGCCTCCGGACGTGCCTCGCCGCTGAATCAGTCCTCTTCCAAACCCGGGTCGAAATCCGCGACTCCTTCAAACGACAGTTTCGCGAATTTGGTATCATTTGGAGGGAACTCGAACAAGAACCTCTCTCTGTTAGAGCAACAGAGGAGGTTGACGGAGGCGAAGTTACAGGAACAGCAGGCTAAGACACAGACGATAAAGGACCAGTTTGCTGGGGGTGATGATCAATTCTGGAACAATTTGGGTAGCGGCAGGGGCACGCCCGTAGCGGATGCTGCTCAGAATGCACGAGATTCTAGAAGTAACGGCGTGAATGATAGTGAAGACGATGATATCTTTGCAGCGTTCAACCAGCCTCCTACAGCCCCCGCGGGCTCAGCGAGGCCTTCAGGACAGGCAGAAACTTTGGAAGAAGATGACGACCCATTTGGCCTTTCGAGTTCTGCTCCCCGGAGGGGTGAGACAGTGGCCACCACAACCACGGTTGACAACGACGACGACGTGCTTGGGCTGTTAGGACAGCCGGCACCTGCCAGACCGAAGGAGGACTCCGCCGTGCCCAGTGCCGGAACAACCGCAGGAGAAGTCCATCCACAAGATAAAGCGTTAGCGGAGCTTGTTGACATGGGGTTCCCCCCAGACAAGGCTCGAGCTGCTCTTGAACAAACAGGATCTGGTACCGATGTCCAGGCTGCCGTGGGATACCTCTTGAACCATGCACACTCAGAGGCTCGGCAGAAATCACGAAATAGGGGTGCGGTTCAGTCAGGGGCAGACTCAGATGGCTACCGCCGGGATGATGGTCCGGGACCACAATCATCCATACGGCCAGATCAGCCTCATCAGCCTCCCAGCGGCCGGCATGATTTATCTCGCGGCCCAGAAAAGGACTTCGAGCAGATGGCTGCTGACTTTGGAACCAACTTCCTCAAAACAGCTGGTGCATTCTGGAAACAAAGCACAAAGAAAATGCAACAGGTTGTGCAAGAGCTGAATGCTGACGTTGATTCAAATGGTCAACCCCGTTGGATGAGAGAAGCCGAGCGTCCAGCCGAGCGTGCTCTTCGACCTTCGCAAAGAGGAGATGAACCAGCCGCCGGTCGGCAACGTCGGCCTCCGAACGAGGCTCAAATCCCGGCCAGTGTTACGGACGAAGCATTGATGCTCGAGTCCAGCCGGCCAACTCCTCCACCGCGTCCAACAGCAGCATCACAACCACAACGGCGGGTAAATTCTCCTGTTAATATGTCCCGTGGCCACTCTCCCAGCATAAATCCGGCTCCACGGGAGCCGCCCGTCAAGAAACAGCCTGCCTTTATGCGGCAACAGGACCAAGCTCCGGCAGCGGCAAGCTCAAGGTCCTCTTTGAGCAGGATGGCGGCAGAAGAACAGGCTGCGCAGGCCTATGTCAGCTCCGCCCGACGACGGAAGCCTCCTCTAGAGCCTCAAGTGCCTGTTACATCTTCCGAAGCAGATCTTCTCAACGGTTCAACTACTGCAAACCCCGACAGGCAGAGACAGCAGGCAGCCGCTTCAAGTAACGTCCACGCACGTCCTCACCCACAGCCTGCGAGAGGCGTAGAGACAACAGTGCGTCCGCCACCTCCACCCCGGAAGATTCCCCCAGTGTCCGAGCTCAGTCTAAAGGCCTCACATTCCCACCGTGTAAAAGGCAACGAGCATTTCAAACGCGGCGACTACTCATCCGCACATCAATCCTACGCGACATCTATATCCCACCTCCCGGACACGCATCCACTTGTCATTGTTCTCCTGACCAACCGTGCCCTGACGGCCCTTAGAATTGGAGAGCCAAAGGCAGCCATTGAAAACGCTGACAGGGCGATTGCCGTTATCGGGCCTTCGAAAGGCGAGTCAGAAATGATCGACTTTGGCACCGGCGACTCTCCCAAACCAATGCGGGAATACTACGGCAAAGCCCTCATGCGCAAAGCCGAAGCGCTCGAGCAGATGGAGAAGTGGGCTGAGGCGGCGGTTGTATGGCGCGAGGCTGTCGAAGGAGGCCACGGTGGAGCTACCAGCATCCAAGGCCGCATTCGCGCCGAAAAGGCCGCAAATCCAGAGGCAGCCGCAGCAGCAGCCTCAAAAGCGAAACCAGTCAGATCTGCGGTGGAAGCTGGCACAGCTACGAATGCCAGGAAACCCGCCCAAACAACAGGCCGCAGAGGCCCAGTGCCAATAACGACCGCGACCACTACGACGCCAGCAGCAGCCGTTGCACGACTTCGCGCCGCCAACATTGCCGCCGAGAAGGCGGATGACGAGAAATTCCGCCTCGCTGAGCTCGTGGACGCCCGTGTGCAGGCCTGGAAGGGCGGCAAAGCCGACAACTTGCGCGCCCTGCTGGGCAGCCTCGAAAACGTGTTATGGGAGGGTTCGGGCTGGAAGAAGATCAGCATGGCCGACCTTGTCCTCCCGGCAAAAGTCAAGGTGCAATACATGAAGGGCATCGCCAAGGTCCATCCTGACAAGGTACGTTAAATCATTCCCCGGTCTATTCTATTTTTCTTCTCTACATCGAGTGCTTTACTGATCCCTATGGTTCAATCAGATTCCGATCGATGCAACAACCGAGCAGCGAATGATTGCCGGAGCAGTCTTCAGCACGTTAAACGAGGCGTGGGATAAGTTCAAGGCGGAGAATGGGCTTTAGTAGTCGTGCTCCAGACCAGATCCTAGAATGGAGTCATACTGCTTTCGTTCGTAGCTGTGACGCTCGCACCCTCCGTATGCTCAGAATATGAAATAGCAGCGGCACACGGGTCCATCGATTGTCGAGCTCAATGTGGATTTCCCGCTTCCCAATGCCAGACTGCCGCCGCCGGCCGCTCGTAGCAGTATTTGCCGGTCTAGGAATAAGGTTGCCAATGTTAATCTATATCCATAACGGCCTGCAAATGCTGCTGGTGCTGACTGTGGTATGTGGCAATTAACATGGCCCATGTATGCACACTGGTCGCGACAGCCTTCTTTGAACACCGCCAGTATATTCTGCTAGACACCCGCGGGTATTCAACGACGAGTGTCGCCCATTGTGCATGCAGAACCACTGTCGCCCATTGAGACAAAACAAATGTTAGATGCTCGGCGTCTGGAACACTTCGGTTCCGAATAATGACTTCCTCGGAAAGACCAATGTTGCCAACTCTGATATACAAATTCGAGGTGTTTTCGTACAATCGGGTTCTTATCGCTTGGCTGCACCCATTTTCGCACCTTTATTGGACTTTTTGCCCTTGGATTTTCTGGTCGCTCTGGCTGCTTTGGCTTCCAGACCCATCTTTACCCTGGCGGCACGTCTCCTCCAGGCCAACCAACGGTCTCGTCGATCATAGGGCCGCACTTTCACACCTTTTCTCTCGGCAGCCCGGCCAATCGATACGTTTGCTTCACGGTATGTCCCATCCCGCATGATGGTTGGGGGAGGAGGCGCAGGCGCAGCTCCCGTCTTGAATGAGACGAAGCTGTTGGAGCTGAGGTGCGATTCGAGGAAATCTTTGCCCGATGGTGTCTCCTTGATCGGTGTGGCATACATGCCTAGACGTCTCCGGGATGGTGCATTCGGCGGCGTTGGGAGCTGTGAGCCTGGGCCTTCTTTGGCCAATGCCACTCCGATATATCGTCGCTTAGGATGTTTCAAAGGATCACGGTAATACCGAACGTAGCCATGTTCTGTCGCGTAGATGGTATGGTCCTTGCCGATGCCGACATTCTCGCCGGGATGCCATTTCGTGCCTAATCAAGTCCGCCACGAGTCAGTTATGCCAAACGACACAGCCCGTCAAGATCCCCCGTACCTCTTTGCTTGAAAATAATGTTTCCCGGTACTACATATTCCGAGTTGGTCTTCTTAGCGCCTAACCGTCGACCAGCCGAGTCGGTAGGGCCGTTGGCACGACCCTGAGCTGCGTGGGAAGCATATCGGATAAAGGTGGTGGAAGATGGCGGGTGAGGGTGCGCATGCTTCGGGCAAAGAGTCAGCGAGTGTAGCAGCGAAGTCAACGATGCGTCCAAAGGCGCAAGCGGCCTATGCAACCTTGGCTGCAGCATGTTGGCTATGGCGATTGAATGCTGACTGGATTACAGCTGGGAGGACGTGGTCAATTGACAATTCAAGGTGTCTGCGGTGCCCGTGTCGAAGTTCGACACAAATCCAAACGCCGCTAACCGCTTTAGGCCACCAGTACTTCATCCCTGCCGAGAACTTGACGGCAAGAGACAGAAAACACTTTGGCTCGAACTCGTCTGGAACTCGCTCACCGCTCTACGTTCTCTTTGCTTCACCATTGTCCAAGCGCCTGTAAATCTACGATGCATTTGATACCGAGCCTCATTCTCCTTTTCGTGGGCCTAGCCACTGCCCAGTTCCAGTTCTTCGAGCAATTCTTCCAGGGAGGCCAGCAAGGTCAGCAGGCTTCTCAAGACAAGCAGAATGTCCCCAGCGATTCCAGCTGGTATCGCCAGAATTGGGAAGGAGGTATGTTTGAGAAACTTTGTTCTCCCGATCCCAACCCTTGAGCCGCTGAAGCGTCACCAGCGGAGAGCTGCTCAAGCTGTCGTCGATAATCTTGCTCTCCCGAATTGGTTCGGGAATCCCGAATCAGTTCGGGAGGAAGGAGGGATCTCGTTGGAAAATGCTGACGTCGATGCAGCGACATGCTCGAACTATCTTTGTCCCGATACTCTGGCTTGCGTTCATTTTCCACATCATTGCCCTTGCCCTCATCCAGACGTGGAGGACAAGGTTGAGCTAGGTGAAGGTATTGCTGTCTGCGCCAGCAAGGGCGGCTACAAAGTCGGCGAGACAATCCGTAAAATCGAATTGGCGAGAAAAGCGCTCATCTAACGGCCACGTTGAGTTTGGCCCACGAGGACTCGGGGAAAGACGATCCCGGTCGGAGTTCAGTTTCCAATCATTGTGTCTACATATCTGTTTTGGTGATCAACCATGTGGGAGCAGCTGGCTCCTCTATCACAGACAGTCGAGCGTATTCGGCTCTAGTTCGCCGAAGACAGCAGTGCAGAAACAAAGCTGGCATGCTGACTCACAACACAAACGGGGCCGGTTTTATCTCGGATTGCCCTTTGTGATATGAATGGTATCACTTTTGAACCACCCGCCGGCAGAGACTTGTTTTTTTGGTGCCGCCCGGATGAATGGAATCCAGGTCAAGGGGTTGCGTCTTGCTCATGTTGGCTAAGGACATGTGACGTGCCGAAACTCTATTCAATCCCTGAGCCAACAATCTGTATGGACGGAAAGCGCGAGCAACTCTGCGATCGAGGACTGGCGATGCCAGGGGCCCCTGCGGTGTTTCTTGAGATAAACGGCGCCCACCAACATGGCAACACGGAGCGCGCTCCTCTCAGTCTTCCAGAGCAGTCTTGAACAGCATCTCCGCCGAGTAGAGTTTCGTGCCAATGTCTCTGGTCATACTATAATCCCTGTGTCGGATACCCTTCCGGAGCAGGTAGATCTTGGAGGTGCGCAGAAGGAACTTAAACCACTCTCTGGCGACCTCGCGATCAAATCAAAGCATTCGGCCGCGGCTTACCTAGCTGCTAGTACGGGGAGTTCGGCAAGCCGTTCAATGGTTCAATGCCCTACGGTGACACGGTTCAAGTTGTGGGTACTGGCAAGCGAGGCTGGTTGCACCCGTGGCACCCTTCATCCAATTCAAGATCAACGAAGCAGGATCGACTCCGGGACTCCGTCTCTTGCACTCGCGACTTCCGGAACTATCATCAAGTTGATGTTTTGCGCTCCCTTGAAGTGATGGCAGGGCTGAAGGGTGGCATAAGCACCCACTGAATGCTCACAGTAAAGATCGCCAGGTCGAACTTGCATCTAGGCCCCATCTAGGCCCCATCTACGACAGGGTTCTGGGTCAACCAATCGTCTTCTAGCGAGTTGCCCGATGTACCGTCTGAGATTGTCTGCTAATGCGTCGCTGACACATTTATCCGGTTCTAACCAAGGTCTTTTCGGCACCCAGGCCCTCGTGTCGGGAATAATCACACAGAAGTGCAGTATCTGACCAAACCCGGGACGGACGAGTTCGAAAATTAAGTGGGAATTCAACTTCGATGCTTTGTTTCATGAGCGCCAAAACCGTTTCCTTACAACAGATGGCAGTCTGTATCGCAGAGAGCTACCCGATGGGATTGAATGACAGAGCAGTCTAGTCTTTTGCAACCCATCCACAAGCGGCCAGGTGCCATGTCCTAGGGCACTCAGCCTTGAATAGCACCACCGAGCCCCGCGCGGGACTAGGCTTGATGAGTGTTGAGCAGCAGCATGTCAACTGTCGCTACAACTACTACATGGATAACTCAACGGTTTGCGTCAGCGGCCGTCGATTAACATTGGAACAACCGCCACGGGAATGCCGCGTTCTCTGAGGATGCCTCATAGCGCACTGCGTCTTTGGTCAGATCCTTGTTGCAGGAGGACCTTGCAGCCGCCCCCCGGTCCCTGCACCTCAGAAGTTCAGCCTTAAAACCTCGTCAAGCTCGACGACGCTATGTGAATGCGTTGTTTGAATTGTTGATTTGCTGGTCGGTATCCTTCGGAGCGAATCTGTGTGGTCATGCGTGGGGCATCATAGTTGAGATCATATCAGTACGCTTGAAGTCGTCGATGAAGAAATAGCACTATAAGCAGTCCGGCCCAGTCGTCGCTTCAGATGTGGACTTTCAGTCCACAGTGATCTTGGTCTCTTCCTCAACTGTTCAACTCACCACAGCGCGATGCAAGAAGAATATGACAGCCAGGCTGGGTCACCAGGCCTCACAAAGAGGAGGCGCTACTCACGGGTGAGTAGGGCCTGCAATGAATGTCGCTTTCGAAAGATTCGGTGCAATGGGCGCCAGCCATGCGATCCTTGTCGAGACTTCGACCGTCGTGAGTAAAAGCCACGCGTGGACTCATCACTCTGGCGCGGTTGACTTACACTCGTCTAGACTGCACGTACACGTCCACAAGAGGCCAGCGGATGGCTGGCGCCCCACGAACCAAGATATTAGAGGATCGATTGCGTCGGGCTCGCGCGCTCTTAAGTAAAATCCAGTCTCAAAACCCATCCGCCAGCCTCCAGGCGGAGGTAAACAGCATTTTTGATTCGCCACCTGGTTCCCCTTCGTCATCACCAGATTCTCCGGGTCGAACGGATGATAGCTCAGGGGACCGTTTCGAGAACATGCTTGACGGCAAAGCCCGTTTGACGTCTACCAAAAACTCCACCGAGTACTATGGTGGTGGATCTGGCTTCGCTTTTCTTCACCAGACTCAACAGCTCTTCAACCAGGATTCGCCAGGGACTGAAGGGCCGTCCAACCGTCATGTGGATGTCGACGCCATGTCAAGACTCTTCGATTCACCCTTGCCAGACAAGCAGGCATTGGCTATTGATGTGCCTTTTGCAAAGCTGTTGCCGTCTAGGCAGACTGCGATGCGGCTGCTTCATGTCGTTTTCGGACAGACCTACCAATTACTCCAGTTCCTGCATGAGCCGAGCTTCAAGAAGCAGGTGGACCGCATCTATGACCTGGATCCGATGGACTTTGAAGACACTGACCACGACTTCCTGCCTCTTTTCTATATGGTGACGGCGCTTGGGTATTTGTTTCACCAGGAGATGCATCACAAATATGGTTGCAATGGGACTCTAAATCAGGCGTAAGTGAGCCCCCGGCTGATCCTTCCTTCCGTCAGTCGGCCACTGATATGCCCAGAATGCGACATGTTATCGCTGCCCGTCGTATGGTCAATCTCGACCGCTGCCGGGACCTCCTCACGTTGCAGACCCTGCTGTGTTTTGTTCTGTTCCTCATGTCAACGGCACGTTTAGCTAGCGCTCACACGTTCATAGGCCTGGCAGTGGCCGCCGCCATGAGGATGGGTCTTCATTCCCGAGCTTCCTGTGAGGGACTATGTGAATCGGAGCAGGACATTCGGCGACGAATTTTCTGGACGATTGTCAAGCTCGATATTTACAGTGGAACCGTCCTGGGGCTTCCTGGCATGATCAATCTTGATTATGTGGATCAGCTAAAACCCAGTGGTCTTGTCCGCGACTACGAAAATGAGGACAAAGGAGGGTTTGCCTCCGTCACGAAGAGAAGGATGTTTGCGGCGTCCGCTCAGTATCTTGACGTTCTCTTGATCACCAGCAAGGTAGTCCAGAAGTTGTATCCGAAGACCGACGAAGAGGCGCACCGAGTCAATGGAACAAGTAAGATGTACGTCAGCAACGCCACTGTATCAGAGATTGAGGAGGACTTCAAGACATGGCGGAAAGGGCTGTCCAATGCTCTGGGATCATCAGACCAAAACAGTTCGCTGAGCAGGTAACGGGCCACACCTTGCATCTTGGGGGTTCCTGCTAACGGCGCCTAGCATCGTATACGAGCTGGAAATGGTCCATAATTTTGGCCACATCATTCTTTACCGGCCTTTTTTGCATTACCTGGCGCGCACAAAGAGCGAGAATCCTCCAGAGCTTCGGTTGCTACGTTGTGCTACGGCATGCATCAAAATCTCTCGATTCACCATTTCACGGTCGCAAGACATGCTCAAGCAGGGCTTTCTCGCAGCGGCTGCGTGGCAATCCGTCTACACGGTGTTCTTGTCGCTTGTCACACTAATATTCTTCCTAGCAACGCAGCACGGGAACAAGGAATATGCGGCTATCCTCAGAGACACGGAATGTGGGGTTCAGATACTCGCAAGCACATCCTGTCTCGACATTGGTTCAAGAAGGTGTCTGGATGTATTGAAGGTGAGTTGATCACGATGATTCTCCCGCGTGTCGGCTGATTCTGATGGGTAGGTTCTTACCCGACGACTGGCGCCCATGGTTGACCTGGACATCGACAAAATTGCACGAGAAGTGAAGCCATTGTGCAGAAGCCTCCAATCCACTCCCGCTGGGGATCGCGGCCGAGGGTGGTCACCTTTAGATACAGATATGGAAGGTGCCGTTTTCAAACTTGCACAGCCGCCCGCCCGAACAGCGGCTGAGGCGAGCTCTCCCGCAGAGCCGAGCCAGCAGCAAGATTTCGTTCAGCGACCTCAGTCCACACCGCAACAAGTCCCAGCAATGAATGTGCATCCCACGCCCATGAACATGTATCCTCCGGCCATGTCGTTCCCATACCCGGCCGCACCAATGCCAATGATGGGACAAGGTCAATCAATGAATGCGCTGAGCACGAGTCAAAGTCAAAGCCACGGTTTCGCAATGTTCGACGTCGAGCCCACCCCAGGTCTTGAAGGACCGGCGCCATTTGGACAGTCAGATATGGAGGTGCCATATACCGGTGAATTTGCTTGGCCGTTCGAAATGACTGGCGGGGCCGCAGGAAACAACAAAAACACCAACGCCAGGCGAGGATCACAGCCGCAGCTTGGAACGCACCCTCTGACGCAACAGGACATTGCAGCATTCATGCGGATCAACCCTGGAGACGAGCCGTTCCTCTAAGATCTCCGAGGATATGGAGAATTTGTAAAGACTATGGTGGAAGTGGGAGCCAAATCCATTCCCTCAGGCGGCCACATCCCATCAATCAACAGGCGTTGAGTTATCTGGAGGAGGTGTATCTTGTCTCCTGGTTTACGCTATGGGGTAGAAGCTTGGGGGGGCTTTACGAAAACATGTATAAAAATTGCTGATGTCTATTTGGTGCATCATTTCGCAGGCTGATGGCCGTTTGGCAGTAGGCGGGAAGGGACTATCTTTTTGGTCCGGGAAAAAGCATTGTAGCGGTGGTTCTCCGGCTCTGGCAGGGGGATTTTGGTTTTCTTGTGCTTTCGGTATACTGGGATGGTTGGGGCAGAGATGGGTGATATTACATTTCATTGGGCAAACCAGCATCCTTCCTTCAGAGGTATGATCGTCCACATGCGTATTGACCAGACAATTGTATATGGTTTTGTGTTTCTGCTCTCAGCCATCCGAGATACAGGGTGGACGGAAATGGTTTGCGAAGACTGGGACCGTTGGACGGCAGCCCGTATTTCGCACAATAGCATCCTTATTTCGCACAAAAACTAAACTACTTTTGGCAATACCAAGAGCACTTCTACTATAAGGTTTATAACACCCAGAGATTACAGCTAGGTACGCGCTAAATTACTATATACCTACAATACTTTACAGCACCCCCTATTACGCCTATAACTGTTCACCTATAACGCCTATAACGCCTATAACTGTACGCCTACAACGCCAACAGTACGCCTACAACGCCAATAACTATACGCCTACAACGCCTATGACTACAAACCTACAACGCCTACAACTGCACACCGACAGCGCCTATAACTATACACCTACACGCCTATAATTGCGCGCCTATAACTACGCACTTCTAGGGGTATATAGTTATAGGTATATAGTTATAAGTGTATAGTTATAGGCGTATAGGTATAGGCGTGCAGGTATAGGTATATAGTTATAGGTGTACAGTAAAGGTGTACAGTTATAGGTACCCTAGGTGTGCAGTTATAGGCGTTATAGGCGTTACAGGCGTAGAGCCGTACCGCAATAGGCGGGTGGGCAATAATATAGGATATATTAACTTTCGCAATATACGGCGCTATAGGCACTAAATGAAAGTGAACTAAAAATCGCTAAAATAGGTTTAGTTTTTATGCGAAATAAGGATGCCATTGTGCGAAATACAGGCTGCCCCGTTGGCCTACAACTAAGGTACCTAATAGGAATAGCTGTACTTCAGTAGTGGCGTGATGCACTGCAGTGGCTTCCACCCCGCACCGCCACGATGACAACCGCCACCTACGGCAGCGATGACGTGAATGTGGCTGGCTCCGGCATTGCACCACGGGAGAACTTGAACTTCAAGTTGAGGACGGCGGCTGGAAAGTGTTTCACGTAGTACCGAGTAATCAACGAGACTTTTCAATCAGAGAACCCACCCTTTCATCCTCCATACCTAATCGCCAATTACCTTATCTACTCTCACTACAACACTGACACTTGGACAATCCAACAAGCCTCCTGCTTATTGCTACAACCAAATCAGAACAACCACGGAAAACAGCCAACAAACAATCATGTCAGACGCCGCTCCAGCTCTCCTCATCATCCTCATCACCATCCTTGGTAAGTCCTTATCTACGTGGCCCTATAGACGAGCAAGCAAGCACCCGTATTTATCTAGGTCGCGCTTCAATCTGAGCTGACTGTGTACCGTTCTAGTCCCGCCCATTGGTGTATATCTCGTTTCCGGCTGCGGCGCCGACCTCCTGATCAACATCTGCCTCACTCTCCTGGGTTACTTTCCCGGACACATTCATGCCTTCTACGTCGAATACGTCTACTTTGACCGTCGCGATCGTGCGAGACATGGCCAGCTCACGGGTCGCCCTGCGCCGGGGGTCTACTCGGACAGAGTGCAGAATGGTGGATTCCAGGCTTATGGGACGATGTAATCGAGCATCCTTCAGGGTTGAATAGCCTCTTGAGATAAAGTGTGATCACGAGGCAAGCCACAATTACCGATGGCTGTGGTGGAAGAAAGACGAAAAGGACAGAAAATGGGCGTCAGCGCACAATTTCAACCGCTGAATGCCATTGAACTGGACTTGGACATTGAATCAGGCCTGGGGATGCCAGATGGTGGCCTGGGCTTGCATGGGCTCCAGTGCACTCATGCTTTTGACTACTGCTGCTCAGGATTGAGACTGAAGCGGCGCCCTTGTACAATTTATTAAGTGCTATCAGGCTATCTTTACGGGTTTCCAGCCTTTAGTAAATCTTATAAGGAAATACTAATCTAAACCGCGAAACATCGGGAAAATTGGGAACATCTTTGTATCTTGAATGGCCAGTATCTGCTGCCAGGTAAAGCATCGTGAGCTTGCAATTCTACCTAGGTAGGTGCAACTCATGCCTACCAGGTATTATTCGGTTTGTATGAAGAGTAGCAATACCGGCAAGACACATCCGCGATCTACTACTATGGACAGCACCGGCACGTCATGCGCATAACTACATCCGGGTCAATGGGAGGCTGTAAGCATACTAGTAAAGCTGCAAGGGGTTTGGTTCTGATCTCAACCACGGAAAAATCAGTCCATCTTACAATCTATACTCGTCCCTACAACTCTTCACACAATCCTCAACCAACTTGAACGGCTTGCGCTCAGCGATATATACAACGTTGTACATTCCATTGTTTGATACGACAAGAACTGCTCGTGCACGTGCCGGCCCTGAACCTGATGATCCTCAGGCTGGGTCTCACCTAAAACCCGCCCCAGCGCCATCGCTAACACGACATCGGCCATGCCCCAATGGGAAGCATTAAGAGCCACTGTTGTGGATCGATTCAGCCTTGAAAACTTAACGTTTCAATATGGATCCCCTTCCGCTCCCTCCTTGGTGTCTCGTGTCTCAAGTCTGATCTTAGCCCTGCCATTGCATCGGGCCAAAGTGAAGTTGTTTTCTTTCCTCGAGTTCCCAATGTTGGGTGCGAACGAGTCGGTTCACGCCCTTCAAATTGTTGCTGCTGCCTCCATGAGATCAAGGGCGGATTCATGATCGATCTTCTCTACAGCCTGACACTGGCCCAATCGATTTTTGGCAATTTGCGAGTTACACTGCCGAGCTGGTTCCTCCATCGATTTGCGCGGGTACCTCCAAGGGAGGCCCGTTGATGTCGGTCGTCTTCCAACTACACCATTCAGTACGCCCATGTCTGGTCCCGACTTCATCGAGCTCTCGAGTCCTTATGGCTCTGGCCCGTTTTCAATTGATAGACCGTTTCACCGTCGGCAGCGGAGCAAATCTATCAGCTCGCCTCGCCGCAAGTCGGCCTCAGTGCACTACAACCCTATCTTGACACCGCGAGACGATGACGGGAATGCTGGATCTGCGTCTCATTCTCCGGTTGACGGGTATCCCAGGACGATCGATCTCGGTTCACGCAGACTTGGCAAATACGGTGTAGAGCTGTGGCTGGAGGTCGTATTATGTGGCTTCGCAGTGTTTGCGGTCGTCCCCTTCATATGGCTGGCCGTTGCAATGGTTAATTTCCACCACAAGGAAGTCACTGAGTCGAGGACAAACTACATCAAACAGTCAACGAGTGCGGTACGTATCCCTGATCTCTGATGACCTTTCAAGTATTGACAGTTCCAGATTTCTACCCTATTCACTATTCTCTTCGCGGCCGTATTTGGCTCCACGCTGAAACGGTTTGCTACTTGGCGCCTGGAACGAGGAATACGCGTGGGTCTACTGGAGCAGATCATGCAGAGCCGAACCGTCTTCGGCGCCGTGACCACCCAATTTTCCCTTCGAACTATCAACCTGGCAACGGTGGTATTGTTGGCCATTTGGACCTTCTCCCCCTTGGGCTCTCAAGCTTCACTCCGCCTCATCTCGACTGGAACGTTGTATACTACGCAATCGAGCCCGGGACACTACGTTGATACCATCTCCAACCAGGTCTTCGTCGGCATCTCCTCAGTGGACTCCCTTTTGACCGCGCTGAAACCAACGTATATCAGTTCACTTTTAGGACCGGAAACCATGAAAAATGGCGCTACGGATTTCTGGGACAATGTCCGGATACCATGGTTGCTGGATGATGCAGAGGAGGATGCTGACGGATGGATACCACTTTCTAATGCCGATTTGAACGAAACCTCGTACTCGTCACTTCTCGGCATCCCAGTCCAGCCTTTAGCCAACCGGAATTCCAGTTTTTCACTTGAAACCACTTACATGAAGTTGGATTGCGACAAGCCCAAAAACGAGCCTTTGGTTGATATCAATTTCAACGTGACATCTGGAAATGGGACTTTTCTTGGACCAAATACCACAGCTCCTGACCACAACTACCTTTATCCTGACTGGCAAGTCGCGATGGACCAGTTTGTGGACAACCAGATATACTACTATGGCTGGCCGGAACTTTTGGTCAATGTTAGTGACAACAACCTACCACAGGCCACATTTCTCTTTCAAACCCGGGGGCCGTGGGTGGCTCGGTGCAAGATCAACCAGATTTATGTCGAGTCCAACGTTAGCTGCGAGTCCACAGACTCTTCGGTCCCAGCCTGCTCTGTTGTTGCCCAGCGAGAGTCACGCGAGAAGCACGCTCCATCCACTGTCACCACCCTCAGTTTTCCCATGACCTTTTGGCTTGTCAGCCACGAATGGATAATGGCGACAGATCCGATGAGGAGTTCAGGGTTTTCGACTTTGACCGAGTACTATCTACAAAACACTAGCACGGCGTTCATTATAAGCGGCAATGATCGATATTACGCAAATTACACCAATGTCACGGCCGAAGAATTCTCTCATCGACTGGGCCAGCTACTCAATACCTGGGTGCTTGCCAGTCAGGTCTCGGCCGATGCCATGGCTTACGATCTGGTCCATCGCAACATGACGGAGATTTATACCGACAGTCGACCTGTTTACCTGTGCTCTTGGCCCTGGCTGAGCGTATATCTTGCTTCTATTGGTGTGATGTTTGTTGCGGCCCTCTTTAGCATCTGGTGTGAAACCCACACCGCGATTCCTGACGTCCTGAGTTACTGCTCTTCGGTGACACGGCAGTCGAAATTCTTCGACTTTGTGAAAGGCGGCAGTGCTCTTGGTGGAGGGGCCAGAGCTCGAAGGTTGCGGGAATTGGAAGTCAAGATGGGAGAGGTTGTTGAGGAGGATGACGGTACCCAGTTCCGCAACGACTTTGTGAATGAACTGAACCCCAAGGCTGATGAGCGTAGGGGCTATCTTGCGATTGCAACGCCAGAATATCTGCGACCCCCCAAACGTGGGGCGTTCTACTCATGAGCCAGTCAACTTTATAGCGAGACGTTTGAATTTCTAATCTTCCATCTTTGTCCATAATAAGTAGTTCCTGCACCACCATAAGTGAAGATATCAAGGGGGTAGAGCCTTGCAAGCCCTCCTGACAAGCATCGTGATCACGTGAGAGCCCAGTGTGCCAAGGCCGCGCGTGAACGAACTCACGCGTCGCGCGTCATCTAATGGCAGCGCGGACAGTTTCCCTGACCCCTTCCACTGCCAACACTGAAGGGGAACACACAACGCAGAACGCAGAACACTGGACGCACGACGCATCAACAACGCTGTAACGCTGCTCTTCCATGCTGGGTGACGATAAAGCGTCGACAAGATATCTGGCGTTGTGCAGCTGTAAACCCGTTTGTGCCTAGTCACTCTGCTTCTCTTGTCAAGATGGAAGCCGCAGTCCATCCTCCTCTGCAGGTCGTGCCTTCCTTCTCTGCTGATCAACTCAGTCCCACCTCCAAAAAGCGCAACTATAATGGCGATATTGTGAATCATACATCTACCGAAGTCACGGCAACCAAGGAACAACGAAGCAGTCCGAGTCCTGGCCACTCTCGCTCCGGTTCGCCTGCTTGCAGCAGAGCCAGTACACCTTTGACTGAAATCGGTTCTACACCAGCTCACAGTCCGTCGGCCGCGATCGACATGACTTCCGAAAGTAAGAAGCGTAAACTCACCTTTGCTGAGCGCGAAGCGGCCAAGAGGGTCAAGCAACAGGAGAAAGAGGACAAGGAGAGGCAGAAGGCCGAAAAGGAGAAACTCAAGGCGGAAGCCAGAGCCAAAAAGGATGAAGAAAAGAAGAGGAAGGACGAGGAGAAGGAGGCTGCCAGGAAAGCCCGAGAAGAGAAACAGAAGCAAAAGGACGCCCTGAAGCAGGAAAAGGAAGCGGAAAAGGAGCGCAAGATGAAGGAAGCCCAGAAAAAGGAAAAAGTGCGTTGGCCTCTGCATTCTGTATCCATTTCTATGGCTAACTTCCAAACTCAGGCACAATTACGCATAGGTGCATTCTTCGGAAGACCAGCCGCTGCTTCAACACCACCTGCCAGCTCAGACGACGTTTCTGTTACTTCGAGAAGGTCATCAGTCGCATCAATTGATATGGGCCCGTCTTTAGTCGAAGTCAAGTCGGCAAAACCCACGAATCCTGATTTCAGCAACTGGATTTTGCCCTTTTTCGTCAACGAACACATGCAGTTGGCGCCATTCAACCGCTTCCGCTCACACACTACTCCCTTTAGTGAAGATCAACTTCAACTCAACCAGCGCATTATTCCAGAGAAGATCAGCAGTCGATTTCGCAGACGTCGACGGGCCAGACGAGTCAAACCTGTCAAGCAGATTTTGGAGGAACTGAACTCGGCAGAGGACTCGGTCATTGACCTTACTCGCAGAATAGACGCCCTTGCTTCTGTGCCATACAAGTATTTTTTCTTCCAGGAGGATGTGCGCCCACCATATCAAGGCACCTATACCAGAGTTGTTTCACCACGATCAGCACGCAAGATCGCTGTGAACCCGTCCTACCGAGGACTGCCGAACACGGACTATGATTACGATAGCGAGGCTGAGTGGCAGGAGCCCGAGGAGGGAGATGACGACCTTATGGACGAAGACGAGAAGTCAGAAGATGAAGAGGGGGAAGAAGAAATGGATGATTTCCTCGATGACGAAGGCGAAGTGGTCAAACGACAGGTGATTGTCGGTGACATGGAACCCAAATCAAGTGGTCTCTGCTGGGAAGGAGAAGATCACCAACCAGAGAACGGCTTCGACCTGACGCTCTATCGGATGGATGTTTTGCATGATTCGACAACCTTTCCGATTGATCCATACTCCACCACTCATTGGTCAGATATTGGCAAGACAAGTCCAAAGAAGCGCGAGGACAAGTCGCATTCATCCAATCTGAAATCAGTCATGCAACCTCCACGATCTCCTCTGGTGGCGGTGGATGGGAACAACGGAGGCTCAACAACTTTGCTAGGATATGTCTCGGTCCAAGGGCAAACGGAGCCCAAGTCTTCGACTTCAAAAGTGTGCGCAAGCAACACAGCGGGCTCTGGCAAGCCATTGAGAATGATTGCAGAAGATCTTCTTCCAGCCTTCAAGGACGCCGTTTCTGGAAGTACCTTGACCAAAACCGGGCTGATAGAGGTACTGAAGAAGCAGTTTCCCAAGTGTTCCAAGGATGCCATCAAGAACACCCTGGAAACTATCGCGGAGAGGCAGGGGCTGAAGGAAGTCGACAAGAAGTGGGTGTTGACACAGTGAGCAGATGATAGGGACAGAGACGAGTCCGGGCTTAGGGCCGTAAGCCTTCCCGCTGACGTTGGGGTTGATTGCCTTGCTTGACTCGGCCAAGTCCAACAAATATAGCTGATGACTCTTTGCCATAGCATGCCAACATCGGGGTTACTCTCACATCTCGTCCACCGCTTTTCGCGCCATGGGCCACGAGACTGAGTCAATAGATATAGTGCGTGGCGCAAACTTGCAAAAGTTTACGAAAGACCTTTTCTGTTCTAAAGCTATTCTGGCGCCTTGATTGAAGGCGAAAGGACACACTTATATCTATGGAGTTTTCATAACCAAGTTTATATATAAATTGGGCCCCGTCCTAACTAGACCTCTTGGACGAGCCGGAACCAAAAGATTTATTTCCATAGAGAAATATGACGCCCACGGAGAGCGCCCATATCACGTAGACGACGCCACGGGCCGCTTTCATCCTGAGGGCTTGTCGTATCCGTTGCAGCTGGCCGAGCAGTATGGTGGACATACTAGTAGTGATACTAGTAATATAGCGAATGATCAAGTTGCCAGTACCGGTAGTTTTATGATTTCGGCGTGAGGGTTCCGGTCTTGGTGTCCATGGATTTGGACCTGGCTCTTTCGAGTCCGATGAGTCCAATTCAAGTTCAAGACTGCGAGCCATATACCCCGCCACCCGGGCATTGATTCTCTCCCACGTATTGCGACAAGCAAACTCTCTCGCATTCCTGGCCATGGTGGAACGTAACGCCGCGTCACTCGCGAGTTGCATGACGGCATCGACGAATTTGTCTATATTGGCCGGCGGGATCAAGTATCCCGTGTTGCCGTGGTCGACAATGTCGCTGGGTCCGCCTTGGTCACGCGCCACAACGGGCACGCCGCTCGCCATGGCTTCAAGAACCACGAGTCCAAATGTCTCGGTGGTCGAGCAGTGTAGGAAAATGTCGGCGGATGCGTATGCCTGTGCTAGGGGTGGGCCGGTCAAAAAATCGGTGAAGATGATTTGGGAACGGAGGATGGACGAGGATGTGAATTGTAGCCGGATCTGGGTTGTTACGGCGGGGTTGGGGTTGCCTCCTACGATGAGGAGTTTGAAGCGGAGTGGTTGTGGTTTGGACTTCAAGGAGGATTGAGATTGAGTGTTAGTGTTGGTTGTTGTTGTTGTTGTTGTTGTAAGTGAGTTGACGAGTTTGGTCATGGCGTGAGAGAGGAAGTCGAAGCCCTTTTCGGGTGCGAGCCGGCATACTGTGAGTAGAATAATCTCTTTGGAATTTTCATTCTTGTCGTCAGACAGGTTGGCCATAGTAGGGTTGTTGTTGGCTGAGGTAGGATTGCTGTTGTCGTCTCCGGCTTGATCATTCTCAGGTCTGACATCCCCGCCGTCGGCTTCCAGAATCCTCCTACGGTAAGCCTGGCTGCGCCGCGAGGGATTGAACAAGACAGTATCGACTCCACGACCCAGCCGTACCAGTCTGTCCCGGGGCACACCGACATGCTCCAGATACTCCCGAATTCCCGAAGAAGGGTAAAACACCGTCCGCACGGTCTGCGGGTTGTTGAACAGGTATCCCTGCACAACTCCTAGTAACCAGACTGAAAATCGAGCCACCGGAGCAGGGAACAAGATCTCGCTATAGGCGGACAGGTCAGTCTGGAAGTTGAGCAGAACCGGTGGGGAATGAGCCAGTTGTCGGAGGTACCATAGGACTTGAAACCCCAGAGAGGCCGGACTGGCGAGGTAAATGAGGTCTGGGTACTGGGCCTTCGTGGTACCTTGTTTCGGATCCTGAGAGAGTTGGGAGTTGGAGAATAATATGGGCATACGTTGCAAGATGTCTTTGTTCAGATCGAATGGGTGCACAACGGCTAAGTGAGGGTTGTAGGGAAGTGGATAGCCTGGAAGCCGGAACTCTGTATAACTTGCGGGAGATCGAAACGTTCCGCTGCCGCCCTTGTGATCGACCTTGTCTTCAGACAGTGGCTTGGTGTCTCGCTCTTGCCCTTTTGATCCAAGATGTTCGGAGCCTGGTGACACTACAGCCAGATGGACTCCCTGGCCACGAAGGTAGTTGATCAGGCTGAGTGTCGTGCGACTGACGCCGTTGACTGGCCCATGGGATTCCGTGAACAGGAGAACTCGCTTCCCGCGCAGCGACTCAGGAAACTCTCCATCTTCAAATTCATCGCGTCTGAGCTGACTCCTTTCACCTACCCCATCAAACTCATGAAGGGTGCCGTTGGCCGCCGGGGCTTCTCCGACGACCATGATTCACGAACCCAGGGAAGAGGACGATAGGGATACTCGTATCTCAGCCTCGTCGTGCGGAACAAGATGATTTTCCGGCTCCGGCGTTGGATGACTAAGTTGGGACACTGTCTGTGTTGCTGTCCAATCAAAGCTCTCACGTGTGAGGTTGCTTGGTTGTAATTTCAACTTCAATCTTGTTCACTGCAACTTCGACTGTTACAGCCACTGCGCCGTCGCCAACTTGTGTATCGCCTCGCCTCGATTCTATCTTCGAGGACTCAAGATGCGCATAACAGTGTTTGTCAATGAAGAGTAGGTACGACTGGGATCAACTGCTTGCCTGGCGTTTTATCGGCACTGCGGCGGACTACTACTTCGATATTAGAGCGCCCGGGCACTTTTGCCGGTAACAGTATAACGGTCAGCGAGCAGCCCAACAAATTCAGACTGACAACTGTCCCGTGCGAGAGCAACGCGCCATACGCGCCAGGAAGCACCACGTGGGTGAATGGTTCTGTTTTAAGGGCGTTGTTGAGGCGAGTGCTTAATCCCCGAATTCGATGCCAGAATTTATCGCCATCCCTCTTCTGCCCACTCACATCCCCTCGTCCAAGGCGTGCGCGGCTCTAGATATAGTAGATCAGGGTAAATGCCCTTTACAAGATTGAGCAGGCCATGTGAACCTCATGATTCAATCTCTGTCGCGTCTTCTCCCGAGGTTTGTTGTGTTTGTCCTCCCTCGTGCCTATTCCCTGTTCATAAGCTTATCAATATGGCCTCTGCCGCCGGTCGTGCTGTTTTTTCTTTCGCAACACTGTTTTCATCGAGGACCAGTTCGTCTCGCCACTGGTCAGCTGCTAAACTTGCAGATGCGACACCATGGATCCAATACCCTCGCTGTTGGGCGCGTCTGAGGATGACTCTTGCACCGACTCAACCGGAATCCTGACCCCGGACAGCAGCCCACTATTCCACCCTCTGCATTCCAAAGACGTCCTGAAGCCGATTCTGTCGCAGATACTGGACGATGCGAACCCGTCTCAGCATCAAAATGCCGCGTTCTGTGATTTCGCCCGAACAGAGAGAATCTGCGTCATTGGAGCTGGATATGTCGGTAGGCGCAATCGTGGCAAATGTCTTTGCGCTATCCGTCGCTGATTGTGTTAAGGCGGCCCTACTGCGGCAGTAATGGCATTGCATCATCCTGTCATTGCCGTGGACGTGCTCGATCGTGACCCGCAACGAATTGCGCAATGGAGTTCGGCTCATCTCCCCATCCATGAGCCCGGGCTCAACAACGTTGTGCGAGTTGCAAGAGACGGCGCGTGCGCCTCTACCTCACGAAGGTCGAACGGCGATGAGTTAGGGATGAGCGTTACTGGCTCGAATGAGACGCTCGAACAGTCACGCGATCCTAACCTTTTCTTTACCACGCACACCACCGATAGCATCTCGCGTGCCGACATGATCTTCCTTGCGGTTAACACCCCAACTAAAACCTCAGGAGTCGGAGCCGGGAGAGCTACAAACATGACCGCCCTGGATGGTGCTGTAAAGGACATTGCGCGCTACGCGAAGCCTGGTGCGATCATTGTCGAGAAGAGCACCGTGCCGTGTGGGACTGCGCAACGGGTTCGACAGACAGTATGGCAACCTTCTCCTCCAAAGCCTATGGCGGGACTGACCACAGATACAGCTCACGGCGCTGCGACCCGGTGTGCCTTTCGAGGTGCTGTCGAATCCAGAGTTTTTGTCTGAAGGCACGGCGATCGAAAATCTCATGCGGCCGGACCGTGTCATCATCGGCTGTTCTGACACCACTTCCGGCCACTCTGCGGCGGATGCTCTTGCGCGCTTGTACGAGGCGTGGATTCCGTCCTCCCGCGTTGTCAAAATCAACGCTTGGTCGTCGGAGCTCTCGAAATTGGTCGCTAATGCCATGCTCGCACAGCGGATCAGTAGCATCAACTCCATCAGCGCCATCTGCGAAGCCACAGGGGCGGATGTGGGAGAGGTGGCTAGGTCGATCGGGTTGGATGTACGGATCGGGCCTCATTTCCTGAAAGCGGGCCTTGGGTTCGGTGGATCTTGCTTCCGCAAGGACATTGCCAGCCTGACTTACCTGGCGGAATCTTTGGGCTTGCACGAAGTGGCGCATTACTGGAGCCAGGTCAACACCATGAACGTCCTGCAACGCGACCGATTCGCCCGCAGAGTTGTGAAACGGTATAATGAGAATTTGGCCGGTAGGAAGATCGCCGTGCTGGGCTTTGCTTTCAAAAAGGACACCGGTGACGCCCGCGAGTCTTTGGCTGCCGACGTTATCAGGGCACTACTGGACGAACAGCCGGCTGAGATTGCTATTTTCGACCCCTGCTGTCAAGAAGCAGATATGCTTCACGAGATCCGATCTACTTACACCTCATCCGAACCATTTCCAGCGCAGCTCAGCGCCGTCAGGATACATTCGGACCCTCATCTGGCATGCTTGGGCGCGAACGCCGTCCTTGTACTGACTGACTGCGACCAATTCCGCAATGTGCGTCCAAATAGAAGCAGGAGCAAAGGAAGAAGTGAGGAAATGCAATCACCATATCAGAGGAGAAAAAGCATCCCTTTTATGCAATTGGATGCCCCCACAAACCTGGAACCCAACACCACGACGAGTCCTACAAAACCAATGGAAGACGAGTCAGACATTTTCATGGGATACAAGCTCGCGCCCGGTCCGAAATGTGACTTTGACTGTACACTTTGTCAGAACACGTCTCGAAAATCAATCACCACCGAGCCCGTCGATTGGGCCAGAATCGTGCAGAGCATGAGAGCGCCGAAATGGATTTTCGACGGGAGAGGCATTCTTGATGTTCCGGCGTTAGAGAGGTTAGGTGGCGTCAAGGTTGATGTCGTGGGACGACGGCGGGCAGAGGAGGGATGGTGGTGTTAGAAATTGCGGCATTGCATTGCAGTGAGTACGGTGAACAGCATATCATAAGTCTATCTGCACAAGAGTTGTCTCTGGCCATCTCTAGAGGTTGACATCGAATTGAAACTTGAACACTTTTGTAACCGGCGGCCAAATCACCCGGACGTCCTGTATATATGTGCAGTAGTCGGCAGACAGGCTTATTATATCTCGAGAAATGGAGGTCTGGTGAACCCGACTCGGTTGGGTTGAGCAGTCGACTCTTTCTTCTGCGAGTCTGATTCACGGGAGGGGCCTTCGAGTATCTCGGGCCCCAAGTTGATTTTGTTTCGTGCAGTGCGGTGTCACGCCACGAGAACAATGGACATTCTTGTCTCAGCTGATCGGTAGGCATGGGCAGGGTGAGTGTCCGATTCGCTCCGCGCGTCGTCCTCGGAGATATTACAGCTCCGAGGCGGATGATCGGCAGAACAGCGGATGAATATTATAATCTTCGGTCGCCTGTTATCCTGATTAGGAAAGCAAACGTCCGACACCTCGTTGTATATATCACCACATATAACATATACCAGACTTTAGGAACCACCAACGACCCAGAACAGCACTTGGGTTTCCGCACATTCACCCAATTACTATACACCGTATACACTATCATACTACTATTCCATTCCCTCTTTGCTTACTCAGTACAACATGTCCACTTCATCATTCTCATCCATCACGAACATCGGCACCAAACTCACCAACTCAATCACCTCCCTTCTCCCAACCCGCTTCCACTTCCGCAACTCCAGCCCCGCCAGCCCATTGATCACCACCGCTGCCGTGGTAGTCGGCACAATCGGCTCGTTAGCATTCGCCCGTTGGGCCTGGACAGACTACCAAGCCTACCTGGGTTACGGACCAGGTGGCCTTCCCTACAATGTATTTGGATGGCTGATCACCACGACGGTGTTGAGGGCACTGGCCATCAATACTCTAGATGTGCGGAAACTCGAAAGTGATCCGGATCAACGGACTTGGTTACCCACGGCACCGGAGGAGTTGCCGGAGAGAAAGGGGCCGCGACCGACGTTGGGCAGACATGCTGTCCCGCAGAGGCAGATGGATCAGTTTGCGCCCGAGGAGATTCAGAAGGTGAGATTCGATTCTTATTGAAATATTCGGTTTTGTTTTGTTTTGTTATGATTTTTGTTCTTTAACCCCAAGGAGATCAAGGAGTCGATGAAGTATGAGTGCCTTTCCCCTATGTTCTCGGAGTCGATGAAGTCAGGGCCGAGGAGGAGAAGGAGGAAAAGAAAGAACGAGAGAAGAGAACAGAAACATAGACTAGTTACCTCTACAGGGCGATTTGGCAATCGCATTGAGGTTGCTCAATCAGGTTGATCTTGATCAACCAAGCACGACAAAAAGTGATCAAGAGGAAGAGGGAACACTGGCATCCCGTTTTCCTTGACCCGTGCTTCAATCAAGCTTACTTACTAAACCCGTGACTATCTTCCAGAACCTCATCACATCCTTCGAATCAATCGTAACCAAAAACCCTCATCTAATCCAATTCAAGCCATCTCAATATGAACGACGCCACGAAGCCATCTGGGTCGCCGACAGCGTTGACGCCTCCAAAACTCCTGCTCCATTCGGCAACAACAAGAACAAGTATCCATTGGAGATCTCGCACGTCCACCCGAACGCCGATTGTTCCGTGCACGTGGTTCTCGCGCCTAGAGATGCAGCGCGCGTCATTCGTGCCGGATGGGGCCAATTGCACGGCCTGGCGGGGAGCAAGGTCATTCCGAGATCCTATGTCTTCTTGTATGCGCCTAGAACCCAGGAAGAGCTCAATGTCATTATGGAGCTTGTTAGGGCTGGGATTGGGTATGTGACGGGCACGGACCTCAAGGATGTGCAGCCTGCTCAGAGAATATAAGGGGAGCAGGCTGTAAATGTGATGAAGAAGGAAAGTGAGTATAATAAGAGCAGACACTGCAACGGACTGACTGGCATGTGATGGTGCGTGCAAAGACCAACCACCACTTAGTTGGTGTTGGATGGGCTGACTGATCGACGTATACCTTTACCTGGCGTTCGGAGGGTGTTACTGTGAATGGGAAGAAGAGAAGATTGCTCCGAGCGTGCGGAGGGTTGAAGAATCTAGAAGCAGGCAAACATGAAACGAAAGGGGAACCGCGGATGGCTTGAAGATGTAGACTGGATCGTGGAAGTGTGTAGGAGGAGAAGAGATGGAGAAGTACCGAAATCACCACTCTGGCATGTTCGGCAGTACTACCACGGGTAGGTACACGGAGTTTGGTTACAAAGTACATTCTCACATTAACATACAAGAGCACCCCGTATCTTGTAACTATGGGATTATGACTTGTTGCTCGCTCTCTAACACGGTTGCACAGGCAGTCGAGAAATATTGGGACCTACTCAAAAGTCATATAGTGGTTATGGAGTCTTAGGAGTGGGGGATAAAAGTCCTGCTAGTTACTATAGGACTATCTTGAAGGATCAATCTGACTGTCTTTTTACAGAGGGCTATGCACTGTATTTTCGATCCGATTGTAATACCTGATGTTGTAGGACACCAATCCTTTCTAGTAACGGTGCATCCCATAAAGCTCTTTCCACAGTGCTTTGTATGACAAATGCACTCAAAACCCCCGAGACTATTTTGCAGTACCTGACGTATGCCGTGAAATGCTTCTTCACCAGAGTTGGGCATATGTACAGAAGCGGCGCCACGTCGACATTCTATAGTAATTGTCCAGTTGAACGATTTCCTCGGTGGAAAGTGTGCGACGGCCTTGAATAAGGTCGGCTTCCTTGGGGTCTACCCAGCGAGTTCGCCGGATAACCTTGTAACCCAATGTACTGGCCACAATAAGTAAAACCCCAAGATTGTTCTGGAAGAAAGCGTAGGCAGAGAATGGCGTATCACCCTGAGAGAGACCTCAAGTCAGTCTCTGTACTGCTCTAAGTAGTACATTTTGTTGCCAAAAGGGAACTCAGAACTCACCAATGGATCGATAGAGGTTGCAAGACAACAAGCAAGCAGCAAGGTAGAGATCGTCAAGAGGTACCAAGGAGGTAGGGGCCATTTCCAAGCTGACCAAGCATAGACCTCTCTAAAGAGCTTGTCATCTTGGGCGCGCAGAGCCTGGCGAAAGCGCCAGTTTGTGATAGCGATGATCATCCACATCATGAAGAACGAGGCGCTTGTGATGGAGAGCAACCAGCTGAAGACCTTCAGCCCGCCAGCTTTGTGACTCAAGCTATCAGTATTGGTCGGGGAAAAGGAGAAAAAAAAGGACAGAGAGAAAAAACTTCTGTTTTTGATGGGGCTCACCGGATAATTGAATGTACGTAAGAGCTACACCAACAATAGTGCTGATGAGAAGCGCCCATCTAGGTCGGCCTGCGCTGTCGACCTTGGCCCATGCTTCCGGGATGAGTTTCTGGTGTGCCATGGTTCGCAGTACTCTTGAACACAGATAGATGGACTCGGCAGATATAGCCAGAATGCCCACGATCATGCCGACATTCAGAACGTGTCCGATCCCTGGGATGCCCACATCCCTGACCGCAATGATAAAAGGTGATGCGGCAATTCCGGAGCCACCGAGCAAGTGATCATCATCCGATCGAACCAGGAGGGTGACAAAGATGACGCTGAGCATATATACCACGTTGACACGGAATGGTACAAGCTTGGTGGCGTGGGCCATTGAAAACCGTGGGCTTTGGGCCTCACCCCCGATGATCCCAATGAAAACCTGATCACCTACCGCCCACATTGCAAGCAAAGCGCAAGTCGCAAAACCCTATTTGTCTTAGGTCAGAGATTTTGTCCTCGGCACATGAGTTCGGAAATGATTCTTGGTCCTTACCCCGAAGCCGTTTTTGAACGCTGGTAATTCGGACCAGGACACGCCTCTGTGCACGTAGCCCTGCGGCCCAGCTCCACAGACAATCGCCAATGAGACAAGGATGATGATGAGAAAAGTGAATATCTTCACGATGGACGTGATATACTCGTATCTGGCGAACCATTTGTTTGGAAGGAGGAAAACCGAAAGGGATGCCACGATAAAAATGGTGTCTGCGTCCAAGTTAGTATGGGATAGGGACGGAGCACCAGTCTCGCCTGTGCTTTGTTGTGTAGCTTACATCCTGCAGCTGCAGGAAACGACCCCTCGGCCCAATAGTCCACGAGAACGGTGAAGAACGTTGCCTCGGAGCCAACGATAGCAACCCAGCCTGGAAAAGCAATTAGAACTCAAGTGGCATTTTGAGGAGACATAATTTGGCTTGCATACCAAGCCATTCTGCAAAACCAGCACCAAATGCAAGGGCAGGATCAACCCAACGACCGGCATAATCAATATAGTTTCCAGAAGTGGGAAATGCAATGGTCATTTCAGAGAGTGTCTGCAGCACTGCCCAAACGCCGGAGCACACGAGAGCGTAAGCGATGACCATGCTTCCGGGGCCACCACTAGCAAGAGCTTTGCCAGTGCCGATGAACACTCCACTCCCGATGTTCGAACCCAAGGCTATTATCTGCGAAGTGTGTTAGTCGTCAGGGCAAACCAATGTCGTGATTCGATCAGACCATGAGCTTACATGAACTTGGCGAGGAGTAAAAGATCGATGGAACTGGCCATTTCGGTCCTCCTGTAAATCGATGACTTGCGCATTGGAGACACTCTGGCTAGGCTCAAGCACTTCCAAAGGTTGCATGACGGACACGTCCTTGGATTTCCGGTACCCGTCCATGGCAGGCAAATGGTGAAGGAGGCTGTTTCGGGAGAAGGAAGGACACTGGATCAACGACGTTATCTTTTGACAAGAGATAGATTGTGAAGGTTGGGTGTTCAGGCTGGTCACCAGGTCACTCTGTCGTAGCCGTTCAATAGTCGTTTGGTGGATCGAAACATTGTAACTATATACTTGGTTAGAATTGGTATTGCAGCGATATCAGCAATCTGGGTCACTGCCCCGGACTGATAGTACAGTAGTTTGCGATTGCCTGATCAACGTCTACTACGGTGTGTGGCCCGTAGGCTGAAAGTAGGGGGTGAGATAAGAGATACCTAGTGCTCTACGGAGCGCGGCCCGGGAGACTAGTGGAGGTACTGCCGCCGCAATGGACACCTGCAGGATAAGAGATAAGGCCGAACAGAGGCAGAGACAGAGGCAGAGGCAGGAGTTCGGCCGTTTAACACCAATCCATCCTGGGACCCAGTTTTCAAGTCTGGGGAAGCGTGGAGAAACGAGACTCGGGGTCCGCGCCGTAGCCCCCAATCAACCACTATTGGTACTCTCTGCAACGGACCGGGCGTAGGTACGGGGCCGGGGCCGGCGCCGGGGCCCATCCTTCGCCGGTGCGTGGGGAGCCCTGAGTGTTTGACAATCCCACATAATGCAACCTGCACCACAATTGCTTCAGCTAAGTCCAGGTGGCAGTGTGGTCCAAGGTGGGCAATGCTCTTGGTTCAGGTAGGTGTGTACACTAATATAATGGCTGCGTTGTTCGCTACTTTCAAATGGAATTCGGGGATCATTTGCCTGAAAATCCCTGTCGCATCTGTCTTGTAAAGCAAACTTGATCACATTTGACGTTCAACCCCCGAAAGAAGATAAACTGGCTTTCTCCCTGCGTTGTGAAAGTCTGTTAGAACACGATCCCGCTCATCAGGACAGCAGTCTTCGGCCCCAAACAATGATCGCGGAGAGAGCAATCGACGCCGTCAGGCCTCTCAAACTCATCTATATCGGCGCCGGCGTTTCCGGAATTCTTGCGGCAATTCGCTTCCGTCAGGCAGTACCCAGCCTTGATCTGGTGATTTACGAAAAGAATGCTGACGTTGGGGGAACTTGGTTTGAAAATCGGTATGGCATGACTCAATTCGGGACTATTGTTCGGTTCGGTTCCTATTGACCGCAACGACTTACTGACTTCTCTCGAATAGATATCCCGGCTGTGCTTGCGGTACATAAAAGATGAATGTCACTGTTTTTTGAGTCGGTCTGGGCCACTAATGCCGATATGACAGATGTTCCATCTCACGCGTACCAACTGAGCTTCGAGTCCTGGCCTGACTGGAGTGACTTTTACGCCAATGCTCCCGAAATTTTGAAATACTGGAAGTTGGTGGCGAAGAAATACGATGTGACGAAACACATCCGCTTTAGACACAAATGCATAGAAGCCCGTTGGAATGAGCAGGCATGCAAGTGGACGGTCAAAATTGAGGATCTGGACACTGGTTTGACCCTGGAAGACAGCGCGGATGTTTTGATGACAGGGACTGGGACACTCAACGACTGGAAGTGGCCGGACATCCCGAATCTACATCAGTTTGAGGGACCACTCCTGCATAGCGCCAACTGGGATGAGGGGTTTGATCCCACGGTAAGTTTTTGTCTTGGTACCACGGCCACATCGGCAGAAGAAGTGCTGATATGGTAAACACCCTCTGCAGGACAAGGCAGTCGCCGTGATCGGAGGCGGTAGCAGTGGGATCCAAATCGTGCCAGCGCTTGCGCCACGAGTGAAATCCATCGACCATTACGTGCGCGGCAAGACTTGGATTGCCAGCCAGATTGCCGAGGATGTTGTCAAAGCTCGCCACAACAACGGCACCACGACATCCAATTTCTCCTACACGCCCGAGGAGATAGAGGCCTGGCGGAACAACCCTGCCGCCTACTTGCAGTACCGCAAGGTCCTTGAGTTCGGCCTCAACAACAACTACGCGGTCACGCAGCGCGGGAGCGCACGACAACAGGCTGCGAGGGATGAATACACGGCACTCATGAAGGATCGACTCAGGGAGAAGCCCGAGTTGTGCGACCTTCTCATTCCCGATTATCCACCGCTGTGTAAGCGGCTGACTCCGGGCCCGGGCTACCTCGAAGCCATTGCATCTCCCAAAGTGAATTTCATCACAGATCCAATAAGCGGCGTGGACAGGACTGGTATCATCACCGCAGACGGAACCCATCGGCCCGTGGATGCAATAGTCTGTGCGACGGGATTCAACACTTCGCCTTCCGCCGGGTTCCCTATCTATGGTCGAGACGGTGTCAACCTCCGGATCAAATATCGTTCCAGACCAAAGTCATACCTGGGCTTGTGCACCGACAACTTTCCCAACTTTTTTCAATCTCTCGGACCCAACAGTTTCCAAGGAGCCGGGAGTCTCCTCATCATGCTGGAGCACATACATCTTTACGTGGCTCAAATTTTACAACGGCTGGCCACGGGGAACGTCAAGACGATCGAGCCGAAAAGAAGCCAGGTCGAGAAATTCACGGCTTTTTGTGAGGAGTATTTCAAGAGGACGGTTTACAGCGACAAGTGCGAGAGCTGGTACAAGTCCTCCGACCCTGAAGAGCGGAGAGCCGGCCGGGTCACCGCTCTATGGCCTGGAAGTTGTATGCACGCCTTGCAAGCACTCAGTTCTGTTAGATGGGAAGACTTTGAAATGGAACCCCACGACGGTAACGATTTTGGTTGGTTCGGAAACGGTTTGACAACTCGCGAGACTTCAGGATCCCCCGACATTGAAGACTTGACTTGGTATTTGCAGACTACCAACTTCTTGGACACTGTGGATACAGATACAACCCAACAAACGCCGGAACTCCAATGTCCTCAGACAATATCAGCAGTGGATGCGGTGGGGCCAGATATCGGAATGCAGGAGCGCAAGGCCCAAGAAAGTAGTGATCGCAACCGCGTGGATAACCAAGTCAACGGCTTTGGTCAGCAGCACTCCGAGTCTGTCAATTCTTGTGGAGTGGACGCGGTCAATGTCACGAATGGATTGAAGGTTCCCGAGGCGTTCATGGCCCAGACCTTGGGATTATCTCGTCCTGTTGATATTCACCAGTGGACGACGACTACATGAGCGGGAACATGGCAGTACGAGTGGATAGAAACAGAATCTTAGAAGTTGAGCATAGAACTTGGGTGATGCTTGTTGTAAACAACCTTTACCCACCACCTGTGTCGTCCGGCATTGTATCCAATAGCCAATTAAAGTCGCTGGCTCCAAAGGAATCGACGACCGACTGCAGGTGCATCGCAGAAAAGCTCTCTGGCCAATTGCCGCCCAGAGCCTCGTATCTAGGATAGAATTGCCCCTCTTCGACTGCTGTAGACAAAAGGTCGGCGGGAGATTTATCATACTGTTGGACAGATCGACCGGCTGCTGACATGGTATGCTGCGGCGCGCCGGCCATTTCAGTGTCTGGGACATGGGCTGTGAGATATTCGAAGGCGCGTTCCAAATGTTCCAACCCTTTTTTCCGGGACTGGGCAATGACGTTTCCTCGTGATTCCATCTCATCAAGGATGCTGTATGCGATTCGAAGCCATGAAGGCTGGTGCTCTGAGGACAAACCACCCATAAGTCTGGCCATCACAAGAACGATAGCAGAAAGAAAAGTTGCCTCAAGGTCGAATGGCAGGAAAGTCTCTGTGACGACGGCCGGCTGTTAGCGGATGGCTTCCTCTCATTGTCAGATGTTTACCTATGAGGTTCTGTTTCTGTAACTCACTCAGGATAGTGAGCATTCGTTGAGCAGAATCGACGCAAGACTGAAGGAGAAACTTGATAGTGCCTGTTGGCGTGTGCCTTGCCGTGTGTAGACGATCAGGATCCTGAAGGCGTCTGGTCAGGTAAGTGAGTAGTAAAGGCCGTGTTGCAAGGACAATGCACTATCGGGGTGTAAGAGAAGGTCAGCTTCAGGCATTATGGATGATGGGGTCATCGGATGTGTAAGCGACAGACCTGATGAAGAAGGAGATGAAGATAAGCCGTGACTCGAGATAAGCCGCCTGCCGACTCATCGCACGGCATTTCAAAGTCATCTCGCAGTAGGGTGGTAACCTCGGCAATATGGGTCAGCGCAGACTTCATGCTTAGCAAGAATTGCTTGTCCAGTCGGCCTTCAGGTCCATACACAGCTAAACATCGAACGTCAGTCTCATATATTGTCATCATTTAAAAGTCCCAAGGCATACTTTTCACCACCTGAGCCATGACTTTGGAAAGCCTGACGTGGATGTCGTAGATTGTAGCATCATATGACGAGCCTGAGAAAGATGGCAGACGCGCGCTAATGTCGTCTTCGCGAAGAGCGATGGGAACTCCAAGGAGGGAGGTCATTTGTCGGTCCAAAATGTAGATGGTCCACCAGATCTTGCGACATCTCTCCACGACCGAGTCGTCCAGGTCTTTCCCTTGCATATCCGTGTGATATCCCTCCACTAGTGCGATGCGGGTTGCCAGTCCAACCTTACGGTGTCAGCAGGTCGGGTACGTGTTCAGACTGAGCAAAGCCTTACAAAGTTATACGCCGAACTTCTGAAATCAAGTGCTTGGAAATACAATGCGATGCAGCACAAGATCTCGGTCGCATTCATAGGATCGCGACACAGTTTTGTCATCTCCGGAAGTCGCTTTTCCGCATGAGCGAAAAACTCAGCGCCTGGTGGAGTTTGTTTCGTCTTGTGAACAACGAAAGCCTTTCCAAAAGCGAGTATTAATAGGTAATGGATATACCATAGGCCTGGGCCATGGACTGTCCCGTGAGGATTCTGGTGAAAACGATGGAAGTTGAACATGAAGGTTTCTTCGTCAAATAGGTGGAAAAGGTGACCGAGGTGGAATCTGACGGTATTAATGAGATATAAAGAATGATCGCGAGAAGGGAGCGTGGGCTCAGAAGTCTCTGCTGAGAGAGTAAGCCTGTCCCATTCTGCCATATAAGCAGTGCCATCGAAAAGCAGAGTGTCGGGTGCGAAGGGTTCTTGCATCGCAGTATGATTGGCAATTGATAGAACGCGACATGCAAAAGACCAGTTTGATGAGGTACCGAGGAACCCTATGAACACAGATTAGGCATGAGTTTGGAAGATATTGGAGGACTGACATGTTCTTCCGTTACTATCTGTCGCACCTGTGAAATCTCCGGTTGAAAACGGGTTTGTAAGTGTGGTTGCAACAGTGGAGTCATCAGGGTCGTAAGATGACTGTGGTGAACCCAGCACGGTGCTCGAGGATGGTATTTCTTCGTGGTTTGCTGAGTTTCCATTGTCGCCCACAGCTTGACTGTCACGGGAGCCAGGCCTGAGAAGCTGGGTTTGGTGATATCCTAACATGAATTAACAGACCGTTGACAGCACTTTCCTCGTGCTCATTACCAGTCCTTGATGAGCCGGGAGTCTCCGAGTCTTGCAGAGATATCGGTAGCACTGCTGAAGAGGGTGCCCTCTGCGCCAAATCCTTGATCTTGTCCGTCAAATCACTGATGAAACTTTTTGACTGGTAAGTAAATATTCTACGAGTTTCGTAGGCCCACGCACCCTCTGGTCACAACGACCTTTTGGTCTCGGTCGTAGAACGTGCAGGACAGATTGCGTCTGCGACAATTCTCGCAAGGACGGCTTCCGGTACATTTGATCTTCTGTCGACGACATCGCTGACAGCTAGTAAAGTTTGTCAGATTGTGAGGGGCGTAGGCTTCGCAAAGCCATTCCCAGCACTTACGCTTGAGTAGTTCGCTTGATGATTGCTCCTTGCGCATGAGCATAATCCATCACTAGCAGGAAGAGATGAATGCTAAAGGCGTTCGAGACGGAAAGGGACAAAATTCCGGTAGCACTTGCATCAGAGAAAGATGACACAGTGTGGTAATCTGCGAGTGTGGTTTGCTGACTTTCTCAACGTTGTCGGGAGGCGGAGGCGTCTCCGAGCGCCTCTTTTAGCGTCCTTAACCTATTGGGCCATTACGGTTATGGACCCACGGTAACCGGAAAAATATATTAGTAATCCGCATTGTAGTTAATCCCCGCTCGGAGCACGTGCTTAGACTCCCCAGTTAGGTTAGCGTGGAGGCGTCACCTAGTGCATGTCATCCTTCTTCCCGCACTCCTTATGTAATCCCCTCACAAATTATTCTAGCAACTAACACAAATATATAGAGAAAGAGACACTATTTCTATAATTACTTAACGAGACTACTAGCTTTAGCTATCAGACTTATTATATAGATTCTATAAGAGAACTACTACCTATTAATGTAAGTTTTACATAGGGAATACCCCTTAAGGTAGAGTAGGAGGCAAGAAACTACCTTTGTAAGGCTGAATTTTACCCTCCTGCGGGAAGAAGGATGACATGCACTAGGTGGGCGTCTCCTTCAAGATCAGCTTAGTCAGCAAAGAGTTGGAGTCGCAGGAGGCGTGTCCCGACAACGCTGGTCATCCTCATCTTCGAATGGCCATGGTTTCACCAAGCACGTGAGGGACTTGTCCTATTATATAAACGAGGTCCGGGAACTTATCGAACAATATAGTATCGAGTGTTATAAGATAGCGCCAGTCTCTAGGTCTCGATATCTAGCTAGTACCTAATACGCTTAAAGTACCTACCTACAGTGGTACTTTCGCAACCCCCCCGCACATGATGATTACCCAAGGTTCATCGGTGAGGGAGATCATGTACCACAGGAAATGAATACTTGATGGAGCTTGATTGAGCAAACCTCCTTCGTACAAGAATGTAAGCACTAGTAGCTTAGCTGATCTTATCATATGTAGGTCGAATCTCATGTATCAAGGTATGCAGACAACACCGCAGGGCGGCGAGCGTGTTATCGGCTGTGCCATTAATGAATCAAGAACATGTCGTGTGACAGGATTGACCTCAAGATCACCTAATGATTTGGCCATCTCCAAGTGCCGAGGATTCCATCAGGGGACGTGCCCAGGATTGGATCACGCTCTGGGATGGGAACACTCCATGCCTTTTCGTAGTTACCTTCGCCACCTGTGAGAAAGTCCCACGTGCCATGACCTTGGGGGTAACAGCCCATCATTGTAAATCCGGAGAGCTCAACCTCTGAAACAAATTTTCTTACGTCGGCTGCATCGACCGAGTGGCCATCTCCGGGTGTGAGTCGTTCGAAGCCAGGGTTCGGTATGGGATTGAAGGTTTTGTGGCAGACTCCTGCAGGGATCAAAAAGACATCGCCAGCATGAGCTTGAATCTCAAGACCCCCCGGCTCTTTGCCCACCCCGTTCGTACTCGCCTCCAGATCGGGGGTCGTGTCTGCAGCACCGAACCTGATCGTTGCCTCGCCAGACAAGACGGCCATACACTCATGAATGCCCGAGTGGTAGTGAGCTTCTTGGGTTGGGCCATATCGGACGAGCCACTGCAACTCCCAGTTGTTTGCCCTGAGGAGGTCATAGAATCGGACTTTGGCATCGTCTCCGGGGGCTATGGCCCCCACGTAATGGAGCAGAGGCAGCGGTGAATTTGGGACGAGCGCGGTTGGTGCAAGGTAATATTTTTTGATTTCCATGGTGGAAAAGGCTCTAGCTGAGATAGGGCAAACTGCGATGATCAAGGGCAGCAAGTGTAGTGGTGGTCGGTCAAGAGCACTGCAGTGTTTGATACCAGATGATATATAGTGTAGATATATCTAGTCGAGCAGTGCACAAAGCAAATAACCCTCAACTTGAGGGTCGTACAATGGCCCCCTGCCAATGACCACTGACCTCCAGACTTCGGGGCCATGTAGTGGACGACCGGGGATGGAGCCGGGCGCTCGGCCGGGGTTGCGAGTAGGGTCGGATCCTGGCCCGGCAGGGTCTCTTACGTCCTAAGGTAAGCAATGAAAACGTCAAGGAGGGGTCCGAGCAGCATCTTGTGGGTCCGTGTGTGAGATTAGCAGCTGATAACCTTGTCAGTGTGAAGTACCCGGTGAAAATATTTCGGCCTTTTTCTACCTGACAGGCCATGACATTCCGCAAGCCCTGGGTACCAACATGTTCGGATCATCTAAGGACTTCTTCACAAACTGCACGAACGAGGATCGGATCCGGTTTGCGAGCAAGAGTGGAGAGCCTATGAGTCCCAGGATAATCAATTCGAGGCTAGGTTGCTGAGATTGCTCGTTTGGTAGTATGTCGTGAAGGTCCAACAATACATCGATAAGCCGAACTCCTCTTTTAGCAATGGTACACCAGTCTTGCATATTCCAAATGGCATCTCTGCCAACCAGCGCGAGCTGATGTAACTCGGCGGTATCGTAGATCATGAATTGGTCACAATGACAGATGAGTGTAAGGGCACGCAATTATATGTGTGATAACCGTCCACATTTTTAAGGTTATCTCTGTGAGTGGTGTCATGACCCAGCACTGAGCGTCCCGTCCAGAATTTATGGCAATAGAGACGCATGACATCTAGATCATGGATATTCATTGGTTGCGCCTTGAGTTTGGGAAAGGGGACAAACCTGTGTGTATGCAAACTCTTTCTCCCGAAAGCATCGTAATTGAAAATGCCGGTGGATTGTGAATGTCTGCATCAAGGTGAATCCATGGCCACATACCACCCGAGTTCGTGTTAGGGCACCTACCTTGTGTGCAACGGAGAGAAGGTGGATGCGCCTTAACCTGTCAAAAAATTCCTCATCCTGAGATTCTGTCGTGCTTAAACCTGCGCAGATAAGGCGGCATGGTACTCCCAATACGTTTCAGCTGGCCATCTGCCCATAGGACTTGGTCATAGAGTTTCCGAACACCGTCAATGGTAGACCCTGGATGTCCTACACCACACATGCGATCTTGCTGGGGCCGATAGGCTGATGCGCACCCCGGGGGTCTGGAGAGAGGACAGCGGTAAGCAGCGAGGGGTACTAGGCCCCCCAAATGCCAGTGCTGCCAGCAAATCGCCTTACATAATACCCCGCCACGAGTCCGAACTGTGCGATATGGAGCCGGCCGAAATACCTCCAGTACAATGATACAAGGCGGGGGGTAAGGTACCTTGGGAAGCGGCTTGCTTGTTCAAGACAAGCTCCTGGGGCCGCTGCTCGGCCGAAGCTTGATAATGCTTGACTAGCACTTGACGGGCGCCTCTTTGGCCACCGCCTCGGCTCTTCTGGGATGTCACTGCAGTGTGCGTTTATTCCCATTGTGCTCAGCTGGCTTTGGGCCTGCCATTCGCTGGTGTGTTTCCTGCCGGCCCTGACAATGCCGAACAAGGGTCCCGGATCCATGGAGCTTGTGGTTACATTGGTGGTCATCAGCTAACCTTATCATGCATTGGAGCCAGGATCATGCTCAAGGATGGTATGGACCGTGAATACGGGGGATGCTCGTATAAGATGGCCACTGGCAGGCAGGTAAGCAGCTATCACCCCTCACCTCACAGACCTTTCGGAGCCTTAAGGTTGGCCTTGCCGCCCTTGGTCCGTTCAAGGCCTGCCATCATCTCTGTCTCGAGACCTCTCAGTGCTTTCTCTCCCTTTATAGTCCTTGTCGGAACACGCGTTTTTGAAGTCTAGAACCATGTCTCTAGCAGACGCCGTAGATGGCGGCAAGCCTAGCAATCCCGCACGACCCGAAACATTCATCAGTCCTATGCATCGCAAGCTGTATGATTCCGAGGTGACCTTCGAGGAATACCTTCACTATGCAAAACGCACTCGGGAACAAGAAGCAGCTGAGCAGAAAGTACCGCAGGCGGGGATTCTGCAACAGGTCTTTCGAAGACCATCAGCTTCCGTTCGCGCAAGCCACTCCACGCAAGCCCACCAAAACGGCGCCAGCTCTGAAGAAAGTCGTGAACCAGGGGAAAAGAGCGTGACCGGCCATGGCAACAAAGATGGGGACTCAGGCCAGAGCTGTCGGAAGAGTAGCCACACTGTGATATTGGAAGAAGAATGGCGAAATGCAGCCCGCGCGTTGCGAACTGCAAGCTGGGGTGCAGGCTTCTATCTCATTACAACCGACATCCTTGGTCCTTACGGCGTTGGATTTGCGCTGGGAACACTGGGATGGGGGCCAGGCATTGCCCTTTACACAGTCTTCGGCTTCATGGCCGGTTACTCCGGGTATTTGCTGTGGCAGGTATACCTTGGCCTCGATTCATACGAATTCCCCCTCCGAAACTATGGCGACCTGGCCTATCGCACCATGGGTACCACAGCACGATATGTCGTGAATATCCTGCAGTCAATCCAGCTGCTCTTGATCTGTGGCCAAGTCATTATTCAGAACGGACAAGGCATATCCCAGACATCCAAATTCCGACTCTGCTATGCCGTTTGTGTCATTTTGTTCGTGATTGCAGGGTTCTTTATGGGCCAAGTGCGTACTCTCCGCAACTTCGGTGTCTTCTCCATGGTTGCCGTGGGACTGAATCTGATGGTAATTTTTATTACTATGGGCGTCATGGCCCATTCTCCTCCCAACTATCAAATCAGCGTCTTGGGCTCTGCCGGCTCTGCGGTAAATCCCGACACCATTACCCCCGATGCTAATGGCAACTACCCACCCATCATCCACTACGGCGGGTTGCCGGACTCGGGCAATTTCGTGGGTGCCATCAACGGGCTCATGTCGGGGGTGTTCGCCTATGGTGGTGCCCAGCTGTTCGTGGAAATCATGGCTGAGATGCGTCGACCCTGGGATTTTATCAAAGCCATGTGGACGGCTCAATTCTTCATCTGGAGCGTCTATCTCATCTATGGCTGTTATGTCTACCACTTCCAGGGCCAGTATTCCTTCACCATATCATACATGGGCCTGAGTGTGTATGGCTTCCAGGCCGCGTGCGACATGATGGCCGTGCTGTCTGGGCTCATTGCTGCCGGTCTTTACGGCAACATCGGCATCAAGGTCCTGTACAACCAGGTCTTCCAGGAGATCTTCCGCGCACCTCCTCTGACAACGAAGCGGGGAAAATACCTTTTCGCGAGCATTGTGCCTATCTACTGGAGTGTTGCCTTTGTCATAGCTGCCGCCATTCCAGACTACTTCGGTTTCGTCTCCGTCATTGCCTCGTTCTGTGTGGTTCAGTTCAGTTACACGTTCCCGCCTATCCTCCACCTGGCGTATGCGATGCAGAAAAACTCGATGGGCGCGGGTGACGGGTTCAACGAGAACACCGGACAAACAGTTCGAAGTTCACATGGCCTCAAACGGCTCGTCCGAGGTTTCTTTGCTCGTCGCTGGTATGTCAATGTCTGGCACGTCATTCATGCTGGTGGCGCCCTTGCAACCGCCGGCCTGGGCGCTTATGCTGCTATCCAAGGCATGATCGAGGCATTCAAGATCCCTCAAGTCAACTCGTTCACCTGCACTAGCCCGCTGGATCTGACCCCAGGCTCAGGCTAATCTTGATATGGAATCCTGGCCTACTCTGCTGGCTGTTGTTGGTGACGACATGTCGGATTCATATCACTGAGGTGGAGCTGTGCTTTGACGGCCAGTTGCTCTTCAATTTCCCGTTCAAAGTTGGCTAGACTTGGGGCGTAGTATGATCAACAGCGCAGACACGGCAGGGTATTCCGGGTTTCTGTGGATCGATGTGGGCTATTTTAATGAGCTGTCTCATCCGTGTACCCGTCTTACAACCACAACCATGCTCCTCAGTAGTGGTGACAAAGCAGTTCAGTACTAGTATACTTTTCTATCCGGAAGAAAGTGAATTTGAGGTGTCTGTCTTCTTTCTCCTGTCTCCATTTCCTCCTTTCTGCCTATGGTATTACCACCAATATCCAATGATACATTCATTCACATTTGCTGATCTTCCATTTCTCTTGCTGAGTCTTCGTACTAGTAGCCAAGCAAAGACGACTTTATTAACCGAAAACATAATCTATTGGGCGTTTGGTTTGCTTGGTGGACTACAATTACTCGTAGTGGTAGTACTGGACCACCATATAAGTGAATCATCCGTGCAAAGAGGACAAGACGAATAATAAAGGTAGGTAGGTCCGGACAGTAGATACCTGGTAGGCCAGCTCAAGCAAAGTAGAAGTGAAGTCAAGTCAAACAGGTCATATCATATTACTTACTGACTGCAGTGGTGCATCAACAATCATCAGCTGGGCCCGTGGTGACGATGCAAGACCAGCATAAGTATCAAAGACATATATACACCTCATCCCAATTTCATTTCATCTGTGCGTTCCATTCCTGGCTTGCCTTCTTCCTCTGCTATTTCCCGGCCTGACGCGTTTCCCTCCCCCCAATTCCCCACGGGCAGTACCCCTGACGGACCGGATACTCAATGTACTGAACTGTACTGGAGCACCAGTTACTGCAATGCTGCTACTGTCACAGTGCCACTAACCAGCAAACCCACCTAAGTTGCTGTCCCCCCAGAACGGAGCCTGAACATACTCAGCGGCGCGCTCATGAATATTTCCATAGTTCCAATCGCTCGAAGAGCCGGTGCTGTCGGGAGTGATGGGACCAGGTCCGACCATGCCGCCGCCTGTGCCGGCGAGGATGCCACTGGTCGCCAGGGCCGGGGAAAAGGGTTCCTGCTTGAGGTTCGTGACGCCCTGCAAAGGCGGCGGAGGAGGAGGATACTGCTGAGACTGAGACTGAGGCTGTCGATCTTGTCCTTGTCCTTGAGACGGACTGGCCGTGAAACTAGGTGGTGCCGTTCCTGTTGTGGTTGCCGCCGAGGTCGACACTCCTCCTCCCATGTACATATTGTTGCTGTTACTGCCACTACCGGTGGTGCCTCCTGCACCACCGTGGCTATGACCGTTCATATAGGACGCGGTCGAACCCTGCTGCTTAACATGGTGATGGTGACTTGGCTTGGGTCCGGCAAGCGCGGCGTTCAGCTTGCCCAGCGCATTCAGCGACTTGGCCATACTTCGTGCCCAATGAGGCGAATCGGCAAGCGGTGGTTCGGCGGTACGACCTCCTGCGACAGCGGCTCTTTGGGTGGAAGAAGAAGAAGTCTCCTGGGATTGGATTTCAAATGTGGGATCTTCCCAGGTCCGTTGTGCAATGACCTTTTCCAGCTCACGAAGCATCGAGAGTCGCTGTTGATCGTGCCCGGTCTCTGGCAAGGTGCCCAGTAGGAAAGCGGCCGAGATGGCCCGCTGAAGACCAATCCAGGACCGCGAGGCAAACCGGTTGATCGCATGTAATTCGACATATGAGGCTACGGTGGCCTCGAGGTTTTCAACACACTGACGCCGTAACTGTGCTCGCGACGAAGGATCGAGCGAACTCGACCCAGCTGGTGATTGGGCCGACGTATACGGTGGCTTTTTCCCGCCTCCAGGCGGAGATTGATTCGGTGTCAAGTTGGACTGAGCGGTCCCATCTGCAGCCGATGGTGGTGGTTCCTTCAGTGCGGGACGACATAGTTCGCTGGTGAGGTATGAGCAATGGATTTTCAAGGCTAGCCTTTCAAGGTGTTGGATCATGTTGTGACAATGGTTCCGATCTCGAAGGTGTATCGCCCCCTGCGAAAATATCTCCGAGATCTCTTGAGTGTACTTTCGTATCCTCTCCCAGGTCATGTAGGAGCGAGGATGGAGAAGGCGTTCACGCACGATTTCTTGCGTCAGTCGAATAATGCCGAACATGGTCTCTGCATAACTCCTGTCACCGGGCGAGCTAAACTTCCCATAAGGGATGTCTGGAATGCACAAGACACTCGAAGTTGGCCGGTCGTAACTGACTGCGAAGTGAGAATCCTGCCAAGCAAGTGCCCACCAGATCCGCCGCCGGGTCCATCGTTCGGCGTCTGTGAAATGGTGCGAATCAATCTGCAGGCCGATAGAAAATGCCATTCGAAGTGTCATGCCCAGGAAGATATACGCCACACCTGGATTCATGTTGTAGGAAAGAACATTTCCAATGATCAAAGACGCTTCGATCGTCTCCAGACATGGATGGGTCATGAAATTCGACATGCGGAGTGCTTGGTACGAACAACAAACTAACTTCTTGTCAGCCGGCTAATCGCAACGAGCCTGCACGATTACTCACCATAGACTTGCGAGGTGAGTTCCCTTTCCTTGGCGGGTCGGTCTGAAGATTGAGCGCCAGACGCGAACACCGCAAACACCAAAGACAACCAGGGTAGAGAGACGCCGTATGGCTTGTTCGGGTCGAGTTCCAGATTATCGCGCTGTGCCCGGGCGCGATTGGATAACATGAAAATCAAGGTGTCTTCGAAACTGGCCGTGTCGGGCACCACAGGATACAGAGCACCGGCGATATCTCTGTAGGCAACGAAAAACCTGCGTCGTGTCAGTAATGTCGAATACCCTCGTCAGCGAAGGACAACATACTCCTTGCAGAGTTCATCATCAGGGATGGCTTTCAGTAGGCCGCTAACATCCTGCATGCTTGAAGTGGTGCTCCATAGATCAACGAATGGATAGGTGGCGCTCTCATTGTCCAAGCCTAGTTTGGGCAGGATATTCTCCTCTAATAGAGATCGGGCTGTATCTTGTGTAGATTGGCTTCTTCCAAGGCCCATCATATAGGCAAGCACCGACCTGGAACCTAAATGCATCATACCCATCTGATTGCTTGGTGCGTGGATGCCCTCCCGGTCCGTGTCGTCCGACCGACTGATGGTGCCCGGCGGATTGGACTCATCAACTTCTCGCTGTTGTAGCGTCGGTGACGCTAACTCTGTCTTGGTCACACCACGGAGCTGCTGCAACTCCCTATTCATTTGTTCCCACTGCGCCCGCGGCACCGTAACGTACTGCCCACTTTGCAGGAGAGGGTCGTGAGCGTCTGCAATACCGCCTTCGGGGTGACTGAGGGCGGTCGAGAGCGCAATGCGGCGCTTCTTGGTCGGGCGTTCGTAAGAACATAATTCTGGATGGTCGCGCTTGATACATGAATCGCAAGGCAGCTTGCGATCACATTTGACCTTGCGACGATGACAAGCGTAACAAGCCTTGGGGTCTCTGACTTTTCTCTTGTTCCTGATGATTGCATCGATCTCCTCCTGCGCCATCTCGATTCTACCATCCGCCGTCGTTTCGTAAGTTGAGTCATCGTGGTAGTCACTAGCCGCAGTGTTGGCGGTGGAGGCGCCGCGAGAATCCATTCTGCGATAACAATCCCGCAGGTTGAGCGCAGGACACAAACTCGGGTCGGCCTTTGTTGTAAGCGATAAGGGAAAGGAAACGCTATAAGGGCATATCGGCGAGCTGCAGGACTTTGTCTTCGCGGACCGCGGCAAGCAACAGGACGAAGGGAAGATGGGCAAAGTGTCAAGGTTGTGAAGGAATTGCACTATGAAAAGAAGATGGGCCGCCGCGCTGTAAAGGACGCTCTCCCCGCCTCGGAGTTCAATACTTAGAGGGACTAGTAGTCGAGCTGAAGAACTAGCTACTAGTGCCCTCTTTCTAGCCAAACAACGGCAGCGATGCGCCGTTTAAGGTTAGAGGACAGAGTGCTGGTTAATCCGCCGGCCCCCCGTTGGTCGAACCAGAAATGGATTAGCTCGTCCGGACTTCTGGGCGGCTTGGCAGTCAGCCTCGTCGGCATCTTCAACGCTCCCATCTGTCAGCGCCTTACCAGTAGAGAACCTCCTTTTATAGATGGTCCTTTCTTTTCATCCACTTACTGACAGAAAAGACTCACCCGTTCATTTCAATTGGCATGCTTTGACGGCAGAAACCGCTGCTTGGCATGTCGGTGTTTCCGAGAAAATCAGATGCGTCATTATCATTACCACTTTCTTCTTGCAGCCCACATGTCCCGCAGAGGTAGTGGACGGGATGATTCTTTTGATCTGAAATATGTAGATGTCCTTTGCCATACTAGTACGACTCGCACAACGAACTGGAGCTCCCCACTCGAAGTATGGTCGATCAGAGCTGCTTCCATGTTACGATTTGCAGATAGGCTGGCATGTTCGCATTTTTCGGCCGGCGGCACATTAGAACCAACTCCGGTCCACATTACTAGTCCAGATCTGATCGCCATCGCCGTGATTAGAAGGCAGTGTCAAGGAAGAGTGGATGGAAAATGGTTAATACAAGGCCCGCTCCGTGCCAAGATAGATCTATTGCATGTTCATTATTCACTTTTCTCTTCTGTGCCTCCCCTCTCCTTGGTAGAGATTGAACCCCAGGAGATAAGATCTGAAGAGAAGCATTCAAGGTCCGTTTTACAATGTGTCAAAGAAACCATACCGGCTAGTTCCTTCCTGGGGACATATGCTTCCGGATTGAGATATTTCGTCTCAAAAAGGGTCAATCTTTTGTTTGCCCACTGTGACACCCTTATTTCTCGCCCATCCGCGCGTCGGAGATCCTCCATCGGTCGAACCATCGCAGGTATGCGTAGTTGCGGTTGCTCCCTTGCATGCCGAACACGATAGGGCTGAACAAGACAAACAGCCCAATCACAACAGCATAGAGAGCGATATAGATTCCCCACCGAACCTTCTTGTTCAGTCGTTGTGTAGTCCAGTCCAGGCAGAACCCTGCGACCAAAATGGCGAAATAGAGAGCCGGATAGTAATGGTGCACGTATGTGACTCGTCCCATAACCACGAAAGGCAGGTAGTGCAAGAACCAACCGATCACGGGGTAGATTCCAGAATAGTGGATCTGGTCGATGTCGGCCCGGCTCAACTCATTGTACCCTCTCTGCCATCGGATCAGATACCAGACAACAATAAGTGCTGCCACACCCAGCGATGCCGTTGAACCCCAGTAGACGATGGGGTTACCGAGAAGGAAGTATTTGGTGATGTGATCGTCCCACGAGCACATCCTAAGGCCCACGTGTAGAATAGGCCATTGCCAGAATTTGGACGCCAAATCGTCTTGTTTATCGGGATCAGGGACGAGTGCATTGTTGGATGTCATCATTGCCACGTTGAGATGAATAAAATCCTTCAAGAATGGTGATCGGTAGCTTTTGGCGTCGCCAGGAGGAACTGTAGAGCTTGTTAGTTACGCAGGTGAAAACAGGTCTGCATCCACTTACGTCGTTCGTTGACATGAGACTCCACATTCCAGTGAGTGTAGACATCCCGGGGGTTGTTGGCCTTGGTGCATGTTACCTCGATCTGCTTGAAACCCCATTGAGGCAGATTGACAGTGCCAGCGCGCAGATAACATCCCAGTTCAACGTGTTTCAGTCTGAAAGCCGTTGTCAAGGTGCGTATACGAGATCGATCAGATGAGGCGGCGTCACTGACAACTTCTACCTGCCAATGGTCTTTTTCGTCTCCAACGGTTGTGTTGCCGTAACAAGATACTTCCCAATCGGATTTGGTGACTGGGGCAGGGACCGTATGGGAGTGAAGATTCCGGCCGGTTTGGGCATGAATAAGCCGAAGGACTTGCTTGTCAGAAATGAAGCTCAACGGTCCTTCCGGGTCGAATTCGGGTTGACTCCTGTTTGGCCAGAAGAACCAGTCGTTGTTGGCGTCTTTGTGGTGGTAACAGGTGACTTGCTGCTGACCACTCCCTTCCGGATATGTCTGGACGTGCGAGTGAAGCAGCCCACCGCCGTAGCCCATATTCTTGATGGTCACCCTGGAGCCCAGAGCGATTTCCAGGGGCGAGTCTTTCCCAACCTCAGTTCCGCGCAGATTGGCTTGGAACAACGAGGACATTTGAGCATCGCCAGGGCCTGAATTCTCGAGGATGAGGAAGTGGAGGTAGAACGAGAACATGTATACAAGCATGGGAATAACAATCAACCCCACCACTCGCGTAACAACATGAGCGGCGAGTTCCGTCTTGGGCATCTTCAGATCACCGAATTTGTTCCACAGGTCTTCAGCAGTGTAGAGACCAACAAGAGCCGTGGCGAAAAGACCAACCCATTTCACGCTGCAGACACAGCCAATACTGAGTCCGGTCAAGAACAGCCACAAGAACCATTCCGGAGAGAAGCTCTTATGTTGCAATCTGTGGAAGCGTGCCCAGCAAAGGATGGTAGTGAATGTGAAACAGAGCAGCATTGAGTCGAGGAGGATGAATCGAGAGATGGTTGCATAGGAGTTTTCGCACAAGACCATGAGGGTGACCAGCCAAACTGCAGGGCGGCGGAAGTTCAGCTCCCTTGCCGTGTAGTATGCCAAAGGAACAGTGACGACTCCGAACATGGCGTTGAAAATTCGCATAAAGGTGTAGTTAACATCTTCAGGGTATGTTTCGCCAGACTTGAATTCGAACGACCCGTTGTAGCCGGCCAGATAACCTGATAGTCCAACAAGCATCTTTCCAAGCGGGGGATGGACATCGAAGTAAAACTCTCGCTTAAGGTAATGAGACCCAAACTTGCCGAAACTAGAAACCAGAGATTAGCATTGAATGTGATGAATCTGCCGATGTCGTTGCTTACTGTGCTTCATCCCAAGTGACAATAGGAGAGAGTCCGATCTTCCACAGCCTCGTGAACAGGGCAAAGGCTGTGAAGATGACCGGCGCGATCACCCACTCCCACTCGTCGAGGATCTGGAGAAAACCGGTTGGAGCCTAGAACGCGAATTAGCTCGTGGTTATATCAACGACAATTCAGTCCCACGCACTTTTTGGAGCTTCTTGGTATCTTCTGCCTCCACTTTGTAGACATGCTGTCCATTGACATTTTCATAGCTGGTAACATTTCTTCGGCGCAGTTCAGCGTCGTCGCTGCCAGCTCCAGTGGCATAGCCGGCGGTGCTGTTTGCGGCCATGATGTGAGCAAGAAGAGGTTCAACGACGTGAAAATCAGTTGAATGAAAGGCAGAAGATGATGTGGCCGAAAATATCGAGGGTCGTGTAACCGGAATGAAGAAGGCCCTTGGGGCTGAGGTAACCGGAACGCGCCTACAAGACGTAGGGTTTCGGCGAAAGGGATCAAGAATTAAATGAACTGGTAATCCGGAAGAAAAGAACAAGGGAAGAAAAAAACTGTCCTCTGACCACAGGGTCTTTGAGGACAAAGCGATTAAAAAGAACCGCGAGGATGCAGAATGGCAGATGCGCAGTCTGAAAGAGCAACGTGTCGATTGAACATGCGAGCGACCCCTTGGCGCGTGCGGGCTGGAGTCAAAAGGGGCTCGGGCTCCATCCGGGCGGAGAGAAAAGGGACACAAGTCAACTCCCGCCGCATCTACTACTGCGCATTTCAACAACTCGCATATGACGGCTGAGTCTAGCTTCTACTTCAGAATGCTGTCATACCCTAAGGTACTACCTTGATTCGTTATTTGACGCTTCGACAACACGACTAGCAGGCAGTCTTCACGTCAAGCTAGACTGACGCGTCCTCCGATTCTGTCTTCGTTGTCGCCAAATAAGTCTCCTGCCTCCCTGCAATATCTGACTTCCCCCGTGCCAGTACTACCGACTTCAGTGCCCCAGCAGACAATCACTGCATCTACTATGCATGCGAGAACACCCTCCATGGCTCCGAGTATGCCCCAGCCGATGGCTCCGGCTATCAGGCCAACAATGTAAGCGTAGAGGCTGCCTCGCATGCCGGCCCCGTCAATCCTCAAAGATCTCGCGCTGGTAACCCATCCGCCGAATCCCAAGGCAAGTGACATGATAACTCGGGTTGCATGGAGGATAAGCTTGGCCAGTCGGTATGGCAGAAGGGGCGCCGAGTCACTGGTCCATCCATCATTTCGCCGATGACGGGAAAATGTGCGAGGGTGTAGAGCCGTGCTGGGGGCACTCGGCGTCAAGAAATGCATCTGGGATAATCCCCTGGCACTGATACTCAAAGGCTGAGAATGAATCGCGGCGTATGTAAGCGTGAGCGGGTTGATGAGGACAACAATTGGACTCGGAATGAATGAGTACATCACGGCCCCCAGAAGCATGGTCAGCCGTCGGGGCAGCACCAATAAAGGTAGCCTCACCAGCAGGCTCAAACCGGTGTACAATGATATGGTTCCGAAAAGCGTCGTTGCAGAATGATAGAGGGCGGCTTTAACAACGGCTTGAGGACTGGGAGCCGGCACTGCCAGACGATGGAAATACCATTGTGACACCGTCGCCGAGGTGATCGTGCGCTGCATTCCAAAAGCGATCGCAATTGTCCAAAGATAGACCACGATGAAATAAACCCCTAACCACCAGGTGGACGTGTCGATGACAAATTTGCTAATGGTCGAGCGGGTGGAAGGATGTCCACTGAGGAAAACTCTGGTGAACATAGACAACCATGCCCAAGTGAAAGTGACGATGAAACCGAGAACCGAAAATCCGACCAGCACTAGGGTTGGGTTGGCTGCAAGAATCCTGGTCGCAAATTCCAGGATTGAGATGGCTTTCTGCATGGCCATTCTGCCTCTGAAAATTGCTAATATCCACAGGGTCGCCAGCGCCGCCGGGATTAGGGAAGTCCACCTCATCATTGTATCCTGGAGACTGGAGCCGTGCCACGAGCCCTTGTAGCTGGAAATGAGCGGATAGAGGGAAAAGGAGTACAGGATTACTGGTACTGCAACCAGGATGGCGTAGACCAGATATCGAACATATGATCGGAGGGCGGCGAGCCAAAACAAGGAAAGAAACGTCGCTACAAAGGTATAAGTCGCTAACAGGTAAAAGGATCCGTGCAGGGCGGTGTAAATGGTGTCGCCCAAGGGTTGATTGGCGCGGGGTGACTGCGTATGGAGATAGACAAGAAACCACGTCGTGCACATGGCTGCCAGCGAAAGAAGATAGACTTGACCCCAGAAGGGGTCATGCCTTGGCTGATGTATCACAAGTTGCACACCGCCTGGTCGGGATTCCGCTGGGCTGATGGCGTTCCGTGAGCGGCCTAGAAGTCGTTGTTGGTTGCTCTCCATCTCGGACTCTTCCGAGTCATACTCATCCTTGACCGCATGATCAGGCTTCCGTAACTGTTGAACTGAAGGGGGATCCTCCATTAAGTCGTCCGGTGGTTCATCGTCCTCTTCACTTCTTAGGGTGTCTTCCAAACCAACATCGACCATCCGGGTTCTGGAAAGGTTTGAATCTGCGAGTCCCTGGTGTGATTCTGTGGACTCTGCAAGATCTGCCAGCTCCGGTCCTTTGCGTCTGACGTTTGGTGCATTGCCGTGCCATGAGCTTCTGATACCTCCACCTCTTCCGAACATACGCTCATGGTGCTCGTCACTGTGGCTGCTTGTTGCCCCATTCAAACTAGATCCACTTCCATCCCCTGCTTCAGAAGAAGCCTTGAGGTCGCTAGCCCCTAATTGCCGTCGTGAGCGCTGGAGTGCGTAGTAATCGGCAATCTCTCGTTCATGTTCCTCCTCGTCATTGTCCTCACGAAATTCATCCGTGGCGCTGTAGAAAAGAGGAGCCTGCTGAGGGTTCAGACGGGAAGCAAATGGGAAACCAGAGAGCTGTGACGAGGTTGGCTGGTAGGGATTTGGTGCGCGTGAATTCAGTGCCCTAGAGGCGGTGGATGACCTCCACGTTGTATTCTGGCGCCGACCACCCTGACCATTGCCAGATCGACGCTCTTCTGCTGGCGCAAAACTAATACGCGACTGGGACTGTGCGAGGAACCTGGATGCATCTAGAAAATAGTTAGCCACATTCGTTACGGTACAAGCAACCCTGAACGTACATTCAGAGAACATACTGCCCGCAGGCAGTGACTAGTCCGGCGCCCCAGGCGCTATAGACTGTCGCGATGAGAGGGTTCGTGGTGTTGAGCGTCGGTTTTGACTGAGTAGTTTGTAAGAGTTAACAGCAGATACGGATATTCCGAAGTAGTGTTATCTCTTGCGAGGCTGTATTGCCAAATGTGAGCGCAGAGTGTGAGCGACAGTCGGTGTTTGAAGTTGGCGGTTGGACGACGCAGTGGTAAGTCGAGGATGATCGGAAAACGGACAATAATGGGCCTAGGCGACAGACGGCCGTCGCCAGCTGACTTGCACCACACTGGCACGGCGATGGTTACTAGGCTGCACTGGCCACCAGATACCAATAGCTGGTTGGAATAATGGTAGTACGGCAGTATCCTAAAGACCTCTTCCTTGCCTGCAGAGATGATGAGAGATACAAAGCCGTGGTAGTGTTATTAGACTGAGCGGTGACTATTACGGATGTGCACGCGCCCTCGATTCACCTGCCATCGTCATACTATCTGCCTCGCCATTACCACTCCGTGTTCAGCATTGTTGTCAGCAGGCTTTCGTACTTCAACTCAACATACTCGCAGCCACTCCCTCTCACTGTGAATTTTCTTCGGTCGCCCGTCAATTAAATCAGGCTTTGTACATTGTCAATCCTGCTCATGCCCAATATCACGCCCGTCCCAGCACTTCCTTGGAATTATATCGCAAAACTTGTATGCATAGGAGATTCAGGTATGTAACCTATTTCGAATGATTTTATCAGCCATCTAACGGAATAAGGAACTGGGAAATCTAGTTTGACCATCCGATTATGCGAAGGCAGATTCTCCTCCTCCCACGATGTGACCATCGGTGTTGAATTCGGTTCGCGAATAGTACCTGTCGGCCCTCCCGCCAATGCTTCGTTAGGAATCGGTGCTCCTAGGAGCGGGGACGCCAGCCGCACAAGTCCCACAGAGCAAAAGAAGATGAAACTGTCTTTATGGGACACTGCAGGGCAGGAGACCTACAAGAGCATCACGAGGAGTTATTTCAGGGGTGCCTCTGGCGCTTTGTTGGTATTCGACATCACACGAAGGAGCAGTTTTGAATCAGTCACTGGGTGGTTGAACGACCTAAGGCAAATTGCTGAAGAAGGGATTGTTGTCATCCTCGTAGGCAACAAATCCGATTTGGCTGCCGAAAGCACCGGGGTTGACGGCGGCACCAAGCGTGCGGTGACCAAAGAAGAGGCGGAGGACTGGTGCCGCCGGGAGAACGTGGTTAAATATGTCGAGACCAGTGCCAAAAGTGGTGAAGGAGTCGAGCAGGCATTCCTCGAGGTGGCCGAAAGAATATACCAAAACATTGAAGCCGGGAAATATGATCTCAACGACCGCCGCAGCGGCGTCAAAGGCTATGGCAGCGGTGCCGGACGCGAGGAAGGGAAAGCTCCCAAGACTGTCAACCTTACAATGAATGATGCGGTCAAAAGCGGTCAAGGCAGGGGATGCTGCTGAGCCTGTCTATGGTGTTTGTGGGAAGCGCCATCATAGCAATGATCGGCTTAAGACTGGGAGAGCATTCAATGAAACCGCCGCGCACCGCCTTCTGCATGCCCAGGTGCTTATGCAGCATATCCATCAAGATCTGCTTGCGGTCGCTGGACAACTGCAGATGGACTGGGAAGCATCGCACACTGCACTATTACTACTGGAGCGGTCAGTGGTCAGGCACAGGTCGTTGGCACTGGCGGGCGCACCTGTCGAAGACGCCAGAAACATACGCCGGTTCAGCATTGCGGATGGAAGCCGGCGCTTCAAGTTGTGGAGAATCCGGAAGAATGCGAAAGCGCAGGCGAAAGTACCCCGCCAACTGGAACTCATACAATCGGATTTGTCCATTTCGCCCGCAATGCTCGATCCTCAACTTGAATTGCGCAACTCGGCGACAAACGTCTTCGACGTGTCAGCGACTCGATGACGAATTAATACCATTACATATTCTACCCAACTGCATGTTTCAGTCCCCGTCACATATATTGAGCTGTACCAGCCGCCGTTGCTTTCGACCTCTCTTTCCCTTTGGTGTCCGCCTGTACCAACGCTCCTACGTCCGCTCGCTTTCCACAATGGCCAAACTAGAGATTTCCATCCCCGATCTAACCTTGCCCGATGGCCACAAGATACCGAGGGTAAGTCCCATTTGGCACTGTGACGCTCCGAGATTGCAGGGTTATTGACTGGATCCCCTGCAGATCGGGTATGGGGTCGGAACAGCATGGTACAAATCCGATGCCAAAGCTCCCAAAGACCAGAAGTGCATCGACGCCACGAAGACCGCCATCAAGATTGGGTACAGGCATCTCGATGGAGCTGAAATGTACAATACCGAGGAAGAGCTAGGTGATGCCATCAAGCAAAGTAAAGTTCCGAGAGAGGAGCTCTTCGTGACTACCAAAGTTCACACCCATATCGATGATATCCCTGCGGCTATCGACCGGAGTTTAAAGAAGCTAGGACTGAAATATGTCGACCTGTACCTGATCCATGCTCCATTCTTTGCCAAAGGGGACAACAAGTTGCTGCAGCAAAAGTGGGCGGACATGGAACAGGTGCTAGCTTCCGGAAAGGCCAAAAGTATCGGAGTGAGCAACTTCTTGAAACCTCACCTCGATGCTATCTTGGAGACTGCCAAAGTGCGCCCCGCGATCAACCAGATCGAGTTTCATCCATATCTGCAACACGGAGACCTGCTTGCGTACCACAAGAATAAGGACATCAGGGTGTCAGCATATGCGCCCCTGACACCTATTGTCCGTGCCAAGGGTGGTCCTCTTGATGGACTGTTAGAGTCGCTGGCCAAGAAATATGCAGTCAGTCCTGGAGAGATCCTCCTGAGATGGTGTCTTGACCAGGATGTGATTCCGATAACCACCAGTTCGAACGAGCAACGACTGAGTGACTATTTGAGAGCTTTCACATTCCAGCTGACTCCCAAAGAGGTTGAGCAAATATCCGAAGTCGGAAATACACATCACTACCGGGCTTTCTGGAACGATGTGTTCAGCCCCAATGATCGCTCCTGATAGGACAAAAGGCAACATGACCCAAGCAGTGGGATGGACCTGTACAGGGGATTATCGCACGGACTGGTCCGACTTGTCCAACTCAGAGGACACAAGACATGCGTGTAGATACCACGTTCCTAGGTACAACGTTGTAGTGTCGCCACAAGAAGTTGACTTGCGAGACATTAATTGTACAGTGGTACCGTTGTATCTGGCAGGATGCTATTATTAGTTTCATTTCAAGCACTCTGTGGAGGCTCAAAGGCTCCTCCGTGACTTCACTTCGGTACCTTTGTCGAGGGTGCCACTTTAGGTAGGCTCGAGGACCGTGTAAACCGCCCCGTAAGTCAACGCTGGCGGAGCCTTATGATACGTACAACATTGTACTTACTATCTACCACGGATATGGCCATCAGACCACTTTGGAGCCGTCGTCGATCATGATGTAGGAATGGAGCAAGCCAGACACGGGTTGGGCTGAGTGGATCTTTTTCGTGCGGCCTCTCTTTTCTTTCTTCGACTCGACTGTTGAGTACGAGTCATGCGCCAAAACGAAAACGAAGTAGCTCGGGTAGCACATTGCTATGCAGCTCGATAATTCCAATCTTCTTTTTGAAGTGAGTTGTGCAACAGAAGAAATACACCGAGCCCATGGCCGTCAGCGGTACTGTGCTACGTACTGTAGATACTCCGAGAGGGTCGCACAGCGGAGCAACTACAAGCAATTGTCATGAACATGAAGCCATAGCGCCTCGCTTCCGAACGGTCATGTGCCCAGAAACGATATAATTTATTATTAGTGCACGCCTTGTCAGAAAAGGCAAAGCCAACGAGGCTCGGAAACTCTCAGGGTGGTTCGTCGCCACTTGCGCTGCAGTTGTCCGCGATTAACGGGGTCCAGAGCACCAGCCACCAATCCACACCTGCGCTTCTCCATGGCTATCCGGCACATCCTATGTTTTTTTGGCAACCTACGTTGTAGAGAAGCCTTGACGCCTTCGCAATGGAGAGCTCACCGCTTTCCTTGGTACTTCACTGCTGCCGACAGCTACCGACGTTGCCGTGATGGTTAGTGCCATCCCACTTGTACCCTCCAAATGGGTACGCGGTACTCACTACAGTGGTACTACTACCGTAGCTGTGTGCCCACCGCCTGCGCCTTCCCTTTTCCCGCATGACATCGCGCTGCCCGGCTTGTGAACTTGTCCCTTCGATTCACGTCAGGTACGAGGCATTAAGAGGCTAGCTTCACAGCAGGTAAGATCGTCCTTTACGATCGTCACGATATACCTAGGTAGTCACTTCAGCTCCGCTTGAACGAGAGCCCTAAATCAGATATATACTGCTTCCACTGCCCGCTCAAGCATTCTTCTACGTGACTTCAAGTCTACATACAATCGATCCCCCTTCATACCTACAATTGCAAAAGCGTTTTCAAAAAGGCCTCTTCCATCCACGAAGCTGTTCGACACATCAACCCTCTGATACAGGAGACTCCAACAAGCATTAGCTAGGAAAAAAGCACAAGCATTTCGGATTCCAGAAACCCCTGCCATAATGCACTTCCCAGCAGTGCTCACCGCCGCCCTCCTCTCCCTCGTTACTGCGACCCTGTCATCACCTATTCTCCAGAGTCGACAGACAATCGACCCTCCCTCAAGATACTATCTCCAGACGCAAGTGGTCAACGCTTCACATGAGGACACCGGCACCAATAAGACCGGTTTGTGGTTATACTCCTATCATACCGGTGCTGGGCTAGGGGACGCCGGACTGTCATCCAACCAGTCGTGGGCATGGGAAGGTTATCTCAACGGCACTCAACAGCTTTTCACATACGAAAACAATGAGATCGGTCCCTGGCCGCTGACTATTGGTTATGGAGGCTACCAACGTGAGTTGCCTGAATATCTGTGAGAGCTTTGAGCGGGTCATTGCTAACAAGTCTGCTGGTAGAATGGAACCTGGTCACAATCAGCATTGCTTCAGCGCCTACTGAGGGCTTCTTCTTCAATTCGTCCGGTCTTCAATTCAACTCGAGCAGCTTTGGCGGCTGGCTAGGTAAGAGATTCAACCGCCCCTTGACAAGAGGCCTGAGCTGATTGCTGATTGTTTGCAGCCTGCGATTGGTGGCATGGTGTACCTCAGTTGTTCCAGCTGAACAGCTACGAGTACGGCCCTGTGCCGAGCTCTTGCTCTCAAGTCGAGCTCTTGCCAGTTGCTGTGTAAGCTTAGGAGGATTGGTCGGAACTGTATTAGGAAATCATAGCCTGAGTGATTAGGGTGCATTGCGTGGCTGCATTTGGGAGCATAATGATTTCCAGTCATTTTGCTAGCAATATATTCTGTTAGAACAGAGGTCAAAAGAATATTTAATCTATGATCCTTTACTCACCTGGAAAGAAGCATTATGGTTAGAACCGACCCTTTGGATCCCAGCTCCTAGTCCACGGTATCTACCAAGTATCTAAGGTATCATTTTACCGCTGTTCTGTGCCTGTGCTGCGAGAATCTCTGATGATTCCTGCAATACGTCATTTCGCACTAAACTCCGGATTTTCCTCATAGTACCACCGCTAGTGCCACGGTAGTAGTAGTACAATGCTATTGCCAGTGATATGATTCACCGTAGTTGCCCTTCAAGTATTTCAGCCTGACCCCTCCAAGTTTCCACTTTCCCCTGCACCCACCTATTTTGCGGGGCACAAGGCTACGCGCTGGCCTCCGCATACTACTTACAAACCAATGTGCCTCCATCGACATCACTGCATGCTAACCTTTCAAAGCGTTACACCACGCGTGCACACTCACTGCCGAACGCTCTTGTATGCTACAGCTTCATGGGGTCCTTTGCCGCAGACCAATGCAAAATGAGCCAGTGGCAACTCCAAGGTCTGCATATCAACCGATTTCCATGATGGGGCATTTGCTGCTTTCGGACGCTGCAGCCACGAGGCCATTGGACCCTGGGACAGCAGCAGACAAGTCGAGTGCGGAGAATCCCTGCGATCCTGACCTGGAGGGTATAATGGCCAAGGGAGGAAATGGCTCTTACAAGCACAGCTGCACGGGCTGGCTAGTGTGACTATGGTCTTCAAGGAGACTGGCTTCATGGGGCAGTCCGAGGTAGGTACCGTTCTGCTCATTGGTGTCACATCACATACAAAAAGCAAGCATTTCCGCTACTCTTAGTGCCCCTGGATCCAAAGGTTGGATCGTGACTGCACTTTTTGAATCCCCATCGAACCCAAAGGGCCCAGACAGTAAACATGGAATCAGAACTCGCCGAGCTCAAGCAGGAAGTGCAGAGGCTTCATGTCAAACTTCAAAAAGTCGAAGGTATGGTAAAGCGAAATCACTCACCTTAGGGCCGGGACATAAGGGCTACGCAAAGTACTGGCAGAAGGCCACCCGGGAAATCGGATGTCGACTGCACAGGGCAAGAGACGACCGTTTGTTGACTTGTCACTTACAGATGAAGCCGAGATCCGCAAAGTGCATTTCAAATACGGGTATTATCTCGACAAATGCCTCTACCAAGAAGTAAGTCATTTCCCGTCCACTTACCAGCAGAGTTTTCATCTCTATTCTCTCTCATTCTTACCGTGTTTTCACCCTCCAGGTCGTCGACATGTTCTCCAACCATCCAGACGCATACGTCGAGTTCCTCGGCGCGCGATACCGGGGCAAAGAAGGCATTCGGCGACTCTACATAGGGCGATTCGCGCACTACTTCGTCAAAGACCGCAACGGACCCGTGTACGGGTTCCTCCTGGACCACCCAATGATGCAGGACATAGTGGACGTTGACGCTTCAGGGACACATGCATGGGCACGAATCCGGGCCCTCATGAGCGCCGGCACCCATCAAAGCATCCAGGAAGAACACCCCCGAGGCCATGCGCAGTGGTGGGAAGGAGGACTGTACGAAAATGAATATATCAAGGAAGACGGGGTGTGGAAACCCTTTCGGTACCGATACTTCCCATTCTGGCACGCCGATTTCGAAAGGGGCTGGGCTCACACCAAGAAAAACTATGTCCCTTGGCCGACTACTACGTATCCTGATGATCCCATGGGTCCCGATGAATTGATCGATGAGGACAAGAGAATGTTGTGGCCCGACACCCGTGTTGTGCCTTTCCATTATGCGCATCCTGTCACAGGGCATAATGTCAAGGATGATGATTTGAGGGCTCCCCATTATGGTCAGGATCCGAGCACGGCTTTGCCGCCGTTGAGTTTGGCTTTGCCGAAAGATCTGCAGCAGAAGGAGAAAGAGCAGCCGCAGCAAAATACGGTTACTTCTCCCGCAGCTCCGGAAAAGGTCGTGGCACAAACTGGAGAGATAGCGGACAGCACGCCTGCTTGATTGAATAATTATCCTTGGGAAGCGCATCCGGAGGTGTCATTGTGCCGACCAGTTTCTGATGTTGCCTCGGTCAATACAGGTACTCTCTCTGGAAGATACCGTACATGTAGGAGGGTATCTCATGCTCGGCCATCAACAATGATCGCATACATACTCAATCCCACCCAGAAACAGGTCTCATTCACTGCACAATTAATCACATGGTAAAAGTGAACATGCACATTCAATGCCTATCCTATGTCTTGCCGTGATCAGTCTAGTGTTTACCCCAGCTTCAACGACCCGAGATTCAGCACGTCCACACAACTTGAACGGACTGTAGTAGTATTGAATTTATGCACCTACCCCGGAGGGTGGCCAGATGTGGAGAAGCGACCACCTCCCCTCGCGCAGGTACAGGACCACAAGCAAATAGTAGCCTCAGGTGGCCAACCCGAATTTCGATAATGGATTTTCCTTCCTCTGGATCGACGAAGCGAAACGGCCTTTTCCTTCTTCTCTTTTCCCCATTTCGGCAGATAAACAGATGCTCAGATGCCGAAGCACCCATACAGTACTATGTACTATAGTTGCTTCCCACTGGCATGTGAATAGGTAGGGAATACTAGTGGTCAAAGAATGCAGATTATGGTCTAGAATAAGGTAACGCCTACCGTTTCAATGCATGGATCAAGGAGCAGAAAACCAACATCACATCTCGGTCCTCCGGTTGCACTGTGCCTGTACAAACAGATTATGTTTTCTGAAGAACTGAAAACCAATACCCAGTAGCAACCGCACCGCTCCCCAAAACCCCAAGAATAGAGACAGAAGAGAACCAAGATGGCACACATCTACGACCTCGCGGCGCAAATTGCCCCGGGTCCCAACTACATCAACGGCAAAAAGTCCTCCGACCAGACCAAATTTCCGGAGACAGGCGTCTTTTCGGGCTTCAACCTCCCATCCCGACTTGAAGGCGACATCATCGACCTCGAAGTCGACGGACTGATCCCGCCCGAGATCAACGGGACATTCTACCGCGTCCAGCCGGACCACCGGTTCCCGCCCATATTCGAAGACGACATCCACTTCAATGGCGACGGGAGCGTGACGGCGATTCGAATCCAGAACGGCCACGCGGACTTCAAGCAGCGGTACGTGCGGACGGAACGATACCAGGCCGAAACTGCGGCTCGCAAAGCCCTGTTTGGACGATACCGCAACCCCTACACGGACAACGAGACCGTGAAGGGAGTCATTCGCACCGCGGCAAACACCAACATCACTTTCTGGAGAGGTGTATTGCTGGCTTCGAAGGAGGATGGTCCGCCCTTCATCATGGACCCAGTGACACTCGAGACTATTGGACGGTATGACTTTGAAGGGCAGATCTTGACGCCTACTTTCACTGCACATCCGAAATTCGACCCGGACACGGGCGAGATGATCTGCTTCGCTTATGAGGCGGGCGGAAACGGACATGATGGATCGAACGATATTGTGGTATGGACCATTGACAGAGCCGGACGCAAAGTCGAGGAAACTTGGTACAAGGCTCCCTTCTGTGGTATGATTCATGATTGTGGCATTAGTGAAAATTACCTTGTTCTCCCTTTGACGCCGATCAAATGGACTTCGATGGATACGCTGCAAAAAGGTGGTAACCATTGGGCATGGGATCCCAATGAGGATCAGTGGTACGGTGTTGTGCCTAGAAGAGGTGCGAAGTCAGAGGACATTGTTTGGTTTCGAGCAGATAATGGTGAGTGAAACTATCCTGAGACATACCATCCAAATCTTATCCTTCTGTCTATTGTCTGGCAATAGACGGCATGGCATATGCTGACTACCGTACCCTTTTGATTCGATTAGCTTTTCATGGCCATACTGCAGGCTGCTATGAGAACGACGACGGCCACATCGTCTTTGACCTAACAGTGGCCGATGGCAACGTCTTCTTCTTCTTCCCGCCCGTCAACGAGAAAGAAGCGCCTCTCGCCAAACGCAATCAACTGCAAAGTCCCACTTGTCGCTGGATATTCGATCCCAAGGCCAAGTCGGGCACACGAGTCACTCCAGCAGAGAGGTGGATGACCAACGGGGAATTCTCTCGCATTGATGATCGATACGTGACCAAGAAGTACAACCACTTCTGGCAGGCCAAAGTCGATCCAACCAAGCCTTACGACTTTGCCAAGTGTGGTTCGCCCGCCGGAGGTCTCTTCAACTGCTTGGGCCATTATAGCTGGGATGACAGGACCGAGGATGTCTTTTTCACCGGTCCCAAGGCCACCTTCCAGGAACCGACTTTTATACCAAAGGAAAACGGCAAGGAGGGAGAAGGGTATATCATCGCCCTGCTCAACCATCTCGACGTGCTCCGTAATGATATCGTCATCTTTGATGCACTGCATGTGGCTAAGGGGCCGTTGGCCGTCATTCACTTGCCTTTCAAGCTGAGGTTGGGTTTACATGGCAATTTCGTCGACCAGAGAGACATTGCCGAATGGCAACGAAGGCGGTCGGAAACCGGTGATGTTGGCCCTGCTCAACCTGCAAGAGAGCCACTACCTTGGCAGGTTCGGCAGCGACATATGGAGGCGCAAAATGGCCTAGTCGGAGAGGTACACGCATTAAACGGGACCACTCAGGTCAATGGAGGTTCAGCACATGGCGAATGAAGTCGCCAGCGAGCGGCGAGGACATTGTCCGCAATGCACAATGTATATTACAGTAGTTGCTTGTTGTTATGGCAGTTCAGGAGTGTTGTGGAGACATCATTTGGCAGTTTTCACAGTCAGCTGTGGCTCATTGCTAACTATTTCTTCCGGCTGATGGCCGATTGGTAGGCCGCTTCTCGACTTATAGTCCGTGTGACTCCATCGTCGCGGAGAGTGACCTGAAGACTCCTGGATCCCTTCAAACTGCCTTACTGTCAGCTGTGTATGATTTCGTGCATGGAGCAACAATGGTTGTTTGGCAGCGGCCTCAGCCTCATGAGCAGCCCCATATTCGGCTCCCGTTCGGTCTGGCCCCTCCAACCCCCACCGTCGCAAAATGGAGCCTCGAGCCAGAAATTTAAGGACCTGCCGAATCTGTAATAATGTCGCCAGCGCGGGATCACCGGTCGTGGCATGCTCGGCAGTTGTCTGCCTGATTACAGTAGACCTTCATAAGTGTCGCCAAACATCGCTAGGATCGTGCGAGAGTCTCGCGACCAAGCTAACATACACCGCGAACTTTGCTGCAACCTCTCAAGATGGGCTCCATTGAAAAGATAGAAACCAGGTTGTTCATCCACGGCAAGGTGCGTGCAATGACGGCGCGAGTGCCGACAGATATACTGACGCTAGTCCACCACAGTTTGTTGAATCATCGAATGGGCAAACCTTTCCGATCAGAAATCCCACGACCAGGGAAGTTGTTGCTGAAGGTACGTTTACCACGGTTGTCAGAATGCTAGTTGATTTTCTTGCGTGTTGAGCATTCCTCGAACTAACGCGGTATACCAGTGCACGAAGCAAGCGAAAGAGACACTGATGCGGCTGTCGCTGCCGCCAAAGCAGCATTCCCATCATGGTCGGCCCTCTCCCCGGATGAAAGAGGCACGTTTCTGAAAAAGCTGGCAGCTCTCCTTCGCGAAAATGGAAAGGAGCTCGCCGCCCTCGACGCCATGTCCATGGGACGACCAGTCTCGACGTACTTCGACAACTATACGGCAGCAAGCTCTTTCGACCACTACGCTGAAGCAGGCTACGATGTCCAGGGGGTGACCAGTCTCAACACGCCTGGTTTCGTCAACATGACATTCAAGCAACCGTACGGAGTGGTGGCTGCCATCATTCCATGGAACTTACCATTGGTGTTTGTTGGGAACAAGGTGGCTCCAGCGCTAGCAGCAGGAAATACGGTTGTCCTCAAGAGCAGTGAGAAGGCCCCTTTGACCGTAAGTCCAGACAGAAGAGTGTGAAGCATCCTGGCTGACAGATGCCGTAGTCGGCCAAGTTTGCGACTTTGGTAGAGAAGGCTGAATTCCCCCCAGGCGTGCTCAACGTTATTTCCGGCCATGGTCAGACTTCTGGCGCAATCCTATCTTCTCATATGGATGTCCGAGCAATCAGCTTTACTGGATCGTGCCGTACCGGCCGCCTGATCCAGACTGCAGCTGCAAAGTCCAATCTGAAACATGTCATCCTTGAGCTGGGAGGCAAATCACCAGCCATCGTTTTCGAAGACTGCGATCTCGATGACGCGGTTGCCGAGACACAGACCAGTGTTCAATGGAATAGCGGGCAGGTGTGCATGGCGAATAGCAGAATTTATGTCCAAGAGAGCATCGCCGACATGTTCGTGGAGGCGTTCAAGGCCAAAATTGCTGCCATTTCCCCAGGTGATCCTCTCGATCCTGCAACGACACACGGACCTCAGGCAGACGCCGCCCAATACGAGACCGTCCACAAATACATCTCGGCAGGAAAAGAGTCTGGGGAGCTGGTCTTGGGTGGCACGCCCGAACTTGCTGGTTTGCCCGATAAAGCTCAGAAAGGCTACTTCGTGCCGCCCACCGTCTTCTTAAGAACACGAGAAGATGCAACGATCATGAAGGAAGAGATCTTTGGACCGGTGGTAAATATCAACACCTTCAAAACCGAAGAGGAAGTGTCTGCCAAAGCAAATGACAGTGAGTTCGGGCTCTACGCCGCCGTGTACACCCGGGACATCAACCGAGCGATGCGCTTCGCCAAAGCGCTGGAAGCGGGCACCGTGGGAGTCAACTGCACGAGTCCTTTTGTCGCCAAAGACATGCCATTTGGCGGCTTCAAGAGCAGTGGAGTGGGAAGAGAAGGATTTGGGTTCAGTCTGAACAATTTCCTCGAAACCAAGACTGTGATGATCAAAATAAAACCATAGGTGTTCATTATCATAGAACAATGTCATCAAGAGTACATTTCAGCATCCTCATGTCCAGGTTGCATGTCGCCTTGCAACAGATCTCTGCGCTGCTGCCTCGCCAGGATGTCTCTCAATTGAGATTCTGCAGTAACCACCGGGCTGCTGCGACCGTGGACCCAAGTGGTCAGAGCATGCAGTTCCCCGCTCGGTATCAGAGACTGAAGCCTTCGGAGGAAGCTCGTTCGGCAGGCCGGAGCTGAAGATATCGGAGTTTCGAAAATATTGGCGTGATCATAGCTGTATAAAACATAGTGACGGCCTCCTTCGGAAACAACAGGAGGATCAGACACCGTGGCCGCGTTGGCGCCAGCAGAAAGATAAGTTTCCGAGACCACCGCATTTGTCACTCTAGATGGAGCCTCCCCGGCTTCGTGATCAGCCGGCTGATCTCTGAGCAACTGTCGAGGACCATGTAAGGGTTCAGGATGAGAAGTCCCGTTATGCTCTCCGGCAACTGGGGGCTCTTCGGCGAGCACAGCAGGTGCAGAATTGTTGCGCACAGTGCTAGAAGCGGGCCTGGCCACAGTCTCTGTCGGCACATCGCTCCTCATCCGCCGATTGCGTGGCACGGTTTGAAGCCTCTCGAGAAGACCATATGCAGCGGAACCCGCGTGGCTACCCTCGACAAGGCTCGCATCCTCCCTCAATATCAAGACATCGTCGGCTGCCGCCAATCTTTCATTGCTCGAGCTTGCTTCCGCCACTGCCTGGAGAGAATTGCCCGTGGCTCTGATCTCGCCCTGGGGCGGGAGATGACTATCATGTTGGTCCGCCAGAACCAGCCGGCTCCTGCCCAGAATCTCGGAGATTGCATTGACACTGTCTTCAATCTCTTCATCAACGGCCGCCAAAATTCCCTGTATGCTATACTCCTGGATCGGTGGGAGCTGATTGTCCATGCTCATCTTGCCCTTCGGTCTTTGCGGGCGGCTGGTGGGATGGATCTGGATGGAAGCATCGGCGGAATGGACTCTAACAACCACGGGTTGTGAGGGGATGGTGGTCGAACTGTTGCCACCAATTGACGACGTCTGCCCATTTCTGGCCAGGCTGGAACGGGAGGCATTCAAGTGTTGGAAGTGAAGCGCAGTCGGTAGGGGCGAGACATTGCTCCGGTCGCTTCGTAGGTAACTCGACGATGGTGGGAGGGATCTCGCCTGACTAGTTGTATTGCGCGGAGGGTGCGACAGGAATGCCCATTGTTCCCCGAAGCGGCCCGACAACGTGTCTGCTCGAGAATCCATGCTACTAGTAGTCAAAACAACGCATCGCCGGCGGAAAAGGCAAAGACAGGTTTGCCCTACAAGTGAGGGCAACCGTGGACGCACCGGGTTGCGCCGACAGTGTCTAGTCTGGAGCTTGCGACCCAAAGATTGAGAAGCGTGGCATGCGAGAATAGGAAGAAAGCGACAGCCAGACGGAACGCATGACCGTGGACAACGAGACAAACAGCAGGAAGATGGAAATTGGTGAGATGCTGGGATGGGAATTAGCCGTTGCACTGTCGCTGTAGTTGCAAGTTGCAGATGCGGCCGCAGTTGAGCATCAAAGCGAGCTTCGTGGCAGGGCTTCATTTGCTGCGCTCGCCTTCTCACTTTGTTAGCCATTTCTCAACCAAGCACACCATGTTCTATCGCCTGCATTTCTCAGATCGGACGGCTGATTCTTGCAACGATAACCCAACTTCTCTATCGTCCCGTCCGATCTCTACCATGGCGGCTCTGGCCGCCCCGATCTTGCAATATGTCGTGCATGAAACGTTCGTTGTCAGACAGCCGGGAGTTTCCACACACGAGGTGTGCTTGGAAGCGGCCCTTCCAACTACATCTCATGACTGTAGGATGATAGTCATAATCTATGGAGCGATTACTCCTACCAAGAGTCGGACAATACTGTTGTATGGCCACGTGGTACTACCGATGAGGTTGTACAAAGGACCTCCTCAAGGCAGGCAAGATGAATAACAGGTCAAACATCGAGGTGAAGCTAACAATCATGCGATTCTTTCTGGGTCAACTGGCGATTTGCAAAAGTCGGCGCCCTGAAAAAGCCCTGATCCCCAGTGAAAGAGACATTACGACCACATCTCGTCGATACTCCAGTCAGATTTGTACTACCACCTAATCTGGTCGGTCTCCCAGATCGCTAACTAACTGCTCCAAGACATCTCACACAGTTTAGTGCTGAAGTCTACCGTGAGCTGTATGTGCCCATCTGCTTGCTGCCTCGAGCAGTTCTGAAACTGGGTACGGTAGTTGGTACGACCTTATGACATGATGAGAATGTGGGGATGATGATCGTCGGAGATAGGACCTCGATTTCTGCCTCTCAGCCGTGGCTGCTTGTTCTTGACAAGCTTCAACTGAGAAGCCCCATTGACTTGATAATAGAAAACACCAGCGTCCGGTACGTCTAACAGAAAGATCCCAAGACTATTCAGGCCAATCTACCCGTCGGTTGCTCGATCGTGGTAACTGGTCACGCGATACGTTCAAGTGTCCATAGCTCTCCCCGCCGACCCATAGGACCCCGCCAGGATATCATGGTTGGGAATGTCCTCATTCGTGGTAGAGCTTCGTTCTCCATGCAAGCTTGCATAGCTTCACAACCACTGTCGTCACTCTCGCAATTCTCGGAGGTCCCTACCATGGACCCGGAGCCCTGTTCGAAAGTACAAAGGTACTCGGGCTCTCCCGGCCCAGGTATAGACTTTCTAGTACCAGGCCTGTTTCCCAGGGTCTGAGCGACGGTTCCTTCAAAATGTACTCCCACCTGAGTCTTTTGACTTTGCTGCCTGCCCTGGTAAGCTCAACGCCCGTTCCAAGACAGCGTAGACTGGTGAGCGCTTCCTCCGAACCTCTCACCGATCTCCACGTCGTGCAACAATATTGGGGTCAGATCACTCCATATGCAGATAACGCAGAGAACTTTTTCGGAGTGAACGACACTGGTTTGCCAGATGGATGTCAGGTCGAGCAGGTCCACCTTCTACAGCGCCATGGAGCCCGTTTTCCCACAAGCGGCTTCGATGACGGGGCCAACAATGAGAACTTTGCGGAAAAGGTTTTCAACTGGACCCAGGCCAACTCATCTGACCAATTCACCGGGCCTCTCAGCTTCTTGAACTCGTACCAATACCAGATGGGTGAAAGCTATCTGGTGGGGACTGGCGCCTCGCAACTGTTCCAGTCAGGAGTCACCTTCTGGCAGCGATATGGCCGGACATTGTTCAATGCATCAGTTGGACAGTTGGCTTACAATGCTAGCTTTCCGAACGGAACAGCCAGACCAAAGCCTGTGTTGAGAACGACCTCGCAATCACGCATCGAGAATACGGAGATAAATTGGGCCTTGGGATTTTTTGGTCCCTCGTACCAGGAGGAACCGGACTTCAAGCTGACCAACGCCACCAGCGCTTTTGACTTGGTCATCATCCCTGAAGGCGGAACAGAGAACAACACACTGGCGTCGTACGATAGCTGCACCAACGAAGGAGTGGATGAGATTGGTTACATCGGCGATTATGACTTGTTGTCATACTTGCCGAAATACCTGAATGATGCCCGCGATCGGCTGGCAGACTATGTGCCAGCAGGCTTCAATCTGACCATCAACGACACCTATGCCATGCAGTATGTTATCTATCCTCTACCCCCACCCACAACCGAGCGGGTTTGCGGCACATGCTAACTTGTCCTCTAGGAGCATCTGTGCCTATGAGACAAACTATCTCGGGCAATCCGACTTCTGCACTCTTTTCACGGAGAATGAATGGGCTGGCTTTGAGTTAACCCTCGATCAGGAGTACTACTATGACTACGCCTGGGGCAATCCGACAGGCCGTGCGCAAGGAATCGGATATCTTCAAGAACTCTTAGCTCGACTGACCCACCAGTATATCACCTCCTCCAACTCAAGCGTCAACAGCAGCATTACCAACAATACTCACGATTTTCCGCTGGACCAGAAATTCTATGCCGACTTCTCGCACGACGACATCCTCATCTCTGTTCTGACAGCCGCCTCGGTGGATTACTTCCGCGATCCACCTTCGCTCACCGACTATCCACCGGATCCTAACCGTCACTTTATCTTATCGCATCTCACGCCGTTCGCAGCTCGTTTGGTGACAGAAGTGGTCGGGTGTGGCAGTGCGGACCCTGCTCCACAGTCAGCTCGTACACAATACTATCCGACGCAATACGGTTATGATTCGAACAACGCGACGCACAAATTTGTTCGCATGCGACTGAACAACGGGATCTTGCCGTTGTCGACTATCCGAGGTGGCTATTGTGGGAACAGAACCGACGGGCTGTGTCCGCTCAACTCGTTCATCAAGAGTCAGTCGGGAGCGTACGATCTCAGCAACTATCAATATGCCTGCTTCGGAAACTACACGATCGACTACCCTAACAATGGCACTGACTATGACGGGACAATCTTTAGCGGAAGCGACACATCGTCGTGAGCGATGAGAAGCGACAGAAGATGTAAGCGAAAAGGGAAAGGAGCTATGGCAACTTGACGAGCGACAAGGGTGTCATGCGACCTAATACATGGTAATAGCACCGATAATCTGAGATATATACAGACAACAGACCACGTCCAATACATTCTTTTGTACTGAGTGACTACTGGCAGTAGATGCGCACTTTTGGCGATTCGAAGGATACATTAACACATTGTGGCTTTTTGCAGGCGACCGACAAGGCTGCCAGCATTAATTGCTGACAAATCTCTCCCACTCAGCCTCGTGCGGGGACCAGCTTCGGACTCTCGCAGTCGATGACGCCAATCGGAGGAGATGCTGACATCAGCAAAGTCGGAATTCCCGATGCGCGACGGTGTTTCTCAGCACCACTCCTTTCAAGAACTCTGTACTACTAATCATTCAGACTGGGAAATTGACCAATACTCATCGAAATCACTAGGATTTGTAATAAGGACGCTTTGTATCCATTTGGTGGACTACAGTTATACCGATACATGCACCTATTCAAAGGCATATATATATGCTGCGACCGTTACGAGCCGCAACAGACCTCCGCAACAGCATCCAAAGATCAATCGTCCGGATTAACACCACGCCACAGCTAATTCACCACCATAGTCTTTTCTTTACCGGACCCAAGTCACCAGTTGCATTAAACCATAGGCTTATACCAGCCATACATCCAGGTTGTGCCAGATCAGTCCACACACATACATCCACCATGGCATCCTCTGCTTCGTCCTCGACAACATCGTCACCAGCGTTGCCCCACCCGCTCACAGGGCTATATCAGCCCAACCAGCTCAAGGGGCTATACTACGGGCCTGACGCGGTGAAGAAGCACATCTTGTCTGTTCTTCCGAACTCCGAGACATCCAAAGCATTCATTGTGACAGGGCGATCTCTGGCAACCAAGACGATACTGATCCAGGAACTCGAGGAACTACTGACGGCCAAACACCACGCCGGCACTTTCAGCGAGATCAAGGAACACGCACCGGTCGCACAGCTAGACGAGGCGACGGCACAAGTGGAACGCGACTCCACGATCGACACCATCATCAGCGTGGGCGGCGGCAGTCCGATCGACAGCGCCAAGGCGATTGTATATCGCGTGCACGAGAAGACGAGCGAAACGGGGCAAGGCAAAGGTAAATGGCTACGACACATTGCAATTCCGACCACCCTGTCCGCGGCCGAATGCACCGCTATGGCCGGATACACCAAGAGCGACGGGGTCAAGACGGGCCTTGCCCACCCCAACATTTACCCCAGCTATATCTTCTACGACCCCAAGTTTGGCTTGCACACACCACAGTCACTGTTCTTGTCGACGGGGATCCGCGCCCTCGACCACGCCGTTGAAACCCAGTATCATCCTCTTGCGACGTGGATTCCCGCACGCTTGGTGTCTCTCAACGCTCTGGCTGAGTTGTTCCGCCTGCTTCCCAAATACAAAGCCGACCCGACTAACGAGGACGTGATTACGGGTCTGTTCCTCGCTGCATATGGCAGTCTGGGCTTCTTCGGCCAGAACCTCAAGGGCGGTCTAGGTCTGTCTCATACCCTGGGCTACGCGCTCGGTAGTCCCTATGGCATCCCGCATGGCATTACATCTTGTTTGACGTTGGGCCATGTCGTCAAGCTTAAGGCTCGTCAGGATAAAGCGAACGCCGAGGCCATTGCCGCCATCTTGCCGTATCTCGGCGAATCGAGGTCCGGAGATGATGTGAAAGATGCCGATCGTGTCGGTGATAGGATCTTGGGTCTGGTTGACGACTTGGGCCTCAAAACTACTTTGACTGAAAAGGGTGTGGGTAGGGACCAGATCGATATTATTTGCCAGAGAGCAACCGGCGGCCTGATCCCTGGCAAGGAGCAGAGTCAACAGGATGAAGAGACGTTGAAATCCGTCAAGAAATTGGTCGAGGGGTTGTATTAGGTAGATACTTGATGCGTGTCTGATACCTCATCGACGAGGTGGTCAACGACACAGAGATGATGGCGAGATGTCGAGACAGAGCTATGCGGGAGTGACGCTATGCTATTGAGACCAAGCTGGATTGATATTGTACAAACAGTCCCGTATGCCAAGCGGCCGGCCAGATATTCTCCCTAAGCAAAAAGATTATGCCAACTCAGCCTGCTGTTTACCTTGGTTTGGTCTACTACCTAGGATCATAAGTTCAGTGTGAACCCGTGGACCTTGTCCAAATTCCTGCACTTAAATGTAAATGTATCCCCTCAGCATTCCCTAGCATGCATATATGATAGTACTTAATTCGTGATGCGTGATGCGTGACCTTTTGATTCTGATGTCTTGCCGCTCAAACCCAAGTAGAAACTGCCGTACCGCTAAATCTAGTCCTGCTCTGCCAGCCATTTTGGGGACTAGAGCCCTTCCGCGATGCATAAGGCTCGACGGACGTAGCTGGAGATGCAAATGCAGATGCCGATACTGTTTGAACCGACGGCGGGGCTGGTGCTGTCTCTGTGCGTATCGAGGGCGCCGTAGCAGCAGGAGGAGGAGGTCGCGACTCAGTTTCTGTCTGTGTTTGATATCCGTTGCTCCAACCTGCCTGTCCCGTCGAAGTTGAACCCGGACTCGGACTCCAATTTGGATAGGAGTTTGTGCTCGTTGTTGCTGTTGCTGTTGCTGTTGCACCCTGTGAACCACTGATTGATTCAATTCCACTTGCACTTGCACTCCCAGTAGAACTACCACTACTCCTACCACTGCCACCACCACTTCCAGTCTCAGTCCCCGTACCACTACCGCTTCCACTGCTACCACTCCCGCCACCCTCCTGCCCACTAGGAACCTCAAACGGCCCCACTCCCGGCCTCGGAAACAAGGGGACACCCGTCCCTTCATCCCAAGTGAACTTCTGGGTCCTAATAGTCCTAGCACTCCACCCATTCTCATAGTCTTTCATACCATGATAGACGATCCAATCCTCATTGCCATCAGGGGACGTCGTAAAACTCGCATGACCCACCCCATATACTTCCTGTTCTGGATTCTCATAAAACACACAACCCGCGGTATCCTTGATCCACGACCCTGCATCCATTGGATCCTTGCCTGCAACCAACTCCAGCCGTCCGAGACAGTAATTCCTGTTATCGCTTCGTGCCGCCGAATAAATCACAAACTGTTGGCCCGTGGTCGGATTCGTCAATTGTTCAGGTCCTTCGTTGGATGAGAGACGCTCGTTGATGGTGCGGTTGTAGGGTGTCTTTTCCCATGGCTGGTCGGGCCGGGATATGACGGCGCGTTCGGATAGGGACGAACTTACGGTCCAGGGGTCCGACATGCGTGTTATGCATAGCATGCTGGGCCAGGATGTGTATGTGGATTCCCAGCATGAGTAGATGTGGTAGATTTGGAATGGCACAGGATTTGTGTCGCCGGCAGTAGTACTATTCAGAGGCAAAATAAAGTATGTTCCATCAATGGCGAATTGGTCGTACGTGTTCAGCTCTGCTTTCATGGCGTAGGTGCTGGTCCATGGGTCGGAGGTTGACGACTCCAATACGAACATGCGGTGGTTGACGGCCGGACAGGTAAAGTCGCACAGCATGTCTTCGTCGGGTGGCGGGCTGTCGGCGTCCACGTCCGCCGTGAAGATGATGTACCATAGTTCGTTGATCAGGTGTAGTTCGGGCGCCCAGAGGTCGTAGCTGTAGCTTGTATTTGTGGGTGGGAGAAATGCCAGTTTGACATCGGCGTTGTTCCAGTCTCTGAAGGCAAAGAGGGTTAGATACTGGAGACGAGACCCGGACATGGAGGCCATGAACGGGGAAATTGGGAGAAAAGGAGTATGAATGGCAAGGAGAAACCTCAGGCTCCAGCTCAGTGGAAGAAGAGGCAGTGCCGTGACATTCCTCTGAGAGCATGGGGAGGAAAGCGCAGAAACTTACGTGAGAACGCTGCTTCTCAAAATGGTGATGTTGTCATTCGTCGTGTAGGTCATGTAGTAGTAGCCCTCGTGCCGGATAACCCATCTGCCATATAATCATCTCAGTCAATAATAATAGTATTTTGTGTCTTGTCCCAAGTTTGAATAATGCGGGAGGCGGGTGGAAACATGGCATTCAAACTCACGGATCTGCCCCAACGCTATTGAGGATGGGATTCGTGTATGTTGCGGCATTTGCGGTGGCGGTGCTTGTCTGTGCAAAGGATACAGCACAGTATGTTAGGAAGGAGATCAGCAAAGCATAAATCGAGGTTGTGGTCGGCATGGTGTTGCCAGTTGACCGCGTTAGGAGCCCCGAGTCACGAATAAAGAACAGACGAGGTTGAAAAACGATATATTTGGAAGTAGACTCGATAGGAGGACCGGAACGAAGCGTTCGTATTCCAAAGGTCTGGCCGAAGTAGGAAGAATATCCTCAGAAGTAGATCTGGGGTCGCATCGCCGACATGGTAGTAAGGTCGATTTTTTGGAAGGGCGCATTTAAGGTTGTCCCAGTCGGGCCGCCAGTCACGAGGAAAACCCCGATCGATCAGCAGTTACATTATTCGCAGCAAACCTGGACCGAAAGGCTGAGGTGACATTGGAAGAGAACGGGCGTTGTTTGTTGTGGACAAGGATCTAAAAATGCGGAGTAAGCTGCACCAAGCCAGAAGATCCCTGTTGAATCCATGATGAAGTCAGGAGGACATACAAAACCAGAAGCACACTGACCTCATTGTGCATATGTTGTTGTACGTAGCCTTGATACGGAGGGTTTTGGGGAAATGTGTCCCAATATATACATGGAGTTGAAGGAGCGAGAAGAGGCGACACTGCTGCTCAACAGGACATCTGCGTACCGTACAACATCCCTACAGCCAGATATACTCCACGACTCTTTTGTGTTAGTGAATATACATATATTCGTCGTCAGCCAATATGTTGAAATGAGCCATATCAACACTGCTGATTATAGCGACGCCTTGATCTTCTCGTCGACAGGCTTGACCTCGACCAACAACTTGCCTGTCTCTCGTCAGCATACCTATACCCAGCTTCATTAATTGATGCTCACCTGTGTTTACGCCTTTGTACAGATCCCTCAATGCATATTGTGCCTTCTCGATGCCGCCCTTGACAATCGTTTCTTTCCGTTTGATTTTGCCTTCAGAGAGCCACTGAGACAAGTCTCTGAGCGCTCGAGGATACTCCTTTTCAAAGTCGAAGACGATAAACCCTTCCATCCTGGAATAAAAGTCAGCGCTTTCCAAAATGCTACTATTTATGGCCAGTCTGTTTCAGGGAGACTCACCGAATGCGCATGGACACGATCATCAAATAGTTCTAACGAGCACACATCAGCAAATGGGGACCAAACCCACAAAGGGTGCATCTGTATCATATACCTTGGGCCCTTGCTGGTTCGCAGAGTTATACTGACTGATACCTACATGACTGTCAGCAGGGGCGCGCAACATGGTGACAAGCCAGACAGAGCAGCTCAGACTTACCTCCACACATGACGAAGCGAGCATGCGGTTTCGCTCTGGCCAATGCCATATCGAGGATTTCGCCTCCAACTGTGGCAGTCAGCGAAGCGCTTCCGAGAAACCAACGTTCACGTCCACCCACCATTATCGAAGTAGAGATCAATCAAATCCTATCAAGCACAGTCAGCATTTGCACGACCGGACAACACTTTCGGGGCGGAAGGAATACCTTCGTTGCCGCTCTGAACTTTTTGTGAAACTCCTTGTCTTTGTAGTTCAATGCCTCGTCAAAGCCCAACTCCTCCTTCAGCCAGCGGCACTTGTCATTGCTTCCTGCAATACCCAGGACCGTGGCACCTTTAAGCTTGGCAATCTGGCCGACCACGCTGCCGGTCGCGCCCGCAGCCCCGGAAACAACGACGAAATCTCCTGCCTTGACTTTCCCTACTTCGGTGATGCCAAAGTATGCAGTCAAACCAGTCATTCCTGAGATAGTATCCGGTTAGTTGCAAGATATCAGTGATCAGAGAACATGTCGCGTGGAAACCAGGTGACTGTGCAATGCCAGGAACCACCATGTAGAGTGAACAATAACGAAAGGGCAGACAACAGCGCCGTCGTCGTCGCCGCGTGCAAACTGCTCGGCGAGTCCAATTCAGGGCATACAAATAATTGCAGAACAATCAGAAATAAGTCAGAAACATACCCAAGACACCCAACGTATCGGTAATCCTTGCGCCCCTCGGCAATTCAACCTTCTGCAACTCCTTGGCCGCATTACACACCTTGAGCTCGGTCCAGCCCACCATGCCGAGCGCAAAGCTGCCCACAGGGAACTTCGGATCTTTCGAGGCCACAACAGTTCCGACTGCCTGGCCACGCATGACCTCGCCGATCTTGACCGGCGGCACATAGGATCTGGCATCGTTGAGCCAGCCGCGCATGGCCGGGTCAATGCTGAGATAATTGGATTGGAAGAGAACTTGGCCATCCTTGAGCTCGGTGGCCGAGGGAACTGGATATGTGACTGTTGAGAATGTCTCGTTGGGGACAATGGCGTCTTTGGGCCGTTTGGCCAGTGTTACGGCTTTGTAGGTTGATGTTGGAGCCATGATGGATATCTGGTTGGTTCCTGGCTGATTAGGATTTGCGAAGACTGGTTGTGTTTGTTGGCCTATGCCGGAGTTGGGATACGTCTTTCCTCGTAGATTCTGCTGTGTCCAAATATCTTTGTTTTTCAATGTCGACCTAGGGCGAGCGCTGATGCTAGCTAGTAGGGAAGACAGGACGGGTATCGGAGTATGCAGTAAGGAGGCTGATAATGGCACAGCACAACTTCGATCCGTCTTCAGCAACTGAGTATACTGTATACATTGGAAAGGGTTCTCATTCGTCAATCGAACCGATCGCTTACCTACGCGAACGTCGCGAGCGTGCGAGATTACAACACCTTCGATTCGCTTCGTGCCTCGGCTCGATAGGTGTCAGATCATTCGCCAATCGAACACCTTTTGCTCCGCCGTACAAATATACCCGCCCGTAAGTCCAGAGGAAAGTAATGGCGAGCATGTGCCTGGGTTGATCTGCTGTGCTGAACTGAATCACCACTGTCTGACATTGGATTACCGAACATCCATAGTAGGATGCGAAATTTACTTAGCGTACTGTGGGAAAAGATTTCGTCAGACAGCTGTATTACCACCGAGACCGGAAACGTCCACCAGGCTCATGCATGGGAAGGAACGTCACCGTGGTAGTACAGGCAATAATGTTGGCATCTACGCCTGGTGTGTCAGTTTGTATGACAACTTGAATGGATGGCCGGATGATCAGCCAGATAGCTCCACGGCCGATGATTCTTTCTATCCTCTATCAGCACTGCATCACTTGGACAACTTGAAGGGCCAGCTAGTAGCCGCAGATATCCCAACTGCACAGCTTTTTGTGCCTATGCCGCAGCTTTCACAGGCTCACCATTCGGCTGCTGCTGCTGCTTTTCTTCGTTCTTTTCCGCAGGAACATAAGGCTCGTCCTCCTTGTAAACATCATACTTGTAATTGCTTCCGACATGGTCGGCCCTCAACTTGGACTGGCCCTTGCCATACACCTTCTCTCTGGCGGTCAACCCTTCCTCCTGTGCACCAGCCTCAGGATACAGACCGCGCTTGCGAAGTTCGGGAATCAACAAGTCGACCACATCCTCAAACGTGCCCGGCGTAGTGACATAAGACAGATTGAAACCGTCCAGGTCAGCCTCACGGATCCAGCGTTCCATATCATCCGCGACAGTCTGCGGGCTTCCGATGCCGACAGGACCCAGGCCACCAATGGCGGCCTTTTCGGCAACCACGCGAGGTGTCCATTTCGGCACGTTCTCGCTGGTGGTGGTGAAGGCGTCGAGCAAGCTGGTGATCTTGTGCGCCTCGGCCGAATCCGCCGCCGTGATGTCCTGATCGATGGGGATCTTGGAGATGTCGATGCCGGTCCAGCCGCTGAACAGGACGAGACCGCCAATGGTCGAGGCATATTTCTTGAGTTCTTCGTGCTTCTCGCGCGCTTCTTCGTCCGTCCGTCCCACGATCGGCGTGTACGTGCCGAAGAACTTGATCGACCTGGGGTCACGACCTTTCTCGGCCGCGAGCTGGCGGATCTTGTCGATCTTTGGTCGTAGCACTTTGGTCGAGTGCGAGGACACGAAAATCGCCTCGGCGTGCGTCGCTGCGAACTCGGATCCTGCTGGGGACGTACCGGCTTGGAACAGGAATGGCGTTCGTTGAGGCGACGGGTCCACAATGTGTCGAGTGTCGAGATTAAAGTACTTGCCATGATGGTGGATAGTGCGCACCTTGTCCGGATCGATATATGTGTCGTTTTCGGGGTCCGGGTTCAAAGCGTCGTCCGCCCATGAGCCTTCCCATAATTTGAGAAAGGATGTAAGCGTCCGAAGTGCAGGTACGTGCATGGGTTGATCTCAGAGTGGGGTTTACACTTACTTGTAAAGAACCCTGAGGTATTCGTCCGCCTGGAGGTATCGCTCATCGTGGTCAATCGGAGTATCGAGACCAATGGCCTTGAAAGCCGACTTCTTCCATGAAGTCACAATGTTCCATCCAATCCGTCCATTGGTCAAATGGTCCAGAGTCGAAAATCGCTTGGCCAGCAGGAACGGGGGCTCAAAGGACGTCGAAGCCGTGATACCAAAGGCGAGGTTCTTGGTGACTGCTGCCATGGCAGAGATTGGCTGCATATCACACTGTCAGAGGTCTCCAACTGCAGCAATACTCTTTTCTCATATCCATTTTTGCCAGCCAGCATCATTCCCCCCTCGAAATATCTGCGGCAGCAGAGAAGCTAAAGCAAAAAAGGAACTTACTATCGTCGGATCCGTCACTGGCCATTGCGCAGCTCTCCGGATACAGTTGTCCAACGAGTTCTCGTACGTGTCGTATCCTCCGTACGTATCAGCCAGAAACAGGCAATTGATTCCACCCCTTTCCAGCAACTTGGCAAGATCGATCCAGTAATCCAGCTTTCGCTTGGTTGCGGATTTATCTTTGGGATTCTGGTCGAGTGTCATCAGAACCAGTACATCGCACCACGGATACGGTGGACGCTGGAGATGGAAACTGAACTTACCTTCCATTGTCCAGGAGACAAATGTCCCACAGTCGACATGTCAAAAGCATTCAGAAGAATCTGCTTCTTTGGCCCGTCCTGAGTCGTCTGGACATTGCTGCCGGCCTCGGCCTTGCTATTGTCTCCCATTGTGATGATTGAGCCCTCGATTGAATTCGTTCAGAGAAGGTAGAATGAGCAGATTCTCTCAGGTATCCAATGCTGGGAGCCTGTGACTGCAAGAACTTCCAGATATCACACAGAAAAGTCAAGCGAATTACAACGTCGGGGTTCGGGGTCGACCTTAGATTAGCCAAAATACCAATTTGAATGAGGGTTTCTCTCAGAATTGCATGATTTGCGACCCGTCACGGTATCCCGAGGCCACTGGCGGCGGCTCGCGCTTGACTTGGAGCCAACCCACCAGGGTACTGTCGGATACGCTGGTAGGACCACACACAGCGACTGCGAGCACTTACCACTCATCAATGCAATGTAGCACTACTACTACTACTACAGTGTACTGTGTTCACTTCTTTCTCCATTGCACTGCAGAGCAGCAAAGCTCGGTCTTCTCCGACCCCATTCTTTCTTGCGCCGTGTGGATTTATCCTTGGATTCGACATCTGTTAAGCTTACCATTCATTGGAAGTCAAAGGCGTGCTTTGAGCCCCTTTGCGGGTTTGAATGTCTGAGAGATGCAGTGGTTCGGGATGGCGCAATCGCCTGTTGCGATTGCGACAACACTGTACCCAATAACCAGAACCACGCGGCCTGACAAGCAAGCGACAACGACAACGTGGCTCTGCAGTGCGGATGCAATAATCAATGTGAGGACCAGGACTAAGCTGGCGTAATTGTAGCTGTCAACTAGTTGTAATCCTTCAAGGAGCTCAACACTTGCAGTTGGTGATATGGCTGTCGGTGGTTTCGTTGGAAGTAGATGATGTGATTGATTGATGGAGTCTGAGAGGAGAGGAGAAAATGGGGGTGGATCCAGGAAGGCAACAAACAACAACACCAATTGATTTATTCTGGCTGGTAGTAAATCTGCCATTTGTTACAGATCGACACACCGCCACCACCAACAACAACAACAAGCACACTTATTACTCTACGAGAAGACAATGCTTTTGTCTGTTTCTATGTGACCTTGGTCTATCGTTGTACTGTACGTCGGCTTCTCTTAGGTTCAAGTGTTGAAAACTGTCATGCCTTCACCGTCGAATTTTCCTGCACCAGCACTGGACTATTTGCCCTGGTAGAATGAGAATAGTCTTCATTTCTCTTCGGCTGCTCGACATCGACTTCCGACGAGATGGGGTGGGGTGGACTGCGCTCGGTCAGCAAGTTACAGCTCATAGTCAAAAGCTGGGTCCTACTTACCTCCTTCGCTTCAGGTAGAAGCTAATGATATGAGCAAGGATAATCAGACAAATGGCATTCGCCAGAACAAACGAATATCCCTTTGTGAACCGGGGCGCCTCGACGGTCTTGAAGACCAAGAGAGGTGTCCAGGCCGTAGTCGACTGCGAAACAGCATTGATGAGCACGAGGACAAACGACCGTTCGGCCGGTGAGTATCTCATCTGACTGTTGACCCAACCGTACAGGACACTCGACATAGCGACGGCCGAGTAAGTCGTCAGAAAGGCAAACCACAACGCCGACTCCGGAACATGCCAGATCACCAGGATAATCAAGCCAATGATGTTCCAGGTATGCGCGAGGGTGATTGCCCAGGCAGGCCCGAGGACGAGATCCGATGCAAAGCACACGAACAAGGTGTAAAAGATGCCCAGGGCCGGGGCCGTGGAACCCAATTCGTTCACCCGAGACTTGGAATAGCGATTGAGACTTTTCAGCCATAACAAAACCCCGCCGGCCGTGGTGTTGACGCTGCCGTTCCAGAAAAAAACATCCAAAAGCAGCAACGCCCACACCTGCCATGAGGTGAAGACCGTCTTGAGTGTGGCCCACGAGACGCTCTTTTCAACCGTGCTATGTCCATCCCGGTGCAGGCGTTGGACGGCTGCCGCAATGTCCTTTTCCTTCAAGAAAAGCTTGTTGGGCCGTTCAGGCGTGCCTGGAAGCATGACATACCCAAGGATGCCGATTGGGATGGTAATGAGCGCGCAGATAATGTACATCCAGCGCCATCCTGCAAGTCCACTGACACCATCGAGGCGAGCAGATGTACCGGCCTGGATCAAACCTGCAGTCAAGGTTCCCAAGGTCAATCCGACGTAAAAGACGCCTCCTCGGCGAGCAATCTCGTGCCCTTTATACCAAGATCCGAAAATGTAGTGCATGGCAGGGAAGAACGCAGCCTTGCACCACAAGTCAGCATGCACAGCACCACTGTGATCAGTGACTTGACCGTAACCTACCTCGAACCAACCAACCATAAACCGGTAGGCCATGAGTTCCGCATAACTGTGTGCCCGATACTGAAGCAGGGTGAAAATGCCCCATGCAATGTCCAGAAACGGGATCAACCAGTGCATGGGTAGGCGGGTGAACAGGAACATGAATGGGATCTGTCCCACCACCGCGCCGACCACATAGATCGTTTGAAGATGCACCAGTTCATTTCCGTGAAATCCCAGGTCTTCCTTGAGCCCTCCAACATACGCATTGTCTTACGGCTTGTTAGTTAACGGCTCATGGGCAACTTCAAAAGGACCACTGACTAATGTTGGCTTGGTCAATGTACTTGGTCCAATATGCCAGGAACGCATATGGCACAATCAAAAGGTCAAGTTTGAGGATCAACCTGCGTTCGTCTGCGGTATCGTCCGGGGCGAACCAGTGCATGTGATACCATTTGCGGGGTTTCTGAGCAATCGACATGTTTGCGCCGGTCACGGTTCTGCAGTCTTGCCGCCGACTGAATCAGTTGCGAACCCGACATGGCGGTCCATGTTTATATCGTCAAAATGAGACTCCTATAGGCCAAGACATGGAAGGCGTCACTTGGATTGGCAATTGCGCATTTGGTGCCTCGCTGGCAGGGATCTGGCGGCGACAAGGCTGGCGGCGACAAGGCTTGGACATTGATAGAACATGTAACAGTCCATGGTATGCCAAGTTGTCAATGGAGGTTCCGAGGCTGAACCAAGGGTCCAGCATGGGCCAAATTCACCCTGCTTCCCGCATAAGTTTCGGGAAGACTAGGGGTAGGTAGATCAGCATCGTGTGTAGTATACCACGGCGCGTTCGCCCCTCGTTTACACACTTTATCTATGGCAGTGTGTTGATTCGCAACTGCAGTTGTCGCAATGTGGATCGGATCAATCGTGTCAGCGGGTGGGACGAAGACGTGCTCGAGAGGGTCCGCTCCCTGAGTGGTCAGCCCCAATGTAGTTATCGCACCATAATGAGACGACCACAACTCCAATGCGTTGCCGGGATCCACGTGCAATACATTTTCTGAAGTTAAAAGGTGACTTCCGCCGATGCGAGCATGTTGGAGTTTCTGTAGACTGTGTGCGAGCCTTCGACTTTCATAGTCCTCTTGCATCCCACCCACCAAGACGCCAAGATGGGCAGTATAGGCACTGAGGATCTGCTGAGAGAAGCGTCGGCCGCTCCAGTGGAGAACGGAGCGGTAGGAGATCAATTTCCAGTACTTCCAGATAGGGTGAAGAAAACTTCAGGGCAGCTGAATGGCGATGTTCCTGCTGCCAAGCTACCCAACGGCCATCACCATCCGGTAACAAAAGTGGCCGACGCGCCAGCACCACCAATCGAGTATCCAACCTCAGCCTGGAGACCAAAGCTCGAGCTTGAGGATCGTGGCATCGATGAGATAAGGCCTCTGCGCGTTGTGGTTGTGGGTGCTGGATTGTCCGGAATCCTTGCTGGGATTCTTTTGCCAGCCAAGGTCCCGGGCCTTGACTTGACAATCTATGAGAAGAATGCGGATGTGGTATGTTTTTCGTGCATCTGTTCTTGCCCAAGAACCAGTGAATCACAGAGCCAAACTGACATATCCAACATTAGGGCGGCACGTGGCTGGAGAATGTCTACCCTGGCGTGAGATGTGACATCCCGGCCAATGTTTATCAATCCACATTCACACCACGTACTCAATGGTCCGAGAAGTTTGCTCAGGGTGCCGAGATCTTGCAGTATTGGCAAGAACGAGCTCGCAAGTATGATGTGTATCGTTACGTGAAGTTCAACTCGAACATTCAAACGGTGCAATGGAGCGATGACGAAGCCAAGTGGATCATTACTGTGCGGAACACAGAAACCAACGAGATTTTTGAAGACCGAGCAGACTTCTTTCTTACCGCGATTGGGCGCTTTAACTCCTGGAAGCTTCCCGATTACCCAGGTCTTTCAGACTTCAAGGGCGTTTTGCGGCATACTTCCAACTGGGATCCGTCCTTCGATCCAAAGGGCAAGAATGTCGCCGTCATCGGCAATGGAGCCAGTGGCATCCAGGTGGTGCCAAACTTGCAACCCATCGTCAATCGTCTGGACCACTATGCTCGCAACAAGACATGGATCGCAGGATCATGGGCCGGAGACGAAAGGACCTTTGAACCGCAGTATTACACGCCGGAGGAGTTGGAATCTTTCAAAGATGATGAGACATACCTGAAGTACAGAAAAGAGATGGAAGCCAAATACTGGAGGCGTTTCGCCTCCACTTTCAGAGGCTCACAGGAAAATGCGGAGATGCGGGACACCTTCATCGAGATCATGCGGAAGAGACTGGCTAAGAAGCCTGAGTTATTGGACAACCTTGTGCCAGACTTCAATCCCAATTGCCGGCGACTAACCCCTGGCCCCGGGTATCTCGAAGCTATCACACAGGATAACGTCGATTTCATCCAGACCCCAATTAAGCGATTTACTGAAACCGGGATCGAGACTGTGGATGGCAAACACCGAGAAGTCGATGCCATTTTCTGCGCGACTGGCGCCCACGGAGTTCCACAGTTTGAGATCACGGCCCGAGGCGTAAACCTCAGTGAAGTATGGAAGCCCGAGGGAAAGTACGGCTTCCCATACACTTACCTTGGACTCGCCACCCCTGGCTTTCCAAATCTGTTGTATATAGCTGGCCCACACGGCACAGGTCCATCCGGAACGGTGCCTCATGCCGTGGAAGTCCAGCTCACCTATTATGCAAAGTTGTTGCGAAAGGTCTCCAGCCAGTGGATCCGGACAGTTGAGCCCTCGCAACAGGCTGCGGACGACTTCATCGAATATTGCGATGCATTCTTCCCGAAGACCGTCCTTACAGACAATTGCAGCTCCTGGGCCAACGGCGGCAAAGCCGGTCAAAGGATCTTCGGCATCTGGCCAGGCAGCGCTGCTCACGTGACAATTGTTCGAAAGGAGCCGAGGTGGGAAGACTGGGAATACACGTACTTGTCCAAGAGCGGAAACAGATTTGCATATTTTGGGAACGGCTGGACGACGAAGGAGGCAGATCCGAACTCGGATATCACTTCGTACCTTCGGGTTCCCTCTGAGATTGACCTGAAGGACCTCCATGAAAGATGGTGGGATTGGCCGTAGATGGTGACAAAAAGGATCATGATGATTTGAGCAGGCTTCCTGTGATCACTAGAATTGTGCTTTGACTGTCTATACAGCCTCTTCATGTTGAATGATTCAGAAGAGGCTTGGGGCATCCGATTCTGGGGTTGTTGTAGCCTGGCACATCATAAGATAACCACACGCTCTTCATGGGTATTTGTGGTGGATGATTCTGCTTGCGCGTATCGTCATTCGCCAGTCTCAACATAGGACCAGAAATGCAATCAAGCAGGATGCTTTTGTCGGCTAGTATGCATACGGGTTCAGGTAAAATTGCTCAATGTCATGATCGAGTCAAGGGAGATTCGAACTCGATCCACGGACCCGAGAGACCCCGTTTACGGGCCTTGAACGCTGTCATGTCGCGTGCGAGTCTGCAAAGTAGGGAGACAGGTCATACAGACTGATCGCAAGACTGGAGATGAGAACAGGACCAGAGATAGGTCTTGGTTGCAGATTACAGACGAGAGGCAATAGCAAACCAAAAGGAAACGGAAAGCGGGTATGAGGCTGAGGTGGTTGACAAAACCTGGAGCACTTGACAGTAGGGTGCTTTTGAAAGGCTGTCCGCCGGGCCTTGCTAAGCCTAACAAAGTAATTCAGTGGAAGCACGAAGCTTTAGAGTACTTTCACGTTTCACCGAAGCCAACTTCAACTGCAGAGTACAACTGAGATCGCGCAGGGAATTACATACAATGTACTTACTGTAACTTGAATGAAGCCTCGGCTACAAGAACGTGCATTGTGAGCCATGATTTGACGGAAGACAGTACCCTCCGTCTGCTCAACAAGAAGATCGACATTTGTATACTAACTTGGCATCACGTACTATGTTGTAGGCAGTGGCGATCAAACAGGCACACCACAAACTAATAAAGGCACTACTGTACGTACTCACCTACCTATTTTTAGGCCACCAACATCACACCTACCAGTCACTGGAGGATCGACCGGCTTACGACCCGGATGCCAAAACTCATCCGGCCGTCCATTCATGCATTCCATCGTGTACTTTTTAGCCGAGAAGAGGGGGCGAAAACCATAGAGAATATACTTGGAAAATACGCCTCCCAACTCCCCACAACTCAGCCCAAGGAGCCTCGCCTCGGTGGAAAAAGTTGGCACAGCCTACTAGCAAAGGTTGGAAGACTAGACGAAAAACATTGGGGCCGCCCAATAGATCCAAAAGGGATAACATCATGATCGACGAGAAATATGCGGTGAAAGGATGGGCCTGCTGTGGCCTGAGGTAGGCTGGAGGAGCAACAAGAATTCGAGGTACTGACTCTAAGCCTCCAACTACTGTACCCGCATTACGGACCGTTTTACTTCGCTTAAAGAGAAATTGACAATGGGATAAATAGGTGTTTAAGCTGAATTACGTGCAATCAACTGACTATTTGAGGTCATTTAAACGTCATTCAATTCCGCCCCAGATCGGGCATTTGAATCCTCCTGGGGGTTCCTGTGCATTTCTGAATACTGTCCCTTTCTTCCTCGGGGCCGGTAAGAAAGATCCAGGAAGGGTACTGAAGAGTACCATGTCAGGGGGTGCTTGTTTGTTGACAGAGTCATTGACATGCTTTGAGGGAGCTTTTTGTAGTATCCCCTCTTTCCCATCCCGTCCCATTCCCATTATGCATGTGCTTAATGCTGATCCCATCCATTCGCTTCGTCCCCATTGGATTCATCATGAATATTATTGGATTTGTTGGTTATTGCCCTTTGTGCCGGGCGTAAGTCGTCGTCGTCCCACATACCAGGTCGTTGCAATCATTTCATTTGTTCAGTTGACTTCAGTTCAGTAATTGGCCTCGCGGCTCGTGCTTTCCGCGAAACGTAAAATCTGGGTCCATGTACTCCCATAGCACCGAGTGTCATCAGGTACTAGCTAAGGGAAAAGCTCAAGCGTGCCAGTCACCCCAAGTCTGCTTGGCCGCCTGTGCAGTCACGGTCGCAGTCACGGTCACATACTGGGTCACAGGAGCAGGTGTGACGTAAGCAGTGGTGGTGGCCGTAGCGTAATTAGTGGTGGTGGCAGTGACAGTGGCATAAGCCGTGGTCGTGGCCGTCGCATAGGCAGTTGTAGTGGCGGTCTGGAAGACGGTCTTCAGAGCAGTGATTGTTGCCGTGGCGTAATTAGTGGTCGTGGCTGTGACCGTAGCATAGGCAGTCGTGGCGGACGTCTGGGTCACCGTAGCATAGGCAGTGCTGACGGATGTTTGGGTCACCGTCTTGTATACAGGGGTGGCAGTCGTCACCGTTGCGGTGTTAACAACGGTCGTGGTCTTAAAGGCCGTTTGGAATGCCGTGATGGTAGCATATGCCGTCGTGGGCACAACTTGAGTCGTGGTCACATAGGCTGTTGTGGGAACAACTTGAGTTGTGGTCGCATAGACGGTTGTGGGAACAGTTTCAGTGGTAGTGGACCACGCCGTCTGTGATTAAAACCCTGTCAGCAATCCGCCCTGGTTCCCCATAGTTTGCGTTAGCAACTAGACGTACCTGAGTCTCGGTCACGGTCACAGCAGACTTGCTCCAGTCACCCCAGTTTCCAGCACCTCCAGGGCCTCCTGCTGGAGGGCCTTGACCTTGGTCACCTCCACGGCGATTGAGGGCACCTGGAGGATATTGGTCATCTCCACGGGGGGCGAGGGCTGCAGCGCTAACGCTGGTCACGAGAGCAGCAAGAGAGAAGAACTTCATGGTGGCGACTGTTGTGAGCGAGGGTAATGATCCAAGCAAGGTGTGATAATGACAGGTGCAGGCGTGTGGGCTAACGAAGGGCCTGGGAAGGTTGCTGGAGGAACGAAGGGGTTGATGATCTTCTCTCTTCTGCGAGGCTGAGGCTGAAGAGTGTCGAGAGAGAAGTACAATGCCACGGACCTACCTTGACTTCTTTATACCTTGAAGGGAGCACTGTCTGAGAGGAGGAGCCGACCGATATGATCTCACGAGGTGCTGGGAAGGCGTCTTTCATGCCCGGCCACCCAGCTGTGAGACATCTCTTACCACTCACCAGCGATGCCGCCCCTCGGATGCCGTTCTGGATCCTGAATCCTCTTCCCGCATGTTGACAAGTTCAACAATCCTGGTTTTTGTGCCAACGCAATGGGGATTAGTCCACGTGCGGAACAGTACACAGCATACACCTTGAAGTGCATGGAACGGAAAAAGGTGCACTGGTTGATCCACCGCCGACCTGGCCGTGGTCCTGCAGCAGTGTGCGACATGCATGGCAAGTGTACAATGCTGTTGGCAGGATGCTTGATCATCCATGTGCCATTGTGGAGGAGTAGTCAACCGAGTCAAAAATGGAAGGCTGAGTTGTTGTGGCGACAGGCACCATGTCTCGCCATAGGATGAAAGTATGAAGTGAGGTCAAGCTTCCCAGCCCCAGAAAGACGAAAAGGTAAATATTTAGAATCCGCCATCCCCGGATGGGCTTTAGCGTTGGTGTTGTACAGCAGAAACTGGTTCCTAGGGTATGCAAGGGTATGCAAGCCTGCCTATTTCCTTCCTCCACGCCATGCAGGTCGACGGTGGCTGCATAGCCGACATGGATGCCCCAAAGGCCGGCGCTGGAGGCTGTGGGTGGTGAGGTTTCAGCGCAGAGAGGACGCCCAACGCTGGACGACCTGGATATCTCGACCTCATGGGCGAATCGAATATTCCGGGGCCGAACGCCCACCTTTCACTCTTTGGCTATTGCTGACATGGCTCTGCTGTTCCGGAACCACGGCTGTGCTGGCTATTCCAACCACCAGTCTATTCCCCTCCGGGTGAAACCTCTTGCTTTTGTCTTTTTCGGCCCTCCAGTCAGCCGAGTAAGCAAGGTACCACTCTACGAGTATGTACGGTACACTGGCATCCATCGCCGTCACCTCCGCGGGCTGTTCTTTCGCGCCCTCCAAGAATCCGGCTGTCGTAGGCGAGGTTGGGCCATAGTCGCCTTGTTCGCTCCCCTGTATTCTAGTGCGAATGTCCCAGAGCCTAGTCAACCAGGGGCCTTCCTTGTCTTTTAGCACTGCACAGTGCTGCATGCCTCAATGTTTTTGCAGGCTCAAATGTGGTCAATTTGTGGCTTTTGTGTCATCGAGACACTCCACACCTCGGAAGAGCAGAGGCGACAGCGTCAGCTGAGGCTGTTGGAGCACTCTGCCATACTTGTTCGATCATGCGAATGGTTTTACTGCTCGCCTGTTCATCCTTTGTTCGGCGAAGACCAGCCTTCGTTCCCGGCCCATTAGACCGTCCTTACCTTACCAACCCCTCTCATGGCAGAGACAACTGACTTTACATGAACTATGATGGCTTCAGGCTAGGCTTCCCGGTCCGTTTGGCTGCAATGGGGTGTTTACTCGGAAGGAAGTGGCAGAGCAACGACGATTGTTACCCATGGGGCGAGATCGCCGAGCCGTCTGGGGTAGGAATTCTGTCACCGGTGCTTGAGGCCCCGGGTCAGATCAGCATTCGCCATAGTGGACAAGGCTCATCATACCCGTAGACAGTATGGATGGCTCGCAGGAAGAGATGGAGCAAGTACTCAGGCAGCAGTTGCTCCTCATCATTCGAAATGTGTTGTCCAGTGGGTCAATCAAATCCTTGATTTGGGTATTAGACTGAGTTCCCAGGTACTATGGTCCCTCATTACGTCTGAGGGGCTTTGCGGGAAGTAATCAAGGAAGTGACAAAGAACTAGCTCTGGGTTGCATCAGTACGTACGAAGAGAACAATAAACATGGCCGCTTCGTTCACGTCGACTTTGGACTGGCCGGTCGTTCTGGTTGTGTCATTCGGCAAGTGCTAGACAGGACCCAATAACGAAGTGGAGTAATTGCGCCAGCTTTCGAGAAATCACGTTGAGGACGCCCACCACCAGGCTTTGTGACCACCATGCATCCGAAGATGCAAGAGTAGCCGCCAGAGAGTTTTGTTGTGTCCAGTAACACTGCCCTCCCACATCGCCTGCAGCAGGGCGAAATTCAATTGGTTCCGTGAGCGTCCGACCACATGTTTGAATTGCTCTTCTGTTATATTGTCACAACTCCTCGTCTGGTTGTACAAGACCTTGCCAATAAAACGGCTCTCTGGGGTTTCCGCCTTCCACACGGGCAGGTGGAGTCTAGTACCACGGCCTTCTGGTCTGGTCGCAGAAAGAGCCGCAGATCGTTCGGCTATTCGCAGTGACAGACCCGCTGTAGGGCGCAGTGTGACCTTCGTAGACCGTTTAGCCTCGAATGAGACAGACTAGGTCATTGTGTCGTTGTTCCTGGTGAGGCCAGCACATTTGCAATGATGAGATCGTCCTCTATGTTCCAGCGTTGGCAGCGAGGGCAGACGGATTCTCTGACCAAAAGGAACATGTCGATCGAGCGGAGTGGAAGATCATGGAGCAAGCAGAGACCTCCCCCAATCCGGAGGTGGCTCTGAAGAACCCAGGGCCTTCCTCAGCTGACAACTGCATGCATGTGGCGCATTACTCCGTCTGCGGTCTTCTGTGGTGCCTGAAAGGTTCACTAAACCTTGATCCGGCGGCGAACACCCAATGGACCATACCCTCAGAAAGCCGAATTACTTGAGAACATGCACAGTAGCCCAGCCATTTGCAGCTGGAGAAGCAGGCGATGAGATAGCGCATAAAGAGCCCAAGCTCGCACTAAGGCGTTGCTGGGATTCCGTCCTCAGAATAAAATAGAGAAAACGTCAAGAGTTGGAGGATGCTGCATGACGAGCGCGGGGTTTGTGGAACTCATAACCGCATGCAGCACAAAGGCCTTGGGCTCCAGCAGAGGAAGCAACGCCTGCATCTCTTGCTTATGGCCACGGGTTGCACCGGAGGCACTGTCTCGCAACGAAAGCCAAGGTGGGTCGACGTCGCTGTTGACCGTCAGAGAGGACCTTGTGTTGTGGTACCGCAGCTTGACGCGCGACAGTTGACAGCGGTGAAGTTGTTGAGTCGACTCAAGCATACCTAGACTGAAAGGCGGTTAAAGGCAGCCTCGCCGGGCGAAAGCATGATAGTATCGCTTATGGTCGTGGTTCTAATTGAGGCCGAGGAAGCAGTCAAGGCAGCCTCCGCCTTGCATGAGATCAGGTTTCGGCATCGAGTGTTGGAGAATGTGATGTGGAGGTGGACACCAAACAATTCCAGCGTAGACCGTGAGAAGCGGCCGGCTTGAAGAACGTCGTTTTACGAGGTGGTCAAGGCTCATAAGTTGCACTGTCCACATCGCCCTCACACAACCAATCACCGAAAATACCCCGGTATGCCACGAAGCCCACCCGTGTCTTACTTGAAGTAGGCCGTGCACAGTTATGATATGCAGCCATGAAAACGACATATCGCGGGCTTCAAGAATATCGCCAACCGCACGTGGTGGGCCTCGATTCTGAGGAGTAACACGCTGATACAGTCGCCAGATGAAGCTCAGCGCAACAAGACGCGACCCGACAACGGCTTGCACGAGCGCGGGAGTACTGGACTTTATCGCAGCAGCAGTTTCCTGGGATGACGCCGGCAGACACTGTGCAAGGCTCCCTGAAGATAAGCTGCCTCCAAGGGCAATGTCCCAGGAGGGTGGAAGGAAGAGTGGAGGTGCCGGTAAGCTTCATGAGTTGTCTCCGTTTCGAACTTCCTGGTCGATGGTTGCCGCAAACTTCGCAAAGATAAGGCACAAGCCACACTGACGATATCGCTCGACAAGTTCGTGAGACTTCTCAGTGATTTCTCCGTTCGATTGCTCAGCTCCGTTGCCAGTGCCATTCTCAACATTCACACCCTCCACCAGGGCGCCGAAGCTCGTATCAATAGGAACAGAGCCCAGGAAAGGAACGTTGGCCTCTCGCGCCATAAGCTCACCGCCTCCCTTGCTGAAGACATTACTGATTTCACCACAACATGGACACATATACCCAGCCATGTTTTCAATGACCCCTAGAACACGGATTTGTGTTTTCACACAGAAGTTCAACTCTTTGCGGACGTCGGCAGTAGAAATGGCTTGCGGAGTGGTGACCACAACCGCACCTGATAGCTTGGGCTTTGTATCACCGTCAAGCGCAACGGATCCTGCGTTCGCAGCGAGTTTATGCAATTCCTCCACGATTGCGATATGTTCATCGCTGGTGCCCGGAGGCGTGTCAACGAGCAAATAGTCTGTATTCGGTGGCCACAAAACGTCAGAGACAAACTGTCTAATCATGGCAGTCTTTTTAGGCCCACGCCAGATCACGGCCGAGGAGCGTGAAGGAAGAAGGAACGCAAGAGACAGAGCGTGTAGGGAGCCTCGTTTCGATGATGCGGTGGACGTAAGTTCCAGATGGCCATTCGAAGTATTGTCTTCTTCATCTCTTGTATCGTGCACCCTCACCGGTAACCATCCTCCAGGGGCTTGCGTAACTTTTTTATCCTCTAAATTTAGGAGGCGGGGGATGCTGGGTCCGGTGAGGTCGATGTCGAGGATTCCGACATTGTGTCCTTGCTGCGTGAGCGAGAGGGCAAGTTGAAGCGTGACGCTCGATTTTCCGACGCCGCCCTTGCCGGAGAGAACAAGAACGACGTGCTTGACATTCTCGAGGCCCATGACCGTAGCTGAAAGGGCCAGAAATTGAGTAGAAGGTCAGCGCTCACTCGGAGCCGGGGGGACGTGATGAGCAACAGAACTGGAATAATAAATTGAAGCCCAAAAATAATCATTGATAAGCAACTGCGGGAATGGCCGCGGCGGCGGATGGGGCACGATGGCGTCGACAATAATGAAAGGCAGAGAATGCTTATTAATATGAGCCCGGGCACATCGGCAGCCTGATGCAGCCTCGTCGCCACGCCCTGGAGGAATTTTTCCGGTCACGAGTTTTGACGCGGGGTGGTGGTGCCCAACTTGAACTTGCTACCTCTGTACCAGTAATAATTGTTTGTACAACGTTTGCAGTACCTCAGGCTCACTGGCAGCTATTCGTGTACCTGATCTACAATTTGTATTGATTGGTTGCCATGGGAGAGGATACGCAGTCTGCCATTGTCTGCGGCCAACTGTAGGCGTGACGGCAGGTGTTTTGTTGTGGGTGCATTGTCCCTTAAGCCATCATGAATTTATTCGCTATCGCTCTGACGGTGCAGAGAGTATTAAAGTCGTCGAAATCTACCAGGTACCGGGTATGCATGTAGGCTGCCAGGTTCCAGGCGTGAATGAAGAGACAAAAGCCCTAATAGCGGCCTTGGCCCTTCTGCATAGCGCTTTAAAGACTCTTGGTTGTAGCACGTGCTTCTCTCCTTATTGAGGCCTTCTGTGGAAGTGCAGCAACGAGTGTAGGTACCTTGAGGTACTGAGGGTGACTCGGTATGCTGCGTCCTTCAATTTCTGGTTTCATGCCTTTTCTCGAGCTTGAAATTCTTGAGAAACTTTACGAAACAAGGAACATTGGGCTCACCATCATTGTAAATTGTTCCCCAGATATAATTATCGTGTTCCGTGGCATATCCGTACTACTAGTAGTAGGGCTGCGCCAGTAGAACTTGAACATTTCGCTGTTAGCTGCGTCATGGACCCGAATCGCCGATCTGTGCCATCCAACGGCGCGCTCGTTGGCTGTTTGGCTGTTGGGTCTTGATTGTGGCGGGTGCTCACTTTAGTACCGTACCCAAAAAATCCATCCTCTGCAGTGTAGGCTGTCACACAAAAACTTACCGCAACTGATAACCGCAGCTTTCTCTTTTTGCCCAAACTCAAGTTGCCTCACTTTGAATTTCATATCAGAGCAACTGCACTCGAACATCGTCCGTCGAACTAGACGTTTGGCCTGCAGTCAAGCCGTCGAGCGCTGTCGAGCTTCCGCTAGAGGCATCTTTACCTCCAGCAGGCAATCCTCCACTATCTGTCGCAGTGCTGGCGAACCTCACCCGTTTTGCCATTCATCTGTGACCCAGGCTGTAACGGCCACTTCTAATTCCGAGCAGATACTAGCAGCTACTCTATGAGCCGTAAAGATTTGCTACGTTTCCTGTCCAAGCCAGCAAAGTGAGTCCTGGCGCGCTTCCTCATGACATCCTGTTGCTGACCGACACCCAGGCCCAGATAACACCAGCTACTTGCGGATCAAGTCGTCAAATTTTGTCATCGATTGTTGTTTTCAACGCCTCCCTTGCTGGCACAACATCATAACGATACTCTAACAGGTATCGCAAACAGACCACAAGAGCAGGACAAATACTGCCCACAATTCCGTTCGTGCAGGAAATCTTTTTCCTCCTCTCCTCCACCCGGCCTCCCTAACGACCCTTCGACAAGGGAACCTCACTTCATCCAAACATTGCTGCTGGCAACAGCCAGCCTCCCAGCTTCCCGCAGATAGTGGGCCTTCTCTTCTCAGGCGGACACCGCATTGTTCGTCTGGGCGGCAGATAGTGCTTCACTGAATCGTCAAGATCCAGTGCCTCCATCAACACACTGCCCACTCGTCAATTCTTGCAGGCAGGACTTTGTCCACCACTTCGACAAGGATATGGTACATATTGGGATCCCCAAGAATTACACTGCTTCACCTTCAAGCTTTAGTCAAACGCCATCTTTGACTATCAATCGTGAAGTAGCGCTGGACCTCGACTCTAGCAATGCTTTCGAAGGTCCGCCCCCTTTTTCTCCGTCTTATGTGCCATCGCTGACATTGCCTAGGTCCCGAAAAACTGCTAGAAGTATGGTTCAGTCCGTCGCCTCATGCCCTTCATGGCTGCTCGGAGCCGACCGGGCTCAAAGCCGTTCCTGCCGACGTGTGGAAGTCAATGCTTGACCTGGTCAACTGCAAAGTATTGTCCATTGTCGAGTCCGAAGATGTGGATGCCTACCTCCTCTCCGAGTCGAGCATGTTTGTTTTCCCGCACAAGCTTATCTTGAAGACATGCGGCACCACCACTTTGCTTTGTGGCCTCCCACGGATTCTTGAAATTGCTACTCTTTTCGGTGGCTTTCCCCGCTCTACGGCACCTCCGGCCGGCGGCATTGCTGTTGCAGCTGCCCCCTACCGTGTCTTCTACAGTCGCAAGAACTACTTGTTCCCTGACCGTCAACGTGGCCCACACCGCAGTTGGCGTGATGAGGTCCACACGCTGGACAAGCTATTTCTGGGGGGAAGTGCGTACATGATCGGCAAGATGAACGGCGAGCATTGGTACCTGTATCTGACCGAACCATACACCATGTTGACGCCACCTGCAACCCCCCAAAGCATGGATAGTCCTGGTGCGGGGACAGAGACCAAGATACTGACTTTGCCTTGCCAAGAAATGGTTGGTTCTGTCTCGAAATCTTGTGAAGGTGATGATGAGACTCTAGAGATCCTCATGACTGATCTGGACGAGGAGAATGCCAAGCAATTCTACCTCGACCACGCGAGTGCGGTCGCAGAGGATCAGTGGAGAGGGTCTCAAAGAGGGCAAGACGATCATGTGGATGTTTTCAGTAACGTGTCCTCGGACGGAAGCGATATCTCGGTGAAGGAAGAACCCTATCCAGCGGAACTGACCACTGAGGGCCACGCACTTGGTACTGTTGTATCGGACTCCTGCGGGCTATCTGAGGTCTATCCGAAAAGCCACTATCCGGACGCACGTATCGATGCTTATCTGTTCACCCCGTGCGGTTTCTCGGCAAACGGTGTGATCCCTGCACCTCACGGCGAAAAGGGAACTCACTACTTTACGGTTCACGTTACCCCCGAACCGATCTGCTCCTACGCATCTTTCGAAACGAACGTTCCTGCAAGTCAAACTGGGCGCGAGACCGCGGACGTCATCCAGCATGTTGTGGACATCTTCAAGCCAGGCCGCTTCAGCGTGACTCTCTTCGAAGCCAAGAGCAACCACGAGGAACGAGCCTATGCGGATGATGAGGAACTGGCTCAGATCAAGATGTTGGAGCGGAAGGCTGCCCGTCGCGCAACCAAGATGGACGCTATCAAGGGATACCGTCGTGTTGACCGTATCGTTCATGATCTCGATGGCTACGATTTGGTTTTCCGCCACTATGAACGATTGGACTGGAAGGGTGGTGCACCACGCATTGGGGAGAGAGGACTTTGAACACCTATAACTGCACCAGACTGCCCGAAGGTTTACGGCTTGGTAGACTGGAGCGAGAATGTCTTCAAAGTGGGCGACGAGGGTACGACACAGATTGCAAGGATGGGTTGAAATGTCTTCTACTACTATTTACAGTATTGGCTTTGGTGCTGCAATGGAGCAGCCGTTCTCTCCTTTGGGCTCAATAGTAAGGTATGCTAACCAGTACTATATGTGGTTTCAGCCGGGTCACTTTGGTTCTTGACGTGCCAAAAAAATCGTATAGACATAGTTCCAGGTCGCGACGCTTTGACTAGTTGTGTAGCAGTATCTACTACCAAAGCCCTTACAGCACTATCAAGGCAGAGGTTATCATTCCAAGCGCCTGCGGCACGAAATCGCTGATATAATGATCAGGCTGGGGACATACGGAGGAACATTTCTTAAATGGAAGGTTAGGCGAGGCATATCGCGGATCGACGACGACAACGAGAAGCGCGCAATCATCACATCTACTGCCTACGTTCACTCCGCCTTCACCTGTCATTTTCATCTTCTCAAATAGCCCACCTCCTTGGTCCGCCCGAGATCTTTTGACCTGTTAATGCGCCGTGGACTCATCATTCTCGCAAGCATCTGTTCATCCCTGGTCTGGCTCACTTGAAGTAGCCTGAAGCCATGGCGACCTCTCCTCCAGCACCCTTTCCAGCGAGCCTCCCCTCCAAAAAGAGGGCATCTATGGGCACTCCAGGATTGACACAAGGGGCGTCCAAAAAACCCAAACTACATCCTCTGCGACAAACCTCGTTTCCTGCGCAAGACCTTAGCGGACGCGGATCGGCGGCCACAAGTGCGCGTTCCGAGACTGGAAGCCTAGTATCAGGTGTGAGCAGCAAGGTCACCGGCCGGGGTAGGGGTAGACCTAGAAAGTCGGCGCAACTAAACGACGAGGATGTTCGTTCATCGCTGCAAGCTCCTACAGACACGGGCAGCCAGGCTGATGGAGGGGGAAGAAACGCCGGCCGCGGCACAAAGTCGGTGGTTAGCGCAAGATCGGGGGCAGCAGAGGTCGAGGAGGATGATGAGGGCGACATTGATGGTATGCTCGAGAATATGGATGAGCAGGAAAGGCGGCAGGCCGAGGAAGAAGAGCTGAGACAAGAACAACGTCGGGATCGGCTAGCGGACCAGCTGGACCCGGACCAATATTCCCGATACAACCAGTGGCGAGCCCTATCGTTGAATAACAGCACGGTGAAGCGACTCGTCAATTCTATCGTGTCGCAGTCGGTCACCTCGGCTCCGCTGCAGGCGATCAGGATCTATGGCAAATATTTTGTGGGCGAGATCGTGGAAAGGGCCCGTGAGGTGCAAGTTGAATGGGCTAAAGCTTACGATGTCACCCGGGAGGAAGACAGGCGGCGGCGTCAAAAGGAACTCGAGCGCCTCGAAGAAAAACAGAAGCAAGGCGACAACACGGATTTGCAGGCTCGTTTGATTGCCAGGGACATTGAGAGGCTGAAGCGGGAAATCAAAGACTACATCCCCAACCCACACCGGGGTGGGTTGTTGCCAGATCATCTACGGGAAGCTCTCAGAAGATACAAGGCTGACGGTGAAGGCGGCGGCGTCGGCTTTGAAGGCTTGAGTCACGGACTGCTAGGTGTTCAGGGGTCGGCAGCATGGCGTGTGGGCGACGGTGCTTCTGGTAGACGACTTCTTAGGTGATCAGAGGACGCGAGTCGAGGAACTAGGCTCTGAGAACGCACCCCAACAATAACGACTGCCCGTACGGCAGTCATCTTATCATACGGTTGGCACGATTGCGCGGGCCTCTGTCCAGTCTGGAGATCGGCCTTGTGCCTCAGGTTGCCAGATTACATGACACTGAACGCTCCTGACTACCAGGCTCTGGCTATTGTTCGGTGGACATCTTTCTTACACCAATGATACGATTCTTTGGCGCTTGATCGGTGGACGCCATATCCATTATGCCATTTTATTCTTACGACATTTGCTGTCTTTGGACAGTGAAATGGGATACCTAATTCTATGGTCTGCTGTACAAGACGCAGGGGCTGGCTCGCCACCCGTCGCTTAGCTAATCTTTACACCAACATGACGAGGCTGGCGGCACAAGGCTGAGCCATACTACGGTGTACGTACGTGCCCAGACTCCCTCGTCTTGGTATGTCGTTTCTTCTCTCCAACTGCCTATGATGGGACCAACAATATTCGTGGCCTCGCCTTCACGCTGTCGGTCTCAACTGTAAATCCCTGATCTACGAAGCCGTCAACGCCATCCCTGGCGTTGATCCGTCCTATGATGGAGTTTGCCTCAACCTTTCACCCGATGCCAGTGCCGGCACCGGTAGAAATTTCCACCAATTCAGCCTCGTAAGCCGGACTTGAAATCCAAGGAAGTTTGACGTCATAATGATCCGGGCGACGTGAGTGGGCGGCTGGAAGGCGGCCGAAGAATCTCGCAGCCAATCAAGGCTCGATCGTCATCCACCGTCAACAAAGGTACATCACCAGCGCCCCGTGGGTGAAGAAGAACATAAGGCGAGGAACAGCTACCAGGTAGGGTTCAAGTTCCTTGGCCATCTCGAATTTTCATCCTGACAGTAGACCTGAGCATTTGCATTGGGCTTGACCACAATTGTCTGCTTTTTTGTTTCTGATTGTGGGAGGTTTGCTTTGCATGAGCATTTACCGCTGTCACAAGATGGCGTCCTCTCAAACTACGCGGCAAAATGGTGATTACTACCAAGAAAACTACGAGGTCGAGCCTGGTGAGTCTCTCGCCCGTTGGCATTCTCTCGTGCTGGCTTCCATTAATCTGGGCTAGCCGACCGACTTAGGCCAAGCAGCTGACCACATATTACTCGCCAGCAGTTGGGGAAGAACTCCCATCCGAATTGCAGCAGGAACTTGCCCGGATGGAAAAGCTGTTTACGGTCGATACAGCCATGTTAAAGAAGGTTACGAAGCGGTTCGGCGAGGAGCTGCAGCAAGGTAAGTGAAGCGTGCGGCATCAGAGGCGAGGAGTGCAGGCAACGAGCAAGAGAGGCTTCATGCTCTGGAGAGACCTGTATTGACATTGCCATGCCGGTTGTCTGAGCCAATCCCTCCGGTACATCCGTTGAAGATACTGACTATGCGTGGCTCAAGGGCTTGAAAAGGATTTCCAAAATATTGTAAGGATTATACTTCCTTGTCCTCCATCCTCGGATGGTGAAATTCTTGGGCCTGCTAACAATGCTCACAGCCGATGAATCTTACCTGGGTGACATCGTGGCCCACGGGCGAAGAGAAAGGCACATTTCTCACGCTTGACTTGGGCGGAACAAACCTGCGCGTCTGCCTCATCACACTTGGAAAACGAGGTGAACCAGACCTTGTGCAAGAAAAGTACAAGCTACCCGAGTCCATCAAGACAGGATCTGCGGATGAGCTTTTCGATACTATGGCAACATCATTGCAGGAGTTCCTCGACAACAATCCGGAACAGGCACAGAAATGGAGCAAAGACTCGCCCTTGCCATTAGGATTTACGTTCAGCTACCCTGCTACGCAGGAAAGGATCGATCACGGTATACTCCAGACTTGGACCAAAGGGTGGGATGTCAAGGATGTGGAAGGAAAGGATGTCGCGGAGTTGCTGACGAAAGCTATACAAAAAAGGGTAAGTTGTCTGCCCTTTTGCGTTATCGAATTGCCTATGATCGGACACACCTTCTTTGGTGGCGTCGAAAATATTATCGCGATCAGGCGCTGACCATACTAAACAGAACCTCCCAATTAAACTTGTCGCTCTGGTCAACGACACCACCGGAGCATTAATCGCTTCCGCGTACAATGATCCCGAAACCATCGTCGGAGCCATCTTCGGTACTGGATGCAATGCTGCTTACATGGAGAAGCGCAAGGACATCCCAAAACTAGCTCGATACAGCCAGTCGAGCACCATGAAATCGAAACCAAGCTCGAATCAGGATTCCCAGACCAACGATGCTGACGACGAAGGGACGATGGCCATCAATTGCGAATACGGCGCCTTTGACAACTCACACTCGGTCCTCCCTCGCACCAAATACGATGAAATCATCGACGAAGAGTCGCCCCGACCTGGCGAACAGACCTTCGAGAAGATGTCCGCAGGACTATATCTCGGCGAGATATTCCGATTGGTTCTTGTCGATCTGAGAGACCGGGGTGTTGTTTTACAGGATAAGACAGCCAGTGGCGGGGGTGCACTAACAAGATCAGACGCGGAAGGAGACCGAAAAGGTCTAGACGAGCCGTATGCCCTTGACACCGAGTTTCTGGCCCTCGTTGAGAATGACGAATCTCCGGACCTTGTGGAGTCTAGGAAACGGTTCGAGGCGCATCTACACCATGCCCAGTCCAAGAAGCCTATCTCACCTTCGCGGGAAGAACTCCTGTTCTTCCGTCGTATTGCCCAACTGATCGCCATGCGTGGTGCTCGGCTTTGTGCGTGCGGCGTTTCCGCCATCTGCCAGCGTCTGGGCATTGACAAGGGGCATGTGGCCGCCGACGGTTCTGTTGCCATCAAGCATCCTCACTTCAAAAGCAGGTGGGAGAAGGCTGTTGCCGAAATCCTGGAAATCGAGCAGGGCAGAGTGACCCTGACAAGCGCCGAGGACGGTTCGGGTATCGGTGCAGCAGTCATCGCCGCACTGACTCTCAAGAGCCACAATAACGCATACTGACTGAATACGACGCTCGAAAATTAAAACCCTATTCCCGGAAGAATCTCCATCGACGCGGTCAATCTAACGAGACATGCTATTGAAGTTTTAGAAAATCAAGTTCGAAAAGCCATGAGCGAGTTACTCTTATCTGTCCTGTCCTACTGCATATGACCAGGCTATCACCAAGTACAGTCCGAAATGGCAAGGTTGTCATCCATCTTCGGCCGCAGCTTGCAGATATAAGCATGCGTTTCCGCGTAGGTAGTATTGGCGGCCGCCACGTCGTTGAGCACAGTATTCTTCGGCGCAACTTCCGGCCCCAGCGCGATATACTTCGGCAGGAGCTCGGGACAGTGAGAATGATACCTCTTGTGGTATTTCTTCAGCGCCTCATTAATATCCTCTCGGTACTTCTTCTCCCGACAGATGGCCTTTCTTGTCAGCTTGTCATTCGGAATTCTTTCACGCCGTTTGGGACCACCTGGACTTTCACGCTGAGGTATGTCGAGGACTTCGACAAATTCCAACTTCTTCTCTTGCGATTCCGGCTGTTTTGAGTTTTCGATATGTTCCCGAAGGAAGGCGCCATGTCTCTCCAACGGGCTACCGAAAGAAAAGATCCTCGGTAACCCGGCAAGTGAGCGGAGATCACGGCGTGTAGAAACACCAGATTCGATATTGAACGCCAACTGGATTGGAGGAGGATCGGAAGTGAAACGGGTCATCTCTTCCATTGCCAACAGGGTTATAGCGTGTGGATCCAGGCTATCGGCGTCGAAAAGTTTGGTGGACGAACGATCCAGGGAAAAGGAATTGAAGAGATATTTGGATGCCGCAGTGGCCGCGAAGGCCTGGGCAATAGGGCATTCGGCTGGGTCAGGGCCTCCCTCAATCCGCCCTTCAGTGATTCCTGTCGGACTCGCACTCAAGTTCTGCATTGGATATGTGCGGAAAATCTGGTATTTCCGATTGTCAGTGGATCCTTTGACGGCAGCCGCGGCGAAGGCGAATTGGCATCTCGGCCACTCTTTGTCCTGGTACAGCATTTTGTCGCCGCTACCTCTGGAGTACCGGTCCACGATCTGGCTGACTTTGCGGATGAGACGTGTCTGGTCAAAATTGGCATTATGCAATCGTAACTTGCTTTTTTCGAAGCGAGACCGAGCCTCGACAGCGTGGATGATCTCCACGTAGGCGAGAATACACGTCGGGACGTCCAGATGTAGTCTGCCCAACAAGATGGCAATCCAGCCGCCTACACCGATGCCGCCAATGATGTCGAATACCTCGCAAGGAAGAGGCTTCCGTTTGGTGATGTTTGATGGATTTGCAGCAATCGCGTTCATGAGCTCATCCAGAATCATAAGCATAGACAATCCAGTGATTCCCACACTGTCTATTGTCCAAAGTCAGTCGCTCTAGCGAACCACAGACGAAGGGGACATACTGAAAGTGAGGATGCGAAGAGGCCTCTTATTGCCTGGGCTGTGGGCCTGTTCCGCATCATTGCTCGTATACATGGAGAGGACCGATATTCAGTCACGGTTTTGAATCTCTTAGGTCTTGCTATGTCCGGACTGCAGTTGGAATGCCAGGATCAAATTCTGCTTTCCTTACATCCAGTATTAAACCCATGGAAAACGACGAACTTACGTGTGCTATATTTGAAGCTGGAGAATGTGTCAGTCAACCTCGTCACTGCCGGGACATCGCCCCTCTCGTTCCGTTCGTATAACGTCGAGCTGGGTTACACGAAAGGACTTCGATAACTGTGGTGACCGGTCAAGGCTCACATTGTTTCTGGTCCAAGTCCGGTTTGTGATTGGTACAGCTGGTTGCAGGGGTTGCCCGACGTTGAGGGCGGGAGTTGTGAGGCAACCTCCACCGAACAGAGATATTGGTCAAATTCATGATCCATCTCAGCCGCAACGAGCCAGGTTGCACTTGACGGGAAGAAGGCAGTGGAGGCAGTGCAAACAGGCAGGGGTTGGCACCAACATCACGCAGAAAAAGGACAGGCTGTGTGGGCGTGCCGCCTTCTTCACAGCCTCAGCCTGACCGAACAGCGGGTGCCGAGGGCAGTGTCTACCCGCCACCCACACTGCAGAGAGCTGCATGAATCTATTGTCTCTTGTCCCCTTCAAGTTCCTTTCGTGATGGCAGCACCTTTGCGCAATCCCTGCCCGTCACTTTGGACGCGCCCGGACTCGGACGCCCTGCAGCCACCAGCCAGCAGCTGCAGATTAACATTCTTTGAGGCCTCCTGCCGTACCTGAGGTCCTCAGAGGGTTGGACAATCTCTACCGGTCAATGCATCTCTACTCAATTTGTCCAGGCTATCTACTCTACCAGTGAGGCGGTACCTCGACATGAGACATGCCTTCTGCGCTCAGACCTGCAGTTACTAAGCCTTTCTTGCATTCGAGTTGCACATTGTGCATGCATGGTCAAATTCTACCTCTTTTCATTGTTATTGGGGTGCTGGAGGGCAGAATCTGGTCGACTTCCAGATTGCCTGAAATCCAGCCTAATGCAATGTTCTGCACACATCCTCTGCACCATGTTGCCCTCGACAGCCTCAAGAGGCTTGTCACAAGCCCTCGTGCTTGATACCCCGGTCTACCCACCCTTGCTATCCCACAACCAGAGAAAGCCTTGATAAATCATGCCTGGCCCGCATTCTTTCTGCCTTCATCTCGATAAGAAATATCTCTCAGGTACGTCGGGCGTACTCACTACGAGCTAGCATTTATTGTCCCTTCTGGGGCTTACACGATTCCTTATCCGAGGCTACAGACCCTCCAGGTACAGGACACCATATACTTACATCCTCGTCAACGAAGCTTTCCGGGACCCGGGCCGCTCCATCCAGCCAAACTCTGGCATAGGAGGCCCAAGCTGGGGCTTTGGAAGCCTTTATCCTTCGAGAATATCTCCTTAAGTTCAATATGGCTGCCAGAACAAACGTTTTGGCGTTTGACGGTGGAGGCACGAGAGGATTAACTTCCCTTCTCATCCTACAGGCAATCATGCATCAACTCAACATTATTCTGGGCATTTCAGGGAAGACTCTGGTACCACGGGACATATTCGATGCGATCTGTGGCACAAGCACTGGAGGCCTCATTGCCATCATGTTGGGCCGGTTCGGCATGAGTGTCGAGGAATGCATCAAACAGTACGACTCCCTGGCACAAAGGATCTTTAGCAAGCGGAAATGGGCCGGGTATCTCACCAAGAACCTGCTCGGCGACAAATATAGCAGCAAGCCGCTACGGCAATGTGTCAAAGAACTGGCGGAGATGTATGCCGATAAAGGAGATGCCTCCATGCGCTGCGAGCCCGACGTTCGCAAGATCCCATGGTACGCATCACTCTGGCTAAATTTGCCGCTTATTCGCCTTTGAACGTCCGCTAATGTCGTGCAGCACAGTTATCACCTGCCGCCTACATCCTAAGACTCGGGAGCCAATGAATGAGCCCACATTCCTCTGCAGTCACACATGCGAATCGGGTTTGGAAGCCCTGATTTGGGAGGCCGCTCACGCTACCACCGCCGCACCCACCTATTTCGGGGATTGCTGGATAGAAGCGGCCCAGGGTTCATACATCGATGGAGGTGTTGGGTACAACAACCCCACCTATTCAACATATAACCATTATAGCGACGAGGCCGCTCGAAACTTAGAACCCAAAGCCAGAGGGGTTGTTTCTGAACGCTACCGTTTCGTCAGCATTGGAACAGGTCAAAGATCGGAGAAGGAAGCAGACACCGGTCCGCAATCCAAGACAGCAGTCAAGCGGCCTCGTCGAGGGTTTCGAGCAATTGTCAGATCCCGAATTGGTCTGTTCAAGGTGCTTGTTCACAATACAACACGCTCAGACAAGGACGACGGTCTCATCAGGGCCCTGGGGGACGCGATCGACTACGTCCGCCTCGAGGGGGCGAAAGGGGTGCATAAGTTTCCTCTAGATGCAAGTGATCCGACCAGCATGGCAAGAATGCGCAAGCTCACCGAGGAATGGATCGCTTCCGCAGAGGGTAAGCATCAAATTGGTCAGGCCGCCAGCAAGCTGGCCGAGCACTATGAGTCGAGGTGGGCTAGTCCGAGTCTGCCATCTCCTTCAGGTAGTGTCGACGGACTTGGCCTTGACATTTCCCAGAGCCACGACCAGCGTCTCACCTCTTTGCTGTCAAGAGAGCCCATACTTGCCACGCCAGAACATAGTGATCCAGCTCTCAATGCGCGGCTGGATTTCACTCCGGCCTCGAATCCAACGTCGTCGCCAACAACCTCGCCCAGACAACCAACGCCGGACCTTACCCAGGCTGCAACAGCAACACAAGGAGCACGCACAGGATCATTCCGCTCCAGTGGAGAGGAGGATAACGAAGGCAGAACCCCTGTGCAGCCCCTGTCCACCACCAAGACTGAAATTGCAATCGGCCAACTGTTTGAAGATTGCGGAGCAGGGAAAGAAGGCAGCTCCCTGGGGGCCACAGACTCGGACACTGTCTTCATCGAGATTGAAGGACAAACGAGGCACGGAATTAAGCAAACCGCTTAATTTACCCCGGATCTCTTTGCTCATTGCTCCGAATGACCTCAGCTCTTTCTTGATCCGACGCGCATGTTCATTATGGATATTCGAATAGCCAGATTCAAGCTGTACATGCTTCACAGACGAGGCTGTTTTTTCTTCTCCTCCGCTATCCATGGCTGTATCTTAAGGCCTTTCTACTACTTTTTGCCTCGGGGGGTTCAAAAATGGTGAATAGGTCCGTTGCGCTGGACGGGGCACATTGTCGTCGGTGCCAATGATGATGTGCAGATTGCCAGGACATACAGTGTGAGAGGGGTCTGTACTTATCTATTATTTCGTATCGTTCTACCAGCTGGGCAGGCGTACAGGTCATGTCTATTGTTGCTGGATACTGAGCGCCGCGGTCGGTGGAAAAGGAGTACTGGCATCAATCGCCTACATTCAATCGCCTACATTCAATCGCCTACATATCCACAGTCATAGTTATACCAAAAGAATAGAACGGAAAAGGACATATTCTTCCAACGAACAGAAAGTCAGTCACACTTTTATAGAATTCCGATGTAATCTTGTGATTACTATCTATACTTTAGCCACAGTTGGCCGACTCAAGACTCAAGTTCGAATTTTTGGCCAACTCTAAAAGGTGATATTACTACCTAGGCAGTTAACGCCATAAAGGTGGATAAGGGCAGGTTCGTGAGCCACAGTCACACATCCCTTTCGCTCTAGCGGTTTGTCTACCACTGGTTAATTGGCAATCTGTCTCGCTCCCTGCCTGCGGAGCTACATCTTTCTGAGATATTGCATCCTCTTCACAATTCTACAACTCTCACACACTATGGTAGTTTCTACAACATCATGACCTCCTTGTTATGATCTCCAAGTCGCTCGCTTGACATCAAGTTCTTGCATTTCATGCCACAGGGCATCTACAACTCTCCATCCAGTGATGTTTGTGATATATACCTAGTTCAATATGTGGGAACCCATGTGCCTTGGCGGGACACGGTTGATAAACATGGTATCAATCTCACCGTAGGTTCGGCCCTTCAACTCGGGAATGTACCAAATGGAGAGGATGGTTGCAATGAGAGATGTTCCGCCAAAGACGAATCCAACTTTCCCCTTCAAGTTCTGGTTGCACATGTCAGCCCACAGCGTTCAGCATAGGTCCTTGGAGAGAAACTTACGCCAGCATCAGGATTCACCATATACGGGATCGCAACTTGCAAAGCAATGCCAAGGGCAGCTTGAGTCGCGGTTGCAGGAGCCGTGGTTCTTGCTCGAAGCGCGAGAGAGGACACTTCTCCCAGCAGGACGAAGGCGATTGCCCCAAGCGTCAAAAAGTAGACAAAGGCATAGATGACGCACATGGCTCCCTGTGCCCATTTGGCATCCTGCGTGGGAACAACGTCCAGGATTCCGACCAGCAACAAGATGACCGTGCAACCAGCGACGCCGCCGACGAAAAGAAGGCGCCGACCGATTCGGTTGAGTATGAACCAGGCTACAACGTTGCCCACAACACCGCAAGCACTGATCCCCACGCCGAGGTTCAATGCATCCGCCGCCTTCATACCGGCCAGTTGGAAGAAGTAAGTCGCATAGCTGAGAACGAAGATGACCCCAACGGCTTGCTGGGCGAAGAATACGCCCATCGAGATCAACGTGCGGATGCGGTCCGTGCCTTTGAAAGCCGAGAGGTAGCTGGGCTGTTCCATTTGGGATTCCATCTGGATGGTGGCCGCCATGTCCGCAATCCTTTCATCGGCCTCCGTCTCGGACTTGTAGAGTGATATCAACGTCTTGCGTGCTTGGTCAACTCGTCCGACGCGCATCAAGAACCACGGCGACTCGGGAGAAAAGGCCACGCCGACAAGCAACATGAGGGAAAAGAAAAGTTGGATTGCAAAAGGAGCCTTGTATGCCCACCGATCAGGACGAGTGCCAAACCCCCTCGTCACCGCGTTGGAAAGCAGTCCGCCAATCCCAATGCCGAGGTTGATTCCTGCCGTCGAGAGACCTCTGAGCACGGTGGGCGCGAATTCGGAGCAAGTGACAGGCCCCAAAGTCAGATAGAAGCCCACTCCCACTCCTAGGATGAGCTTGCTGACAAGAAAAGCGGGGCGAGTTGTGCTGAATATCTCTCCAAAGATTCCACCGGTGGCGACGAGGACCCCGATGGCCAATCCTGGTCGTCGACCAAACCTGTCTGAAATGGCACTGCAGATGAATCCGCCGAAGAAGAGGCCGCAGTAGCTGCAAACCCCGAAAGCGCTGACCCACTCGGCCGGAATGACTGCTTCACCATTGTACGTATTGCTGGCAACGGTCAGGGTCTGTTCGAGAGAAGAAATGATACAATGCTCACCCGAAGTAGGTGCGGAAGGCAGGAACGCCAATGATTGCGTTGTTGACCGACATCTCGAAGCCCCCTGGTCAAACGAGTGAGCTGGTGATGAATCATGTGCAAGGCAATCAACATCAACCTACAAGCCACGGCAGACATGCACCAGAAAAAGGACCACCAGACGATCTTTGGATATTGGCTGCAAACGTCGCGAAAGGTCAAGGTGTGTTCCTCCTGCACCAGAGCCTCGATCTGTTCTCCTGTGGCATATTTTTCGCTGTCCATTGCGACCTCGGTTACCGGCTGTGTATCGACTTTCTGAGATCCGCTCAAGGCAGCTTCGGGACGAGCCATTTGTGTTGGACTTGTTGTACTTGATAAAATGCAAAGTGTAAGAAGCCGTTGATGCAAGTATCTCCATGGTCGTAGTACAGGATGTTCCATGCATATATACAGCCTCCGGCCAGCAGCTCTATTCCTGGGGAAGCGTCTGGGGACTGGGGTCTGGGGACGGAGGAGTGGGGACCTTTTCCTTTAGCGGGCCTCGGACCGTCCACAACCAAGGCTTTCGACGGGGAGTGTCGGGAACAGCACTTCTGTCATGAGGCTCTACCAATCACATGAACCAGACGACTTGAACAGTGGAGCGCTGGCAGCTCGGTGGACAAACACCCTGAAAACGTGAAAAGCCCCCAATCAGCCCGACTACAGTCTTCCCGACACTCCCCTTCCCTTTACTTTCTCGTTTCCCCACGACTTGATCAGTTAGCTACCCTACCGTGGCGGATCATATCACCCACTATGGAGGAAGTTGCGACCTCGAGGACGACGTCCAAAAGGACCGCTCCAACCAGCAGAGGGAGTTCAGCATATGCCCGCAAACGGGCTGTCATAGCGTGTCAAGTCTGTCGCGCTCGACGTACCAAATGCGACCAGAAAAAGCCGACCTGTTCCTTTTGCGAAAGCATAGGGGCCGAATGCGTGTCGGACCCGCCAGCACTGTCTGCTTTTGATCCTGCTAGTGTCGCGATCATCGAGCGACTGGACAGACTGGAAAGACGATTCACTGCCTTTGCCGATGTTCCAGCTCGCACACACTTGTTCTGTCAACAACCCTTCGCGAGCAGTTACCTACATCACCTCCCTTACCAGAATGTGGATCAAATATTGAAATGGCCGGCCTTACAGGAGGACCGGCTTTCAGTCTCGCCAAATGCTAGTGCTCGGTTCGCCAGTTCCCCATCGTGCGTCCCGTGGGGTCCAACTGAAGGGATTGACCCTGCAGCTGGCAACATACTCGACACTGTGGCACAATCCGGACTAGTCGATCGATTCTTCTTGCATGTCCACAGTCGAAACCCGATTCTAGACGAGAAGAAGACCCGGGCGTTGGCCCAGCTGATCCACGACCGAGGGATGATAGGCTGGGACACGGAATCGTGCTTAATGTTGCTGGTCTGGGCCAATGGCGCTCTAGGCCGCCCATTGCCAACCCCGGCTCAGTCTGAAAAACAATACGACCAGGAGCAAGCTACGGCTCTCTTCCTCGCTGCACAGCAGCGATTGGGCCCCGTGCTCATGACAGCCGGTATCATGCAGGCGCAGTGTCTTTTCCTGGCCGGAGTATTTCTGATGTCTTCACTGCGGCCATTCGATGCTTGGCGCATGTTTCTACAGGCCCTTACCATGTGCCGCACGTTTGAGAAGACCATGTCGTGTGATGCTACTGACACGGTAGCCGCCGAGAGCGTATATTGGTCGGCATGGAAATCTGAGCGAGAGTTGTATCGGGAGCTCTGGTCATCGGCCGACCCTAGAGGTTCCGGCCTCGCGCATGATCATCCGCGACAATTCCCCAGTCTGCCAGCAGACTGCGAAGGCGAGAGCCTGCATACCTGGTATTTCTATTTGTCAGAAATCTCTGCCTGGCGCCTCGAAAGCCATGTGGAGGAGGAAATTGCAAGATTCGCAGCTGAAGGCGGTGGCCGTGGCGGGCTTGATGGTCTGACCGAAATTGCCAACAGCCTGATGCAACAAGCTCGTGAGTGGCAGAACTCTTTGGCTCCCAAGGTCTCTCTGCAGCAGCAGGCCGATGAATATGATGGCGACATGCTCAGACTCATCTTGAGGGCACGCGTTGCATATATTCAAGATAAGATATCCTGGCCATTTATATATGCAATCCTTCATGACAACATGGAAACAGAATCGCCCAGGGTGCGGAATTGGGCAGCCAAAGGTCTCTCTTGTCATTTGCACAAGCTGGAAATACACCGAATCCAATTCTACCACAGACATCATGGAACATGGGTCATGATACGATCCTGTGCTCGAAGCACCGCTATCTTGCTGGCTGCCGCACGACAACCGTTCTCCAAGACACTGTTACCAAGCGAATCCGACTGGCGTGGAGCCGTGGAAGCCACCCTCGAAATGCTTCGCTTCTGGCAACCATACGTGCATGGTTTGCGTGAAGTTGTTGAGCGGTTAGAAGCTCTCTATTCCGAGCTGTAGAAGAGGGGCTTCTGGATCCTCGGAGTTCTTCATTTTCTAACTGCGCGAAGCGAAGCCATCAAGCGAGAAAGGGGATTACCGGGATGTACTTCGAAGGTTGAAAAGCCACTTGGCCTTACCAGTCGTGGCTCTTCGCAAAGCGTGAATCGACAGCGTAAAACGGTCAAATCGACATGGCACCAGTTCGACATCTGGATGATACATTAGTAATTTGTCTCTGACCAGATACTAGTATTCAGAGATGTAGCTACGGAACTCATAATTCCCACTTCTCCATGCATGCCCTCCGTCGGAATGTGTGCTATGGAAGGAGGGTTGCTTCCCTGACCTCTCTTGGCACTTGCTTGGTGTGGAATCTAGTTATGCCAGTGTGTAACCATGCTGTCAGATGGTCTGCTCTCGATGGCTTTCTTGGAGAGACTTTCTCTCAAATGGGATTCTAAGGTGGTCTAAAGACTAAGGAGGGAATTGCAAGGTTTCGGCCTAAGTGAGCGACAGGTGACGTTTTTTAGTTTTGACATCCAAATTTCGATAGTGCGCTGAACAAACCGTAGCCCAGGTACCCAGCCGTTCGAAGGCGAGATACCCGTGCTTTACTGTCCCTACCAGCAGCTCGTGTCCACAAACTAACTCAACCGAGTGGAAGAGGGCCATTAATGGAAACGTACCCGAGCCATGCGGTGCCGAGCTTTACCATCCCCACTCGTGGTCGTGCTTCTATCAGTACCCGGGTAATAGGGGAGTGTCGGGGCGAGTCCAGGTCTAGTATCAGGTGGGTACCGATCGGCTTCCGAACTGTTGTCTCTTTCGAGAGAAGCGAACACCATCCATCAAGGACGGCTTTGTAAAAAGTGCAAGTCAAAGCACACGTCCACGGGCGTGTTCTTGTCATCATGTTTTACTTTCATTTTGCATATTTTCCAATTTCGACCACAGGTGAACGAGGCAACTACCACCATGGGCGAAAACAATTCAAACCAGGACGCCGTCCCTTCTCCCAGCCCCAGCCCAACATTCACATATCAAGATGCCGTTCAAGAAATCCGGAGCGGCCAGCCAATTGCTCAGGTCGTGGACCGGCTTGTTTCTGAGATGACGGATTCCGAGCGTCTGTCCCTGTTAGACGGAGACGAAGACTTCTGGACAGGGTTCCGAAATTTGTTTTATGACCGATTCAACCGAGTTCCCTACATCTTTGGAGCGATTCCTCGCCTCGGGATACCAGGGATTCATTTCACAGACGGGCCGCGCGGTGTGGTTATGGGCGCGTCGACGGCGTTCCCGGTAACGATGGCGCGAGGAGCGACTTGGGACACTTCACTCGAAGAACGGGTAGGACATGCCATCGGGCTTGAAGCCAAAGCGCAAGGGGCGACCTTTTACTCCGGAGTCTGTATCAATCTGCCACGCCATCCAGCCTGGGGCCGGAGTCAGGAAGTATACGGAGAAGATCCGATACTTTTGGGCGAATTCGGGTTGGCTTTGACTCGCGGAGTGCAGCGACATATAATGGCCTGCGTCAAGCATTTTGCATTGAATTCGATGGAAAACGCGCGGTTCAAAGTCGACGTCGAGGTCGATGAGGATGTCCTCCATGAAGTCTACTTGCCGCACTTTCGGCGAGTGGTCGAAGGCGGCGTGGCGAGTGTTATGTCTTCGTACAATTCAGTCAATGGCGAATGGGCGGGCCAGAACAAACACCTTCTCACTGACATTTTGCGCAATACATGGGGGTTCGATGGGTTTGTGATTTCAGATTTCATCTGGGGGTTGAGGGATGCAGTTGCCTCCGTCAAGGCGGGCTTGGATATTGAAACGCCGTTCAAGCAGCAGCGACATCTGCATCTGCCGCGTGCTTTGGGATCTGGTGATCTGGAATGGGACCAAGTGAACAGGATATGTACTAGGATCTTACGCAAGCAGCTTCAGTTCCACGAGACATTGGACAAAAACAAGCCGGATATGGATGTGGTTTTCTCGGAAGAACATCGAACTCTGGCTAGATATGTGGCTGCCCGGTCTGCAGTTCTCTTGAAGAACGAGCCAGTGGATGGGAAGCCTTTGTTACCAATCGACCCAACCAAAATCACCAAGATTGCCCTGGTCGGCCGACTCGCAAACATCCCAAACACAGGCGACAGGGGTTCCTCCCACGTCTGGTCTCCACACGTGGTCACAATCTACGAGGGCGTCAAATCTGCCTTTTCCCATGCAGAAATCATTCTCGTCGAAGACACAGATATAAACTCCCCAGGGGCAGCAAGCAAAGCAGCCTCCATTGCCGATGCCGACCTCGTCCTCTGTATAGTCGGATACACGGACAAAGACGAAGGCGAATACGCCGCTCCAACACTAATGAAAGACCCAGCTCTGCGCGCAACGTTTCCCCCAGCAACAACAAAAGAAGAGATCGAGGTTCTCCACTTTTTGGAAAATGCAGCGCCGAGAGAAAAAGACATCAACAAATCCAAGTCTGACGACGCATGGAAAGCCGGCGCCGGCGGTGATCGCCAGAGTCTCCGTCTCCGACCCCAAGACGTCGAAACCATCCATGCCGTGTCACAAGCCAATCCACGCACAATCGTGTCTGTGGTCTGCGGCGGCGCCGTCATCTTGGACCAAGAGTGGAAGAATAAAGTCCCCGCCTTAATGCTGAGTTGGTATGCCGGCTGCGAAGGCGGTCATGGGCTCATGGACGTTTTGACGGGTAAAATCCCGCCCAGTGGAAGACTGCCGTTTTCAATTCCGACGCATGAATCCCATTTGCCTCATTTTGATATCGACGCGGAAAAGATCAAGTATGATCGCTGGTTCGGTCAGGCGTTATTGGATAAGCTTGGTGTTGAGGCCGCGTATCCGCTTGGATTTGGCTTGTCTTATACGACTTTCCAGGTCGACAACTTGCGTTTCGACTTGGCCAGACTAAAGTCCAATCGCAATGACATTGACGCCGACGCCGACGCCAACGCCAACGGTACAGATACAGAAACACACAGAGACGCAGACACACTCACCGTCTACGCAACTGTCAAAAACACAGATGCCTATCCTGGACGATACATCGCACAAGTCTATGGATGTCCATGTCCAAATATCGCTGATTTCCCCAAACGACTGCTTCTGGGGTTCAATCATGTCGATTTGGATATCGCTGAATCCAAGGATATTGAGGTCATCGCGTCAATCAGACCACTCCAGCAGTGGCGCGACGGCCAATACCGATTACGCTGTGATAAGGTGGAGATCGAGCTGGCTTCTTTTGCTGGCGATCCAATGGCTCTCAGAGATACTTGCTACTTGCAGACCCATTATGGTTCTCGTAATGGGCCGCATCTGTGAACGGAACGGAATGCGCTGCTGTGTTGGTGGCCATTGGTAAAGAGCATAACTTACTAACTAGGTATCCAGAAGTCTCATTGACACCGACGATGATGGGACAGCACCGAGTTGTTGCAGTCTCCATAGACGATATATCTTGCTAGGCAATAAATAGATGGAAAACTTCATACACTTGTTTTGGCCGGGCATCGCTCAGTTCACTAGTTGTTTGTGCATCTCTTCCGTTCGCAGGTTCAAGCTGTCGGATGTCCAGTTGACGAATTTGAACCATGTCCTAACCTACACAACCATAAGATCTAGCGATGAACTCGACATAGAACTATTGCGCCGCGAACACTGTCCACCTGGACATGGTCTCATCATCCTTCGTCAGGGAGTCGATAAAATGCTTCTCAATTACATCGCCTTATTTAACATTAGGAGAAACCATCATGACTATGTATGCCGAAGCAGCTGTAAAACATTAAAGCGTATCCATGCATGCTTCGTCTCACCCCCTGTTGGTGTCCTCACTGATAGGTCTGATGCCATATTTCATGATAGGACTCTCGAGAAAGGCGGCATAGTCATGGAATGCATCGGTTTGGGCCCTGGACACCTCGACCTCCTGTCTGCCTCGAGTGATGACATCCTGGTCATATTCGGCCACGGCTTCTGCCAAGGTCAATGCTCCTGCTTTAACCTTGACCATGGCGGATACAAATCTCTCGCAGTCCCGGATCGCGTTGTTGGCTCCTTGACCTCGATCTAGATAGAGTCTGTTAGATGAGCTAACCTCGACAAAGAAACGAAATGGTTCAACTTACGAAAGGTCATGCTGTGTGCGGCATCCCCTGCCAGAGTGATGCGGCCGCCACGATTGTCCCAGTTGTTCTTTGGAGCCCAAATCTTGAACGGCGCCACCTTTGCTTGAACGTCTTTGGGAATCCATTCCACTGCGGACTTGTAGGGATCCGCCCACCCGTCCATTCTGTGGCGAAGTTCATCCACCATGTTTCCACACTGACAAGGCTGCTGTGGTTGTTGCTCTTGCTTTTCTTTCGGCCATGTAGCAAGGAGATAGAAGACCCATGTTTCTGGCTTGTCGATGACGGGCTTGTCAAGTAGAAAGATGCCCACGTACATGGACTTGGGATGCACGCCAACATCGACGATGGGATGCATCATCTTGTCCATCTTCAGAGCTTGCTCCGCTGTATATCGGACCGGAAAGTTCAAGAATGTGTACGGCAGTATGGTAGGTGCAGCGTCATCTCCTAACATCCACCGTCGTACCCAGGAGCCACCTCCGTCTGCACCCACAAGAACCGTCCCAGTCTCCGCCGTACCATCAGGGAAGTGAGCCACCACGCATTGATCGGTAATTTCGATTTCCGAGATTGATTTGCCAAACTAGGAAGATGGTTTAGTATCCCTGATGTCGTCTGTCTCACGGCCGGTCTGGGTACCTACTTTCACATTGACGTTCTGGGACCACAGCTTTCTCGTCTTCTGGAGATTCAACCTCCTGACTCCGGGAAACGGTGGCTGGACCATCGTGGCACCCGTTTGGCCATCACGGATGATGACGCTCTCGAATCCAGCTTCTTTTGAATCCAGGTGCGGATCAGGCTGACATTCTGTAAGTCTGCTGAAAAGCTCCTCTGGTAGAAGCTGGGCGAGGAAAGGGTGGCTCCAAGCGATGGTCACTCCCCAGTTACGGTCCCGTGGAGAGGTCTCCTTGTCGACGACCACATATTCGATTCCGTTCTGTTGCAGGTCAGTGTCGACCGTTGGCCGGGGTTGTTTAATAGATGCTAGCCTTTTTCAAGCCCTGGGCGATGGCGAGTCCGGACAGCCCTGCGAAGCCGGGTCAACAAGGCTCTGCAGTGGATCAATACGTGGGGACCGTTTACCTGCGCCTATCACAATAACCCTTAATGGTTGGGTCATACTGGGCTGTTAGTGGAGATAGTTAACGATGAGCTTGAAATCTGCTCAAAATCTGCGCGAGACGTAACACGAGGCCAGCGAGAGCGACCCTGTTTCAGGGAGTTACTAGTAGTCCAGAAGTCTGGGGGTAATCATCGCGAAAGTGAAGCAAAGTAAGCAGGGCTGAAAGGAAGTATTTGCTGGCCTAGGCTCTCAATGAGGGCGCTTGCCTCAGCCATGCCACTTCCGACGCGGCGTTGCATCTTCTCTTCCTGATGGTGTCGTTCAAGCTTTCGGCCTCGAATCCTCGTCTCCTCGCTTGAGCACTGCAGTGCGCAGGGACGCGGAACTAGAACGCGGGGCTGGAGATTGGGCTCACCACGAATCCGCTGACCAATAACTAATCGCTCTTCCAGCTTTACTAGTAACCCACCCACGAACATCAGTAGCAGCTGAGTAACAAACCCCACGCCATTCAGCTACTACTAGCAGAAGTTGACCTATTCTCGTTGCTGAGTCAGGATACCGATACCGACACAGGTCCAACCCTCTGATTATATTTTGTTACATATCCCCGAATGCCTTCGACAGGTCAACATAGTAGTTCCACCTAGCCAACATGGCGATCATCGAGTTGGCCCACATCAGCCTGAAAAACGGCCTCACCGCGACCGACCCTGCGCTCAAAGAGAACATGAAAGAGGTCAAGAAGGTGATTGAAGATTACAGCAAGCTCCCGACGCTATTCTACACGCAGATTGATGATCCGTCGACCATCTTTGTGGTCGGCGGATGGGAAACCAAGGACCAGCACCAGCATGGGTTCAATGGGTCGCCCGGGCAGGAAAAGCTCATCCACTTGATCAAGGACCAAATGGGTATCGATTGGATGCATTACATGGATGTGGATCAGACACGGCTGCCGCTCCATGCGCCGGTACTCGCGATTGTCAAGGAGACACTCCCCAAGGACACGCACAGAACTGCATTCGACCAGGACTTTGCGCGAGCTACTCAGTCTCTAGGCGGAGCACGATTTGGGGCCATCTCCGCTTGGAATGTTCCTAAAGATGAACATGAGGACATGGTCAGAGTCAACTTCTCGGGGTGGCAGTCGATTGAGGAGGCGATGGAGGCGATTGGGAACACGATTGAGAACGCGAAGAGGTTCAGGGTCGCGCCGATGGACTTGAATTTCTTTTTTACGGAAAGGACGCAGCTGGATTGATATCCCAAAGCTGTTAGAGTGGCTCAGGATAAGATAGGCGACCTGAAGGAATAAAGATGCATTATCTCTAGCTCAAGCCATCTGAACTTGAAGAGCTCTGCCACTGGTATGTCTTCGGGGAGTGATGGCCGGAATTGCCAGTGGGCCGGCTGTTCTAAATATACCTTGTTTTCTCCGCAACTCCAAGGCCGTACCTGGATCAATGCCCCCACCACATGTTTCCCCAGATTGTCAACCATCAGTTTCAGCGAGTCCGTCACCATCACAAGAGTGGATGAGTCGATTCGAAATCGAACCAGACCGGTCTCACTCGACATGGTAATGTGCAGTCGAACTGAACTGAGCATGGAACAAACAGACTAACCCCTTTCACCTTAACTACCTACTAACCCACGCTTTCAATTTTCCAGGGCATCGCCAGTTCTGTTTAACAGCATCCATGTTACTCCGACCAAACTACCCAGAATTACTCTTTTCTCCGGATATCAACCCTCTGACACAACAAATTATTCAGTACCTGAGCTATCTTACTAGCAACCATGGAAGAAGACAAATCCAAAGATATCCTCACCACCACGCTCCGCGACCTCATCTCCGCCAACCACATCCTGCACCACCACGGCATCGTCGACGCCTACGGCCACGTCTCAATCCGCCACCCCTCAGATCCCACTCTCTACATCATGTGCGGTTTCCTCGCTCCCGCACTAGTTTCCTCGCCCTCCGATCTAATCCACTACCGCATCTCAGACTCAGCCCCCGTCGACCCCAACGCCGGCCGCGGCTACTCAGAACGCTTCATCCACGGCGAACTGTACAAGCGGTTCGCGGACGTTCATTGCGTGATTCATTCACATGCCGAAGAGGTTCTGCCGTACGTGGTTACGGGAGTGAAATTGCGGGCGGTATACCATATGGCGGGATTCCTAAGCAACAAGGGAGTCAAGGTCTTTGATATTGATCCGCTTTATCGGGAGGGGGAGCAAAGGGATATGTTGGTTTTGAATGAGCGGTTCGGGGCGGCTTTGGCGGAGATGTTTGCGGGGCTTGCTGACCCTGCTGGCCATGCTAGGCCTGCCGGCTCTGTCGATCCTGCCTGTACCACTGTCGACCCTGACGGTTCGACATCTCAAGCACCTGTCGAATCGGTCGTCCTGATGCGCAGACACGGATACACCGTCGTTGGCCGCGATATTATTACGGCAGTCTATCGAGCTATCTATACGCGTATCAATGCCGAGGCGCAGACAAAGGCTATGGGGATTGCGAATCATGCAGGTGCAGGTATTGGCAGCGGGCACGCCGAACAGCTGAGCTTTCCGTTTCAGGGGCTTACGGATGAGCAGAGTAAAGGCTGTGCGGTCATGAATGAAGGATACCAGGCAAAGCCGTGGCGATTATGGGTCAGAGAGGTCGAGCGGCTGCCGTTGTATGAGAATACTTTGAGTGAGAGCAAAAACTTTGCTTGATTGGATTGAGGACCCTACCAAAGCCAATATCGAGAGGGGGAAAAGGGCGTCTGAGTCTGGCTCGGATTTGGTATCAAGGTCATGAGTTACGATGGATGAGCCACGAGGATACACACGCAAAGGCTTGACCACGAGACCTGACCTGCAGCGGTTGATTTGTAAAGGGATGTTCCATAAATGGGTCTATGAAATATCGACATTATGCCTCAAGAAATACGATTTTCTCGGATGATGAACTAATTATCTCGTAAAGTATGTCCTGGTACCCCCTGTCTATTCTCTCATTATCGTCGTGGTGCGCTCTGTTCATCTCAACGCATTACTTCTCATGGTATCATCCGCGGCCTCAAAACTGCGCCAGGTTCATCTCAGCCTACCACTGCAATGGGTGTAGGCAACCACTAACTTTTCAGCACATCAATCTCTCTTCAGCCGTACTGCCGTTGCATTTGTTGCTTACCTACATTTACACCCAATGTACTCCCCCCCCTCAACTCCTGCCTGCGCCTGACAGAAACAGAACAGAAATCAAACCTCAACCCCAGCGACCCAAGCAATAGCCGCTTTAACAATCTTCTCCACAACATCAACCTCAGCCATAGTGCGCGGGGCATACACCATAACCCAGCCCTTATCGACCGAAGGCATAGGAAACTTCTGGCCCCAACCCTTCTCCACCACTGTCTTCGCATCCGCCTCACTGAGCCAGGCATGAAAACTCAATTCCGAAGGATGATGATGCGCAATCTCCCTATCTAGCAATTTATCCCGCCTCGCTTTCTCATTGAGCGACGGCAGGTCTTCCTTCGCATAGATAGCATTAGCACTATACCCTTCCGTCTTGCTAAGTTTCAAGTCCAGAATGTCCGGATACTTTGCGGCGAAATCGGCCGTCATATTGCTGATCCGTTCGGCGACACCCGGTTCGAGCTGGTCCGAGTCGTAGGGGACTTGACGCTGTGGCATGGTTCGAGAAACGAGTTTTGGTCGGTCACCACTGCGCACGGGGATGTTGTCTGCGTCGAGATATCGTGGACCTTTGGCCCCGGACAGTGTCGACGCGTCAGTTAGGTCGTCTTTTCCGAGAAGTTGGAGCCGTCGGATTGCCCGGTTGATTCGGATCTTGGTCATGCGCCAGTAGCCGGCCCAGGTGGGTGGGGTGCCGCCTGTGCCGAATGCTTTCCAGTCGTGGTAGTCGCGGACAACCCAGGCGATGGAGAGGGTGAGGGCGAGAGTAGCTAGTGCGGTCGAGGTCGTTGCTATATCTGCATTGCGTCCTCGGGATCTAATGCGAGAGATGAGGCTGTTGTAGGATTTGTTGAGAGTGGATGAGATTGATGTCGTTGGAGATGCCATTGTTGCACATGAGATTGGAAACGGAGGCCACAGGATTGAGATTCCTAATCTTGTTGTCCGGAAGTACTAGGCAATGAAACGTTTGAATGCTCAAGGTTCTTAAAGTTCTTTTGCCAATTGAATTAAATGTTGGTAGAGTGAAGCGCGAGAAAAAGGTGTCTCGGATATGATGTCAATCATGGCGGGGCGAGATATACCCGGGCAATCTCCACCTAAACTAGTCCGGTCCGAGTAGTCTCGCCGCTTAATCCGATACATCATCCCACTTCGAGTAAGGCATCTGAAAAGACCTAATTCTGGTATCAACACGATCGACTGAGATCAAGGAACTTTCGAAGACAGTACCTGTGAACCACGAACAGTACCGTATGGCCACCACTGCATATCTGTCATCCCTGTCCTCTGTCTACGCCTCGCGCAACTGGTCGCAAGTCAGGGTGGGATAACGGTGCCAACAACGGCAACGACATGCTGCCATTTCCGGCACAAGCTCAGGCAAACACGACAATGACCTCCACCAATCGCGCCGTCGCCATTCTTTCTGCTGAGTAACCCTTCTTGAGTTCAGCTCGACTACAAGGCCAGAAGCATTGAGTACAAGGTAAGTTTGTACATAAAACACTAAGACTCTTAGAGACTTTCATGGCCGGACCTTACGATGCGCACCTGTCCATCACTTCGAGCCTACACTTATCTCTGATCCTACCATGAGAGCCCTGCATCTGCCCGCCGTCTCTGCCGGGACACAACCCCCGTTCCGCTTCCCAGACCACCCTCCCTCGCCCTCAGACTTACAATATACACCCTCGACATACCCTGAGCCCTCGTCTTCAGATCCGAACTCCTCAGGCCAGCCAGTCTACCTCATTCGCGTGCTGACCACCGCCCTAACTCGCGGCGAACTAAGCTGGCAAGAGATTCTGGACTCCAGCCGCTTCCACCCTTATGGGTCTGCCATTCCAGGCCATGACATTGTAGGCATTGTTGAGAAGACATATCTTGCCTCAGCAACAACAGCACCGAAGTTCTCACCTGGCGAGAAAGTCTGGGGTCTTCTCGACTTCGACCGAGACGGTGCAGCATCTTCACTCACCATTGCATTCGAGTCGGAGCTCAGCCTTGCACCGCATCCACCGCCAGGAGTCTCTCTTTCTGGTGCCAAATGGGACGAAGAGCTCGCCACTCTTCCCCTATCAGGCCTAACTGCATACCAAGCACTCTTTACGCACGGAAATCTCCCCACGACAACTCTTCTTTCCCAGCTCCCCTCATCACAATCACAATCACCATCACCATCACCATCACCACCATTTATTGCCCAAAGAGTCCTGATAACAGGCGCCTCAGGCAGCGTAGGCATCCCAACGATCCAACTCGCCAAAGCCGCCGGATTCCACATCGTAGCAACATGCAGTGCCTCGTCACGTCCTTTCGTGGAGGGGATACTCACCTCCTGTGACCATCATATCATCGACTACACCGCCACAGAATACACATCCATCCCGTCCACCTTCCAAACCCAGGGTTTCGAACCCGTCGATCTCGTCGTCGACTGCGTCGGCAGCACCACACTCCAATCGATCCTACTACGACCGAGCTCCGTGGTAAGACCGCACGGCAGAATCATCACCATCGTCGCTCCGATCCACACTTTCGGCCCAGTCCTGTCGGCACAGATGGGGCAGGCCTGCACCGCCGCAGCAGTTGACGCCGTTGACTTCTTCGTCGTCAAACCTAGGGCGGAAGATCTCGCTGTTCTAGGAAATCTCGTTGAGCAGGGTCAACTGCGTGGACATGTTGACGCCGTTTCTGATCTTGATCACGGTCGTGAGGCCATGGAGCTCGTCGAAAGCCGTGGCCGGCGAGGGGTCGGAAAAGTCGTGCTTAGGGTTGCGGACTCTTGAGTTTGCAGAGGCCAAAAACGATATTGTCATTGACGGATATTGGGACTTAAGTTCAAAGCGAAAGTCATTGAGTCCGTAAGTACCTAGGTAAGGCAGGTGGGTAACAAGTAAGTAATGTCATCACAGACACAGACAGGTATCTGCTTTGGTACCTACTGGACTAGGAGTATCCAAGTGCAAACATGCTTCCCAAGGGAATATAATATGTGGTATCATGCAGTGGTTCCGCCTTTGGTTTATTCCTATGTTTGCGAGGCGTTGCTTTACGACGTAGGACGAGCGCCGAGACAATTTGACAATTTTCGGTTCGATAGGGACGCGACTACTGTAAGAAGCCTGATCAAGTATATCTGTTGGAGCGTGGGTGAGACGCAATACCTGACCATAGCCATACCAAACTCCTAACCGTGTCCATATCCCCGTTTAGATCTGCAACTGTACCTGCAACTGCCACTGTTACAAGAGTACGCTAGTACTACCAGCCTCCTCCTCCTCCTCCTGCTGCTGGTGAAATCCTGTACGTACATATCCAGGGCGGTGGTAGCAGCAGTGGTAGCGGTACTCCCCTGCATTATCCGTTGGCCCAGACTGGGCGAGAAGCACTACCTTCAACTCGCTAGTATGTAATCACCTTAAGTAACTGGGTATTTTATCAAACTGCAAAAGAGCAAAAGGGTCCCGTGAAAACAAAGAAGCACTTCTTTAAAAACAAGATATATTGGGTCGAAAAAACAATCATCATATGCCTCCCATTTCGCCTGTCAAGCCCGGACGGTCTTCATCACCCCCAAGCCCATGAGTACCCTGCGCCTAGCTAGCGTAACAAATACATATCTTTTTTCCGCAGCTCGCACCCCGGCTCCGCTCCAGCTCGAACTCAGCGATTCATTAATTGCTATGACTCCTCCTCAACCTTCTGTGCGGCCTCCGTGCGGGCTTCTCCTTCGGCATTCACTGCCTCCCTCTCCATCCGCCCTTCTTCCTGCGCTTGTGCAACCTCGTCGCCAACAGTAACCTCTTCCTTGATTGCGGCTTCTTCTGCCGTTGCTCCGGTGGCTTCTGGCTCGGTCGTCGCTGTTGGTGCCACCTCGGGAACCGGCACAGAAACAGTAGCAGTTTCAGTGCTCGGCTCTTGCTCTGCTTCGGCGGGAACGGCAGGAGGCGGCGCAGGAGCTTCGCTAGCTGCCTCGGTTGCGGCGTTACTAGTATCAGGTGCAGCACTAGGTTCTTCTTCTTGTTGCGGCGTCGGTGGCGATTCCGGTGGCGTCTGTTGTTGTTGGACCGTGATGGTGGATTCTTCCTCGACGGCCGGCGGCAAGGAATCAGGGGCGACGGCATTTGCATTTGCATTGGCAGTCGTCTCCTGAGTCACATCCGCATCCACAGCTGCATTTGCATCTGCAATGACAGCGTCCCCATCGGCATCTGCTTCTCCCATCTCGACATCTCCGTCTCCGTCGCCAGCAGGGGCAGAAGCAGATGCTGGACGAGGAGAAGGCGGTCCAGATACTGCTGCAGTACCATTCGGTGCAGAACCGTTAATTTCAGGGGCAGCAGTGTTCGCGTTCGCTGCACTTGGCTCAGCTTTGTCCTCCACCTCATCGACGTTCATCTCGTCAGCATCATCCGCATCGGGTATACTGGAGCCCTGCGCGGGGGTGCCCAAGGCACTTCCCGTTTCGACTCCCGAGTCATTGCCTCCTACATCCATGATATGGCGATAGTTCTGAGCGGCGCGCAGTTTTCGGCGGGATGTTTGCCCATTCATGCCAGTCATATCCTCGTCCTCGCTATCGGACAATTCGCCGTTCTTTTCCACGTATTTGTCTGCCTTGCGTTGAGTTATCCGTTTGTCTGGGTTTTCATCCTCATCCATATCGTCAAGTGCTGCTTCGTCCTCATCATTCATGCCCAAGGACTCTCTTGGCACATCTGTCATTTGTACTGACGGTGCATGGGCAGTCCGTTTCATATTCTCAACCACTTGTGAGAGGATCTTCTCGAGATATTCCCTTGAATTGGCGTTTTCCATGTTGGAGGGTCGTACGTCAAGCTCGTAATCAGGTGCATAGTACTACAGTCGGTCAGATAATGCCACAAAATACCTCGATGCTAGGTTTGCTTACCTCGTAATAGTCGTTGTAGGGGAGATTGGCCTGCATGTTTTCGCCAACCAAGCAACCCGTCTCAAATGCCCACGTCCTGGAAACATTGCGCATTGTGTAGCCTCCACCTCCAACGATGAGTGTGGGCAGATTGAAGGATTTGACAAACTGAACGCAGTTTGCGTGGCCTCTCATACTGAGGTTGAAACAGCCGAGACGATCGCCGGATAGTGAGTCACCACCACACTGTAACACAACAGCTGAAGGCTGATAGTATTCCATAGTTGCGCGAATGACCGGCTCGAAAATTCCCTTGTACGAATTGTCGTCGATTCCGTCCCGCAAGGGAAAATTGACAGCATAATACTTCCCTGATCCCACGCCGATATCTCTAAGCTCGCCGGTGCCGGGGAAATATTCGCCGTATTTGTGAAAGGAGACGGTCATGACTCGGTCGGTAGTGTAGAAAGCTTCCTCGACACCGTCACCATGGTGGACATCAATGTCGACGTAGAGAACCCGCTTGTGGAATCTCAAGAGCTCGAGAATGCCCAAGACGATATCATTGACGTAGCAGAAACCACTGGCTTCGCTCTTCTTTGCGTGATGCAGACCGCCCGCCCAGTTGATAGCAATGTCCGCTTTTTGTCGGTTCAGTCTTGCAGCGCCTTCCATGCTGCCACCCGCACTAATTCCGCAGAATTCGAAGAGGCCGTCAAAGACGGGACAATCATCTCCCACGTTGTATTTTTGTTGTTCTTTGGGGTACGAGTCCATGTTGTCTGGAGTGACCTTGGCAAGGAAGTCGATGTACTCGTCGGTGTGGAACTGTGTCATCTCGTACTTGGACGCCGGCTTCGCGCGATAGATCTCCATTTTCTTGTAGAGCCCATAGTTCATAACTAAAGAGTGGGCAAGTCGTATTCTGTGAGGCTTCATTGGATGTCCTGAGACGTACGCATAGTTGCCGACGTCGGAATCGTAGAAATATGCCACCCGCTTTTTGCTGTCGTCCCGCAGCTTCGGCGGGTCGACTGGTGCTGCTGCGAACGACATTGTGAGGAGCGTATGCGCAGTGCTCGACAGGTATTCAGAAGAGACGGTAGTTCGTCAGAAAAAATGCCTTGACGAGCGCGTTTTGCGCCGGACTAGCGGACTACTTGGTCGCCTCCTCCGAGTTGTAACGTGGAATCCCGGTACGAAAGTAGATTGTGGATCGTCTGGAGCAGGGAAACGGTGCGAAAGTTCGGTTTCAGATGGAAGATTTGGAAATGGCGTCTATTTTACGCCGAGCGGTACGAAAAACATCGCAGATTGTCCGTGAATATGGGAAAGAGATAACCTGAGGGTGATATTAGAAAAGTGGTGAAATAGGAAGAGGGCGCTGGGATTATAGAAAGGGCCGCAGAGAACGATCTCCAACTTGAACTTTGGGCGGTGGATGCGCGCTAGTAACTAGTGCTGAATTGTTCGTGCCACTATCCACAATTGGCCGGTTTTTAGTCAGCATTTACCTAAGGAGCCCTACCAGGCCCCAGGAACGCGCAGCTTGCCATCCTTAGATTTCGTCAAGCGACAACTATCGTACTGTGTACGGAATCTTGAACTGCCTCTCACAGCCGGCCATCATTCAAAAACACCACCAAAGCACCAAGACTACCTGCTGAGCTACCGGCCTCCCCTTTCCTTCCATCAGCTTCTACCTCGATTGGGCTGTGCTCTTCTCTGATCCCCGAAGCGCCGCCTCCTCGGCGCATCACCGCCACAAGCCCGAATCTCTCCTCTCCTCCTCAGCCGTTGTTCTAGCATAGTTTATCGAAACAAATTCACAATGGATCGGTTCAATCGGATGCTTGCTGCCGCTCAGGGTATGGGCATGGGCACCGGAGCAGCGCCGGGCCAAGATACGAACCTAGTCGACAACTCCGAAACCGTCTACATTTCCTCCCTCGCGTTATTGAAGATGCTTCGTCATGGCCGCGCAGGCGTACCAATGGAAGTGATGGGCTTGATGCTGGGCGAGTTTGTGGACGACTTCACAGTCCGAGTGGTGGATGTATTTGCCATGCCTCAGTCAGGAACTTCCGTCAGTGTCGAATCCGTCGACCCTGTATTCCAAACCAAGATGATGGACATGCTTCGCCAGACTGGAAGACCAGAGACCGTCGTGGGATGGTACCATTCTCACCCGGGATTCGGCTGTTGGTTATCAAGCGTCGATATCAACACACAGCAATCGTTCGAACAACTCACCCCTCGAGCTGTCGCCGTGGTTGTCGACCCTATTCAGTCGGTCAAAGGCAAAGTCGTGATCGACGCTTTTCGTTTGATCAATCCGCAGACGATGATGATGGGCCAAGAACCCCGTCAAACCACGTCGAACCTCGGTCATCTCAACAAACCGTCCATACAAGCGCTCATTCATGGCCTGAATAGACACTACTACAGCATCGGCATCCAGTACCGCAAGACCGGCCTGGAAGAAAACATGTTGATGAATCTCCACAAAAAGGTCTGGACAGAGGGCCTTGAACTTCCCCACAGTTTCGTCGATGAGCGGAGACGCAATGAAGAGGGTTTGCAGCAGCTTGTGCACCTTGCAGAGGGTTACGAACGTCGAGTCCGGGAAGAGAATGAATTGACGCCCGAACAACTCAAGACGCGATACGTGGGCAAGGTCGATCCGAAGAAACATATTGAAGACGTTGGGCAACGGTTGATTGAAGACAATATCGTGGCAGTCTCCAGGCAAATGATTGACAAAGAGGCCAGTGTGGCCAAGGAGGCGACGCAGACGAATGGTCACGACCATCGAAACGGGGACAGCGGGCTGATGGACGTGGATGAGGAGCTTTGAAAAGCAATGGATTCATCAGGGCCTTGGGGCTTGATCTGAGGTTGTACTTGTATCTACGGATATTACGGCATGCACGGCGTTAGGCTGCGTAGAGACAGATGGTTACGATCCAGCATCCAGGGCATGCAATGGGCAAAATGCAGGATTCAAGTCATATTCCTCGTCAATCATTGTATTCATAATCCATTAAACCCTGAATCATTGCCAGAAAACGGGCTTCAGTCCCGCTGGCGTTGCAATTGTCTTCGTAGCTCCTAATGTACAAATTTTCCCTTTGCTCTCCGCCTCGGCCAGGAGGCGAGAGACGAGAGGCCCCGTCGAATCAATACCGGGATTTCCATCAATCATCAAAGCTTTGACATGAGGCATAGCAATCAAAACATCGCGAAGCAGGTTGCCACAAAAGTCGGTATAGAAGTCAAACGAGATTCGATACTTCTCAAACATGGGAAGACTGGGGTCTAGTTCAACGAAGACATTGAGCGTCTGTACTGCTTCCAGTTTCCCTAGTCGTTTTGCGAGTAGCTTGCTGACCCTCCAGCTCTTGGGCGGGCTGGTCCAGCTTGATCCTACCACAAGTTCCAATTTTGTAACCATGGCTCGGTACATGGGTCGTAGTTCCTGAATGGTAGGAACTGGGGTAAAATCCTGGAGCGGAAAGATGCGGAAAGTCCGCGAGCTGTACAGAATGTACGATGCTTCCTGGTGCATCTTCTTGTTAACAGCAAGCACAGAGGTCCGGCTTTTTTTCCTGCCATCAGCCCCTCGATATCCTGGTTTGCTGAACAGGACGAAGCGGTAAATCCGATTACGGATTTCTGCGGGTAGCTCGAAGAAGGGGAACGGTTTGCCCAAGGGGACATCTTCAACAGATTCCATAACAGTGGTAGGTATGTTATCATTATTGAGTTCCTGCTTCAGAGCCCTTTTTGTCTTCTTTCGATCCTGTGGGATCGGAAAGGCGTTGACGAGACCATCTCGCCAAGATGGTGGCATGGGTCTAGGATGGAATTCAGGTTTGGAGGAGGTAGAAGGACAATGCGCAGGGATTTCAGGGTCGAAGGTAGTGACTTTATGCACTCATCGTGGCTGGTGAAGAGGTGAAAGAATGTAACGTCCTTACGGGGCGACTTAAGATCATAGGCTGGCCTCTCGTGCGCTCTTGAGGAGGACGTGTGCGTCCGTCTGCCCAGCTAATACAACTTGCCGAACATATAGGTCTGTGAACGGCGAGTCAAAAATTCTGGGGGATATCAACTTTCTGTTTGAGAAGAGAAAAGAAGAGAGAAGAGGAGAGAAGCTGCGGCGAATTTGAAGGCGAGGAGGTGGGTTCAGGTTCTCCGCTCTTTGCCCGCCAAGGTGGGTTGCCTCTTTCAAGTTAGTGGCAACTAGAACCGTCTTCAGTCCTGTAAAGCGGCGCAGAATAGTGGTACTGCCAGGTATAGTGGACTGACTGCGCACGTGAGTTCCTTGGGATTCGGTCGCTGGTAGATTTCGCATTTCAGATCTCCAACTCCGACAGGAAACCATCTACGTCCAGCAAAGTCAAGACATTTTTCTGTTAAGTCGTCGGACCAACGACATATAGCAGTCCCTCCGCCGTATCTAGTCCATCTTCTGCCTGTTTGACATGCTGATTGCAGCATGCTCAAACGCGCAGCTTTGCCTCTATTGAGGCCGCGACAATGCCGGCCTTTGGTCCGACAAACATATGCGTCAACACGATTGCGATTTTATCGGCGAGACCAAGGGTTGAGAAGTGCAGACTACAAACCTCCACAGGATAGCTCGGCATCTCAGTCCACGGACTCTCGCGAACCTCTACGGAAAGTCCCTTTCACCCAAGCCAGCCCAGCTCCAAAAGATGAACAATCGTCAAATTCTACACCTTTTGGGGCAGACCCCACCAAAGACATCAACGACGTCTCTGAATCGGTATCTGAGGCGAGTCGAAGGTCTGTGGGCGAACAACAACCTGCAGACCAGGCAGACCAGCCACAACAGCCGTTGCCGGACCTGACTCGAGGCATTCCGTCCACCTTGGATGCGGAACTGCGCCAAGCACATGAGAAGCACTCGGCTCAAGCCAATCCGTCGAGTTTGAATATCACCGAAGATCCTGCGGAAGAAGTACCGAGCGGCGGACGAGGACGCGGCGGCGGTGATGATGTGCCCCGGACGGAGTATGTCTCCACCAGCGACCGGAAGAAGAACATGATATTCAGATACATGTACATCGTCCTGGGAGTTGGAATCGCCGGTTATACTGTTTATCTAGGCCGTAATTGGGAGTCGGAGGAGGAAGAAAAGGCTCACCCAGATGCGCCGTCCGGTTGGGGCTTCAAAGAATTCTACAACCGGGTGAGCGCTCGGTTGGGCTCAACACTGAGCTACTACCGTGACCCTGTGACAACCAAGTTACTGCCGGACGAAGACCCCGATCCAAACCTGCGCTATCCGTTCACCTTGGTGATCAGTCTGGAAGATATGCTCATCCACTCGGAATGGACTCGAGACAAAGGTTGGCGGATAGCCAAACGACCCGGTGTTGACTATTTCCTTCGATACCTTGGAAGCTACTATGAGATTGTCCTGTTCACCAGTCAACCCATGGCGATGGCTGAACAGGTCTTGCGAAAGCTTGATCCTTATCAGACAATCAGATGGCCGTTGTTCCGTGAAGCCACACTCTACAAAGATGGCGGTTACATCAAGGTATGATTACTTACTCCTGTTTTTGCAGGATTTTTGCTGACATATTTCCCCCAGGATCTTTCCTATCTCAACCGTGATCTCAAGAAAGTGCTTATCATCGATACTGATCCGCATCACGTCAAACACCAACCCGAAAATGCCATCATCCTACCCAAGTGGACTGGCGACCCGAAGGATCAGACTCTAATCCAGTTGATTCCCTTCCTGGAGTATTTGGCGACCATGGGCTTCGACGATGTTCGGGAGGTCTTGAAGTCGTTCGAAGGAACATATATTCCGGCCGAATTTGCTCGCCGGGAGAAGCTGTTGCGGGAGAAATTCGAGGCTGAGGCAGCAGAAAAACGCAAGCACAAGAAAAAGAGCGTTGGCGGAATTGCACAATGGTTGGGCTTGACGAACAAACATCCGGATGCTCTCAATCCCGACGAGGCTGGCGAAGGCAAGATGCTGTGGGATCAGATTCGTGAACGTGGACAGCGACAGTACATGGAATTCGAAAAGAAGATCAAGGAGGAAGGAGAGAAATGGCTGGCTGAGAGAGAGACAGAAGAAAAGCGACTGCAGGAAGAAGCCTTGAAGAACATGAAGGTTGGATTTTTCTCCGGCTGGTTCGGTGGCAGCAGCGACAAGGGTGGAGAGAAGAAGTAATCAGGGACATACGGTTCGTGTGGATGTATTGCAAGCATTGGACAGGAGAAGTCTCCGAGTCTATTGTACAAAAACATGGATAGGACAACTACCATCAGACTGGTTGGTGGCAGCGGAGGAGGATCTCCCTTCATGTACAGCAAAGTACTGTTCGAGTTTGCATGTTCTCTCCAATTGGACTGCTAATAGGCGCATCGGGCATGTGAAACGTATCAAGCGCTTAAGAAGTATTGTCAATAGTCATCCAGAGGTTATCCGCATTCTGGATGTAGAGGAGTCAAGAAAGTGGATGCCATGGACAGAACCGTCCGAGCCTGAAAGATCGTGTCGACAACATACCTGGCATACATAGGTAAGAAGAAGCCGACATAATAGCCTTGCGTTTACAAATAACATCCACTTGCTTGTCGGTACATATTGTCGTGTATATCTACGCCTTCGACCGAGATTGTCGTGAATAGTGGGTTTCATGCTAAGTAAAGGAACTCTGAATTGTGGGCTCCGCGTCCAAAATAGAAGCTTGGATCTGCCAAACATGTTTAACTGGACGTCGTGCCCACTCTAGGGTCCTTCGGACGACATTAGGCAGGCAAGGCTAATCGGATGGGCAGTAGCTCTCGCTTACCATGTACAACTTGAATATTAGATGTACTAGAGCTATACAAGAAATACGAGTGTAGTTCGGGTAGGTTCGTTTATTGGATCTGGTACTGTACCTCCTGTACTACCCAATATTGTGTTGTTAAACGTTTAGTGGTACTGTAACCGGTATTGTCCTATACCCACCTTGATACACCTCGGGCTGTTCTGCTTTGGCCCACCACTAGCAACGTAAGCAGCCTCTGGCACCTCGTGCCACCATCGTCTCATCAATCCATCGACAAACAATAGCAGATCGCTGGTCATATCAGATCCTGTCGTCAATAGCTCTACCAGGCACTCGATTGCGTATATCTGGTCCGCCGTTACGCTTCATCTTCTGCTTGACTGCTACTCCTCGCGTGAGTATTGGGCTACACCACCACGCGTCTCCGTCCATGGCGGCAGAACAAGCACAGCCGCCACCAGCCATGTTAGCCCTCTAGAGGCCTTTATGAAAAGTACAAACGACCACCATATCTCTCCGGAGAATCCCTGCTCTCAATGTCATCGCAAATCCTCCCAGATGATCTCTCCAAGGCCGCGTTGACCGTGACCCTGAATGAGATCCCACCTCAGCCACTCGACACAGGTCAGGATCAGGCTCAGCCGCTCTCTCGGCAAGATCCCCGTAAAACCGGTACATCCTTTCGATCGAAGTCGACAACTGTATCTGGGGAGGACAGCCAAAAGCCAAATGCTGTCTCCCCATTGCCAGTCGAGGTCATCCAGAGGTACGTCTTGGCCCCATACCATACTTACATGTAGCCTGCTCCGCTTCTTACTTGGCTTACTAACAAAACGTCCAGGATCTTGTGGACGGTGGATGCCAACACTTTCGCATCTCTGGTTCTGCTCAACCGCGTCTGGTATGAAGCGGCTCAGCAGAAGGAACTCTATGCGCACCATCTGTCACGATGTCCTTCGTATGCCTTGGCTAACACGGTCATCACTGGGCCGTTTCGCAAAAACGATCTCCTTCGACTGAAGTCAAAGTTTGCCGCCGAGGTTCGTCGTAACCTCTTTGAGGCTTATCTTCGCCCTCGTCAGACTCTTATCAACCTCATCTCCGTCAATGCGAGCTCGTCTGCGGCGTTGCCCGGCGCCGAGGCATTCCGCTTCTCATTTTCCCCCAATGGTCGAAGTGTCCTGGCCTTGAGTTCGTCCAGGATATATGTTCTAGACGCAACGAGCGACATTGCCACCGTCCGGAAGGAACTCAAGACATTGAGGAGGCCTCTATCCGCTTCAATTACTGATGGTGGCACGATCTTGGCGGTGCTATCATCCCAGTACCAGGCTAATATCTACCATCTGTCGGACACCGGCGTGAAGCACTCGCAAGTCCTGGTTATGGACCACTCTCCACGAACGATTACACTGGCTCCTGAAGGGACAGTCCTGGCTGCTGCATACGAAGGAGGTGTCGAGGTGTTTTCGTTGGCTCCCAATGCCCTGGCCACCGATCGTCGAGCCGTGAGGAGTGAAGCAGTAGATGCGCTGAGCTTTTCTGGCGATGGATCCATGTTGGTCGGGAGCACCCAGAGTCTAGACGAGCCGTCAGCAATCGTCATCACCGCGCCGTTTTACACTGAAAATGATCTGCCACCTAGAGAAGTCCATAGCCGGATGTGGACGAACCAGATTCTCTTCCCGCAGATCAGTAGTATTTGTAGCCATGCGGAGTTATTACAGGGCCATACAGAAGGCGACGCCAATTGGCTCTTCACTTATGACCACAGTCTCATGAATTACAGGGCCGTGCGTACCGACGATACACGAGCAGGTGTTGCCTATTTTCTGAATCCTCCTACGGGCAGACGGTTCAGCATACCAGCACCTTGTACGCCACCTACTGCAACGGCATGTGGCAGTCTTGTGGTGGCCGGTTTCAGTGGATGTGGACTTTGGATCTACGGTGTCCCCGAAAAGTTAGACGTCAGTCCTGATATGGGTTCGGTTGTGGAAAGACATGAGCAACGGGTCCAACGCAGGGGCCCGCTCACGTCTGCAACTGGTCACCTTGAACCCTTAATTGCCTATTCGCCGTCTATTTCCGGTCACAGCAGCGACATCGAGGATGACTCCATAGCAGCCAAAGTTGACTGGCGCGAGAGTATATTCGTCAAATGTCAGCAGATTCGAGGCCTCGAAGGTTGTACGGCAGCCAAATGGGTCGAGAAAACCGAGGATCAAGAAGGCGCCTTTCCTGGGAAGAGATTGATCTTGGTAGCTCCAGGGGGTGTTGATCGATTCGCGGAAGAACTTGGGGACGGAAACATGCCTGTTGATGGGTCGCGCATTTCGATTCTTGATTTCGACTACTCGCCTACCGTCGGGCAAGATCGTGAAGTGACCATTGAAGTGGGCGAGAATGAAGCAGAACTACTGACGGAAGAAATGAGTGACATTGATATTGAAGTGGCTATGGAGCGGCGACGGACTGTTAGAGACAGATCAAGAGGAGGGGGGAAATTAGGATTGGGTCGCTCCGCCACTTCAGCTGGAGCAAGAAATAGCACCGGATGGAGTCAAAGTCGTCTGACCACGATACGGCCATCATCCCCTCTTGATGTTGATGCACAAATTGCTCTGGCTGAGGCTCGAAATCAGTCTCAACAGCAGAACACGGGAAGCCTGCATAGATCGGCCACCGCTGCAGGGTTCAATACGGCACGATATCCTCCAAGACCGCCTCTCTCCGCGCAGCAGGAAGAGCCGGTAACTGATATCAGCCAGCCTTGGTATCCTAACGGAAACTGGTACAGTCCGCCACCGCCGTATAGTGCAAGTCCCAATGGGGCGGTCGAAGATGATATCCCGTCGTTGTCTCCATCGACACATCCTGGTCGGGGGCAAGAGCCAGACAGAAATAGTCAATTGTTCAGCGGAGCCCCGGGTCATCCCATCGCATACAACTTACAGCCGAGTCTGTACCAAAATGCCTACCAGCCTCAGTCTCATATCACGCCGCATGCTGTGGCAGGACTCTCTGTACCAGGACAGGTACCTGGTCAAGATGGTCCTCTAACACTCAACAATCATACACAGATACCACCGGGAAGCTCTCATTTTGCGGCTTCTGGTTCGAGAGATGCGCCTTCGACCCCAGAGTCTCTCCGAGGCCGCATTACACCATCACAGTCCACTGGCCGAAGCTCTCCATTGAGCCGGAAACAGCCGCCTTCGGACCACCTCAACAAAACACCTCCTACCCAACCGTCCCAGAAGCCGCCGGCATCCAACGCAACGACTTTAACTGGAGCCAATTTACAAGCACGGCTCAATCATCCAATCCCGCCGACGCCGCCAGTTTTGGAGCAGATGTGGTCGTCGCCTAACTCTCCACATCGAAAAACACCACCCAAGCGTACAGATCCACCTGCGACACAACCACCAAGTTCTCTAGATGTTCAATACTCGGTCGCTCCTCCGACCCCGAATCAGATGGCCGACTTGAACCGACGAGTGTCTCTAACAACACGGAAACCTCTTCCGGTCAACTCATCACTAAACCAGCAGAACGACAACAACAGATGGACCAACAATATACCGACCCGTAGATCAAGCGGTGAATCCCACACTCCCCGGGCCGCATGGGGTGCAGTGGGGATACCCGGATCACCTTCATTTGCCAATCCGAATGGACTTGGGCTTTCGAGGACGAACTCACGTGGCAGCAGCAACGGCCGTGTCAAGGCCTACTCAGCATCCACGCCGAATCTGCATACTATTGGTGGTACAGGATCAATGTCCTATGTCGACCGACCTCGAATAGGCAGGCTCGATACGATCGAGAGTGTCTCGAGTTCATATGGACTTGGCGAACCTGGTGCTAGACATCAAGGTGCTCCCGCTCAAGGATCATTCGCCGGCTCAGTGGTGTATATGCGCCAGCAACAACAATATACAGATATATATGGCTATCCGGGTTTTGGGGCCGGGCAGGGGGCGGACGTGCAGCCGCAACCGCAACCGCAACCCCAGCTACAGCCCCAGGTACACGTCCAGGCGCAGTTCCAGCATCAACCACCGACGCATCATTCGAGAATGTGGGCAGGTGACGATGAGAATGCGCCTGATACTACAAAAAAGAGGGAAAGGGGGAGAAGATGTATTGTTATGTAAGTGTCTACAACTCGGTGTGCCGAGGCATGCATCCAGATGCTGTTCCGGACGAGGAGCGAGCGAACGACCAAAACTGGATCTTGGGAATCAAGTTCAATCTGAACGTGGGCAGGGAGTTTACAATAGGAGGGGGAATTTGGCTCGAATGCATGTGTGGTATGTTGTTGGTTTAGGAAGGGTCAAATATCAACGATCTCCTTGGTACATACACAAGTGTGCAGGTGTACATTGTCCATTTAGCGTACGGCAGCTATTTATTTACGGGAGAAATTTACCTGGTACCCCCAAAGGTGCCTAGGTAGGTATTCAAGATTGCTTATAGCTAGCTGGGTAAAGGCTTGGTTCTGATACATGCGTTCTAGACTGAATCATTCTTTCAAGGTTATTATCTCACCCCTGCTCGGTTTTCCATCCTGCTGTCGCATCTTCTCCCGGGTCCACGAGTCTTTACGCCAACCCGCCTACTCTACCAGGTAGGTCCTGTCGCAGCTAGGAGGATCTGCCATGATGTCTCATTAGTCCAATTTATTTAGAATGTCTTGATTGTTGAAGTGGTTAATCATTACCTGCAATTTACAAACTACCAGCCAATTTTATATACCTATATCATATCTCCCCCTTCCGGTCCCTCTTTACCAAATCCAGCCGGACATCCTTTAGTCACTTACCTCACCTGGACTCCATTCATGTCCCAGTGGCACTGCATGTTTCTCAAAAATGATTATACTCCTGCCCACCCTTCTTTGGATTTGAATTCCCCGATCCCGAAGCAAACGTCGGACTTGGCTTCTTTGGGGCTGGAGCCAGAGTTGGTGCCTGTCCTTTCGACAAAGCCACCGTCACCGGCACGACTGGAGGACCTGCTGGTGCTGGAGCAGGTTTTACAGGAGCAGGTGCCTTAGGTGCAGCAGGAGCAGGTTTTGCAGGAGGGGCTGCGGGTGCAGCAGGTCCCTTCCCTACACATCGATTATCACCGGCCGCAAGAGGCTGTTCGATGCCGTGAAGTGAGGCATCGCAGAGGGCGAATGTGTGGCTGGACACACAGACGAATTGGCCTGGTTGGTGGCAGAGACCGGAGGGGATAGATGCGATGGGAAAAGGTTCTGGGGAAAGGGCGGGTGCGGGAGCTGCATGGGTAAGAAGGGGGAGTTCTGGGAGGAATGTGGCGAGGAATAGGGTCGATACTGATACGAAGTTGGTGGTGGGATGCATTTGTTTTCGATTTTGGATTGAGACTTGGGGTTTGGTGTTTGGATTTGGTCGAGGACTGTACCTAGGTAAGGGTTGGTGTTAGAGCTGTACTGGTGGCAATGCAGGGTGAAAGAGAACACAATCTATTTGTTTCAGATCGTAGAATTTCTCATCGTCAGCAGGAAGTGAGGAGCAGGAGTTGATGAGACTGCTGGAATGCCGGAACAATATGTAACCTTGTTATGTTAATGGTTGGCAACAGATAGATGGACAAATTGGTAACAGGTCAAGACTCAATGGAGCGAAGCACACGGGGTACAGTCCGTGGATAAGGGAGGAGTGTTACCTGGTACCCTTAGTTCCCATTTCATTGTTTCAGACGAATGTCTCTGCTTAATATTGTCGGTTCTTCCCGTTGTTTCATCCCCTTTGTTTGTCGACCTGAATTCAAACGAGATCAACGACAACAACAAAAAAGGCATTGGGGGATCGTGTCGGTGGACACAAAGCGTCAGGCCGTTCCCCAGCATCTTTGCCATTGCCAGTGGCATCTTGTTCCTTTATTCCAATTTTGTGTCTATTCTTATCCAAGTCGTGCCTGGTCCAGTCCTGGTGTGGGAGAATTTTGACCCATCAATACCTACCTACCCAGGTAATCAGGCTGAAGAACGTAGTAAGCGTACTTTTCCACCACAGTTGAGCATACAATTTGTACGTTCATAACGTCTTTCACAGACACGCGGTATGCCGAATCCGGAAAAGAAAATTCCAATATAAGATACTGGCTAGGCCACCAGCTACAGTCTACTCGTGTGGCCAAGCAGCACTGCGGCCCTGCTCCAAGAGTCTCAGATCCCCGGTGTGTTCTTGGTAAAAACCGGCAACATCCATTGAATCAAAAAAATGACTAGCTGGTAGCGCTAAGAAGCCCGAAAGATGCAAACTCGACAGGGTATCGTGTGCGAAGGAAAAATAAACAACGTACAGTACGCTCACCACCTGCTAAGAGCACAAAGAAAAGCAAAATTCAAAGAAGAAATAAACGCCTATGCCCTCCAACCCAGGAGGGTCTATGTATGCGTGCTTGGTCGGAGAGATAATGAGATGATGGCCAATATGCCAACAGTAGCTGTAGCTTGACGTCCCGAGTTGGTCGGAAGTTCTCCGGTGCAGGCCGTGGAAGCGGACGAGACGTTGGCTGTGGAGACGATGGCGAGGTTTGTCTGGATGGGCCAATTGTGTTGCCATATGAAGGGAAGAATGACGGCATGTTATCAGACTAGTACATCGCCCATATTCATATTGGTAATGTTGTAGCGCTGGAATTATGTGGTGGTGATAGTGTTGTCGAGGTCCATGAATATCAATCATGGGGATATTGTGATCAACGGACTGTATTGAGACATATCTGAGCTGTGCCGGACTCAGAACGTCCAGCGGAGCCGGAGTGTAGTCCAGGCAAGAGGCTGAACTCAGCCTCAGATCCCAGCGTGAATGTCAAAGGTCGATATTGTCGACTCCGAACGTTGCCCCTTGCCACGATTCGCATGTTGCTGTTTTCATCCGTAGGATCAAGAAAAGATACCGAGATCCAGTGACACTTGTCGGTCGGAGAGCATAGAGGTATGGCGGTTACACCATATCCCCAACATCACGCTCGGTCTCCTGACGAACACTAGGTCCAGGAGCGCCGAAACTGGCGGTGCGTGGCCTTGTCAGACCCTCCCTTGTCGACATGGACGGACGCGAGGGAACCATTCCCAGTCCCGTCGCGGTTGCCGCTGCTGTTGTGGAATGAAAACTGGCCCGACGTTTATGCGCGTCTTCCTCCTCGGCCCAAGCCAGACTCTCGTCCGGCAATAAAATGGCCCGATCAATGCTAACCGGTAGACCACGATGTCTACCTCGAAGCATGACGGCACACAGCACCAGTTTACTGGCAGTATGCCAGGCACCGCAGAACGAGTATGCGTTCCAGGGCACACCAGTCGAAATGCCAACGCAACCATATGCGGACGTGACTTCGAAAATGATGTTGAAGGTGGAAAAGACAACGGGATCACGCTCAAATTGACCAGTCTCAATCGAAGTGATGACAAATATGGCCAGGGCAATCCACCAAAGGTCATGTCCCAACTGACTGCGGAGCTGTTGGCGGACAAAATCCTGTCGAGTCCAAGAAGTCGGAAATGTAGCCTTGTTCATGGGCGAAGAAATACTCTGACCATGGGTCATGGTCATGGTCTTCTTGAGGCCGTGGAGGAGTTTGTTCTTGCTTCTCGGGCGAGCAGCTGCCTTTTCGTCGGAGGCACCATTTTCAGCAGATTGAGGATGCGGAGAGAGCGGTAAATCTTCGGCATACAGTCCAAGGGATCGTTCTTCGTACACGTTGGTGTTGCGGATGGTCATGGTCACGGGAAAAGCACTGATATACCTGAGATCAGTGTTAGCTTCAGCACAAGAAAATGCATGTAGGCCCCGCAGCTAGGAATGGTTTCCAGACATGCCAAATGGCGAAGACCTGGCAACTTACATCATCAAAACATACAACACCAACAAGCCCGACCGTAAGCCGGCTATGCTGACCACATAGAATCCTCCACTTCTGACGGCAAATGCTTGAAACAAGCCATCTAAAACCCTGAAATGAGCTGGGATCGAGTCAGTAGTAGGGTTGCCGATGTTCAGTAATTCAAAGGCCAACCAGTCAATTCCGTTGAGCATAACGACCGAAAACACCAGCCACCACGTCTGCGCCTTTGGAAACAAGTTGGTGTAAACTCTCCGCGGGTGGTCGAGACAGAATTCCAATGTACGACGACGAACTTGCCATTCTGCCGAGTTCCAGCTCTTAGGAATAAGGTTCTTCATCGTCCACAGAACCAACCTCAAGAAAGGAGGAAAGCAGGTGTTGCCGGCCAGAATCAACAAACTCAGAGTGAGCAAGACATAGTAGCTGGTCTGCACGGCTGTTGCATTAGCATCAAGTAGTGCCATGCCGGAATTGTTGAAGGCGGAAATGGCAAAGAATGCCCCGGTCCAAAAAGGATCAAGCCCTGTAGACTCGGTTAGTGACACGGCATATGGTTAACCAGGCTCCTCGGTTGCTCACCATTTTTCAATGACACCCCTGGCCGGTTCACCTTAATCCAGGCACCCACACCCAGTGCGCCCAGCAGTTGAAAGAGAACAAAGTACACAGGCACCACCCATGACAATAGACAAATAGCATCGTACTCGATACCGCCGAGTTTCTTTCTTTCCTTGTCACTAAGATGATGGAACTGACTGTTCCGTCCTAGATATCCATTGACCGTGTCTAGGTATTTGTTAATGGGTTTGCGAGATCGAGACAGGAATTCGCCATCAACCTCGCTTTCATCAGCATGATCATTGTAGTAATCGACAGGCCGTGCATTTCGTGGATGGTTGTCGAGACCTTTGGCCCCAACACCACTGCCTTCGAGAAAACTGGTACGATGGCGCCTGATGGGATGCGGCAGATAATCTGCATGATCCCCTGCCGCAACATCGGCCCGAAACCGAATGTGACCGGCCCGCTCTGGGTTGTCGCCTTCATCTGTCCCAGTGGCAGTTTTGGACATTCGCAACCTCTCGTCTGATGGTGACCGATGATGGCTCAATGAGTCTGAACGTTTATGTTCGTGATCTACCTGGTCGTTGGGTATTGCGCGGCCACGCACGGCACCGGAGGCAACAGCAGCGACATGATCCGCATCCGACATGCTTGTTTTCCGCTTAGAGAAAGAAAAGTTGAACGAGCGAGGCCGCTGCAGCCGTTTTCTCCGTCTGGCAGCGAGCTCGGCGAACTTGCGTTCGAAAGCGCGCTTCCTGACGTACAAGACACCAATGGACACCCATATAGCCGACCCAATGATGATCAGGAGGAATAGAATCACTTGTTGCCATGTATTCAATGTCGACAGATTGACCGTGTTCAAGCCAGCCTCCGTCATGGCCGAGATACAGAGAAACAGGCTGTCAATATATGAGACCGACCTTGGTGGAGTGGATGAACCCCAGAAGATGATGCTCGCCAGGAGACATGTTACCCCGAAGTACAGGTAGTGGAGATTGATGAAGGAAGCGGCTGGAAGGCTGGGTCGGACATGTCGGTCGAAGAGGGTGCGAATCTGGGCAGACACCCTCCCGAGCGGCTTGACTTTCTCGTTGCACATTGTGTTGAATCGCGATGTATCATGGGGCTGCCCGATATCAAGGGGCCCGGGCAAGGCGCCTCGCCGGCGGCAAACGGAAGCAGCGACCGAGATGTCTTGGCCGCGCAATCAAAAGATGACCGCATCCGGGTCTTTGCTATTGTCGTAGCGCATAGTATTGGAGCTTCGAAGCAGACTGAGAAGGACGAGTCTATGATGATCTTCAGGCGCTGAAGTTGAGCCATGAATTCCTGGCATCGAAAAAGGAGAGTTGATGATGCCAAGACATGGGCAGCAAACAGGCTTGCCGGAGTCTAAAAATACACGGCGTCTGACAGCATAATCCATCAATGTTACACTGACCATGCCACCATCTGCGACTGGTTTATCCTGCAGACAGACCGTCCCGATCCGAATTTCTGTCCGAATGGCCATGATGGTCTTCAGCCTTGTCCGGTGAAAGGCGGATATTCTCAGCCTTGACGCTTGTGTATTTATACGTCCAGTTCCTCCATGGGAGCGTTACGCTACTGGTCAAAATCTAGCGCGCAAGCAGACATTCGCACCCTTTCAACTATTAGCGCTTCAAGTATTCCAGATTCCGAGAGAACTACAGCTCCTCCGACGTGACAGTCTCTATGTCTGGCATTGGCAGTCATGCCTCGCCCAGCCTAGGCATGACCGGTTCTGGTTCAACCCCATCAACGATCCTCCGCACATGAGATTGCTCGATCCGCCTGGCGCGCTCACGGCCTTCTTGTAGCCTCTCCACGCCCAGACGAATACTTTCCACATGTACACTCAGCGGGATTTCGCGATGATGTTGGAGAACTTCGGCACTGGCGACTCGTGTGCGCAACTCTTCCAGCTCCGCGCCCATAGCCTGTAACTTGAGAATCGTCGCCGAGACATGTGCATATGCGATCTTGCGATACTGCCCAACCTCGCGCAACAACATGAGCTGCTTGTTGTACTTCCCCAACTTCCCGCGGTTCCCACCAAGTAGTGTCCACAAGTGTCCGAGGATCTCGTCCTTTCCAGCCTGCGCGGCGATATTGTCACGCATAGACACGCCATGTATCACTTCCAATCTGTCCTCGAGATTCTGCAACACCAACAGCAATGCCTGGGCTTCTTCTATCAACCGTTCAATCTCATCTCCAATCACTCGTGTATGTGTGATATATTGATCCAACAGCCGCGATTCACTGAACTCAACAGGCTTGAATGGTGCGAGCAATCGGTCCTGAATGAATGACGGCACCACCCCACGCGAAGACTTTTTCGTGGCCATGTCGTCGAGCACTCGCTGGGTCCAGCGTGCGGTGCTCAGCACAATATCCACGCCACGTCCGACATGCGAGTTGAACTTTTGCAAGTCGTAGCTAGCTATCCGCGCCGTCTCGATGAATCCGTCGAATTCGAGTGTCAATTCGTTGCGTGAGGGTAGTTGCGAATATCGGACGATTTGCCGCAGATCGCGGATTGATGTCTCTGATCTCTTCATGTCCAAAGGCAAGGTGATGCCAGCTGCAGATTCGAATAGAATCTCTTCAAAGTGCGATTGCGTCTTCATGAGCGCGTCAAACTCAACAGGAGCAGAACTGCCTGCGTCAAGTGTGGGAGCGTTGGGATCAGACGAAGCATACTGGCAAATTGGTAGATGGAATAAAGATATGCCAGGGATCCGACAGATGGGCGACAGCGCGGTGTAGATCGATGCAGTGAGAAGATTCTGAAGGAACATCAACATTCCAGCAAAAAGATAGGCGGCCAGCACCCAAGAGATAGGCTTCTTCAACGCCTTTAGCGTTTGGCCCATGATGTCGAGTGTCCATTCAGCAGCATGGCCCAGTATAAGCACCATTTGATCGAGTACTCTGGAAGCGACTGTCTCTTGTGGAACGTCTTGCGCCGGAGATACGCCTGATGGCTGCTTGTGGAGGTGCTCTTGTGATGAAGGCAGGGAAGCACCTTTACCTTTGCGCTTCTTGACCAGCCTATCAGCAACAGGCAACACAGTCGTGGTGGAAGGTGAAGGCATGATGAATTCTGGCTCGGTAGGAATAGATCTTGTTTGCTTGTACGGCTTTGACCGTGGAGCCACAAAGGGTCTTTCAGATGAACTGTCTTTTTGCACTCTTGTCATTCTGGGGCTTTGGGTCGTGTCTGCTCTGTCGGAACTGTCGCCCTCACTGAGACTGTCTTGGTTCTGATCTTCTACCACCCACGAACCATCCAGAGAAGACTTTGAAATAGCAGACATTTTGGGCCAATTTAAGGCGCAGAAGAAGAAAACGGAATTAAATAACAATAGTGCTGATTAGAAGAGGCTGCTACTGGCGTGCATTCAGCCTTGCGTGATGGAAGCTGAGAGTGGCAAAAGAAGAAGGGTGGTCATTGTGGTCACCGGTCAAAGAAGGCTTATCACCAGCAGCAATAAACGGTGATTTAGCCCGTGAAGACGAGCATCATGCACCAGTGTTGGTGAGACAAAGAGACTGTCAACAGGCGGTGTTACAACTTTCATTCATCTCGATTTCGTGTTTATTGTGAGTTGGCAGCATTAAAGACGCGTCCTTTGTTCACACCTGGAAACGACGTCATCAGATATTGGCTTACTAAGATCGTGACAAACTAGTCCCAAACAGGAACATGCTGTTCCTCTATCAAATACTTAGTATTGGGCGAAATGATACGCGCTGACAGCCGATACTCTGCTCTATTCTATCCGTAGCGTACTATCGCAAAGTGACAAGCTCTTCCGCACTCGTCTATCTATTGTTAGCTCAACCCAGCGATCAGACGCAGACAACCATGGCTTACCGGGTGGATTGCAACACATGAATCAAAATCTTTCTTCGTCGCGCCCATTTTCACTGCGACACTGTACTCATTAGCAGCTATCCAGCAAGACAGACGGGGCTACTTCAACTCACCCGAAGCCTTGCATCATCTCATCACAACCTTTGCCCAGGATGTGTAGCCCCACGATCTTCTCGTCTGGAAGAACGGTGACGAGTTTAAATTCCGTGGGTTCCTTTTTCTTCTCTTCCGGTGGAAATCTGGAACAAAGTTAGTTTGTGCAAGTTTCCCTGGAAATATCATGACATACACATCGTAAAACATGGCGGAAAATCGGGTGTGATAGGTCTTGACGTTCTCTTTGCCGTACTTCTCAATGGCTTGAGGCTCTGTCAAGCCAGTGGCGCCCACCTCGGGATGGGAAAACACCACAGATGGAATCTTGTCATATTCCAGGTGGTCCTCCTTAAGCTCGGGAGGTCCAAAGAGCCGGTTTCCAAGCTTACGGCCAGCAGCAATAGCAACCGGGGTGAGTTCGGCCTGGAAAGAAAACAAGGTTAGAGTGTATCAACCGCGGGATATTGAAAGCACATACTTGACCCGTCACGTCTCCTATAGCGTAAACACCGTTGACAGATGTGTTCTGATACTTGTCCACCGCAATATGGCCTGACTCAGTGCGCTTGATGGGAATCTTGTCCAGTCCAAGACCCCGATCCTCAGGACTTCTGCCAATGGCCCACAATAACTCGTTGGTGATCATTTCCGTCCCGTCATTCATGATAAGCTTCAGCTGTTTCTCCCGTGGATCCGATGCATCAGCGGCGGCTTGTAGCTGAATCACCTCTTTAATGCCCGGGTGATTGCGGTGAACATGGACTCCCATGTCTTCATAGTGCTTGGTCATGGTTTCCTGAATCATTGGGTCGAATTTTCGGAGGAAAGTGTTGTGCCTGATAAAGATATGCGTCTCTACGCCGATCGCATTCATAACGCCTGCAAGTTCCACTGCAATGTAACCTGCGCCGACAAAAACCATTTTCTTGGGCAGGTGCTTGATTTGGAAATATTCATCCGAAGTGATGCCATATTCTGAACCTGGAATGCCCTTGGGCGTGGTCGCGTACGAACCAGTTGCAAGAGTAATGTGCGGTGCGGTAATCCTAAATGGCTCGCTTCCGTCATGGGGCTTGACCTCCATCTCATGTTCGCTGACGAAGGTTGCCGAACCGTGGATCAGGTCGATGCCCTCCTTTGCCCAGTTGTTCTCGTATGCGCCGTTCAGAACCTTGATCCTGGCATCTCTCTTTTCGACAAAACTCTTGAAATCGAAGGTATACCCATTATCGAAATTGTAACCGTAGTGCTTCCCTGCCTTGATGGTTTCGTTGATCGAGGAAAAGTTCCATGTCATTTTCTTCGGCACACATCTGATTTGAGTTAGCCTAGCACTGAACGGCTTCATCTGGAAACATTTACCCAACGTTGACACAGGTGCCTCCCGACGCCCCGGCCTCGACAATGCAGGTCTTCGCGCCATACCAGCCACTGGCTCTTCTGGCTGTGCCACTTCCGCCGGATCCTCCTCCAATGACTATATAGTCATATTGCTTCGTGATGGGGGCCATGTCCACGGAAGAAGAGGAGAACTGTCGCGAGAGACCGGCGAGCCTGGACACCGAGGCGTGAGGGGAGGAGGGAGCGAGGCGCAAGGGCTCAATCGTGGTGGATTTGTGCAACAGCTTTTGGAAATTGCCGACACGGACGGTAGTCGCAGACTGCCTCAGAAGACGGGAGGCACCAAAGGACATGTCACGAGGGGAAAAGAAAACGAGAAGTCGGGCGCAGATGGCTTTAATAATGAACCCCGAACTGTGTAGATGTTCGTCCTGCAACCGCAATTGCTGGCACAAATCTTTGTTTGATGATGTGATCAATCCGGGGACCCGACAGGCAGTCCGCCAATGAGACAATGTCAGTTGCCGGCGCCGGAGTCTCGACGATTATCTGCTTATAAAATCATGCAGGACAACATGCCCCAATCCTACTCTCAAGTATAAGGTAGCCATGGGGCTAGGGTAAGTATCGGGAAGCTGAGGCTGGTTGGGGTGGGTTTGATGGGTATAGATATGTATCTAGCAGTTATATGAGAATCTACATCAAAACCACCCAATTTACAGCTTCGACTTTGATCCCCTGTTTTCGGCTGGTTTGTCACCAATATCGACCTGCTGCCACCAAGGATACCAGTCTGGGGCGTCCTGCGGCACCTGCCCGGTGAAGTTAACCTGTCTCTTCTCGAGGAAGCTCTGCACGCCTTCTACATTGTCCTTACTGCCAAACAAACCATGGATGATTCTTGAGTCGAGCAGGTGCGTGCCCTCGGCGCTGTCAGGACCTCGGTACATGAGTTCCCTCATCATCTTTGTCGCGACAGTTGACGTGTTCTTTGCAACCTCGTCGGCCAGCTCAAGCGCTCGTGCCAATGTTGCCTCCGGTGTCGAGCACGTCTCCGAGAACAGTGTCCCGAACAGGGGATGCTCTGCAGGATAAACCGAGCCAGTAGTGGTAAGGTGTAATGCCCGTGAGTGACCAATCAATCGAGGCAGGAAGTAAGAAGAGCATGCTTCCATAATGATGCCTCGTCTGCTGAAGACAAAGCCTACTTTTGCCTTTGCATAGGCGATCCGGATACACGCCGGTAAGCACATGGTGATGCCGACACCCACAGCGGCACCTTGGATTGCGGCAATTGTAGGTTTGGAACAGTGATGTATGGCCAGGGAGACTCTTCCACCACTGTGAAAGCATGTCAGTCTGCATTCGCGAGCTGTAACGTTCTCACTTACCCATCTCGATGATCAACGTCACGCTCCGTCTTGGGATTCTTGATCTGGCCGTTCTCATCCTTTGCGCCCAAGAAGCCAATTTCGAGGTCGGCACCTGCACAGAAGCTTCTTCCCGCTCCCGTCAAAACTACCACCTTGACGCGTGGATCAACATCTATAAGCTCGTATACCCGTTCCAAGTCCACGCGCATAGCCTCGGTGAAGGCATTGTGTTTCTGTGGTCTGTTCAGAGTGATCAAAATGACCGGTGTTGCCGTGGGAGACGACTCAGGCACATGGGAGACCTTAACATGTCGAAGTGGGAGAGTAGTATAGGACTCCGGCACCTTCAGAGGTGGGCGTGCTTCACGAGGCATGTTGACGGCAATGATTCAGTGCGGCTTGAGTAGAATGCGATGGGGAAGAATGGAGGGAACCGTACAAACCTGTTGGCACAGTCATCTAGTAATATCTTCTGCAAGCATGGACTTAAGGTACTCATCGGTCCGCGGATGACTTTGTGTTTTAGTGATCAGTTTATCCTCGGCTCAATAAATCTGTTGACACCGCGGTTTGCGATCTGGGGTCCGGAGATTCAGATGCGGGGATTGGTAGAGCCGCAACGTGTTTGATAGTAATCGAGACGAAAGAGAAGCCAAAATCAATCCATCCGCCTGCTTCTACTGGTGGATGGTAGCCGGATGACAGTCTGCGTGGGTTGAACACCTAACTGGGCTCTAACAATCTGGGAATCCGAATTTTGTACAGCATTTCCCAGCCTTTTTTGCCTCTTGAACTAGGACATGCCGTAAACCGCGCCTCCATGCGTGTAGTATTTCCCATCTCCATTCACGACTTGCCTGCGGCCAGGCCAGTTATGTTGCGCGCGCGGTCGAGGGCAGGGATAGCAGAGGAGGTTGCTGAAGGATGAACAGGTCCTTTCGCGCAAGCTACTGGTGTCTTCATCGTGGTATTGCATTTGGACTCTCAGTTCTCGATAGAACTTGAGAAGACCAATATGGACGATGTACCTCGTAGAATTTACTTGAGAAGCCTGTAATGAGACCAGGAACGCAAGTTTCATTTACATTGTAGAGATTTCGCGCGCTCTAGCTGCTTGCGCTGCCATCGTTTCTCGAAAGCCAAGCCTGAAAGGAGAGTGAACGTATTTCCGCTGTAACAGCCCTCATCAGAGCAAACCCTGTCAATCAGAGCAAACCCTGTAAACTCCTGTGGACTCTCTCTCTCAGATCCATCTGAGGGCTGCGCTGGCGATCCAACCCCTGCAGCGACGTGGTCACCAACCAGTACAAGTTCCAACCTGTCAACCTACTTACGTGCGACACAACCACTCTGCGGGCCTCCGGGCTTCCTTCTTACCACGACCTACAGATTTAGACCTCTTCTCCAGAGCTTTGCTCAAGGCAAAAGCAGTGATGAAAAGATGATAGGAGCCAAAAAATACGCGGATAAGAGCCCCGAAGGACACTTAATGGCGACATCCACCGCGATGTGCAATGCAGGGACACCGCCATAGCGGACTCACTTCTTGAGCTGAGCCGCTCCCACAAGGTAAGTATGAAGAAAGGAAAAGGAAGATGATCAGGAGGAAAAATCGAAATACTTATACCCACAGGGTTGCCAAGAGAAAATTATCCAAAAGGGAAAGGTCGGAAATGGAAACCACGTGACAGCGCGTAAGACTGAGCACGGTCCACTTCGTGTGTCACTGGGCAACAGGGTCACGTGCCGCCTTTCCCGGTTGAGGTCACTGCAACAACCGTCACTTCCTTCTCACGTCTTGCTGCCGGTGACGCTTGTTACAACCTTCCATTGCGAGCTCAACAGCCGATACACTGGCATGGCACTATCATAGCTGCCGAGCTGTAGTCTCCGGGACATGAGAAATGCCTTGCATTGAGATCTCATCAATTCGCTGAGACCGGGCTTCCTTGCGCCTGCACCTCGTCTGCCTTCTTGTCGCTCAAGACGCGTCTGGTATCTGCTACGCACAGCCTTTCAGGGTGCCAGACATGCTACCTATGTAGGTATTCCACGCAAATGCTGAAACCAGCCCAGATCCGAATAGCTTCTTCATAAACCCAATGATAAAGATAAAAATGCTCATCTCCATCTCCATCTCCATCTCCATCTCCATCTGCATGCCCAAGTGAACCATCCAAGCTTCTCATCTGAATTCTCCGTTCCTTGACTGCCGAAGGTACTGTGCAATACATTCAGACGGCCTCCCATCATCCGTCCCTAAACCCATCTCCCCTCGGGCGGCCGCCCTTCCCAACATCTGCGTCCACTTCACTTTGACCTCACTTCACTTCACTTCACCGCATCACTGCCAGAATAATCAAGGTTCATCAATCACAGTCCCGGAATTCCTCCTCAATTAACGCAAAGACCCCCAGCACCGATTGGCCCAGGTCAAACCACGTTGGCTTTTCGAGCCAAACGGCGGAAGGCAGCCAATCGACTGGGCGAACCCGAATCCGTCCTCATGTTCGAACCACGCTTGCGACAAACAGAAATAAATTAGTTTCACAACCCTGTGAACCCGGGTTGACGCCCACCAGCGATTGAATAACCCTGCGAACCCGGGTTAACACCAACCAGCGGCCGCAAAAACGGAAAAACCCTGCGAACCCGGGTTTCACTTACCACGACCCCCTTACAACGGGGTTCGTGGAAAAGTTTTTGCTGGTTTGGTTTATGTTTCGTTTTTGCACGAAACATTATGGTACGAGGGGAGGTTGGTGTACGTACAGGCTTACGTTATTGCGCTTTCTGCGTGCGGCGGCTGAAAGCAGCGTCAAGTAGACTTGACAGAAGCCGTATGGTAGATACTGTAGAAATGCCTGGTATATCTATTTGGAATGTTAGAAACGGAAGTCCTGGGACCGTGTCGAAGGTCCACCTGGTCATGTTGAATTACTGTAGTGAAACTGACCATATAAGGGTAATAGTATATATTACTCAAGTGGTAGAATTTGTACCATAAACTACCTATGTACCTGACAGGTAAATGTATGTTTCTTATCCGTTCAACTATACCGCTACACACACTTCTGTACAAGGAGGAATCTGTCAATCACTGGAGATCTCACGAAACTAACCTCCTAAATCGAGGAGGTAATAGTCATGTCAAAGCTAGGCCGCCTCTCCAGATCAGCGAATGTCCGCGCCGCAGACCGGGCGGTCCTGACGCTCCTGTTCGTGGCAGTGCGGTATATAGAGGACATTGTCCTCGTGACACCGAGCGAAGACGTCTCTCCGATGGTACCACCATCTTCATCATCATCTGCTATGACTTCTTCATCATCGTCATAGTAATCCACGGTGCCATCCTCAGCCACTGGGGCAAATACGGACGTCTGGTTCGTATCCAAATCGTCTTCACCCTGTAACCTAGGGAGCCTGATGGGCCAAACCAAACAAATACTCAGCACGGTAAAGATGATGCCGACGGCGAAAGTGACGCGCAGACTCTGCGCATAGGCATTGATGACCTCGCCCTTGTGCAAGGGATCCAAGTCCCTAATTGAGGCGATGGATTTGCGCACCGTGGCGATGATGCGGGCCTTTGTTTCCTGGTCGGGCTGCGCACTGACGCTGCGGTCTAGATAGACGAGCAACGCATTTTGTAGAATCCAGCTGCTGATGGCGACGCCGTTGATGGCGCCCAAGTTGCGCAGCAGACCGAGCGTGGTGGTGACGACGGCCTGCTCGTTCTGGGAATTCAAGGCCAGGACGGCGATGGTCGCGGCAGGGAAAAAGAACCCTTGTCCGATGGAGCAAAAGGGAATCAAAATCGGCACCAACCACATGGGCGTGTCTGCCCTTAGACACGTCACCAAAATCGTGCCGAGTAGCATGCACGAAGTCCCGATCGTCATTGGTCCTTTCATCCGACGCGTGGCCGTGATGTAGAACCCGATAAACACGGCCGTGACACTGACGCCGATCAGGGGCGAGACGAGAAACAAGCCCGATGCAGTCGGCGATGTCTGCCGCACTGCCTGTAGGTACAAGGGCACATTGAACAAGATGGTGTTGGTGGCAATCGCGCCGAAGAAGTTCGACCACATCAGATTGCCGTTGGGGATGGTTGACAGCAGTCTCAAGGGTAGCATTGGGAACTCTGCTTTGCGTTCCACAAAGGACAACAATACCCCCGATACCGCCGACAAGATCAGGCTGCTGATTACCAAGGGATGGCCCCAGGTGAAGACATTGCCGCCCAGATTGACACCGAGGATCAGACAGGTCACGGTCACGGTGAGCGTGATGGCTCCCAGAGTGTCGAAGGTCTTGAACGCCTCCCGGATGGTTTTGCCCTGCGTCTTGGCTAGGTTCGGTCCAAGATCTTCCGGGCATGACAAGTACGCGAGAAATCCGTATATGAAGATAAATGGGAGCTGGAGGTAGAATGCTGCTCGCCACCCAAAGTGGTCGCAGAGGAATCCGCCCAATGCTGCGCCTAGGCCGTTGCCCATGCCGAAAGCCTACATTAGAACATACAGTCAGTAAATCAGTCATTTTGTACGTAGTGAACCTCACATGGTGCAGTGAAATTTGTTGCCGAGTTGCGCCAGTATCATGGAGCGATTGAGGTTAAAGACTTGAAGTCGTGATAACGTACCACGTTGAAGTAGCTCTGATAGATCCCGCGATACTCAATCTTAACCACATCACTGGTCAGTATACCTGCCATGGCAATGACGCCGCCGGCGCCCAAGCCGCAAATAGCCCGGGCAGCAATAAAACTGCCAATATCCGATGCGGCGCCGCACAACGCCGTGCTCACGAAGAACATCACAATGGCGGTCAGAAACACCGGCCGTCGGCCAAGCGTATCTGACAAGCGGCCATAGAGCGGCTGAAACACTGTGGATGTCAGATAAAAGACAGTGCTGACCCAAGAGGCGGCATTGGATGCGTGGAAGTAGGACGTGATGACAGGATGAGCCGATGCCATCAAAGTGGTGTCAAAGAAGGCAATGGTCGAGCCGAAGAGGATGCTGCAGAACAGAAACCGGAAGCGCCGCCCAGAGATGTTGCGATAATGGACATCATGAGCCTTCTCTTCGCTCGTCTTTGGCTTCGTGAGGAGGCTCGTGGTCTCGGTCGGTTGTGGGGCGTTGGGGTCCTCGAGGCCCGGCTGGATGAAGGGCCCCTGTGTGGCAGTCGGGTCAACCAGCGGTCGTTTGTCTTTGCTTCGGGAGCCCATTATATATGACAGAATCCATATGCATTCATTCGGACCAGATGCTTCTAGGTCCTGCCGGAGGCACAGCTGGTCAACAGTATACCAGACGTTGTAGTAAAGTCAGTTGAAGGGACGATGCAAGCCTTTCGGATCAGCATCGGAAGGAGGCCAGACCAGGACTTCCCCGCGTCGTCAGGTCCTCGAAGTAACAAGACCGGGCGTGTCACAACAAGGTCGCTGAACCATCAAGACTTCTCCCAAAGCTTTACTTCGAGCAGCATAATCTCCCGGGAGAAAAGGCTGCTGTATATTGAAGTGTTCTGGAAACAAAACCACTCAAAATCGGTGGAAATAAGAGTGCAACTAGTAGTAGTGCCACCACCAAATGGAGACTCCGCCAATCACCGTTCCAAGACTCGCCCAAGTCCGAAAGGCGTAATTTTGATCCAGACCGACGACACTTATAGTCACCCTGTCGTCCCATAGGAGAACGCATAGGATGCTGGTGTTGCACACATATTTATTGCGACGAAAGGAGAGTTCCCAAGTCTGAACAATGAACTTGAAGGTCCACCGTCCGCTGCGCATCGCCATTCTCGAATGCGACACTCCGCTGCCGGAAACCAAGAAGAAGTACCAGGGCTACGGTGGCGTCTTTGAATTCCTGCTCCGCGCTGGAGCCAGGGCCTTGAACAGGCCCGACTTGGATCCCGAGACAGGATTCGAGTTCTCGAGATGGCAGGTTGAACTGGAGCCGGACAAGTACCCGGACCCTTCGACAATCGATGCTATCCTGATTACAGGTTCCAGTAAGTTTGTCGCCTCCTCGATTTGCAAGGGTCACCTGCACGCGCCGAAGTAAGAAGAATAAAGATATGTGCCTCTCGCGGGCCACTACTTCAAGGATGTACTGGTTCCACGCACTCGACACTTTTCGCTGACCGTTGTGGCTCACGTTGTCTCCGATTAGGACACGACTCCTTCGCCGATACGCCATGGATCAACAAGCTGGTCGAGTTCACCGCAAAGGTGCTCACTGAGACCAGTGTTCGTGTCATTGGCGTTTGCTTCGGCCATCAGATTGTCGGTCGGGCTCTGAAGGCTGAAGTTGGACGGAACCCTCAGGGATGGGAGGCGGCGGTGAATGATGTTGAACTGTCACCCCGAGGAAAGGAGATCTTTGGAGTGGATAAAATAGTATGTTGCCTTGTTTCAGACGTCGTCCCTCTCCCCTCGCTGCTATTCAAAAAGAGCCATGGGAAGGCTTCCTTTGGGCTGGCCGATTGGTGGCGGTGACGGCTGTCTTTACTCTATCTCTACTAACTTCTTTGTGTGTTTCTCAGAGCCTTCACCAGATGCATCGGGATTGCGTCTTCTCGTATCCCGAAGGCGTTGAAAAACTGGGCTCGTCACCAGTGTGCGAGGTCCAGGGCATGTATGTGCCCAAGAAGCTATTCACGGTCCAGGGACATCCGGAATTCAACCAGGAGATCATGACCGAGATCATCAACACGAGACACGCCACCGGGATCTTCGACGACAAGGCGTTTGAGGAGCATATGGGTAAAGTGGCCTTGCATCACGACGGACTCGTTGTCAGCCAGGCCTTTTTGAAGTTCTTGTTGGAGTGACTGTGATCGTGTGGTTTGCATTCGCATTTTGGAGGGTGCATATGTTTGATTCTTGATCATTATGCCGCATCGCATAGAAGTTTGGTTGGATCATTGACATCAGCATCATATGCAGAGGGTTTCTAGAATTGGTACAATCACACCAGACAATATGCACCATAAACCTCAACTTCGGTTCCACTGAATGCGCCATCGGGCCACAGCCACAATACACCTCTCCTACAAGGCATTTTTCGCTCCATCATAAAACAATCATTTACTCCTCACAGCACCAGCACGTTTACAGTCGAACAGAAATCACGATACCATCCGATCAGCATCGGCCGCCCCAGCAGGTATCCTCCCCTCCGCGAGATCTTTCTCAATCCTCGTAATCTCCGCAAGACTCTTTGCATTCTTAATCATCTCCTGCACCCGCTTCTTCTCCGTTTCTGTCAACTGTGTTCGCACGCCCTTTCCGGCGGCACCACCGCCGCCCGGCTTTCCATTGATATTAGTCCCGCCGGAGGCCACATCAAACGTTCTCGTCTTGACACCTTTGATTTTTGCCGCCAATTCCGTCGGGTTGTCCACCGTCCCAAACAGTTCTCTCGCTTGTTCCCGCTCTGCATCTTTGACTTTTTGGAAATCGAGGAACCGTAATGACGGAATGGCCCAGATCAGATATAATCGGTAATGCTGTACAAAGGTTCGTTATCAGCATCGTTGTATCGTCGACTGCACAATAGGGACGGTCCATGTAGGTCCTTGGGGTGTCTCACCTCTTTCCTCGTCACCGGGTTCTCCAATAAACTCAAATGCGTCAACCTCGCACACCCGCTCAACCCTTCCAAATCCGCCAGCTCCTTGACATGATTCGACGTCAACACCAGCGTGGTGAGGTTTGGTATTTGTTCGGCGATCCGCTTGTCGACACCTTGGATTCTATTGCGGGCACACAGTAGCGTGTTTAACCGGGGCGAGAGAGGGAAATTCGAAAGAAGGGCAATGTCGTTGTCCGTGAAGTCGATGGCATCTTGGGGTCCGGCGACACCGAGGTTTTCAATGGTGGGGATTTTATGGCCTGTAAACACACAGGACAAAATGACGATCAACTATGTTCTTTTTACAAGTGTAGCATCTGCTCTTTTCAGACATACCTCGGAGATCAAGTTCGCGCTCTTTGAGGGGGTTCAGGTATGATAGGGAATTGTTGATGAGGTCGGCCGTGAGCCGCATTGTAGTGAGGGAGTGATTGGGATAGACTGGGAGGTTCGTGAAGAGGAAGACTGGGATCTGGAGGAGGATTTGTGTGTGGTTTCTTCCGTAGGGTTTTCTCGGTTTTGGGTTGCTGGACTCTTGTTCTCACCCCTTTAGAAGTCGTGGTACTGGCGGCTGTAGTTGTAATAGCAGTATTGTGGTATGTACTGCCAGTGGCAGATGCAGTGGTACAGTATCGCTGGCAGGCAGTCCGGGGATTTCGAGATTTTGCGCAGCCACTACGATTGGCTGGCCTTACGACGGAACCCACAGCCTTGTACGGCGGTCGGCATAGGTTTGAAACGAATACATCTGCCCCAACGTTGAATGCGATCAAGATCACAACGTCCCCGGCCATTAGTAGTAGTGGTAGGGTCCTGTTTGCAAATGGCCTCCAATCTCTCTATATTGGCCCAGTTGGGCGAAGTATGCTATATCCCTCTTCTGCATGCAGACAAACTCCAAGGAGTAGATCCATGATCCACGAGGAACATCATCTCGAATGCCAACAGCCAGAGGTCGAACTGCGCCGGATATTGACCGCAAAGTATACAGTTGTAATTTGGCTCGCATGCCTCGCGATCTCGAGGTTGACTTCCTCTTCTGCCTCTGCCCACGACGGGGATCTGAGCGCCAGCTCGACAAATTTATGGGGTGCCAATAATGGTATCAGAGACGAGCCTCGACAGCAGGGGTGCTCGTCTTTCTGATTGGTCGCGATTAATCCTTATCTATCAGGCACCTACTAGGTGTCAGGTACCAGGTAATTATTAGGTACCGTGTGCAAGTGTCCAGGCGTACACTGCACACCATTCGACAAGACATTATTGTCGATATTAATAACCCGGAGGTACTAGCATCCTTCGGCTATACAGTACCTAGCAACTCCATGATCTGCGATCTGCGATCTGACCACATGAGTCTGTCGAGACTGGCATATCCAGAAGACAAACATCATAGTGTATCTCGGACACCACCTCGACTTGAAGGGAGGCGCTTTTTCGTACCTAATTACACCACCGCAATTTACGATCACAAATCATCAAGCCGTGAATTCCCTTTGCCTACTAGCAGATACCACAGATACCTTTCGTATCACAGTGGCCAAGAGCCCATCAAGCGAAGGGGCCGATACAAGGCGCCGCCATATGCTCGACTCCGGGGTCAGCGACTCCACCGGGACTGATAACAGCCTTGGCTTAAACATCTGAGAGCCTTGATCTGTCCTGTCGGCCAATAAACAGTCGACTCGCCTGCCTTCCGCTCCTCTGCAAAGTCCAGACAATTGCAATTGTCAAACGAAAAATAACACTACACTTCTGCTTTATCTATCTTACTCGCGTGGGTCCCGATGTGATTTTCTAGCTCCCATGGCACTCGAGACTTGGCAGCCGTCCGGTGCACGCACGCCCCCGTGGTTTGGACGAGCCCACGGACGGATGGAGTATGGGGATGGTGGATGGTAACAGTACTAGTAGTAAGTCGTGGTAGGCGCCGATAGCCAGACGAATATATCTATCTTCTTGACTGCTGGCCCCGAATTTTCTTTGAACTACCACCTTCCTTTCCCACAAGTCGGATTTCTCGAGCGCTGGCAGCAAGTGAACCACGTCGCGTGGCTGTTGACTGCTGACCTTGGTCCAACCTGTGCCTTCATTCCTGCGATCAATCTCCAAGTCACAAACAACATGGATCCCGTAAGTCGAAAGAGAGACTATCCCTCTTTTCCTGGCTCGTTCTGACCTTGCTTCTTCATTGCAGCCCGAGTTCGACCCTTCGTCCCCCAACGGCGGCAATACCCACGAAGTCGATGTCAACGCCCAATTCGCCGGCTTCGAATACCATGCCGTCTACATCGCCATCTGCGGTTATTTGGTGTGGATGATCATTCCCGGTCTTGGTTTGCTATATGGAGGACTGGCTCGTAGGAAGTCGGCGCTGGCCATGCTTTATCAGTCCTTTGGAGTGGTAAGTAATGGAGTATTCCACCCATGCACAGGCTCTCTTCTCAAGCGGGGCCACGTTACTGAGAGAGCCTCACGGAACTGACAACCGCTGCCGACAGATTGGAGTCATCTGCTTTCAGTGGATGTTTTGGGGATATTCCTTGGCCTATTCGCGCACAGCCGGGCCATTCATTGGCGACATGGCCAACTTCGGCATGCAAAATGTCACGGCGGCGCCTTCACCCGGCAGTCCATATCTGCCCGAAATCGTATTCTGTCTCTATCAGCTGTTGTTCTGCATTTGCACCGTGATGATCGTGGTCGGTGGCGCTTTTGAGCGTGGTCGGATTATTCCATCTTTGTTCTTCGGCTTCTGGTGGGCAACCATTGTGTAAGTGCCCTGCCCCTTTATTCCCAACATGTGCCCCAGGTTCAGTTCAGGTAAATCTTGTCCACTCATTCTGACGAGACCGTCGTTGCAGATACTGTCCCATTGCGTGTTGGACTTGGAATAGTAATGGCTGGCTCTACAACCTCCCATCATTGGATTATGCAGGAGGTGGGCCTGTTCATGTGGCCAGTGGCTGCTCCGCCCTTGCATACGCGCTCGTCCTGGGCAAGAGAAAATTGCACGGCCATAAATCCGCAATGCGACCGCATAACCTCTCCATGGTCTTCATTGGCACAAGTATGATCTGGTTCGGATGGTATGGGTTCAACGTAAGTTGAGGTCTTCAGTCAAGTATGGCTCGTGAACAGTGTAGCTGACGAGGATGCTAGGGCGGCTCGACTCTCAACGCTACCATCCGAGCCTTCTTTGCTGCATGGAACACAAATGTCTCTGCTGGAATGGGAGTCATTGGCTGGTCGCTTGTGGATATGATTCGAAACAAGGGCAAACTTTCCCTGGTTGGTGCTTGTGAAGGTGCAATTGCTGGCCTCGTCGGTACGTTTTGGCTTGCAGGAACACTGGATTTTGAGCTGACACCGATCAGGTATTACCCCGGCAGCCGGTTACGTTTCGGTCTGGCTTGCGGCTGCAATCGGCCTCATCACAGCCATGGTATGTGCTTCACTTCAAAATGTCAACGACTGGCTTCGTATCGACGAAGGCATGGATGTTTTCAAGCTCCACGGTATTGGTGGAATGGTCGGCGCTTTCCTTACTGGCATTTTCGCCTCATCGTCTGTCTCACTGCTTGATGGAGCCACTGAAGCCCCGGGCGCCGTCGACGGCGTCGGTGTTCAAGTTGCAAGGCAATTGGCCGACATTGCCGCCATCTCCAGCTACTCCTTCACCGTGTCACTCTGTCTTCTGTACATCATGAAATTCATCGGGAAGTTCATCCCGTTCATGGCCCTTCGTGTTAGCGAGGAAGCAGAGATTCGCGGTATGGATGAAGACCAATTTTTCGAGGAGGAAGTTGGCGACTGGTCCCTGTTTGAACACAGTGGCATGACCCATGAGACAAAGCTGATGTCAACTCCATCCACACCACCAAATGAGATGGACAAGAAAACGGCCTCGGTGGAGCCAACAACAGCAGCGGCGTGAGCATAGAGACTAGGTATGTGGTCATTTACAGAACTATGGGCCAAGTTGCGGATAGCAGGGAGTCGGGAGCAGAGAGACCGGATGAGGAGCAGCCTTGCTCAAGTTAGTGCCGCGGGATATCAACTGCGAGCACGGTGTGCACTCCGTGTGGCTCGGGGCATGAACTGTTGTTTAGTCTTGTCATGCGTATGTATAGAAGTTTACCTCGTTGGTTACAGTCTGGACCTCCGCTTCCTTTCTTTGGGCTTGACCTGCGTCTCTTCCACCGACGTCGGCTCGCTAATATCGAACATATCTTTATTAAGCCTAGCGGTCAAGGAGAGTACTCGCACGGAAACCGCTGCGCTGTCGCGACGGTTCTTGCCCTCCCTTCGGTGCAATGCTATAGCCTCGATCAAATCCCACAAGCGGCCTTGAGCTTTGAATTGTCCTGTGGTGGGATCTCGATCAGGCGTCCAATCAGGGGCTAACCGGACCATGGCTGGACTTTTCGAATCCTTGCCTTTGGCCAACCAGATGATCCCTTCCTCCTGGAACCGGCTATAGGCATTTTTCAAGGACTCTTTGTTGATTGCCTCGAAATATGAGAGGTCGCCTTGGTGGTAGAGGGTCCGTCCGACCAGCTGGGCAACGCCCTGAGCTTTCTGCATGTCGACCCAGGCGGTTGAGGAAGTGACGGGTGGTACCAGGACTAGCAAAGAGACGGCCCCCAGCCAAGCGGCGTCGACAAAGGGCCAAATCAAGAAGCAATAGAAGTCGAAATTCTCTCGGCCTAGGTTCCGTTCAGCATCCGATAGGCCGATCCAGCGTTCGCCGCCCTCCTCTGTTGCTGCGAGCACACCGTCGTGTAACAAGCCTCGCATTGCGTTGTCGAGGTTATGCTTCAGACCCTGTCCAGCAGGGAATATGAACTCGCCGCGGAACAACTGGGACAGAAACGCGACTTTTTGGGTCAATTCGGTCTCCCTCATCCGCTCGTTGGCGCTGCCGCCACCCTGCTTGACCTTGGTGTAGAGGGCCGCAGCTATGAGCGATTCCGAAATAAAAAGGTGGATGGTCATGTTTCTGTAGAATGAGAGCTGGAATCGGTCAACGGCATAGTACGTTTCTTCCGCAAGTCCTTCCACTTTGCCAACCAATTTCGGGCCCAGTACTTCCAGGGCTTTTTCGACCACGTATGATGTCGGCATTCCGTGAAAGTCGGCAACTTTGCCTCCGTTGGCTCTCGTTCTCGCGCACAACCAGTCCACTCGGCGTATCAACTCGGACTTGCCAACACCACGACCTCGAAGCGTGAGAAGGACTGTACCGACCAATGCCGTTGGCATGATAACGGATGCTGCATTGATATCTGAAAGTACCTTGTACCCCAGCGTGCGTAACAAGCGAGCCCGAGTCTGTTGGTCGGTCGATCCCGCCGAGATCTGGAGTGACGTGTCGTCCCGTCGTTGCTGTCCTTCGATGAACTCTTTGAGGCTCCAAGGCTCATGGAATCTGCAGTCAATTCTCCCCAGGTTCAGAGACAGGACCTTGGATGACGAAAGGAAAGCGGCCAGATTTTCCTTTTCCTTCGGCTTTCCCAGTAGCTCGCTCACATACGAGTCGACCTCAATCACCTTGTCATACTGGAGAGACACCGGGCATATATAAGCATCCTCTGTCCTTCCCGAAAGTACAGAATCAAGGAGAAAGCTGAGGATTCCAAAGCGAGGTTGCAACAACTTTCCGGTCCGACTTCTGGTTCCCTCAATGAAACACTCCAGATTGTAGCCCTTCTGGAGCAGCGTGTCCAAGTAAGCTTGTACAAGAGTGGTGTACAACTTGTCATTGTCAAAACTCCGCCTAATCCACATTGCTCCGACGCTTTGTAAGAAGCTGCCGACAAGAGGAAAGTTCAGGTTGTCGCCAGCCACTACGACGGGCAGTGTGAGACCGAGACGATAACAAACCAAGTGGAGGGTGACATAGTCAATATGGCTAGTATGGCGTGGTAGGAATATGATGGATTGTTTCTTCTTTGCAGCTAGCGTTGCAATCTCCCTCAATCTCTTCACCTCGGCCTCGGAGACGTGAATAGCGCTGTAGGCCCTGGTCAGGAGCTGGGTGACCACGTAGAAGGCAGTGCGCAGGTATGGTTTGCTCTCCATCTTGCACATCATTCTGTCAACCATGTCACTGGTAATCTCGATCAACTGCGAGGTGATCTCGTGCCTCCTCTTCTCCCTCTCTTCCATGTCCGTAGATGTGCCAGTTCCCAGAAGACCCTCCTTCTCTTCCACTTGTAGGCGAGCCTCTGTGAGCTGAATGATCCTTCTGCGCAGGATGGGCGAGGCCATGACGGCGGATTTGACGTCGGCCGTGTACCCAGGGTAGAAGGCGGGCTGCCCGATGACATGATTGTATCCGCGCCATCCTACACCGCGCACAAACAATGAGATCTCGTGGGCAAAGTTGAATGGGTCTTTGCGGAGGCGCGCCATGCGCGAGAGGATGCTGTGGTCTTCGCGGTCGTCGTGATTGGGCAAGTTGCCCTCGGAGCGGACGAGGTCTGTCATGGTGCCAGGGGAGATTTCGAGTGGGCGTGCGCCCAAGAATGCTAGCTAGACACTGTTATGGTTGAGGACATATCCATATCCACGACCCGGACTTCAACGAAAAAGGAGGAAACACGTGGGACTTGAGCTCGGGTATCGCAGCTCCAGACACCTACAATTAGGCGCCGGGGTCCACTCGCTGGCACAGGGAGCCCTCCGAGGTAATCTGGGGAAACCCACAATTGATAGTCGGAGTCTCCCCGCGGTTCAACCAAGAGGTCAGCAACCTTCGAGTATGGGCGAGTCTGGGTGCAATTGCACGACTCCTGTAGCCTTTATCGTACGATGTCGTTATTTAAAGCCTGAAACAGCATTGCGTTCGAACTGTGACCAATGAGAAGCTGTGCAGGAAGGCGATACATTCAGGCAGGCGAAATCCGGTGCAGGTCAACCCCAGAGAGCAGCACGTGACCGATTACTCAGCAATCTCGTCTCTGTGGGCTGCATTTGGCAGCTGGGACGCTTAAATTGAAATCATCATCATCTTCATCTTCATCTTCATCTTCATCTTCATCATCAGCAGCTGCTGCGTCAAACTCAACTTCAATGATGCATGGTCTTGAGCAACAGTGGATATCTGCCCTCCAGCTTTGATACGTGGGTATCATCCTAGCTGGGAATACCTATACCACAATGTCCACTCCAGGCTCGCTGCACCACCTCTCAACTCCCTGGCCTTGTGTCCCACCACTGAAGGGCAATGCCACCACCAACTACGCTAGGATTAACTAGCGTTGAACTTAAACGACACCATTCATTCCGGTTGAGCCAGCGCCATACTGTGTGCAAGAGACGCTGCCTCGTGCCTGGATCTAGTGATTTTGCGGCCAATAGCAATTTCATGGTATTCTTTCTGGTGAATAGGAAGGCAGAACAGATGAGTTGTCACAGCATTCAACACGGCGGTGTTCGAGGTTGTGGACGCGGCACGGCCGGCGGTTTGTATATTGTTGACCTGTTGCTTGGGACACCATATGGACCTGGATTCTGCCGAGCCGGCATCTGGAAGGCGTGCCGGCCTACAGTTCCCGTGGCTTGGCCGGGTACGCTCGACTTCCCAAGGAATCGACTTCTCGGGATGAGGTGTGCTCAACTCTACCAGCACAGCTCATTTGGCCATGGTCTCTTTTAGTCAAAATCGACCGGGCACCGGGGTTCCGAGCCGCTGCAGGTGCACGCTTCCCATTTCCTTCCATGCAGCCTCCGCAGCCCTATGAGATGACAAACCTCCATCTCAAAAGAGGGCGAAATTCCAAATGTTCTGCGAAAGCATTGCAAGCTATAAGATGGCTCACTCGGTTGTAATCCCGGCGCCAATGGCATACCAGCTTCGACGCCAACCCTTTGATACCCTTGCGATTGTGCTCTGCTCTCGTGCATCTATTTCTTTCCGCTTTGATCCCACCGATCCATCCTCCGACTTGACATACTAGTGGGATGCGCACCATATCCATTTCTCCGGGCTTTACACCGGTGATTGAAGAATGGCCGCAAAATGCTGGCTCACAGGAGAACGCACGACATGATGCGGGGCTCTGTCCTTATCAAAGGTAACGATGGTAAATGATTGCAAAAGTTCGGTTTGTACGGCACATAAGCGACGTGTCAATCAACATCGGTGCACCTTGGCAGAAGTCGCAGTACCCAATCATCATGGTGATAATTGGCTCTTGAGGCCGAAAGAGTTTCCGCACGTACAGCCAAGGGAGTAAGCCACTTTATAGTACCTCTACTAACGTGGACCGAGGGTATGTGGCCACTATCCCACATTCAAATACCCCGGCAATTTACCCCAGATATCTGGAATGTAGGGTCCTCCGCGAGAGATCCACGAAAAGCCCCATTTTGCGGGGAAGCCAGACTTGGGCCCTGATATTGGGGAAAGAACATTGAAGTGAGCCAAGTACGCACATCAGGAGTGCCATGTTATGTCTGATATAAATACCTCTGAAGGCCTTCCAGCGAGAACCAAGCGATCTCACTACACATCCCTCTCTGCCGCCTTAACTCCCCTCCGTTTCCTCTAGCATCCACGAGCAAAGATACAAGCAGCCATGGGCATCAGCAAAGAAAGAATCACCCCCATCAGGGACAATTGGAAGTGCCTCCTGATATGCTTGGCGGTGTCGCTTGCCAACTGTCAGTATGGGTTCGACACAGCATCCGTGGGCGGCTTCCAGTCCATGGTAGGATTCTTACAGATCTTTGGCTACCGCGACCCAGAGTCCAGTATTGGATGGAGCATTGGGACTCAGACCCAGCAACTGATGACCTCGTTCATTAATGTTGGCACGATCTTGGGCGTCTTCGTCACTGCCCCCTTTGCGCAATACTTTGGTCGGCGACCTGGAATCTGGGTCGCTAGTCTGGTGAACTTCGTCGCGGCTGGTATTCAAGTGGGAACTACCTCGCTCGCCGGGCTGTATGCAGGCAGGATCCTCATTGGCTTGGCAAACGGTTACTTCATCACCTTTGCCAATGTCTACGTCGCCGAAGTGGCGCCCGCACATTTGCGCGGCTTTTTGGTATCCTTCTTCGGCATCTGGGTCAACATCGGCAGCGTGTTAGGTGCAGTGGCTGATAACTATTCCAAAACGCATCTCAGCAAACTGTGCTATCAGATTCCATTAGCCAGTCTTTTTGCGGTACCTTTCTTCTTGACCGTATTCATGTTCTTCGTTCCGGAGTCACCAAGGTAAGACCACAGCATGTCGCTCTAGATTTCCAAATCAAGATAAGCTGACGAGCGGACTGTAGATGGCTTTTGGTCCACAATCGACCGGAACAAGCAAAGCGGGCATTGGAGAGGATCCGTGGGAACTCACTAGCCCCAGAGTTTCTCCATGAAGAATTCATCGAAATGCAAAGGGGCATCGAGGAAGAGAAGGAACTGGCCTCCTCTGCCTCTGTCTTTGATATTTTCAAGGGCACCGATCTGCGAAGGACAATTATCTGCTTTGGAACTATCCTATCTCATGCTGGCGCTGGTTTATGGCTGATCATCGGTTATGGAGTAAGTTATGGACTCTCAATTCGAGACTACTCCTTCAAGAAGACTGACGGCGCCTTTTTCTCCAGACATTCTTTTTCCAGATCGCAGGGATCGATAAGCCGTTCCAAGCCTCAATCATCTCGACATGCGGCAGCTTTGCTGGAGTCCTGGTCGGCCTATACTTCACGACCAAGGTGATTGGCCGACGCCCATCTATGCTTTTCGGCTCCGCAGCGGCTTCCATCTGCATGCTTGCAATCGGAATCGCTTACAGCGTGGGCGGCTCGTCGACCCCCGCTGGGACTGCCATTGTGGCGTTCATGGTTCTCTACGGATTTTTCTACAACGGTTTCTCTGGCACGCTCAGCTGGCCTGTTGCAACTGAGGTGGTCAGCTCGCGCCTCCGCGTCCTGACTATCGGCGTGTGTACCGGAGTGAACTATTTCTTCAATTGTAAGTGGCCGCCCTTACCTCAGATTAACATCTCTCTCGAAATAACTTGCGCTTACGCACCTGACGTCTTGTACAGGGCTCACCAGCTATACCGCGCCATACTTCATCAACCCGGCCCAACTTAACTGGGGCGCCAATTACGCCTACATCTGGGCCGGTTCAAACGCCTGTGTGTTCCGTAAGTTATCTCCGTGCCACTGGAGAAGTTCCCTTGTAGGCCTAACACCAAGAAAGAACAACTTTTCTAATTGTCATTTCTTCGCTCTGGCTTTCTAGTCTTCTTCTACTTCATGCTGCCCGAGATGAAAGATCGCTCCCTCGAGGAGCTCGACGAGCTGTTTCAGAACCGTGTCCCCGTCAAAGACTTCAAGAAATACCAGTGCGTCAGTTCCGAACGGGCCCGTGAGGTCGCGCTCAAGGAGGCTGGCGACGAGAAGACCGACGTCGTTGTCGAGACGATCGAGGACACCGCAGATTCGAAGGCCTGATGTTTATATATCCATACGATGTAGTGACGGCACGAACACACCTTTCCGTGCGCGCCTGGATCCTCAAGGCGAGGAACCTACTTTTAAGGCGGCAGTTCTTGGTTCGGGGGCGGAGCGAGTGAGGATCTTTTCTTGTCGAAAGACTGCCAAACCGGAGGCTGTCGATGTACCCTGTTTTGTTCTATGCTGCACCGCTCCACTTCTGTCAAATGTACCCTAGCCGAAGCCGCCTTACGGAAAGAATACACTGTCATACCAGACTACCTCGCGTTCAAAATCATCGTCATGCGCATATCGCAAGAAGCTATGGCCTGCTCCGAACTATAAATCCTGGGGAATGGAACGGTCGGTGTCAGGCACTTTTATCTTTTTCTAGACCTCTGAAAGCTAAGACATGATTTATTCAAAATACTGGCCTTCATTACTGGGCCAGGCCCTCGAAGAATTTGCTTAGACCCCAGGCCCCGGGGTCCGGGATCTTGCCGAGCCACGTCTCCTCATTACCAATGTACACAGAACGTCCCAGGCCAGGACGCATAGCAGCCGTCTTCGCAGCGCCTTCCTTGGCCGCTTGTGAGGCTTGCTTGAAATCGCCGGTCGCTTGCAACGATTGTGCAAACGGCAGCAGGGCATCCATCAGAGTGCGATCACCGACCTGGGCGGGCGTATACTTGGTCAATGCGGTCAGCGTCGACTCCAGCGCCTTGCTCCAGAACGTCGTGTCGACAGTTGTCTTCTCGCCGGCATGGAGCTTGAAGTAGTGCGTCAGACTGTTCAAGAAGATAGTGTACAGTGCGCCCGAGGTGCCGTCCATGGTGTCCTCGACGGCGGCTGCGACCTGATCGAGCAGGGCAATGATATTTTGGGGCGGCGATGTTGACAGACTCTTCAGGACGGCTGTGAACGCGAGAAAAGGGTCAGCAGTCAATCTTTTCAATGGCGGACCAATTGTAAGATAGAAGATTTTGGTTTTGGTAATGACTCACCTTCAGCGCCCCTCTTCAGCGTTGTGCCACAGTCTCCGTCGCCCACGACGTCGTCGTACTTGGTGATTTCGGGTTCAGCGGCAACGATTGCCTTCAAGCCACTGGCCAGCCTTCGCTGTGCAAGATCCAGATCGGCTTCGAGCAGACATTCTTGCTGAGCTCCTGTCGTGGTGGTCTGTGATGTGGTGCTGGCGGCTCCACGCTTTCCGGACGATACCTCTTCTCGTGCCGGCACTTGCCAGCCGCTCACGTTGCTGGGCGCGTCAAGGAGTTCCAATAGAGTCTTGTTGACGCCCGTATCGACGTTGTTGAGCAGCGAGATGGAGAAACCCGGCCCGTCCAGACTGGTCATGAACGTCCCGGCGAATACTCGCACCGGCTTGATTCGGTACTGTTGTTGCAGCTGGTCCACCACCTCGGTCACCACGGCGCTCAACTCGAGCACACTCAGGGCGCCGAGGTTGTTGACCAAGACCACCATTTCAGATGTCCGCTTCGGCAGAAAGTTCCGTTCCGAATCCGTCGTGTCAAGAAGTTGGCGCAACATCTCAGCTACCACAGAGGACGCCTCAGCCTCGGCGCCGCTCCTTCTCGCACAGCCCGCTTCGTTATGAATCCCCATGCCGACCTCGACGTCGTCAGCACCCAAGGAACCTTCCGTGGCCTCGCCCCGTGGTCTACCAGGAACATGCACATGGCTAAGACTGACGCCGATGCTCGCCAGGTTTTCGGCCACCAGACGGCCGACGCGGACGACATCTTGAAGCTCAAACCCGGCAGCGGCCATTGCTCCAGTGACCTTGTGGACGAGAACAGTTCCGGCAATACCTCTCCGTCCGACCTTGCCCGCTCGACTTCTGGGAACGCCGACGTCGTCGCCCACCACCAGCATCTCAATCTGCAAGCCCGGATTGCGCGCCTTTGCTTTTTCGAGCGCCACGCCAAAATTCAGCACGTCGCCCGTATAGTTCATGACGGTGACCAGCACGCCTTTGGATCCATCGACATTCTCAATCGCGGTCAAGACTTGTCGCGATGACGGCGATGCAAATACCGTGCCGGCAACGCTTGCTGACAAGAAGCCATCGCCGACAAAGCCTGTGAATGATGGTTCGTGCCCTGAACCACCACCGGAGATGATCGAAACCCTCGAGGAACCATGCCAGGGCTCGGGAGCGTAGATGATCTTGTTTTCTGCGTCCAGTCTCAGTTCCGGTCGGGTAATGATCAAAGACCGCAAGCCGGCTGCCACCAGCTTGTCGGCGTCGTTTACGAAGTGTTTCGTCTGCATGGCTGAATTACGCGATTGAACTCGGATTTTTCAAAACGTGGATAGCTCGCCACCTACAATGTTATCTTCAGTTGCACGGCTTATGATATGTGCGCCTCGTCATGCGTATACAGCACCGTCGTCCCAGAGCGAGGGGCCCGGCTTGACCAGAAAAATCTGGCGTCATGCCACTGGTGACCGCGCAATCTGTGGCACTACTAAATGGAGAATCTAAGTGAGAATGCTCCACTGGATGGGCCTTGCACGTGGCGTGCAAACTGACATAGTAGCATGATGGACAATAATAACAATGTCCTCAAGCCTGGATCACAGCCTCAACTTCTGTGACCATGGCTATCAGAAGAAAATGACCTGGAATGGGGAAATGCCACAAAGCCTTGTTTAAAAAAAGGAGGCTCCATTATTGAATGAATCAATCTTGCGCTTCTGGTTTCCTGATTCGGACTACGCTGCCGCGATGGCGCTTCGGACTGCTTTCAACGGATCTTTGAGCCGTGCCCTGTGCTTATGTCCATATCATCCCCGCAGTGGAGGGTTGGAGGGTTGGAGCGCATAAACGAATTCTTGTTCAGAAGCGCGCTCTGGCTGTGGGCCAGCGTTTGACTCGCATGAGCAATGGCTCGAGGACATTTGTGCATGGTCCGACAGCAGCCCTGTACGGGGCCCGGCTGAAGCATGGCCGACGATGCCGGACACGCGTAGCAATAAAATACCCAAATAAGCCCGCGCTGCCGGGAATCGCCAGGCCTGAAGCACGACAAAGCGCACGCTCTTTGAATAACCACTACTACCAGTAACTCTCTCAAACAACCCCTCTCCAATGGCGCCGGGGATTCTTGCTGGCTCAGCTGTCAGCGACGCGACACTGCCCAGCGCTGTCCCAGAGACACGACAGACCTCAGCCAATAAACCCGTCGGACAGCTATTCTCGTTAGCCGATACGACCACGGTAGTCACTGGTGCCGGGAGAGGTCTCGGGATCACTTTTGCCAGAGCTATTCTCGAGGCTGGAGGGAATGTCGCTTGCCTAGATGTCTTACCGGAGCCGTCCAAAGAGGAGTGGGCTGGCTTGGGAAAACTGGCAAAGCAATCAGGGCTCTCAGTAACGTACCATCGATGTGACATCACCAAAGAGGGGGAGCTGGCAAACGTGTTTAAAGAGGTGAATAAGAAAGCACAGGCACTCAACGCTCCTTTAAGGGGAACTGTGGCATGCGCAGGCATTCAACAGAAAGTGCCGGCCTTGGACTATCCTGCAGAAGACTTCGAGCGAATGTTGCGGGTCAACGTTACTGGCGCTTTCTTGACAGCAAAACACGCTGCCAGGACCATGGTTGAGAATGGTACGGGCGGAAGCATCGTGCTCATTGCTTCCATGTCCGGCAACATCGCGAACAGGGTAAGCCAACCTGGTGGTGGACTTTCCTGAGAAACGGAAAGACGGCTAACGTGCTCCAACCAGGGTCTTACCTGCACCGCGTACAACTCCAGCAAAGCAGCTGTTCAACAAATGTGCCGCTCCGTCGCCCAAGAATGGGGTCAGTACGGCATTCGAGTCAACACCTTGTCGCCTGGTGTAAGTTGTCTTGTTTCATTTCTGCACCCATTTGACCAATCACTAATCTGAGATAGTATATCCGTACCGCCATGACTGATGCCCTCCTTCAAGCCGAACCTGAAGTCGAAAAGACATGGATGGCCGGGGCGCTTCTGGGGCGTCTGGGAGCGCCGGAAGACTTCAAGGCAGCCATAGTGTTTCTTCTGGGTCCTGGAAGTAGCCTCATGACCGGAGCGGACTTGCGGATAGACGGGGGACATTGTGCGTCTGCATAGTTTGGTTATAACCTTTCGTGAAGCAGTTGGCTTGGGCATGAGCAGGGAGTTTAGGTCGATGTTGGCACGCTAGACAGTATCATCGCATATACAGGCACTTTTTCTCACGTGCCTATTTTGTCTTGGGTCAGCCGAGAAAGAACCCTTCTCTTGGACACTTTGTATAAAAACCTACATGTACTAGGAGGTGAACAAGTTGTAGTCCTAGGTAGTCAAATATAAATATCGAGTCGTCGTGGCAGAAGCAGGACAGCACTTCCAGCCCCGCGCTCTACCGTACTTGACTAAAGCTGCCGTAAGTCTTGGCATCGGCGGAGCATTACGGTTCCAGTAGCAGAACGATTTGCATCCACTGCACTGCATCTCGAACTCTACAACTCGAATAGTGTGACACCGAATTCACCGACGGGAGAAGCAACTACGAAATATGGGGGGTAGTAGGCCTTCGTGAACCAAGTCGGAACTGCTCCGCGACTGCAGCTCCACGGGAGAGGCGCCATGCATGGAAGGCGTAGGTGAGGCGACCTCTTCAGGGCGGGACAGTCCTGCCCGCAACAAACGGTACACCCGCTCTCGATCAGGATGTATGAACTGTCGACACAAGAAGAAGAAATGTACGGCCCATGTCATGTCTCCCTTTGTGTCCGCGCGACCCTACTGACCAGGGTAGGTGACGAGTCCAAGCCGTCATGTTCTAACTGCCGAAGAACGGGCGAACGATGCCATTGGAACCGTCGCTTGAGCTTCCTTCCGCAAAATGCTTTCACCGTGGACGAAAACTCCAAATCCACTCGAGTGAAAGTCGCCAGGCAAGCTGAGGATCGCAGAAAGGCAAGTACATGAGACCGTCTTTGTGGGTTTTCAGACTAAACAACATAATCAGTCTCCCCGGCGGCAGGCCGCCGTCCTTGCTGAATCCAACGGCTCTTCTACAGAATTTAGAACCATCCGCGGCACGAGTAACGAGGATGCCAGCAATGCAGAAGGCGAAATTGACATTGATGCCCACGGAGTTGAAGCCTTTGATCATGATGAGGTTGCTGTCCTCAACTCCGAAGGCTCTGTGCCAGGTCCTTCTCATGATCTTCACGACCTATATGCATCATTCCACCGGACCATTTCACCGAACCCTACTGCCGCTATACCAGTTCAGTCACCTTCCATCACTAGTAATATGCCTCGCGCCCAAATAAATTCACAGGACAAGTCAATGCAAGGCTCTACAGGTGTACCGCTTGTCCTGTTCGGCCCCAATGGCCCGGATTATGCGACTCTTGGGACAACCGGCTTCGAATCGACTTTAGGCCCCAATGGAACCGCTCTACCCGGTACCGAACCGGATTTGCAACTCTCCCCCGATATGTTGACAGATGATGGTATCTTCCTGCCGGGCTCTAGGTATCAGGCACTTCATAACACTCTGCGAAACCATGTCTTTATCACCGCCCGCTCAGCACAACCCAGTCGCGAAGCGAGCCCAGGTGATCAAAGACCTGAAGACAACACGAGCCCCCGTACTCTTCCTCGACAAACCCCCACATTTCGTCTGGCCCCTTCGGCAGGGGCGGAAGAAATCTCAGGAACGAATGTCAAGCTGACGCCAAATCAGGAGTACATTTTATGGAACAATTGGGTTGTGGAGATAGCAGGTTTGGTACGTGGAGATACTTGGTTCAGTGCCATTTCTTTGCTTCCTTCTAACATTGCAGAAGCTTGATAAATTTGACGCTCGAAAGCACTTCAGACACGTCCTTCCCATCATGGCAAAGACGTGCTCCCATCTACGCTTTTCAATGCTAGCCCTGAGTGCCAGACAGCTAGAAAGAAAGGATGGTTCGCTGCCTGCCTCGATCAGCTTGGCATTATATCAGGAGGCAATCCACAAACTGCTTCCTGAATTACACACCAAAGACATTACTGTTGTGGCATCCTGCGTTGTGCTCTGCGTTCTGGAAATGCTTAGCTGTTCTCCCAAGGCATGGCGGCGCCATTTGGACGGCTGTGCTTGTCTGATGAGGGCAATGAATATCCGTGGGGACAGTGGCGGGGTTGAGGAAGCACTCTTTTGGTGCTTTGCGCGCATGGATGTCTGTGGAGGTCTTATCTCTAACGAAAGAACGCTGATTCCGGTTGATGAATGGATGTCAACGGGTTCTTTCGAGGCGGACTGTGAGGCTTTTCGTGCTCGCTCACTGAAGGTCTTCGAAGAGCACGCCAACTACTCATGCTATCTCGTTGCACGGGTCTTGCACTTCCTGTTCGGTTCTCCAAAGTCTCGGGACTGCTTGCATGAGATTTTTGGAAAGGACCAGCCGGATTACGACAACAAATGGGTATCCCTGTTCAATTATCTGGAAGAATGGTACGCCTGTCGTCCACCGGAGATGCATCATTTACTCTCCCTCAACCCGGGCATATCGGAAGACGGACAGACATCGCCATTCCCCACGATCCTCTACGGTAGCGGCGCCGCTATCTCAGGGAATCAGCTTCATCATACCGGAGCGTTACTGATGCTGCAGCATATTCCTAAGGACGTGCCAAGGAAGTCTCGTTCGGTCTTGTGGCACGCTCGCCAGATCTGCGCAATTTCCATCTCCAATGCCCACCATGGGTCTTGGACCAACAGTGTCCAGCCACTCTGGCTTGCTGGTCAAGTCATGAGTCATCCTGCAGAGCATCGTGCAATCATCGAGGTATACGAACGAATTGAAAGAGAAACAGGCTGGGGCGCAACCTGGAGGGCTGAAGATCTAAAACACCACTGGGGAGAGTTGGACGATTGATTGTAAATTTGCAGATTCCTTAACCATTTGCTAAACAGAAGACCAGCAGCAGTCATTTTCCGCCCTAACAGGCCAAAGTGAAGGTTATACTCAAGCCACAGATGTGGCAGTATGCTTCACCATCTCAATGTCAGGGAAAGCTTCTTTCGCAACCGTCCACATGAAGAGAATCTTCACAGAATTTCGAAGCGCAACCACCAAGGGACATTCGCACAGTAGCTTTCTCGACGATCCCCGCGCAACATCAGGCAGCACATGTGTGTCTCTTGTCGCCGTTTCACTCGAACGCCTTGGACTTGTCCTCTGTGGCGCCCTCCTCCTCCAATACGGATGGTGTCTCGTTGGCGGCCTTGACCTCGAGGGCAAAAGTCCCCTGTGGGTCACCCATGCTCGGATGCCAGTGAAGCATGACCTTGCCGCCAGTGAAGAGTTTGTCGATCTGCTCTAGAGACAGATTACGAGTTTCAGGGTAGAAGAACCAAATCAGAGGCAGGAAGGCGGCATTGAAGACGGCAAAGTAGATGTAAGTGCGCCATCCAATATTGTCAATCGACACGGGCGTGATCTCGACGACCAGGAAGGTGAAGATCCAGTTGCTCGCTGTCGCGAGAGCGGCGGCCTTGGTACGGATCGCCAGCGGCGCATATTCGGCCGGCAAAAGCCATGGAATTGCCAAAAGGCCAACAGCAAAGAAGAAGTTAAAGCAGAAGAGCATCACGGAGGCGACGATACCGCACGCGTGGTTGCCGTTGCTCACTGTCCCGGCCAGGATTGCCATGCAGACTGCCTGGCCTGCACAGGCAAAGATCATAAGATTCCTCCGGCCGAGTCGATCAAGGCACCAAATGGGAATCAGCGACGAGAGAAAATACGCCACTCCATTAAAGCCGGCAAGCAGCATGGACAAGTTGTGGGACATGCCGACCGACTGCTGGAAAATGACAGGGGCGTACTGAATAAAAGAGTTACTTGGTTAGCATTGAACCTCCATCCATAATCCACGGAGCCGTGACCCAAGGGCAATACTCACGTAAGTGATCAAATTGATACCTGATAGCTGCTGCATGAACTGACCGCCGATACCGAGAAGGGTACGGCGACGGAATCTCTGCGGGCTGCTCTTGAAAAGGGCGAGGAATGTGGTATTGCCAGCGGCTTCCTTTTCTTCCTGGAGGGCGTGCTCAATTTCTTTCAACTCGGCATCAACAATGTGATCGTTCGATGATATGGCCGACGTGTCCCGCTGCAGACGCCAAAGGATGTTGCGCGCTTCTCCCGACCGGCCATGTGCAATCAACTGGAAAACGAACCCCGAAATTAGCTTTTTTGGTCGCTGCGAAGGTAAATATATGGTTGTCCTGCTTTGTACGTACCCAACGAGGCGATTCCGGCAGCACAGATATGGTGGCCATGGTGACCAACGCAAAGGCGATTTGGAAAGCAATCGGGAAACGGAACTGCGCTTGATTGTCGACGAAGCTCATGCCGTAATCTTAATACGATAAACCAGATTAGCAACGCGGAACACCCATAAACACTTGCCATGCAATTCCAAACTCACCAGTCCAGTACGCCAACATGACACCAAAGATATTGATGGCCAATTCGATGGACAATCCCTTGCCTCGAGAGGTCGGTTTCATGAGCTCAGAGTGCCAAACCGCTAAATGTAAGGCACAAAGTTAGCATCGTGTGAAAAGGACAATGCCACACCATTGATCAAGTGCTCTGCGGCGAACACGTACGGATGGTTGCTGTGTTGAGGCCGTTTCCGACCCCGGCGACGATACGTCCCACAATCAGCTGAGCGACAGAATATGCAGAGCACTGGATTGCGGCGCCAATCGTCAAGACGACGCAACCCAGCATGATGGTCCATCTCCGGCCAATGGCTTCGGCGAAGGCAAACGCCAATAGCGCGCCCGCGAAGCATCCGATCTCATATATTGCAACCACAGTTCCCTGCAGTGAAGAGCTCCCGTGGCCGTCGTCTGTCGTGTCAATCGAGGGGAATTGTTTTGTGAACGCCGATCCTGTGAGCAATCCGCTCATGACTCCCTGGTCTATTTGGCGTGTAAGTACAAGAACACATTGATATACGCAGAAATCATGATCAAAGACAAACAGGCAAGAAAAACTTGTGCTTGAGACACCATGGTCCAAGCATAATCCTACTTGCTCTTGTTTTTGCTTCCTCATGCCACTCACCATATCCAAATAGCAGGAACCCTGACCCTGCAGCGACCGTGATGGCCCAGTCAAGGGGCCTTCCTTTGAGTTGCGACATTGTATAGTATAGTATAGGCTAGGTAGACAAAGCTCGTTCCTTTCTGCAGACCCCTTGCCAACTGAATGGAGAGAGCCAAACAAGAAGCTCAGTGAATGGTATGTCCCCAGATATTTATAAAAGGTTAGGATCGTGGACAGAGCCCGGTCAGCTGTCGAGAGCACAGTTTAAAGTATGGCTCCCCTCTGTGGAAAAAGCACCTTACCCGACTCAACTCGACTCCGCTCTCCGGCACGACTCCCGCTTTTCCACAAAGCCACAGGAGGCCGGGTCCCCCGTACTGGGGCCAACTATTTTACTACCGCTGTTGCTGGGATTTCTCCTCCGGGCGGAGAGTACACCAAGGTAGGCAAGGATGTGGTGTCACGTCGTCCGTCGCCTTGGGACCCGGGGAAAGGGTTAGGTAAAGATGGGGATTGGGTGATGGGTGGATTGGGCCCTTACGAATGGCAGGCGCTTCACGACTCCAGAAACAGAAAGCGTATGCGCCCAGTAAAAAGCGAAAGAAGAGACGGAAATTGAATAATGCTATGATGAAAGGTGATTTGACCAGAAAAGAACGCGGCACTGTAGTATTCATTCTCTTTTTTCGATGAATCTGAGTTCCCGAATTATTGCCGATTCCGGGCAAGTGAGTGAGTGGGTCGCTCGACGTACTGGGGGTACACGGGCAGTATGCGAGATGGACCACGGGGTCAAGTGTGTATGGCGCTTAAAGATCCCAATTTGGGAACGTTTAAGCGCGGAACACTCCCTGGGTTCGTGTCACATGTCATGGTCACATGATAGGGGGGGATCACATAACCCCGGGTTACTATATTTTTAGTTACTCCTCCACCCTCTTATATAATGCTTGGCACTTAGAGTGCCTCGTTTCGTCACAGCGGAACTTCGGCGACCAAAACTCTTGCGTTTGATGTCAACAATCTCAGTCTTTGTGCACACTAGAGACGAGGCCGCCAAACACCGGAAGCGGTTCTTCAACTTCGAAAGTCGCACATTCTTGGCGAGTTAGGCTACTCGTCCGTGATCGTGATCCTCCGCAAGCATCGTTGGCTCCGACTCGTGTCAACATGTTGCTACTGTAGGGTCACTATGGCTGAAGAGTGGCGGTGCGTGGAGGGTGCGGAGTTAGCGGAAAACTCACTAGCCACGTGTCGGCAAGGGATTCTGGTCGAGTCTCGATTGGGTCACGGTCAGCTCCTCAATATGACACGGCTCGCTAACCTTTCGATGTGATCATCACCACAAGCCGATTTATAGGAGCCAGCTCTTGGGACGATGCTGCAGTAACAGACTAGCGCGCGCTTTCTCGTCCTGCTGAGTGTGAGCTCTCTTATCTCCGTCAGGTTCCCAGCTCGCTTCCTCTCAACCCCTTGCTGCCTCGTTACAGCCTCGTGGGATTGCTCGACTGATTCTGAAGAACTGCCCGGTTCCTCGACATTGAGATTTGAGATCACCGGTGCTTTTGTGGTCGGTGCACGTCTCCAGCATATCGTATATAGACCAACCTCGATTCCGCTGGTCCGCCACCCTGCGCCTCGACCATGGTGGCGTTCCGTCCTTTCGGCTCCGGCATGGCGGACCTCCCCTCGTGGTGTAGCATCTCTGATGTCGATGGCTGCGCTTCCGTGACCCCCCCCTCTTTCCGTATCATGCTCAGATTCTCGTCCTTCCCTTTTGGCATCGCTCGACCGTTCAGTGCCAACTAAGTTCCTACAATATTCTTGGAACGGCACGTCCGCAGATCCTAGATAGGAAGGCATACGTGGAGGCATCATTGCAAGAAATCCCAGGCTTCGCCATGGTGTTCCGATCGAGTTCTAGTAGGCATTCCCATGTCGTCGCAGGTGATCTCTTGCTGATGCAAGCTAGAGGACGGGCATTTTCGATCTATGACAAACGCGGACTGTGTGTACGAGTGCGGATCTTCCGAGGCGGGAAACGGCTGACGTCTGTGATCGACTACGCTGATGGCTACGTTGTTATCCGAGAGGGAAATACTATCAGTCGCAGAAATAGCTGCTGTCCCGAAAAGAAGATTCTGCCGAGGCTGCCTTCAGGATAGATACTTTGGATAAGCGGCTGAAGAGCTTGGTTAGAGAGACACGACGGCGCTGGACATACTTTGAGTTCAACGGGAGACAGCCGATTGGTATCGCGTGATGGTACTTGATGGCTTAGGACTCTGCATTATGTTCTGCGATGAACCACGGGATAGGAGACAGATTGCTGACTGCCATAGATGTCAGGCTGGTTTCTTCAGTCTCTCAGGGGAAACATTTTAGTTACGTGCGGCTACGGAATCACAGTACAGGCAAATATCAAATACCATTTATCATTCGGAGTTGCCTAACACGGTTCTGGGAATCTTAGTCCTCTCTCCTTATTTCAAACCTGTGTCCGCAAGAAGCGCAAGAATCTCCCTAGCGGGCTCTGTCCTTCCAGCTCCTCGTCACATGCATCGCTCTCTGCGTGCTGGATGAGTCTGCTCATGGCTGCGAATGGGGTGTCGCATGTTGGGCATTTAAAATCGTACTCATCATCATATGAAGTATAGTGTTTTGACTGATAACATCTCCAAGCGAGGGAGGAGACGGTTTCGTCGTCTACTCCAGAATTACAATGTCCCGTCTCGAGGTGTAATAGCATCGCAGACGCCGAGCCAAATTTTCTGGGACATCCACAGCATACAACGGTCTTGGCCTCATGTGATCGACGGTGCTGAAAGGTTAGCTTGTTATTATGCGTGGAGGTCCATTGCACGAACACTAGTCAAGTCTTGTGGAAAGCTGAGGTAGATGCCGCATATTTAGCACATGTTATGTTTGGATACATCATGCTGTGTAAGCTGTTCGGCCGAGTTGAATGGACGCGAACAGGAGGTGCAATACCTAGTGATGGATCGTCTCAAGATGTTCATCAAACTCCTCCTCGTCGACGAAGTCCGGTTCATGACGGCAGTCACGGCAGACATGATGCCTTGATGAAGCAAGGACGTGCTGACGTTTTGCCGAGGGGGAGTCAAAAGATCGTTTACATCTCTGGCAATATGCATGCCGACTTGACATCCGTAGGTGCTGTTGCAAAGCGCCATCACTGTCAAAGAATCGTTCGCAGGGCACACAATATTCCATCAGGAGAGTGATACGTAACCCAGCGGGTGTTGTTGAGGGTTCTCACGATGGAACGGCAACATTCATCGGTGCTTCGAGCGGGGTTGCATATGACTGTGTTCTGGCAACGCACGTGATGGAATCCGCGGTGCCTATTGAATAGAGCTGGATAACTGTTGATGCAGGGTGATGCAGGGCGAAACATGACGTGGCTCGCTCACAGCCATTACTGACAAGGACTGGAGCCAATTAAGCCCTCCGCAAGGAACAGCAAGCACTGGGATAAGAACCGTCCAGCAGAGGGAAAGCTGGAGGGTAACTCTTTCAATGCTGTGTCCTATGCCTCGGACAACGCCTTTCCGGCATCTCGAAGGACCCCTTTCATTGACGTGTACAAGCCCAGGTCTTCCCTTTTCCACCTAAGGCCGTCTGGAAATACTATCCTCCGTAACTTGCTCACCCACGGGATCAAGGGTTCGTAATATTGGGTGAAATAGTCCGTCATGGTCTTGCCGAAAAGCTCCTCATCAGCAACCGTGCCAAGCTTGAGCGTCGCTAACACTTCTGTATCAGCAGTATTCCAATGGTCAAATCGTCGGACAACTCTTCCTTGGCCTGGCCCCTCATAGTGAACGCATATCCAGAACAGCACCCAGAAGAAGGATTCTAAGTCGTGCATGAAGGAATGCTGCTCGCCGCGAAGCGCTCCGATCGCCATGAAAGCCCTGGTTCCCGCCTTTCCCTTTGCTCCGGAGGCACCGTTTCGATGCTCCTTGATCGCAAGGTCGAGGTCGATCAAGAAGGAAGGCCACGAGGGGTTGTCGCCATCCTCGTTGACCATAAGATTGTTGATGGAGATGTCTCTGTGGAGAAGACCGACCTTGTGCAGTGACTCGTGTCCCTCGACGCAGCCCTCTAGTCCACGGAGCAGCGCTGCTCGAGAGCTCGCTTTGTAGATCGGCTGCCCAAAATCACGAAGCACGACACGCCGATGTACTCGGTTAGGCACAGGGCTGCCAGTAACTTTCTCCGGAGAGACGGAACACAACCGCTTGCTCGGCGGTAGAAAAGCACCGGTCTGGCTTGATGGCCGCTTCAATCCGCCGGTGCTGCGGCTTTGTCGCGGAGTACCGACTGCACGTGTCCTCCGCGACATATCCAAGCAACCAGCTCTGTAGTCCTCCGCGGTCGTGACATCCAAATCTCTCCGCACATTGCTTCGAACATCGTCGTCCGTGCCCTTGACTTGGACAGTCTCGTGATGATAGTATCGCGCCACGTTGATGACGCCTCGATCGGTCGCTTCTTGGAGAAGCTTCCCCTCTTCGTCACGCTCTGTGTACTGCCAGGAGTCTTTGATGACTAGTGGCGTTTGGGCGTCTCCGTCGCAATGCGCCTTCCAGCAAGTGGTTGCGCGGCTAGCGATGCAGGGGGCACGCTTCATCACTCTATCAATGATGAGGCGCTCTCGAAGCCCGTTCCGCTGGATCTCAATGTAACGTTCGCCACCCGACGTGACGATGGTAGGGTCGAATCCCAGCTGCTCGTCATTCATCCACAGAAAGCCAAGGATTGTCGATACGAACCGCAGACCGTCCTCGTTGATGTCGAACTGATCGGACGCAATCCCTCCCAAACGGTCAAACACCCACACCCTCATGAGAGACCCACAGAGGGTAAAGCCTAGGACGAACCGACGAGTGTCTTGAGCAGCGAGCACTTCTCTCGCATACCTCCCCAGATCAAGCCACGCCTCGGAAGCTTTGTCGGCGGACGGGTTGCTCTCCAGCTCTCCCGGCACGATAATCTGCGACCAGTGGCATCTCGAGTCTTTCCTGGCCTTAGGGTTGTTTACGAAGCCGACGTCCATCTTGCGTTTTGCTGTAGAACCGTCGATCGGCTCATTGGGCTGTGCCAGTGGTCTTCGTTGACGTATTGGGATTGACTTGTAGTCCTCTGCAAATGCCGCCAGTTCCTCGCAGAAGGCTGCAAACCAGCTCAGCACATCATCCTGGTTCGCTTTTCTCGGCCATCCTCTCCAGCCGTCATCAAATAGCGGGTCGCTGCCTTCTATGCAGTGCTTGAAGAACGCCTCAGACGCCGTCTCAAGGCCGGTCACCTCTCCAAAATATGTCTCGTGGAAGCCGCGAAGCCCAACATACATAAGCCCAAGCTCCTCCTTGAGCACATCATCCACGTACTTGCGGTGTTCCGACGAGTTCGCGAAGCTGCTCGTGTTGCGGAGCCACGGGGTCTGTTGGAGGGACGAGGATATCGGTCGGGGAGGGGGAGTCGATTCGGTAACAGCGTTGTAGACCTCACTCCAGATCTGGCCGTCGGGTTTCTCGGCGATGGCTGCAGTTAGGAGTGGCTTAATTCGGTCGAAATCGAAGTCGTCCGAGTAGAGGGCAGAGTTGAGCTCCAACAAATCACCGAAGAGACTCTTGCCTCGGCCACCGGAGGGGAGCAGACGAGAGACCGGCAGGCGTCGCAGTGCTATGAGGAGATCAAGAGTGAGCTCTTGGAGGTCTGGGTCGGAGTCAGCGAAGCAAGGCAACGAAATTGGTCATTCCTACCTTCTTGTTCAAGCTGACCAAGCGCGTCAGGAGTGCAAGAAACGCTCTTGTCTTCACAGATTGAATTGAACAAAGCGCGAAAAGTATCAAGAGCCTTCTCAATAGGGTGGTCTTCGATGATCCCTGACCACGGTTGATCTTTCATGATGAGCGCGAGACTCGTGGCAGGATCGGATGAGGAGATAACCGCGTTTCGAAAGATGTTTGTGGTCTTGACGCGATGCCCCGCCACATACCAGCACCCATCAGCCACAGTGGTCAGCCTCGCAGTAAAGATAAGCCGTTGTCGAGGGCACAAAGTACCCACGCAGGCCGCGCTGCTAAAAATAACGTCGGAACTTGTTTCCGGCTGAGGCCGCCGGCCAAACATCTACAACATTGTACACGTGTGCAGTAGGAGGGACGATATGGGAGCACTGTCTACAGTAAGCGGCTGCTGAATTTGCAGGCATCTTGGCCTATCCACCATAGCAGACAGATACGATGTTTCCACATGCGAATGAACCAGGACGCGTTTCCTGGCATTTCGAGTTCCAATAATGCTCCAACCACCAGGTGCATAGCCACAGAAGCTGAGTCACTTGGGAGGAAAAACTTTTTACCGCACTGTTAGCCACGACTCATTTGAATGGCAGGCATCGTTCATGAACACCACCCTCTAGGACACAGGTCAATCTATCAAACCTACATCGTAGCCTTGCATTAGCACTGGCCGGGGTCCTCAGCGTACGTAGTCCGACGGTATGATCACACAGCCTACTGCATGCAGCTCCCTAATCAGCTTCAATGGTGAAGGCCCGATCATTCTTTCCCCACCATCCACGGGGTGGCTTGCGGATTCGGTGCCGGCGAGGTGCAATGTTGTGATACTGCTTCGACTGGATGGGAGGGGTTGCTTCTTGCAGTATCCAGATGTGTGACATTCTTCTCGTGAAGAGGCAATGTAGAATGTCTATAGTAGATGGGTGTATCAGGATGAGAATTGCGTCCACAATTGAAAAGTATGGTGTCGCATAACTTTTTTATTTGGCTGACTGGAAGCCACTGAGATATGGTTGCGGATGTGTAATATTTTCGTGAGAATGTATACGTATCTTCGCCGGGATGGTGAACTTCTTCAGGGGGAAATCAATTCTTGCTTGATGATTATATTCTAGACACCTTTTTTCAAAGATGAACAGATATCGAGAACCATTACCACAAGTACAAAACACCTCAACTTATTATGCCCAAAAAGTCCTTAAATCTAACATCTTCCAGGCAACCAAAAGACTATCTTGTCATCTCAACAAAATCACCAGGCAGGATCTCGCCCGACTCCCTCTCCTCCAGATACCCCTGAATTCGGGGCACGATTTTGTCGACCGTGAACCCAAAATACTCGTAGGCTTTCGGTCCTGGCAGAGACTGGCCGAATCTGCCGGTGCTCATGCAAACAGCGGCATCGGCATACCGTTCCCAACCAAGCGCGGCATACGGCTCAATGACGATGACGGGTTTCCCAGAGTTCCGATTCAGCGTCTTGCGCCGGTACTCGAGCGACTGCTTCTCAAACAGTCTGTGACACGGGAAGGAAACGACACGGACTTTTAGGCTGGCGGTTTCTCGCAGTTTTGCAGCAACATCAACGGCCAGGCCCAACTCGGCGCCGACACCGATGATAGTCAAGTCTGCATGCGCGTCTTCTTCAATCACGTATGCGCCGCGACGAACACCGTTACGGTCCGTTTTGGGCGCAAGTTGTCGCACGGCATGGCGCGAGGTCGAGATGATGGTGGGACAGGTCTTTGCTTCGATGGCAGCCGTCCACGCACCGGCCGTCTCTTCGCTGTCGCCGGGACGGATATAGAGCAAATTTGGCATGGCGCGGTACAGAGCAGCCAGCTCGATGGGCTGGTGCGTTGGTCCGTCCTCGCCCATTCCAATCGAGTCGTGCGTCGCGTGGTGGATGATATGTAGATGTTGCAGGGCGCCCATGCGCACTGCGGGCGCAGCGTACAGGTAGAACATGAAGAAGGACGAAGTTACAGGGATGATTGTGTTTCGGTTGTATGCTGCCAATCCGTTCGCTATCGCGGCCATTGCATGTTCGCGCACACCGTAGTGAATGTATCGTCCCTTGTAACTGCCGTTGATTCCGCACGAGGTTTTTAGGTCTGGGTGCTGGAAGTCCTCTTTCCCCTTCCAGATCATGTTGACGGATGGAGATAGGTCGGCCGTGCCGACCATGAATGTTTTGACTTTTTCGGCGATCGTGTTGAAGACAAGACCGGAAGAAGCCCGTGTTGCTGTGTCTTTGGCGGGGAACTCTTGTGGAATCAGTGACTGCCAGTTCGTCGGCAGTTCTCCTCGTCGACGGCTCTCAAACTCTGCTGCCAGCTCCGGGTATTCTTGTCCATATGCTTCGAGTTTGTCGTTCCACTCCTGCACCAATTGTCGTCCGCGCGGCTTGATGTCGGCGAAGAACTCGCGCACAGGATCTGGAATCACGAAGTATTCGTCCGGATTGAATCCATACGCGCGCTTCATGTCGGCCACTGCCTTGTCGCCAAAGGCGGCTCCGTGAGCAGTGGCGGTTCCGGCCACAGCGCTGTCAATACCTATGACGGTTCGAACATTGATGAAGGTCGGCTTTTCCGTAGATGCTCGGGCCCGGTTCAGAGCAGTGATGAGTCCGTCAACGTCGAAACAGCCGTCTTCAATGTCAATCACGTCCCAGCCACAGGCGCGCATTTTGGCATTGATGTCTTCGGTGTTGGTCAGATCTACTGATCCGTCACATGTGATTTGGTTGTTGTCGTAGATGACGGTGAGGTTGTTGAGCTTGAAGTGACCTGCTAGAGAAACGGCTTCGAGCCCGACACCCTCTTGCAGACATGCGTCGCCAACCATGCACCAAGTGTGGTTGTCCACAACCTCATGGCCAGGACGGTTGAATTCTGCGGCCAAGTGCTTCGTTGCCATGGCCAGACCGACTGCATTTGCGACCCCTTGCCCAAGCGGACCAGTTGTAACTTCGATTCCCTCATGCTCAATCTCCGGATGGCTCGGGCAGAGAGCATCTTCTCGTGTCGAGTGGTAAGACTTAAGCTGGTCCAGCGTCATGGCCTCATAGCCCGTCAGATGCAGAAATGTGTACTGGAATAGACATGTGTGTCCGTTTGACAGGACAAACCGGTCTCTGTTGAAATAGTCGGGTTGGTGTGGTGCATATCTCATGACATATTTCCATAGTGCCACCCCAATCGCTGCCATACCAATCGCGCCGCTGCCAGCATTGCAGTCGCGTTAGTGAGCGTCCAGATCGAATCCACCGAGGCTGCAGCTGAAGGAAATGCACCACTTACCCTGGGTGACCTCCTTTATATTGCTGACATAAGTCGGCAATCAGAAGACGAAATGTCTTCAGCACCAAATCATGCTCGGCAGAAAGCCTTGGGGACCTTCCAGATTGCAATTTCGAAACAGATGTCGTTTGTTTGCTGATTATCTGTCCGGATGCATCGAGCCTGTCCTGGCTCATGAGATCCTTTTCTGCGATGGGAGACATTTTTGGAATTCAACGCAACAAATACCCTGGTTCCGGGGGTTGGGATGTTCGTTGTCTTTGATCACAGAAGACGTGCAAGCGATGGCCAGAATAATAGATATACTGATTCAGGGCCGAGAATAGTGCTTTAGCCTCGCCATGGCCGTCTGCTCTCGCAATAGGGCTATTCGTCCAAAGGGGTAAGGAAAGGCGCAAGGCTGCGTCTCCGCTTGGGATTCCCCGAGCGCCAAGATTAACCCAAACGGGAAACTGTAGCCATCAGCGGACGAAAGTCCCTAGCGGGTCTGAATAGGTACCTTACCGCTGGAACCTTTCCTCCCTCCTCTTCTCCCTCCACCTGGTGCCGAAGTTGAGTCCGGATTGTTGCATCGTGGCAACGTTTCTGGACCATCATTGCACCCCACAGTTGCGGAGCTTCTGCTCCGGGACAAGTCTGCCGTGATCCGCAGCATATGGCCGCTGCCAGCGGTTCCCTTTGTCAATAGGGCAGCAATCCCATTATTGACAATATTTTATTCTGACTGAAGGGTAACCGTATGATATGGGGATTTATTGTCAGATTCGCGTAAGGACAAAATTTTGTGATTGCTTGTCCTCGCGGCGAGAGTGTAGCACCGGCGTCAAGGGGTTGTGAGGTAACAGCAATGATTCTTGCGCACCCGCCAATGACAGCCAGATAAACTTCGGCTGAGGTTTGTGAGCCTAATTAAATCAGTCTGCATAGCTTACCGATGCGACATCGAGGATCGATGCAGTCGCGAGGCTACTGCTGCATGCGTCACCACAGCCACAAATAAGCGGTGCTTCACAGGTTTCCCTCGATTACTAGGTTGATTACGAGGCCTCCATACCATGTTGGAAAACAGTGTAGGGCCCAAAGACACCGGGAAATGCTGACGGCGTGCTGGTTACGGTGAGATCGAAGGGGGCGAGGCTGAAGCGAATAATTGTGCCGCCACCAAGCTGCGCTAGTATGAAAGCGGTATGGTCGGTGTGTTTGATCGACGTTGCCTCTCACGTGATGAGCTGCGTCTTTGCCAGACATTGAGGCTGCGGACTTTCGACCTCGAAACACTGTTCCTGTATGTTTATTTCCCGTGTCCATCTTGTGATCTTTCTCTAGCAAAACCCTCGTCAATCCCACGTCACTCGTTACCCTTGTACATCATTAAACCCTCTTCCCGATCCCGATCAAAGCGATATTTTGTCCCTGATAACCAAGCACAACCCGCCGGTCGGGAGAAGCATGTGAAAGCCGCCTTCGAGAATGGTCAAGGCCGGTACACGATATGGTGTTGTGCTCGACGCTGGGTCATCTGGCACGAGAGTCTACATATACCGATGGCTCGACAACTCTGTGGCTCGCCTAGACGAATCCGCTCTTCACGCTTTACCAGAATTAGAGACGAACGACAAATGGACGAAGAAAATCCATCCTGGAGTGTCTACATTCGGCGACGACCCCGAATCAGTCGGCCCGAAACACTTGAAGCCTCTTCTCAAGCATGCGCTTAAACACATCCCCAAAGATGCCGTACCCGAGACGCCGGTTTTCTTGCTCGCCACCGCAGGCATGCGGTTATTACCCGAACAACAACAACGAGACGTCCTGCGCAACGTTTGCTCCTACATACAGTCTGAGACAAAGTTCTTGGTGCAAGAATGCGATGTCCATATACAAGTTATACCGGGGGAGACAGAAGGATTGTATGGATGGATAGCCGCAAATTACCTGCTTGGAGCATTCAACTCGCCTGGCGACCATGATCATGGGAAGGGACATCATACATACGGATTTCTGGACATGGGCGGTGCTTCTGCGCAAATTGCCTTTGCACCAAATGCCACAGAAGCAGAAAAGCATGCGAATGACCTGACGCTGTTGAGACTGCGGACAGTTGATGGTGTTCCACAAGAGCACAGAGTATTCGTCACGACCTGGCTTGGGTTTGGGGCGAATGAGGCCCGGAGACGGTACGTCGAAGATCTTGGGGAGACATACGGGCGCGAGGGAATATTCGAGTTGCCGGATCCATGCCTACCGAAGGGCTTGAAGGTGAAACAAGATGGCACGATAATATCGGCCCGTGCGCCAACAAGCGCATCTAAGAATTCCTTGGTTGGAACTGGCAACTTTGAGGAATGCCTGCGGCGGACATTTCCTTTACTCGAAAAAGACGTGCCATGTCCGGACGAACCGTGCCTGGTGCACGGGGTCCATGTGCCAGCGATTGACTTTGATGTGAATCATTTCATCGGAATCAGCGAATACTGGCACACGACGCACGATATCTTTGAAATGGAACACCAAGACAAGGCCTATGACTTCAACACGTATCAAAACCGGGTCAAAGAGTTCTGTGAAAAAGACTGGTCTGCGATCGAAGACGGGTTAAAACATAAAACATGGGGCAAGGGAGTCGATGACCGGACCGCAATGGAAGTCTGTTTCAAGGCCAGCTGGCTGATCAACATGCTACATGAAGGCATTGGTATTCCCCGCGTCGGTATTGAAGACACCTCATCGTCTCACAACGGGACGAAAGAGTTGCTGGAAAGCGGCAAAGCCAAGGGATTTCTCGACCCGTTCCAGGCCGTAAATAAAATAAAGTCCACCGAAGTCAGCTGGACACTGGGCAAAATGATTCTCTACGCATCCGCAGAAATCCCCCCTGCGACTGATGGAGACTTGCCCGTCGGCTTCGGCAGTAATGTCCCCGGTATACCAAAGGACTTCCAATATCCCAGCGGTGGAAAACTGCAAGACATCCCGGACTACCACCTCGGTTCCGACTACCGTCCCCCTTCTTCCAACGACGAGTCACAAAGTCTTACCGATCAAATCCACGACACTTTATTCAACGCCGACGCGCCCCACCGACTTCCTGGCTTTATTTTCTTCCTGCTCATCCTTTTCATCGCCACTTTCTACCTTTGCGGCCGCGACCGTCGCGCGCGCTTTTACCACTCCCTTTCGTCATCTTCGCACCGCATGGCCAATGGCAAATCGTCCTTTCTCGGTTCCTTGTTCCACCATCGTCCCCACGTCCGTGACCTCGAAGACGGGACCTCCTCGCGGCTCTACGACCCCAGCGACTTCGAGCTCGAGAATGTTTCTTCTGCATCATCCTCCGATGACGATGGGACCGGGCTAGATCCAGACGTGGCTTTCCGCAACTTCAAATCCTCCGCCGCCCCTACTACGGCCAGTAGCCGAACATCTCCCTCGAAACCGAAACGAAATCTGGGCCGTTTGACTCCCGACGTCATGGACCGAAGAGGTCTTGTTGTCCGGACTGAAAGCCGTGAGCGCCTCGGGCTTGATCCTGCTGCCAATGGTCGCTCGAAGAGCAGGACTGGCAGTCCGACCAGGCTGTAATCTTGGACAAGTCCGGTGATCTTTCACTAGATTCCCGGTTAGAAATTGTTTGGCCGGGCCTCAGTTGGAGAGTTACAGTTGGATACTAGAAAGCCGTTTTCGGACTATTTATTCGGCATTGGTATACCTTTTAATGATTGGAATGGAATGAATGAGCGACACGACTAAAACATCGCTTTCTCTGGATTTGTTTACATATATACAGTAAGTGTCTTTGTCTTCATTACGACTTGACTTGACTTTGCCCTACAGTACACTGTAGTCTCTTTCAATTCGTCCCATTCCCCACCGCACCCTTTTTCAGAGTGACACCAATGGCCTCTGGCAAATTGAACTCCGGAATCCCACGCTCGGACTCTGGCTCTCGAATGGGCCGCAGCAGACTCGAGCTCGTGCCGCCGCTGTTGCCGGCCTTGCCACGCTCCCGTTCGCGCTCCTTCAGCGCGGCTTGCTGCGCTGGCAGCGTGGCCGTGACTTCGCGGAAGAAGGCATCGAGACGGTCACGATCTTGACAGAAGGCCTCGAGTTCGTCTTTGATCTGCTCGGGCGTGACGTATTGCGCGATGCCGGATCTGACTAGCCCACCACGACGGTTGGTACTGCTAGTGGCCCCGCCACCACCACCACCACCACCACCGCCGCCGATGCCGCCGGCGCCTGTTGCAAAGACGTCGGCTATGACCTGGGGCTGCTGCTGAACTGGGACTTGATGGTGGTGATGATAATGATGGTTATCGCCACCTGCACCACCACCAGCACCAGCACAATTGTTCGCCGCCGGTGAATTGCTGTCAATATTTGAATTCGAGGTGCTGCTGTTGTTGGTGTTGTTGTTCGACAAACTAAGAGATGTGGTAATGCTAGTTGCCACTGAGACGGGGCGGATGAGTGGCGATGCAAAGGGCCCGGTTTGAGGAGATTGTACGTTCAGTCCGATGATTCCAGACGCCTGCATTGATGGTGCTGGCGGCGCCGAGTGTGTGCTTGCTGGAATGGGAGGGCGGAGCAGCGTCGAGCCCGAAGTCGAATTCAAGTTGGCCGTGGCGTCTTTTTTGATGTTTTCGAATCTTGACACGGCCTGATTGGTCAAGGCCTGGCGTGAGTTGTAGAGTCGATTTGCCAGCAGCAGAAGATCACCTTCGTCCGTGATCTGGGCGAGAACGATGCCTGACCGATGCACAAATTGCGTGTACCGGTAGTCGAGCTTGCCCCAGGAGTATTGAATCTCGACGTTCTCCGGAAACTCAGAGACCGCTTCGAGATCGAGCACGAAATTGAACCGTTTCAGTAGGGCTTTCTGATATAAATGATTATCCGAATTCAGTGCGGCTTGAGGCCCGAATGAAGTAGCGGTATAGTATACGTTGGCCGGAGAATTTCGGCGAGGAGGCTCGAGCGACAGTTTGATGCGATAAGGAGCACGGAAAGGTTCGTGTTCGGGAATCTTGGAGGCTTCCAAAATCGGTAGTTCGACCAGCTTCAGACCGTATTTCTCGGCCTGAGTCGTCCAGTTGACAATTGCATCGTCAACCAGCTTCGAAGTCACGTTGAACCAGGATAGTTCGAGATGGTAGCAGTTTTCCGGGTTATGCAGTCGATCGTAATGCAGGTTGATGATCTCGGGCCGGTTCGACCGTTTGCGGTGGTCGACGTCAATCCGGATCATTTTGCTCAGGGTTACGGTTCGTCTTTTTCGGTCTCCCAGCGACTTGCCAAGCTCTGATCCTATCTGTGCTTGGAAGGTCAGGTTGGAGCCTGATCTTGATCGTCCAGAAACCAATTCCCTCGCTGGATGTTCTGAGATAGGAGTCGGAGGAACTGATCGATCGGATCGTCGACTTGCTGGGAACCAGGACTGTCTCGCTTCTGGCCGCTGAATCCGCCATTCGGGTTTGATGGAGTAGAAGAAATTCCCGTCTTTGAACTTGTGTCGGCTGTTGACGTGCTCGAAGAGACCTTCCGTCATCAGTTCGTTGCCGAAGTCAACAGCTTCCTCGCGAGTATCAATATCTCTGAAGTTGTGAACGAGCCAGTTCGTCAAGTCTTCGCCGGAGAAGCAACTGTAGTGCAGTCGCCAATGCCATCGCCTGTTCTTGATCTCGATCCCTTTGTCGCTTTGTATGGCCTGTGCTAATTTTGCCAAATTGAACGAGTCTCTGTCAAACTGTTCCTCTTCCGGCAAAAGTTGGGTTGTCTGCAGTTCACCTGCTTCTTCGGCCGCGATGAGCTTGTCCAATTCTGTTGCTACCAGCTCGGAAGGATTGAGGGTCTCCAGATTGATTCTCAGCGGATTACGATCCTTCGCTTTCATGGTGCTCAGGCGATTGTGAACAGGCCTTCTCTCGTCCGGCGGCACGTAGCGAGCCTTTTGCCACATCTGAGTCAGGGCTCGGATTCCCCGTAGATGGATCTCCTCCTCATTTTCTTCGCTGTCGGATGGCGCTGGTCTGCGTGCAGTTGCAGGAGGCTCCACTGGTATGAGAACAAAGCGGGCGCGCCAGAACCGAAGTGCCTGGATGTCCGCGTCGGTCTGCTTGGTGAAATCTGCCAGATACTTGTCTGCGGCCTCCCAAGGGTATTGTTCAGTGAAGCTGTTGAATTCCAGGTCTCGAATATTGTATGTGTCTGACAAGATGGTCTTGATGTTTGGATAGTACTTCAGCTGCTGGGGGAAAGGAGGCTGGACCTGTGGGATTTTACGCACAAATTTCGTCACCCGGACGCGGTCTGCTTCTTCGAGCGATATTTTCTGAATGGTACTGCCCATTGACATGAAGATGAAAGACCCGTCCGGACGCACGATATCAGGTGTGAAGAACGAGGACGTATCATAAGTCCTAGGACCGACCGCCTCAACCAAAGATTGACCCACTATCAATTGATAGCCGTGGGAGAACCTCAAAGCCATCATTTCTTGTAGTAACGTGTCACGGGACTCAGGAATCTCCAGCATCTGATTTGTGCTCCCCAGCTTCACATCATAACTAGCAACCTCGTATTCTGTGTCAAGTTCGTGCTTCGATGGGAAGTCTTCGGTCGTGAGGGGAACTGATGCAGGAGTACACAGCGATCGCCATTTGACAGTGGCAGTGCGTGGCTTTCGCGGGTAAAGATGTTGCCACTTGCCAAACAAGGAGCCCCTGTTTGGGTCTCGTTTCAGCGGGTTCGAAGCATTCACATTCTGGATGAAAGGGACGTTGCTTTTAGGGACCGAGCTGGCTAGAGACGTGCCCATCCAACTGCCAGTTTGGTCGGTGCTGTCGCCGTCGTTTCCATTGTCACTTGCGGAGGAGACTGATGACCCGCTTTCCGCCGCTTCGTCCGCTCGAGTATCTCCTGTGACGGCCAGGTCATCTGGATACCTGTGCGATGTTGTTTTAGACCTGTGTGAACCAACCATCTCGCCAAGATGCTTGCGCAAAGGGGTATTAATAGAGATCGGCTTCGATGGTGTCCCACTGGAACGCACCGCCCCTTGTTGCTCCCCAACGATCTGATGCGACGCATCTGTATCTCCCACAATGCCACTTGTAGACACAGATCGGATACTAGCAGCCGAGGTCGCTACTGTGGGTCGCGCGTGCCCAGGATTGCTAAGAAGTGGCTGTGCCTGGATGTTGGTGGTGTTGACTTCCGTACTTGCGACAGCTCGAATCGGTGGAGCAAGGCCTCGCAGGGAGTAACTTAGGTTACGGTTAACCTTTGGGGGTTCCGGGACCTTCTTCTGCGAGATCGATTTTGTCGACCCGTCCACAGACGCAAGCGACGGCAGCTGCGGTCTGAACGGAGAATTGAGAGACTTGTTTGTCAGGATTTTCGTCAATTTGGACTCAGCCCTTGCCTCCTCTCCACTGGTGATAATCTTGCTCGGCAACTGTGGGGTCACCCGGGTGGAACTGCTTGGTGGCGTCGACACATGCCTTAGAGATCTCACTTTCAGAGGCGGCACCGCCTGATTCTGGAACAGGCCTGCATCATAAACATCCATACGGTCAAAAACATCACCCAAAGCTTTCGCATGTGTCGACAACAACCCTTGGTTTGGGCGGGCTGGCTCGGCACTAAGCCGTCCCTTGCGTGACATTGTTGGAGACCGAGAAAGACTTCCAATGCCGCTGGTCCGCCTTCTCTTTGAGTGGATGCGGTTAGACCGACTAAGGACAAGGTTTTGCGTCTCACTGATATAAGGTATACTCATGTCTGCCATACCCAGCTCCATCAGACCCATCATCTGGATTTCGTACATCCTCACGCGAGGCACAAAAGGGCCTTTCCTCCGTTTGACGATTTTGGTAGGATGTTGTTGTTGTTGACTTTCTTGTGCCAGTTCAGTTAATGTCGTGGCGGCATCAGCTGACCAATAAGAGAGGTCAATCCACTGTGGAATGCCGAAATACCATCCAGAAGCGTTTTCGCCGTTATGTCCAGATACGTAGCTAGCAAGAAGTCGAGTGCTATTTGTCGCAGTTGAAGACAAGGCAGGAGATAACTTCCTAGGTTGACTGGAATCGAAGAAGCTAGGTCCAGATCCGGACCTCCGGGGGCTTTCAGCAAGCTCTGCAGCATGCACATTAAATGAGATGTCTTCCTTTCCAGTGACCCTGTATTTGAACAGAGGCACAGAGTGAAGCGGCATCTTCGACAGGCAGACAATGTCGATTCCCACGCCGTTATTCGTCAAAGTCTGTGAAGTCAAGTTGAGAAGGTCTCTGTCGACTTCGAAGACACCCGTCCCCGCAGTGACAACCACTACTGATATTCCGGTACGTATCAGATCTCGATCAATGTAGTCGTCGGCAAACTGGTTCGAGGCGATGTTTATTGCCTCCAGTATATTTCCTTTCAGAGCCGTGCTTGGCCGCCCGGCTATGCGAGTAGTAGCGGAACTTGCAGTTCCGGCATCAACTCCTTGACTGCTCGAAGTATGCAAGGAAATGTCGCGCAGGAAGACACGAAAGTCTTTCTTCAGTTCGTCCAAGATCGTCGTCCATTGGGCACTAGCCATATCAGTAACCACCACCCTGTAGAAGTCCTGGTATTGGCGAGCGGTCATATTGGGGCCTCCTGATGCTGTACTATTCTCGAGCCTTCGATCTTTATTCCTGGCTAGATCAAACCGATCGTACTCGAGACGTCCAAAGAGAACAATGCTCACCAGATGCCGGACATCCAGGTCATGCCACCGTTTGAAAAGGTCAGGGAGGAACCCATTGATTACCCGGTTGAACATGATCTCCCCGTGTCCTTCCGAGTCAAAATCCCACATTTCACTGGACATCTGAATGAACAGGACATAACGAGCTGCTTCACTTCGGAAAATAGGTATGGTGGTTCCGGCAAAGTACGCTGTTGGTACCTTGTGACCGTGTACATGAATGGACTTCACCGTGAGCTTTGTGCTTCCCATGAAAGTGATCTTTTGTCCTGCGAAAACTGTTCGGCCTGCCAACTCTTGGCCAACGAGTCGCCACATATCTGATCTTGCCAGATACACATCTCTGAAGCTGAACTCGACATGTGAGGCTGTACATTCTTCGAATGATGACGCCAGGATCCATACATGTGAGCGCGATCGAAGGCCGAATGCTTGTGCAAGGTTACTTTTGATCGAGACCTGCAGGTTGGCCTGTTTTGCTTTGAACTCGGCTGGTGCAAATTTGGCAATGCAGAGATAGCGAGTGCCGCGATCAAAGGTGTGCTCCACATCACCCGGAGTCCGCCTAGTATCCTCATTCTCAGAATTGGGAGACTGGAAATCGCGTATGTCGGATGCCTCCTTGGCCGGGTAGATCTCAACCAAGCTGCCTTCCTTTATGTTGGAACCCTCTAATATAGCTTCGTTTATGAGCACGTCCTCAGTCGAGAAGTTATCATCGTGGACCCAGAGTGTTGCGCGGACTGGCTGAGCGGGGGGCGCAGAGTGTTGTGTACCACTGTTCAGCCCCGGTTGGGCGTTGAGGGTGCCCTTCACGGTGGAGCCACTGCTAGTCCTTCGATGCAAATTGGTATGCTGCATGTTCGATTATCTGAATGGGTTCAGTGATAGAAAGCGTTTTTCATCGCGTCTTTAGGCAATCATGTCATACTTGCATAGCTGGGGCTAGCGTTCCAGCATAAGGAATGGGGATATCATTGTTACCAGACTCTGATGTGTATGAGGAGGGCGAGCTCCCCTCCAAGATTCGTTCAGTGTTGCATTCATCGGACGCGGCTCTCCTCATGAATCCGCACTATACCGCCAGATCTCTACGTCGACGTTCAACGCCATGTCCGAAGCCGTGTTTGACTTAATTGAAGTCGACTCGGACGCGGATATAACAATGCCAAGCCTACCACGTGATGCGCCTCTTTCGACGTCGCATTCGAGTTCAAGTTCGTGGTTGACACGTCCAACTTCCAACTTCCAATCCCCGAGTCGCGACTGAAAAGAGCGGTGGCCTAAAGACACATTTCTTGCATGTTCAGTTCATTTCTAAGCTGCATAAGCTATTGTACATCTAGTCAATCTCTATCTTGGCCCTAATCTTACATCTATTCACAGGGTATCTCGGTAGGCACAACGGTCGTCCTGTGCCCTTTGTTCATAAGTCATGATATGTCCAGCCTGGTGCATTTTACCAGACATTCTGAGTTTCAATATTGAGAAGCCACTTCTTGACTCCTTCACGTAGGACATTGTCCTGCTTCACTCCATGAGCGAAACTGTCACCATCCAACCTGGAATGACTATCCACGTGTCGCGTGCGTTGATGTTTGGTCAAATCACCACTGACGCTCCTAACGACGTCTTCCAATGCCCCAACGACTGCTTGTCGGCAATCGGCTTGTGACAATGTAGAAAGATGAGACCATTTCTTGGATTTGCTGGAACCAGAAATCTCCAGCGGCTCGGTCCTGGCCGATGCAGTCGTTCCCACAGACAAGGCCCTTGAGTGAGCTCGGGCTGGGTTTGGTATGTCCTGCTTGGAAGGATAACCCTCGTTGAGAACGCGCTCGATGGCATCGGTCAAAGTACTGTCAAAATCCATCACTGGCTCTGTAACGAAACGTTCTTCCATAGGATCTGAAACATTCAGCTGAGGAGCGGTGATTGAGGTGTTACCCGTGGGAGCCAGTGAGCTAGAGTCGGCATGTGAAACGACGGTGCGGTTGCGAGACACCCTCCGCTGCAAAGTCAAGCGTTCGATGAAAAATGTCCGGGAATCAACGAGAAGGGTAGAGCAAACGTTGACCCAGAGCTTGCCGTCCGCTTCTTCGTCTGGGAAAGAGCCGAGACTGTCGTCGTCGAGAGCGGGCTCCTGTGACATGCTTTGCTTGATTTCATCATGTAACTCGGGATACGGTTTGACACCTTGAAGAATAAAATCCTCGTGGTAACGCCTCAGGTACCCTGCGACATTTGTCGTACGCGAATCGGCGCTACGAAACCTGGTCGATCTGGAGCTATACGACGAGGCAGCACCGTCGGTGCTAAACCTGGTTGGTGAGTCGTGCCGTATAGAGGGGCTAAGGGGCCCTTTGCTCTCGTCCCAGCTAATGAACCCGGGAAGATTTATGTCGACATCGACAACTCCGTCCTTGTCATCCACACGCATTCGTGGCGGTTGGACGTCACTAGGCGCGGACTCAGCTGGCGGCTCGACAGGACGTTCGTCAGGTCTGGTTGGTGGCTGGGTCATGGTCAGGTCGGCGGCCTCGTCCACCATTTGCTGCAAATAGTGGGGCTGGAGGCCATAGACTGGAGATGTTTTGGGCGCATGTTTTCGACGATCCCGCAAACTGCTGGGAGCGGTCTCGTTTCGGGAGGACGATGATGGTTGTTTTTTACCCCACAGTCCGCTCATATTACTCATCAGGGAGCCCCAGTTGATGCTCGAGGCCGCCGTATGGGGATGGCTCGTACTATCTCGACGGAGTATTCGGGCTAAATCTGCGCTTGCACCACCACTATCTCCATCAGCGACCGCCCCCTCAGGGAAGTAACTGTCATGTTTGCTCGAAAAGTGTGGGACAGGCGTTCCAGCATTAGATGTCGCGCCAGAATTCGTGGCGTTTGTTTTGTGGAGGTGGCTTGGCCGCTCGCCAGGTGAAAAGAGAGATGGATGTTTCCTAGGGCCCGGCTCCCCATCAGATTTGAAAAGGATTGGATGGAAACCTTCCCGGAATGGCCGCCCGGTGCCAGAAGTGCTGTCAGTGGATGAGGCACTTGTGGAGAGAGCAGAAACATCACGACGGGAAAGCATCGCGCTGCCGTCACGGGACTTGGCATAACCATGCCGGCGCATCGATCCCTCACCTGCAAGCCTGCTGATGGGTGAAGAGGTGCCGATGTCAGGTGTGGACAATGGCGACATCAACCCATGGCCAAGTCTTGCAAGCGCATCCACATTGTATGACCGCGGTAAGAATGAGGCAAGCAGGAAGATAAGACGACGTGCCATTGACCGGTTGTCACAAATAATGACGGTCCGAGCCGCGAAATTGCAGGGTCTAGTCCGTACTTTGTTCATTGCTCGGAATTGCTTCCGATACCTGTCAGGCCCAATGCATTCGAGCCAGTCGGTATGATTGCCCAAAAAGGCAGTCAAGAGGTTGAAAAGAAAGAAGTTTTGCTGCTTGTTTCCACAGACACGGACGAGATATCTCGCCTCATCAAGCCAAGGGCCACCATAGTCGAGACCGAAACCTGAGGCCACACGGGGAATACGTAGGGCATAAGAAACCCTCCACAAGGCGTGCTTGACCACGTTTTGGAGCGCACTGTCCCGGACCAGGGCATTTGAGGAGCGCAGATAGACATTGCGTTGGTTGGTACGTTGCTCTGAAGGGCCTTTGGGTGCCTTTGCGGCGGAGAAAATCATCGCTGAGTTGACCTCCTGCAGAAGGTCACATATCCGAGCACGAGCCGCTCTCTCAACGACGACCAGACTCCTCAATATAACGTCCCAGTTTTTGACGATCACTTCAATGCTCTGGTCATTGAACTGAGCTGATGTTTCTGGAGACGATAGATGATCAGGAATGGCACTCAGGATGGTCCAGGACGAAAGAGAGTCCGAGCCGTAAGAGTTAGGGTAGGAAGACGCCATTGCTGAAGCTCTCGACATTGGCCGAGCGGTGGAGGTCCCTGGTCGCGCATCTCCAGGACGCGGCAGATAGCACAGGAGAGCAGCGCCGTAAACAGGCGTCTTCTTCTCCACCAGCTTGGGCTTCTTTCCCTGCACACCAGGTGACTCTAGCTGATCTTTCACAGGAGATGTCGCGCTGGATGGATCAGCATTGCCCGCGTTGGAGCTTCGGTGCTGTCTCACATCATCTTGACTATCGGGCAAGGTGACTGGAAACATCCGAGTAATGAGTATCGAGTCACGAGACTCTACGTCTGCTTCCTTAGGAGACGATGGTGGACGGCCTGCATTCATGGTATGTGTAGCGGTCCTGACCCTCATTAGCGGCGTACGTGCAGCAGCCGGACTCGTAGCGGTTGCAGTAGTTCGTGGACTAATCTCTGTGGGAGTACTCCGATCGCCAGGTAAAAGATGCATTTTAGTACTCGAGCCCGACTTTGTCGCGCTAGTAACACCGAACATACAGTCGAGAATATTGCTCAGATGGTCGGTCGTGTCCTGTTCCTTGATAGGGCGCGTCCATGAAGCTGACGCGCCCGATACCGTGGAGCTTCTGTTTCTCGCATGGCCCGTGACAGGTGAGCTAGGTGTGTTACGGGATCCTATGTCGCTTGAGAACAATGAACCAAACGTCTTTGGGGATGAGGATCCAGAAGACGAAGGCTCCAGGTTGTGCGTGTCCAACAGCACCAGAGGCCGATCATTCGTGCCGAATGCATCTTGAGCAATGATCAGTCTCAAATCTTTTGATTCGTTCAGCTCTAACCCGGCCCGATCGTCAAAGGGGGAAACGCGGAAGCTGGGGGATCCAAATGGAGTGGAGGGCGGCGAAACAGATTGCGCCCGCCCGTCGTACTGAAGTTCCGGCCAGAGAAGCGCGCGGGTATGAGACTCTTCCGTAGCACTTTCGAGCTGACCACCTCGCGCGTATCCCTGTATCAATCTTCCCAGCATTTTCTAGAGGTGTATTTAATGCTCAAGTGTTTAGTTTGGCCTGGTATTGGTCATCTCAGGGCGGTGAGGGCGCATAAACCGACCGATCTCGGTTCGGGCACATGGAGAGTGGGAAGGTCGCGGTCGTGGATTGAGATGACAGAGCGTGATTCCGACGGCGTTGCCGCAACAATGGAGACAGCCCTAACATGGCACAATGGTCAAGTGCAGCGGAAAGGAGATGAGGAGTCCCGGCTGCCATAGCACCGCGCTGCCGGTGCTTGAGGGTCTCTTGTGACTGAACAGTGAATCGCAGTCTTTGCTTTTGGCGGACGGTGCCATTGTTCAAGTTGTAAATTACGGTGAAGGGAGCCAAAAAGCGCCCTAAGCCCAATACGGCAGCCAGCCTCGCCATTGGACGCCGAGGTTAAAACAACGTCAATCCTTCCACGCTTCCACCAGCATGGTCGAGCAACTACCTATCGACTGTGTAACACTTTGTCTCCTTTTCATTTCGAACACCGCCATCCCACTTGGTTTCCCCTCTGTCTGATCGCCGTGTCTTGCTAAGGTAAGTCTCCTCTACCGCGAGCCCTCTGCATTCGTTGAGGTGCTTGCAGCTCAGGCAGCCGATGCCATCGAGCACAAGGTTCCCGCTGCAGCCAACCGCAGCTTGGTTTTTGCTGGAGTTGTCGGTTACAGTACCCAAATCAATAAACGATGATGGGAACCGGGTGCCTGTCCGTCTCAAGGAAGGAACGCTCTGTTGAGGATGAATTGAACGTCGTCGTCCTTCTCTCTCTGGGTCGGTTCACTTATCACTGGCATGTGCTCCTTGGGAGAACTCACTTTAGCGTTGCTTCACTGGCACAAGGCTACGCTCTCCTTTATCGAACCCTCATTTCTCTTTTCTCTCGATTCGGGCCCAGTCTTGCTGTCACGTGCTATCCAAATTCACTACCTTGTTGTATCACAGTATCTATATAAGTCTCGTCGCGCGCGTCTTCTTTCTCTCTCCCTTCTCTCCTTCTCCACAGTTCGTTCGTTCTCTCGCGTCTTCTCTTTTCTTCTTTTCATTGGAGTGGCTATGTGATCTCATTTCCCTTTGCCCTGTTCATAACTGAGGAAAGGCCATGGCACAGCCCGATATCCCAGGCTTTGATGCCAACTCGGTCTATATCGATCTCACTTCTGAAGATGATGGTGATACTGCCCCAGAAACCCACCTATCGGCCCCGGTCTCCGTCCATATCAAGCAGGAAGAGGCCGAACCGAGCCTTTTTAGCCCTCTCCCAGAAGCTGATCCTTCAGATGACCTTGGCATATCACTTGAAAACATCAACGCCTTGAGACAATACAACGAGAACAAGGGAAACTTTTCCACCCCACATGGAGATGTCTCTGCCAATGTCGCTTGGCCTACAGATCAAGATTTTGAGAGGCAGCTTTGGGAGGCTGCTCATGATCTCGACCCTGCCGCCGAGAATGAGTTGGCGGTGGCCAACTTTGCTCGCCTCCGTGAAGAATACGAGCAAAAGAAATCATTGGGAACCGCGACCAGAGTTGATGACGTCCAATTCGCAGCCGACGAAGCGGCAGAGCAGAGCCGTTTACGGGACTTTGCTAGGGGTCAGCTTGTTTTAGAAGCCTCGTCCCCATATCAGACAACGCTTCCACCTGGCTACGTCGAGGAGGATTCCCTGTTCATCCCCGAGGGACCGGGGACGCCGCCTGAAGATGAGGTCCCAGCTGGTCGGTCAGTCCCAAGGGCCAAGAATAGAATCAACAAACAAGAACTAAGCGAGGCCATGTCTGTTGGTATCGAGGCAGGTTACTCAAAGAGCGGGAAGCCTAAAAGGAAGGCGGCCACTACATCTGATGGTCCACGGCCGAAAAAGCCGCGCACCCCGAAAACATCGGCTGCAAGGAAACCAGCACAAAGGCGAAAGCGAACAGGGCCCATGCTAACCAACCTATCGTCGCTCGGCAGGAGTAATGTGGTGTCTGACGCACAGGCCAATGTTTTCAAGCCAGACATGCCTACCTTTACCGCTCGCGATAAGAACAAAGCCCTTTCGCAGTTGATTGCCAGTATTCCATCCGCCGACCGAGCTTCCAGCGGCGGGGATAGGAAGGCAATAATAGCTGCCACGAAAAAATTCAATGGCATTGGCGCCGTTAGAGCGGATGGACAAGGCGGTTGGAGACATAAAGACATGGAATCGTCGCTGTATCATCATCAGCTTCTCGGTGTGGCCTTTATGCGTGATCGCGAAAAGTCAGATACCAAACCCAAGGGCGGGATGCTTTGTGACGAGATGGGCTTCGGAAAGACTATACAGATGATGTAAGTAAACTGACCTTTGCAAGGGACATTGCTGACGAGGACAGTGCCAACATTCTGGACGGAAAGCCCGATGCAAACAGCCCGTGCAAGACGACACTGATTGTTTGCCCGCCATCTTTACTGCCCCAGTGGATGTTGGAGATGGACAAGCACGTCAAAGGCGCCAGGCTCGGTCGTATCATTCGATACCACTCTGGAGCACGTCTTCTTAGCAACGACGTTGTTGCCGACCTATCTGCCTATGACATAATCCTTACCTCCTACGCCGAGGTGCAAAAGAGCTATCCGATCGCAGAGGCGCCAAAACACCTATCGAGCGAGGCCAGGAAGAACGAATGGTGGGACAAATTTTACAACGAAAACGTCGGACCTTTGCACCGAATCAAATTCCATCGGATTGTGCTGGACGAAGCCCATCAAATCAAGAACCACTTGTCCAGGACTTCTCGTGCCATTCGCGCCCTCACAGGTGTTTACAGATGGTGTATCACCGGCACCCCTGTCCTCAACTACATTGAGGAGCTGTTCCCGTACTTCCACTTCCTAAGAGTCCCACACACAGGTGACTATGCCACGTTTTGCAACAACTTTTGCAACAACCGGACAGGTCGAGAGCCCATCAATATGGGAAGAATACACAACATCCTCCGCGCGATTATGCTGAGAAGGACGCATGTTGACACGCTGTTCAATGCTCCCATCGTCAAACTTCCGGGCATCACCCATACAACGCATCTAGTTGAATTCAACGAGGTCGAAAGAGCCATCTACAAAATGGTCAAGAGCAGATACATAGCTCAGATCAACAAGTACTCGCGGGCAGGCGAACTCAGTCCAAATTATCGAAGCATATTTGGGATGATGCTGCGGCTCAGGATGCTGTGCTCCCACATCTTGCTCTGCCAGGGCGTGCTAAAGCAGATGTTTGATGCGTCAGACATTGAAACACTATGGCGGTTAACTGCCAGAGAGGTCCAAGCATCCAGTGACGAGACTCAAATCAACACTATCGAGGCACTGCGAAGAATGTTACAGAAGAAAGACAATACGTTGGTGACATCTCAGACCCAAGCCACAGGAGCAGAAGAAACTGTGACAGCCATCCCAGAATCCAGCCAAGACGCCGACAATTCTGAGAATACAACAGGAAATTTTGCCCTCTCATTCAAGTTCCGCAAATTCCTGCGCTCGCTAAGCGAATCAAAGACCTGGACTGAACTACACCTGCGGTCAACATGTGGCAAGTGTCTTCTTCCACCGGATGATCCGATCTGCACGTCTTGCCTCCATGTATACTGCAAAGAATGCATCAACGCCATGGAGTACGAGCGACAGGAGCGCGGCGAAGAGAAATGCGCCTGCCTCACATGTGGTGTGAACTTTGAAGAAACATCACCTTGCTTGGGCTTACAGGAACTCGGTTTCAACGGCGAGGAAGTGAGCAAAAAGGTTGAAAAGGCCAAAAGGAAGCGCGCTAGACGCTCGAGCAGCTCCCTCGGCCCCAGCCAGAGCGAAAGTGGTACCAGACGCAATAGCATTCGTGGCATCACGGACAGTGACGACGAGAGCGACGAAGAAGAGAAAGATCCGGACTGGATCGAATTAATGGGAAGCACAGTATTGCCCTCCGCGAAGCTCACCGCAACCAAAGCCGCAATCCTCAACTGGCAGCAAACCTCTAAAGGCGAAAAGATCGTCATCTACACTCAGTTTCTGGGTCTGTGCAGAATCCTGGACAAGATCTGCAACGCCGAGGGATGGGGCCATGTTCTTTTTCACGGCAAGATGACGCTCGAGGCACGCGAAAAGGCCATCGAGAAGTTCGACCATGACCCCAATGTCAACATCATGATATGCAGTCTTAAAGCCGGCGGCGTTGGACTCAACCTCACCATGGCGTCCAAAGTCATCATTTTGGACTTATGGTTCAATTCATCAATCGAGGCCCAGGCCTACTGCCGCACATTCCGTATCGGGCAGACCCGTCCAGTCGAAGTTCTGCGTTTCGTCGTCAAAGACAGCATTGACGAAGACCTTATCAAGATGCAAGACCGTAAGGATATCGAAGTCACTGCCGCTATCGGACCTGAGAATCTAGGCAAACGAGCTACCATCCAGCAGCTCCTCGAACTATTTGGTGAGATCAGAGAAGAAGGCCAAAATGAATTCATTTTGGTTGAGGACCAGGATCAAGACGGCGAAGATGATCCGAATACTCCAATGGCGGGAAGACTGCCTCCTCGTCCTTTTTAGTGGAGCGCCTTTCATGCCTTCTGTCCTCGCGCAGGATTCGGTCTATGCCGCGCGGTCATATCATCTCCTCAACTTAACTCCGAATGCCCGTCCTGTCAACTTCGCCCGCTTCCGGTACTTCACGATCGCACACAATTTCTTCGCTCTGGGGGCCTTCAATAGCATTTCCTGTGAACAGAATAAGCACATTCATGATAGCTGCTACTTCATTCCCTGGAGACGACCAACGAACGGATTGGAGCCGCGGAGAGATGGGCGGCACTGCGAGCTGTATGTACCCATGCATGAATCAGAAACGGGTGCTACTTTGAATCCAGAATCCAGACCCCCATCGTCCGAACTGGACGAGGCACATCTGTCCGCACACACAGAAATACACCCTTCTCTTTCTGCTTCCAAGCTAGGCAGTCTTGCGGCCATGGTAGCGAGGTACGTACATAGGGTAGTTCCATAGCCAAAAATACTGTACAGATTAATCCAACGTGTTTCTGAAGAGAGAAAGGCCAAGTCAATAGATTGCAGTCCCAATTTCTAGTGCTACTGCCTGCTCCTGCTATTGAATATTTAGCATTTCAATCTGCATCTTAACAACGAATGGTCTACCTGAAATCTAAGCTACACCTACTTAGTACGTCACTTAACATTCAAACAGTACGTCCAGAGAGACCATTGGCCAGGCCCCTTGCTTTATTTTCATGGATCATTTGTATCATTCAAGTTCTACTTTTTAGTCGGGGTTGGGGTATCATATAGATGTCCGTCCGTCCGTCCGTCCGTCCGTCCGTCCGCTTCGCTCCGCAATTCGCCAATCCAGCCAGCCAGGAACCAGGGCATAACAAATAAAAAGAAAGGAAAACACAACACAACACAACTAAAACGCCGCAGCCGCCCAGCCCTGTTCTAGGATCCGAGCGCTTTTATGGCGGCCTTTCGTCTCTCCAGAACCTCACTCCTCTTGACTCGAGTCCTCAGAGCCTCACTGGCCTGCACTAGGGCATCGATACTAATAGCATGGTTGGTCATATTGTGGTTGATGTAAGTGTAGACCTGGGCGGCGGAATCAAGAGCGAGGATGGCAGGTTCATTAAGTTTCAGGAGCGCCAGGGCAAGTTGGAAAAGGAAAGGCGAGCTCGTGCCGTCGTGCTCCTCACCGTCCTCGCCTCCGTGTCCGTGTCCATTAGGCGCGGAGGGGGTGACCGGCGTGGATGGTGCGCTACTTGTTAGATTAAATGAAGGGATGTCGACGGTCAAGTTCTTGGGTTGGTTGAATGCGTAGGGAACTGCATCGGAACTGTTGAGGCAGAGACTAGATACGAAGGTTATCATGTTAGCTTGAGGAAGAGAAAGAGATAATGTCGATGTTGGGTATGGAGATGCGAGACTCACATCACGTCCCAGACGCGGTAAAGGGCCTCTCCGCCAGTCAACACGCCAGTGTATAGGGACAAGAACCAGTGAAATGTGCAGGCTTCAAGCTCGACACCCAGCTCTTCCAGCTTCGCGCTGAGCTTCGGTAGAACCTCTGCGACATATTGACGGAGGACGACTTGGTCGGCTCGTGCCACGAGTAGTGTCGAGCTGAAATATTGGCTGGGTAGGATCACGTCGATGATTGCCACCAGGAGCCAGAAGCAGTCTTCTGCAGTCGCACAGATGAGTAGGAGAGACGCCGTGATGAGGTTCATCCCTAAGTGCGTGAAGGGTCATAGTTAGTCAAATACAGTCTAGATAGAGGATTGTCTTGAAGGCAGAGAGAGGTGCACATGAACTCATACCTTGGCAGTAACCGATGCGAGGGTTATGAAGCGAATATGCCCTCAGCAACTCTTCTAGACGCTGCACGCCCGGTCCGTGGCGGAAGAACACATTATCTGTCAATGTCCGGCGAACATCCGCCTTGATCTGACTGGCTATGTCCGGGTCGATGTCTGTTCCCTCTTGTGACCGAGCCACTAGATCTTCGTAGTATCCAGGATTCCGCAAAGCACTGGCACCGGAGCATTCGGCCCAGATTTTGGGACGGAGCGAGACTGGTATGCCGCCCAGGACCAACGCCCGGAAATGCAGATATTTACTCTTGGTCTGCTTGGATCGACCCAAAGTGGCGAGCCCAATCAACTCCCCATTGAGCAAGTCAGCCTCTGGTGTGTTGTTGGAAGCGCGGTCCACGCTGTTGGCCCTCTCAGCGCGTACACGGCGTAAGAAGTCGTTCCATCGCGCAGACCGCTCAGCTTGAAGTGTGTCATGTAAATCGGTGAGCTGCTCCAGAAGCAATCTCGCAGGGCCCGACTCTCCTGGACTGTCAGACTCCGGTTCTGCTGTGAAGTCTGATGAAACAGCCGTGACCGAGGTATGCCGCGGCTCTGTCACAACGCTAGTAGTTGGGAGTGCCTTTTGTGCTGCAACCGAAACAGAGATCGATGCTTCCCTGGACCGGTGCGGCGGCGTCGTGACGCCTGCTGCGTCAGCTGTACTAACCGTGACTACAGCCCCAGCAGATGGTGTATGTGACAGCAGTTCTCTGGGCCTGCCCGATGAAAGATTCGTGGTGACTTTCAGATAGTCTTGCCAGGACTTCTTGGGGGCTTCCTCATCCACTGACGCCGGCGTAACCGGCCTATCAGCAAACACATCGTCCGAGTGGATATTGTCTGCGCCTCGGAAGCTGGCGATCGTCTCTGCGCCACTCATCTTGTTCCGCTTATGCTGCCGAACCTGCAAAGACTGCCGTTTTCGACGCCTCTGGTCATATATAAAACCAAATCTATCCGTCAAGAGTCCATGACTATCATTATTCTGACTCGTCATCGTAGGCGGCAGTTGTGAACTTTCAATCATCGAGTCCAGCTCGACGGTTGGAGGCAGGTTGCTAGCATTGGATTCCTTCCGGGCATGACTTGGACTGGCGGTAAGCCTACTCGGTGTTGGGTTACGCTTTCCAGGAGGCCGGTTTTGGTTCATGCCGTTGTGAGGCAGAGACAAAGAAGACTTGGTGGCCGGCTGTGATGGGTTTGTTCGTGTCTTAGACAAGCCCTGCATGGTGCCCTCGCCTTCCTCGCCTGCTCCTCCTGTGTTGCTGCCATCTTGTCCCAAGGACGAGGCTCTAGATCGACCATTGTTGGACTTGCCACCAAAAATCTGCGTCCAAGAAGCGAAAGACCGCCCAGACTGATTCGATCGGACGCTAGCCTCATCGCCTAGCTTTGACTTGCGTATGGACTTTCCCCCTATAAAATAACTAGTGCCTGAGTTTTGTGATGGAGGTTGGAAAATGCTCTGCAAACCTGATACCTTGTTGGAGTTTGAGCTGGCCACTCTCGGCCGCAATGTCGCATCCATGTCCTGGCTGCTCTCACTGACCATACTATTGGCTCTGCTCGTCGTGCGAGATGCTTTCACCTGCGCTGATGCCATAGAACCACTCCTACTGCGGCTTTGACGGAGCTCAGCAGCTCTTGGACTTTGAGGTGCTGCGACGGAGTCACTGTCGATTGGGCTGTTGAACACGATGGCCTCTGCCATTGCCTCGCTCATCATGTTATCCAAGGACGCCGCCGAAACTGCGCCGTCTGCGGCGGGAGAGGATTCGTGTAGACCAGAGTTGCCTGCCCCATGTTCGAGCCGAAGGAGCCGCTTCTCTACTTCTGCTGTTGGGACATTGGCCTCCCGAAGCAATTTCTTCAGTTCCCTCTCGCGTTGATCTGCCCGAATTCGCAGAGCTGATATCTCCGCATCTCGCTGAGCCAAATCAGAAGCATACTGCCGCACCAGCCTAACGGCACCCGTCTTGCTGATCAACCTCTCAATGTGATCATCGCTCGCAAGATGGAGGGACCCTGGAATATCCAAAGACGACCGTGGAGAGTCATCAAACAAGGCGTTCTGTTTATTCAAAGATGGAGACCCGCTCATAAGACCGGCGAGTGTCGCTTTTCTATCCCTCGCTTTCTGAGATATTGTCCGTGTAGGTCTTGGTGCCTCCTCTTGAATGACGTCGGTCAACCGGCTCTCTGGTTCAGGGGTGAAGGACGGGAAGGACGTCAGGGCAGGATCGTCTTCAATGGATTTGGAGGAGCTTTTTGAACCATGACGCTTTGGTGCGCCTCGAAGGGTTTTGGGCTTCTTGAAGTCGGCGGAAGCATGAGAGGTCTGGGACGAAGATCGCCTCGATACATTGCTGCCGTTGTCGGACATTGTCCGTCCGATTAGGCTGCTTCACCCTCGTCTGGCTACTGATTCCGGTGGTACCGTTGCCCGCATCTTCGCACCGATCAAGGCCCGATCGATGGCGCAGAAGAATGACTAGCAGATCGAGGACAATCAAGCAACTCTTCGAGCACCAAAGCCGGTGTTGGAGAGAATGCCTCCTCTTATTCGACGGTAGCGGCTATCACTAAAAGGGCAAATAGTCGGTTCGTGTCTATGATACAAGAGAGAGCGGAGGAATACAATTGTAGAAGTGATTACCTGGCTGCAGATGTCTTGCACGCGCACGGAGTCTGTGTTGGGCATCAGTCGCGGGACAGGGCGGCGTTGGTGTGCTATGACGCCGACTTGTACTAATTGCTAGTATGCCAGTGGGTTCCGGTGCCTGCAGGGGTTTGTGTGCCACACTGCAGCGGCCAGGATTGACAGGGGTTTGTTTGATCGCAGCGCCGTCGTTGGACCAGTACTAGGAAATAGTTAGTAGTATGGCGGAGCAGAGTCGGACGCGGCGATATGCAGTTTCAACCGTGAAGCATACTGAGTGAAACGTTGTCTGAGAGTCACATGACCATGCTCTGCCTGCCTGGGCCGAACTAACCCAATACGGCCTCCGTGTACTTACGCTCTCTGGCAGCCTGCTTCCAATGCTTTCCTGGTGCTCCCAATCCACAACGTGCTCTGTTTCATTCCAGAGTTATATACCGAAGCTTCATGCACATTTCCAAGATATTTGTGTGTCTCCCGCCGACTGCAAGTCCTGTTGGCGGACATTAAGGGCGCGCCCGCGCCGCCCAGCACCTTGTCCACTCCGTCCCTCTTGCGGCAATGGCCACTGGTGATAATGGATGCTAGAATGCTTCCACAAATCTTGCCTGCTGAAATGGTCTGGATCTCTATCTCATAACCCGGCCTCTAGCCTCTCTTTCTTCTGGACGGCATAGGGATAACGGCCTGAAGCCCCTGGGAATCTGCCAACATGGGGCAAGGCTACTCTATGACCACGCTGTCTGCGGCGTCGGCGACTATCGATGTTCCAGAACTTGCTGATCTCGTGCACGAAAAGACATTGACCTCGGCCCGGTTTATGAAGAGCATCAGGGCGCGGAGCCAACAAGGTTTCGTCTTCGTCAAGGCTGTGATGAAACCATACTCGTCGTTTCAAGTCCACGAGTATGTGAAACAGATCACACACGAGAGGAATATCCTTGCCGATATTCCCAACGCCCTGGGATACCAGCGGATTGTCGAAGTTGGCAGTGGAGGATACCTTGTCCGTCAGTATATGTTCAGCTCGGTGTACGACCGCCTGAGCACTCGTCCCTTCCTCGAGGACATCGAAAAGAAATGGCTGGCTTATCAGTTGCTTTGCGCCGTTCGAGACTGCCATGCCCGAAATGTCTATCATGGCGACATCAAGACAGAAAACCTCCTGGTCACATCGTGGAACTGGCTATATCTCACCGATTTCTCGTCATCATTCAAGCCAACTTATCTTCCCGAAGATAATCCGGCGGACTTCTTCTTTTACTTTGACACATCGAGCCGGCGCACATGTTACATCGCGCCCGAAAGATTCACAACGGCGAATTCGGAGGAGCAGCAGGGCGGAATGAACTGGGCTATGGATATGTTTAGTGTTGGCTGCGCCATCGCCGAGATATTCCTTGAGGGGCCTATCTTCAACCTGAGCCAGATTTTCAAGTATCGAGCCGGAGAGTACAGTCCAGAGCACACACTCCTTGACAAGCTTGAAGACCCCGAGCTACGCGCCATGATTCTCAACATGATTGAATTGGATCCAGAAAAGCGCTACAATGCTGAACAGATCCTCTCCTTCTACCGATCCAAAATCTTCCCCGAGTACTTTTACAGCTTTCTGCACCAATACATGTTCGATCTTTCCAGGTCGGCAACATCAGCAAAACCAGTTGGCCTGGACATGGCAAGCCTGAGTGAATGTGATGAGAAAATAGACCGCGTCTACTACGACTTCGACAAAATATCTTTTTTCCTGGGCTATGGCCCGGGTCCTCCCAAAAGACCTTCACGCTCACCTTTGACTCTACGGTCTGGCAACAGGATAAAGGCACCTGAATCAGACCCTTCTCTGTATAACGGCAGCCTCATTTTTCTCACGCTAGTTGTCTCAAGTATGAGAAACACTGCCAGAGCCTCTGCAAGACTCAAGGCCTGCGATCTTCTGGTGGCTTTTGCAGAGAGACTTCCGGATGAGGCGAGGCTGGACCGCGTTCTTCCGTATGTGGTGAGCCTACTGGCTGACAGTTCCGACGTCGTCAAAGCGTCCGCAATCCATGCAATGACCTCGATCTTCGAGATGGTTGAAGTTGTTTCGCCAATCAATGCATATGTTTTCCCTGAGTACATCTTTGCTAGATTGCGACAATTTGTCCTTGGGCCTTCGACCGAACCCAGCGTTCTTGTTCGCTCTGCCTATGCTTCCTGTCTGGCATCGCTGGCTCTGTCTTCCTCCCAGATACTAGACATGGTCCATGCGATCCGTGCTGATGGAAGGCTCCCAGCTCTACGCGAAGACGACTGGGCTCCCGAGGCATCATACCACGGTCTATATGACGTTGCCAGGGCCGAGTTGACACCTCATTTCGAGGAGTCGACCGTCGCCCTTATAACTGATCCCGAGCCTTCAGTGAGAAGAGCGTTGCTGGGGTCTGTTTCCCGGCTGTGTGTCTTCTTCGGCAGTTCGAAAGCTAGCGATGTGATTCTCACACATCTCAACACGTACCTAAACGACAAGGACTGGATTCTGAGGTGCTCATTCTTCGAAGCCCTTGTAGGCATTGCGTCTTATGTTGGGACAGCCAGCCTCGAAAGGTTCATTTTGCCTATAATGGTTGGTTCGTTGGCAGATCCTGAGAATTTTGTGGTCGAGAAGGTATTCCGCTCACTCGCTCGGATGGCTGCGTTGGGTTTGTTACAGAAATCTACAACTTGGGAGCTTGTCAATATTGCCGCCCGGTTCTTACCTCACCCCAGTATCTGGGTGCGTGAAAGTGCAGTGCAGTTCATCACTTTGTCTGCAAAATACATATCACCAGCCGATCAATACTGCATAGTCCTTCCCATGATTCAGCCATTTTTGAAAGCTCCAGTCCAGGCGCTTACAGAGGATCGCCTTCTGGATAACCTGAAACGACCGCTTCCAAAGAGAGTCTTTGATTCGGCACTTAACTGGGCATCGAGAAAATCCAACAGTTTATTCTGGACCGCCGCATCCCGAGATGAAGCTTTGAGCTTGTCCGATCCTTTGGTACCGCAAAACTCTCCAGCGTTGTCAAGGAGGCTGTTGAGCAGGATACCGCCATCCCAAAAAGACAAAGACGATCAAATGTCGCTCGAGACTTTGCGCAACCTGGGGATGACGCCCGAAGACGAGATCAAACTTCTCGCTCTCAGGGAATATATACTGCGAGTCTCCAAATACAAGCCATCAGTGGATTCGGAGGAAAGAAATCAAATGCTGAACGACATCATCGCCTTGAACTCCATTGATGTTACTCCCCAGACCGTTTTCTTTGACCAGCGTGAAGCGCTACGTGAGACCAAACCTCGATCAGCCACCACAACGATGCAGATGAAACCTCGCTCGGACGCACGTCATACCTTGGCCGATGCTCTCCTTGATGCATCCACGAGCATCGATGAGCGACTAACGAGCCGACATTCACCTTCAGCCAATGCAAGTGGTACAGCTACCCCTTCAATGAAAACGGTTGAAATAAGGAACCGTACCGCTTCCGCTGCAGCCAATGGCACTAGCCCAGCAATAAGCGTGACAAGCGCGAGTAATACCTCACGATCCAGGGTTCCGATGGCGGGCAATTCTCCTTCCACAGTGGAGAGGCTCTCACTAAGGCAGGGCACCACTCTTGAACTCAAGCATCGTAACAGTGGCCTAAATCTGATGAATCGTACCGACTCTGCAAAAGCAGATGCAGAAACTTCCACAACCTCGGAGAACGCCTTTGGAAAGGTCGATGGGCCGCCCCACCAGCAAAGTACGAAGCCATCCGGCCTCAGCGTCGCTGTCAGCCTTGCGGGACAATCTGGATCAGTGTCACCTCGCAGTGGTGGAACTAGAACCCCACAATATGAACCAAATCATTCATATACAGGAACCGATGCAAATGTTCTCCGCCTGCTGGAAAATCATTTCGTGGACAATTTTCCTGTCGACCAGGTGGATTTTGGGGGCAACCGTCCTCCGGCTGATAGCAAACTACCCATCAGAAGAGCCGCAGACGTCATCCAGCAACAGAGTGGTAAATCACATCAACAAGAACATGGTTACCGGACAGAACCGTGGCGCCCGTCCGGTCAATTGCTCACGCAGTTTTCCGAACATACGGCCGCCATCAATCGTGTATGCGCTGCCCCGGACCATGCCTTCTTTATCACTGCTTCGGATGACGGCACTTGCAAAGTGTGGGACACAATCAGGTTGGAAAAGAATGTTACGCCCCGCTCGAGGTATACACATCGCCATGCGGATGGGGCAAAAGTCAAAAGTCTATGCTTTGTTGAGGGCACCCACACATTCCTCAGTGGTGCGGATGACGGTAGTATACAAGCTGTGCACATTGACTACAGGAGCGTCGATGGTGGTGAAAGCTCCAGGTATGGGAAACCGACTCTTGTCCGTGATTACCACATCCCTTTGGACCGGGACAAACAGAGCGTAAAGGAGCAGGGCGTCGGGCCTGACCAGTCTCTTCCCGAGTATGCTGTTTGGCTGTATCACTACCGGACGCAGACATCACGGTCTATTCTACTAGCTGCAACAAACAAGTGTCGTATCCTCGTTATCGACATGAAAACGATGGACATCATCCACAGTATGAATAATCCTGTGCACCATGGGACGCCGACGACCTTTTGCGTCGACAGAAAGCACCATTGGCTTTTACTAGGGACGAGTCAGGGAATTTTGGATCTGTGGGATCTAAGATTCAAGCTTCGCCTTAGAGGCTTCGGCATACAAACGAATTCGCGCATTGATCGGTTGCTGCTGCACCCCACGAAGGGGCATGGCCGCTGGGTTATGGTCAGCGCAGGCGGGGAGATCAGCGTCTGGGACATTGAAAAGATGGTGTGCCGAGAAGTCTTGAGACCTTATACATTCAAGCCAAAAGGTGGCAAGGCCAGACCCTACGAGGCATGGGACCCGGACGAGGAGAATAACGAGAAAATGTTGCAGCGTTTTGCGGAAGAGCTTGAAGTCGAGGGACACGTTCATGTGCCCAATCTTCCGAATGAAGGGCTTGACGGTTCTTCGGGAAGAAAGCAGTCGACATTGAGGGATTCAACCTCTGCTGTTTCATCGCTCCCGATACTCGCCATGTACATCATGAATGACTACCTTCTGAACTCTTCGCAGCCGGATAACCCATACAAGCACCCTCTATTGCTCACCGGTGGCGCTGATCGTGTCTTGCGGTATTGGGACATCCAACGACCAGAAAACAGCTTCATCATCTCTGAACCCCAGCTCTATTCCGACGAAGGTACTGTGGCGAAACCGAGGTACGAAGTCAGCCATCCTTTGGCTTTAAGTGCCGGCGCTCAAATAGCCCTGGTACAGGAGGCATGGGGTGATGAAAGCACAGGGGATAGAGATGGATCCAAAAAGCCACCTTTATCATCCCGAAATTCTACAGCGACTCCAGCGCGATTTTCCTCCCCTGCGAAAGCCGCCGCCACGACAGCCACCGGTCACTCGACGCCCAGTAAGGGCGGATCTGCGAGTCCAGTAGCGGTGACGACATCGAGGATGGCTTCTACATCTGCGCCGTCCAAGCCTCCGCGCAGTACCATCATCAGTGTGGCTCAACAGCAATTATTGCGAACCCATGCCGACGTTATCACGGACGTTATTGGCTTGCGGAAGCCATACGGGTGCGTGGTCAGTGTAGATCGTGGCGGGAGCATTTTTGTCTTCCATTGAGGACGTCTCGCTTGAGAGTGACGGACTACATTGCGGCGCCGTGGGTATAGAGCCCGAGGAGAATACGGCCTCAGTTATATATAGACTGGTACATGCAGCCCGAGTAGAGGTGATTCGCAATGACAGAACAACAAGGGCACATTGTGATCTCTGCTGTCCATCGGTATCAGCAATGTGCATTGTAGTTCAGTTTGATCTTTGACATGAACGCTGTCAATACTACCAATCCTGTTCTACAGTATAGTAATAGTAGAACTCCCAGTCGAACTTAAGAGTGAAGTACTTGTATGTGGCCGAATATTGTGGCTGATGTAAATGGCTAGTACAAATGAGGTGGCTAGTAAGGCACTACCTTAAATTAGCACTCAGCCTAAACCTTAAGCACTATGTTTCAGCACTACTTAGTACGCCTACTACGTACGCCTGCCAGTGCCGGTGTGACGGTGGGAGACGCACGACGATCAAACAAGTCAATCATCCTCCGCCGCCGCCATTCCCCTCAGGACGCCTGCGACGCTGTTGACATATTTATTCCTTTCTCTTTCGGGTTGAACCTCGCTCCTTTTGGCGACAGTAGCGGTCACCTATCTGTACTCTACTAGTCTGTGCCTCCGCTCCTGATCACCGCGCAATTCCTAGTGGCCGTCAACCTTGAAGCCTACCCTCACCAACTGTACCTCTAGGCCTGGCTCCCTACCATCCTTCCAACTCGCGTAACAGCAACTCTTTCACGATCCTTTGCCTCCCGACCCTCTCGCACTTGTCCCAGGACCTCTCCGCCCCTCCGTCATTCACCCGCGCCCATTCAGCAATGGTCCGGAGCATATGACACAATAGCACGAATTGCGCCTCCCAGATTCTCTCGCGGACGCTGGGCATACAGTGTCGAGGATGACTCGCCGTCATGGCAGGAAATCTGGAGCAAGGAACAGATGCGGGCTCTATACAACCTGTGTCTTCTCTACGGTCACACTTCGAAGGGCTCAAGGCCAGCCAAAGTCAACAGGATGAACGGGGAAGCATTCCTGTGTCTCCACATACCTTGAAGCCCACCAGCGGACAGTCTCCCGTCCCGACTCTGCGAGCCTCCCTGGATTTACCTAGACCAATATCACCATGGACAGGAGGAGGAAGCCTGAGCTATGGCGGGCCACCAACACCCATTCAGATGACTGATTCTCCGCCCAAACCAGGCCACAAAAGACCCATGTCGATGCTTGTTCAGTCTTCTCCTCAACTTACGCCGTCGGTCAAAGTGGACTCCCCGAGGTCCCCTCCGCGAACATACTTCGAGCGGAGTGCTTCCAGGTCGCCCGAGCAGGTCGACAACACACCATTTGCGAAAGTGCGCGAACTTATCTCTCAGCATTCTAGCGCATCCTCGACCCGTCCACCCACTCCGCGGGCAGTAAGCGGAGATCGTTCGAGCACCTTGCGGCTTGTAAGAAATGATAGTGTGCCCGGGGAAGGTCCAGGCTCCAAGTCACCAGCCCGTCCTCCGCCCGTCAACCGAGCAGAGAAACCAAAGATACCTTCGAAACCGAGCGCGATTTCTATGCCGGCTGGTCTCGGGCTAAATCCGAACGCTCGCAGGCCTTCAGTTGAATCTCGAGTCTCTCCATTCAGTACACCCCCTAGCAGCGAGGAGAATTCACCATCACAGAGCCCCAAGATAAAACGCAACAGCCAAACTGCCGAGTCACTGCCTACACCTAACCGAGTAATAGCGTCTCCCGCTCCGTTCGCGCCCACAGAGGAAGGATATGTCCGGCAAAACGATGCTCGGTTCATGGGCTTTTCAGCTCGGCCGCCCGCAGCAGAGAGAAGAGACTCAAGGACGCTAGGTTTCCCAACACCGGATCCGCGACCGCCAAGTCGAGGTTCGACCTTACCCACGAGGGCCAGTACGGTCTCAGAGAAGCCGTCTAGAGATCCTCGTGATTTTGGTCTCTCAACGGGCACCCCAACTCCACGTCACGTCTCTGAGACGATTCGGTCTACTCCTTCGACCCCACCTGTACAGCCTCCTCGCCCTATTCCCATCCGCGACGCCCGCACATTGGGCTTCTCCGCTCAGCACGCCCCTGATAATGATTCAAGCGGTGATGAGGTGCGACCTGGATTGCCGCCTAGACGGAACATGCAACCTCCGCCCCGCCCCTCTAACGAATCCAAGAACAACACCATAAGAACTGGTGCTCCAACTTCCCATCCGCCGGTGCCAGATCGATCTCAGAAAGTCACTCCTAACCCCTCGGTGTCCCGCGCGCCTACATTACCAATAGAGACACGGTTTCCTCCGCCACCAAAGCGAGCCAGTATTGATGAAACTGAGAACGCATTGGCGACAAGGGTTCCTAGAGCCCAAACCTTCGCAGGAGACGCCCAAAATCGTCCTCCGGTTAGGGTGACCGCGCCCGACTCTGATGATGCAGAAGAAGTGGCGGAAGAACCCAAAGTTGCGAAATCGGAATATCCCGATTCCACGCATACGAACCGGCGACCACCGCGCTCAAAAGCTGGTATATGGGAGATCAGTACCAAATCCGATTCGCGAACTATGGAAGTATGTGGCCGATACCTGTGCACAGCCGGATACACCACTCGCGTGTTTGACATGTCCTCGGGTGAACAAATCATGAGCATTAACCATGGTGAAACGGTCAAAGTCTCAGCAGCAGTGTTCAAGCCTGCCGTGGACCTCGCCAATGAAGGCTTCCGGTTGTGGCTTGGTACGAACACAGGTGATTTGATGGAAGTAGACGTGGTCTCTCACACCATCATGACTACAAACACCTCCCACAACCGGCGGGAGATTGTTCGCATACTGCGGAATCGGAGGGACTTGTGGACGCTTGATGATGATGGCAAGCTTTTCGTCTGGGAAGCTGACGAAACCGGCGTGCCGAACTTGAAATATAGCCACGGCTCTCACAAAGTGCAAAAGGGACATTCATGCTCTTTGGCAATTAATGGGCAGCTCTGGCTGGCTTGTGGCAAGGAAATCCGCGTTTATAACCCCGGCAATGACAACTCGTTCAATGTCCTTAGCAAGCCACTGTCCCAGCCCGGTAATCTAGACATCACCTGCGGCACCTTCTCCAGTGAGCAGGGAGGAAGGGCGTACTTTGGGCATATTGACGGAAGAGTCAGCATTTATTCTACCAAGGACTATTCGGCCATCGCCAATGTCAAAGCGAGTGATTACAAGATCAACAGCTTGTCATTTGTGGGAGACAAACTGTGGGCCGCGTACAAGACAGGCATGGTGTATGTCTACGACACTTCGACCTCGCCATGGAAGGTCAAGAAAGATTGGAGAGCCCATAACGGGCCGGCCACGGATATTATCCTCGACCCCAGCAGTGTCTGGGCGTTGCAACGGTTGCAAGTCGCTACAATCGGCCACGACAATGTGGTAAGGTTATGGGACGCGGCGCTGGAGGATGACTGGATCGAGGCGGAGATGCAAGAACGAGATGTCGAATACTGCACATTCCGAGAAGTGCGTGCGGCAGTTGTTACATGGAACGTTGGAGCCTCGACGCCCTACGATCTACGGAGCGATTTCATCGCCGAAGCGATTCACGCGCGAGATCCACCCGAGATCCTTGTCTTTGGATTTCAAGAAGTCGTCGACCTGGAAGACCGGGCGGTGACAGCGAAAAGCATTTTGGGATTCGGCAAGAAGAAGGACACGGTCAAGACGGAACAACATCAGAGCCGAGTGTACCGCGAATGGCGTGACTATCTCAGCAAGATGATCAGCCGGTACACCAGCGACCGATACGCATATTCGGAACTGCAAACGTCCAGCTTGATCGGTTTGTTCCAATGTGTTTTCATTCGCCAGGAGGAGCGACCGCGAGTGCGCAACCTGCAAGCCGCGAGCATCAAATTGGGGCTGAAGGGCCATTACGGTAACAAAGGAGCCCTTGTGACGCGGTTTTTTCTCGACGACAGCTCAATCTGTTTCATCAACTGCCATCTAGCAGCGGGCCAAACCCAAACATCGCACCGCAACAACGACGTGGCGAGTATCTTGGAAGCCGAGGCTCTTGACCCCGAGCCGGACCCAGACATCCGCAGTTCATTGTACATTGGCGGCGGGGACGGGACGCAGATTCTCGACCACGAAATCTGCATTTTGAACGGCGACCTGAACTATCGCATCGACACCATCCCCCGCGACACCGTCATCAACATGGTCAAACGCGGCGAATTGTCCAAACTGCTCGAGCGGGACCAGATGATGGTTTCGCGCCGACGCGTGTCCGGGTTTCGTCTGTCTGCATTCACCGAACTCCCCATCACATTCGCCCCGACGTACAAATATGATGTTGGCAGCGACGAGTACGATTCGTCCGAGAAGAAACGTGCCCCTGCATGGTGCGACCGCCTGTTGTACCGCGGACCCGGCCGCGTCAAACAGATCGAGTATCGGCGCCACGATGGCGTGCGGACCAGCGACCATCGGCCTGTGAGCGGATTGTTTAAACTTCGCGTCAAAACTATTGATCCGGTCAAGCGTCAGCGGGTCAAGGAGGACTGTTTTGCCAAGTTTGAATCTGTCAAGCGTCGCATGGCTGAGAAGGCGAGCGTCGAGTATCTCGTTTCTGTGCTGGGGGTGTCGGAACAGGAGGCCAAACGGCTGCTTGGGGCGAAATGATGAAGATGGCTGCGTGGTGATGATGGGTTGATGATGATGAACACCATGACTGCGATGTTAAATTCGCTTAAGATAGGCTTGAAATGCAGCACTGGCAGTAGAAACTTGAACCGGCGCGTTGAATTGCAAATCAATGCAGCTGCTTTACTAGCTGTAGTACCTCAGGGATAGTCGCTCAGATGAAGTCCCTACATGTAGAATCAAGAAATACACTATGTGCGTACAGTACCAGTCGATGCCTACCTATCTTTGTTGTAGCCACACACATATATATACGTATACGTATACGTATATTATATATTTATTATATACGTATATTATATATTTATTATATACGTATATTATATATTTATTATATACGTATATTATATATTTATTATATACGTATATTATATATTTATT